CCTCGCACAGCCCGCNCACTGAACAGGAGTCATCCTGCAGCCTGACTCAGAATCCACCACTAGCGATGGCAGTGATCACCACGACCACAGTTGAGACACCTCAGCTACCCCAACAATCACCGCTTGTCCGCCGCACCGCTCTTCGATCCCTACGAAAACCCCGTCTGCGTCGCATGGCCTGCAGCTGTGGCCAAGGGTACGCCGTTGGACGCCGTTCCGGCGGATTTGAAGGTTCCGCTTGGTGCCACCTCCGATATATCTGTAGGGAGGGGGTGGGTACAAGAAGGGGGAAAGGGAGGGGGGAGGAACCTACAAGGGAAATTATCGCCCGCCTTGACAGCCGCTACAGCAGACACCAACTGCGCCGCCGCATCTTGCGGAACGGTCGAAAGGAATCCCATTTTAGGGGGATCGTGTGACGGGTGAGTGATATTCCCATAGTAAAACGCCGCCAATACGCTATTTACCCACCAGATCATTATCAGCAACCACCTCTCACAAGCAACAAGAAAAGAAAGGAACACACGACACGCACCTTTTCAAAAACGGGATCCCAAGACTCCAACTATACTGAGGCCCAGTCAACGAAGGCGGATTATTAGATCCAAGCACCGAAGTACACGTAGTGACATCATTTCCAATAACCTGCTGTATAAAGTCACGCGGGTCGACGGGGAAGAGTTTGCCCCCAATAGAAAAAGCGATGGTGTGTGGTTCGGAGCAGGGAAAGCGCCCATTGATGCCTAGTTTGGATTGGATGTTGCGTACGACGTCAGGGGGACCGTGGAGAATTGAGTTGCCCTGTAAGTAAGAGAGAGAGGAGGCCCGGTAAGTGGAGTGGGAGGGAGGGGAAGGGAGGGGACTTACGCTGTTGATAAGGGCAGAGAGAGTGATGAAAGGTGATGAGAGTGTTGAGCGGGGGAGCTTTACGCCGTCTAGGTATACGTCGTCGAGGAGAACTTCCCAATTATATGGATACACCTATTATCATTATAAGCGCGTTACACCTAACCAAGAAGGAACATCACACACCTCGTCCGGGGAATCAGGGGGAGGAGGCAACCATGGATACGCACGGATAGGAACCCAAGTCAAACTATCCTCCGACACCCCACTCGGCATCTCACCAATACTCAACATCCCCACGTTCCCTCCAACCTGTTTAGTATCCCTTTGCAGCGTCACGGTGTACATCGGCAAAGTCAGCTGAGCAGCTGTAACAAATCGGGTGGGCAAGGGTCCAAAGACGGACCAAGTACGGTGGATGGACGTCGCACTGGACGAAGCGTTGCCGGATGTTTGTTGTCCTTGTTTGCCTGGGCTTGAAAAGTAGTCGGAGAGCCTCCATAGTTTGAACCAGACGACGCTGTGGAATAGTCATTTATTGCTCTCACTCACTCATACGATCCTCCGACGTACCTGGTCACGGGAAACCCAAGGCCAAAGATCCCAGATGAGCCAGTCAGTCCTAACTTAGTGTTGGTTTGGTTTACTGCGATGAAGTACTGGTCCTGTAACGTCAGGCCCGCCAAGCTAACGGTGTCCTTGCCGATCATGCCTGACGCGGTAGTCGAATTTCCATAGAATAGCTTCGCATCGGCACCAGAGTAATTAAATGAAGCCTGTGGGTATGCCGACTGGCCGCTTAAGCATCCCTGTGTACACTTGTCGGAAACGACCCATAAATCTGATGTGCCGGTGTCTATGCCAAAGTCAGAGGAGAAGAAACAACAAAATGGCGAGGTAAGGCATACCAAGGGCAAGAGGAATGGTCGTCCCGCCAACAGAGATGAGGACATTATACACTCTACCTCAAACCCCATCAACAAACCCCGAAACACAAAAAAAAGCACCAACTCACACATCCACGAAATCGCCCAGCCCAATTGCAGACGTCAACCCGCGTCGCCTGCTCGCCTCGGCCACCTGCCTCACAATGGGGAGATGAACACCGCCCGCCGTCCTCCTTGTATACCGCCTTGCAATCTCCTCAAGGGACGGTGTTTCTGTTGTTGGTGCTGGTGTAGCCGCCCCATAGCACGAAAGAAAAGTAGCAGTCAGCATTCCCACCCCATACTTCGGCCACCACATCTTCTGGATCAATGCTAAGACTAAAAAAAAAAAGACGATCGTTCCTCGACAACGCTATGGGCCGTCTTGGGTATGGGGACAAGTGGTTGAACCAAAAAGAGTGTAGCATCGAGGTATAAGTACATGTTGCGCCTCAACTCCGTTGATGATACAATAGAGTCTGCGACTCACAGCACATGATTTAACATGATAAACCTCGTTTGAAACGACGCTTTGAGCAGCTTTAAATCCGTATCTGAGCGTTGACGCACTGGTTTGTACTATATGTGGATCTGCCAAGTTCACCGCAAACGACTTGATATGAAAATTCTCGTTTGAGACGGCGCCTTGAGGACTTTAAATCCGTACAGTGTCAAGCATCTGAGCGTTGACGCACTGGTTTGTGCTGTATGTGATTTTGCCAAGCGACTACAACATTAGAGCCTGACTCACCCGCCGCAAATGACTTGACTCGTTTGGATCGACACCCCGAGCAGCTTTATTGAATCCGTGTAGTGTCGAGTATCTGAGCGTTGACGCAGTAGTTTGTACTACAAGTGATTGTGCCAAGCGGCTCCTACAGAAGTTGTCATAATAAGTCTCGTTTGAATCGACGCCTTGAGCAGCTTTACAGTGCTTTGCATTGGCTTTACACTGCCGTTTGTCGCTACTATGGCAATAGAGTCTGCAACTCACTGCGCATTACTTGACAACATGATGAATCTCGTTTGAAATGACGCCTTGTGCAGCTTTGAATCCGTGAGTGATTTGCCATACCATTCGACTCTGCCAAGTCTCGCATAAGCGTATTTAACTGCCTCCTTATGTATCGTGCTGCCAAAACGCCCAAGGACTGCGGCCGTCAATTTGCCTGTCTGCCGCCAAGAAACTCATGAGGTGCAGTACATATCAAAACCCACGTAGTTCACAGTAGACAGAGGAGAGAGAGAGCGATGTTACGGAGCGGTCCCAATGTATCGATTTTTTTTTGGTCGTTCGCTTTAGACGGTCGTCACGCTAGGTCACGACGACTTTGGCTGTGCGAATGTCACGCAAAGGTCACGGTAGAACAAGTTTAGTGCAGGGTTGGTAACTTAGTGCTGAAAATATAGCTATTCAGACGTGACGGCCATCAACAGTCAATTGACAAGTCTAAGCGTTGGGTCCAGACCCCCGTTGAAGATAGTCGTTGCCCAAAGGGATCCGAGCTTCGCCGTGTCGGATAGTGAGGAGGCTGCGGTGGTTCCGAAGAAGAGATTTGAGGATTACTTGTGTTGTTCGCGGATGAGAAGAGGGCGGAGGAAGTGTTTGAAGTTGGCTTTGAAAAAACTTGTTTATGTGTGGTTCCTGGACATAAGTATTTTAGCTTGTGGGCGCCAGGTACAATTAATTGTAAGTCGCAATGACATCATTTTGCATCGACCCCCAGATTCCCCTGGGCAATGGATGGATAGGCCTTGTAAAGCACCCACTCCCTAAGTTCACTCACGAACGGCTTGTCCACCACCTCTCGGAACGTTGTGTTCAAAGACACAGCCGGGAACATGAATTCTGCGCATACACCCAGGTCAACAAAACGAACAACAACTCTCTCTGAATTACTGGACGTACCATGCACAACAAGATATGGGAACTCCTCCTTCTCACCCGCCGTCCCATTGCCAACCACTAGATGATCTAGAACCTTGAACACCCTCGTCCGAACCCATCCATCCACATCCCTCCCAAGCTCCCCAAAACTCCGCTCAGCCCACCCCCTCGCCTCCTCATCCTCCTCACCCACATCCAAATCCAACCCATGCGTACACAAAAAAAGCGTCGGCCTCTCCGCGCCCAAACTCGTCGTCACACCACTCTCCCCTGAATCCTTAAGAAGGACACACGTCCTCCTATCAAGCACCTCCAACCTCGCTACTAAATCCGCCTCGCGCTGACTCCGAGACGAGCGTAGGCTTGTGTAAGAGTCCTCGGAAAAGACGGATGTGGACGTAATGTCATATAATGCGAGCCATCGCGGTGTTTTGGAGTCGGAAGAGGAGAAGCGGGCGCCCGTGAGGAAGGAGGGGAGGTGGTGTAGGCGGAGGGGGATGTGTTCGTTGTTGTACCAGTCTATGGGGAGGAAAGAGGGAAGGGTTAGTGAGCAAAGGATAGAAGGAAGGAAGGAGGGAGGGAGGTGGGGAAAGAGATGAACCTTGGAACTCTTCAAGAGAGACGTTATTGCCTGGTTCGGAAAAGACGGCGAGGAAGCCTGGTACCATTGTGTTGGTGGGCGACGGATGTCCGCTAAAGCGCAAGACACATCTCGGCGTTTTATACGAAAGACGGAGGGTTTATGTAATGAGGATTGCAAAGGAACGGTAATGGCCAGGATAACGGAATGGAGAGACTGCGATTGGCTAAGGAGTGTTAACGCGGATGCGTAAGCGGGAGAATCTGCGTAAGCGTTGAAGGATGCATAATCGTTGAAACTACATAGAAAAGAACAAGTTCGCGAGATTAGATCAGAGGAACGGATCAATTTGGGATCGATCACACAGAGGCGGAACTGAAGGCAGCCCAGGTCGCAATGTCGGGCCTGAGGCTCCTGAAGGTCAAAGCATGAAGCATTGAAGATAGAAACGTTGAAGCTGGTGAGCTCAATTTGAAAGGACTCGTCCATGTTGTTGCAGAACGTCAAGATGCATTGCGCATCAAGTGTAAAATGTTTCTATAGTTGAATGAGATATATAGTACTAGAGGTTAGATGCCAAATAATTTACAGGTGTGCGATAGCAAGTATGACGAACAAAGCGTGAAGCAACTCAAAAGTCCAAAAAAAAAAATATGCAAGAAGTCAGTCATTCAAAACCACCGATATCACTGGCTATCACTCGGGGAAAGTCCACACAAAAGACTTCCCAGTCTCTTCCCCATGATACATTTGTTCCCTGTTCCAACCGAGCTCAATCAGACAACAACAAAAGAAAACGAGAGGATTGAACCAGACCACGTACCCAAGGAACTTCAACGCGGTAATACTTGGAGGCCGATGTATTCCTCGTCCCCCCATTCTAGCTTTCATAGTCCAAATAGCAAGGAACTCCCATTGTGCCTTCTCCCCTTCCGGAGTCCCGTCAGCTGTCCAGGTTCGCAAGGTGATGGTACCATCAGGGGCTCCAGTCGCCAGCACCCCAAGGTAGGAGTAGTCGCGTTCATGGAACGCCATGGCTGTAATGGTAGGGACGAGTCTTGAATAGGATGGCGTTGTGGTAAGGTCCAGCGTTGCTATATGCTGGGCGTTGATAGTATGCAGACAGAGTTTCATACGCGAACAGGTCGCGATGTAGCCCTACGTTACCCTCATCAGTATCATCCAAATATCCGCAGCAGAAGAAGCGCTCACAGTACTCTCGTTGATCGCAACCAGGTTGACGGTCGTAGATTCCCCGCCCTCCCCATGCCAAATGGATCTGACATACATGCCACGGTTAAGATCCCATATAGCTGCACTGCCATCTTTCGATCCACTTGTTACCGATGGCGCATTCGCGAGTCCAGGGCAATTGACTCTTTGATGGGCTCCTTGCAGAAAGTACCCCACCAAACATTGATCTAAGCCCCGTGGCGCTTGTCTTTCGTCTCGTTTTGAAACGACTTTTTCGGAGAGACACCGAATAGGCTAGCGCTTATCCCTTCTTTCCTCTGGGGACCACTCTTTGGAACTGGGGACATGACTTGCGCCGGTTCAGCGCCTATATTTCTTGTCGTCTCTAATTTCGAATCTCTCGTGCGTTAAACACAAGCAGTTTTCCACAACTATCACCTGTTCAACGCCACGCTAGAACCATGCCATAAACCTCTTGTGAAGATGACGTGTTTTGTGTCATTATTTCAATAGCGCTGCAAATGGGTGCCCTAGATTCGAGGCAGTCTTCATGGGGCAAAGACGGGATTGGTGTTTGGCCGCAGCTGGTGCGTCCAAGCCAATAATATGGTGCACAACCAGTTAAGGAGCTATTTCAAATATGAAAGGGAAGCGGGGTTTGAGTGGAAGAGGGGACGAGACTATGAGGATAGGTGTACGGATCCAAGCGGACTTTAGGTGATGGCCCATGGGGAAGCGCGCATACCCCATTGGTGGATGCCCAACACGACCGCTTCGATGTTTTAGGCCTGATGGTGAGTGAAGTCGTAAAGTTCAACTGCGGTTTGGATTTGTCAACAGAGTATCGCACTCGCAGGATCCATAATCTCAATGCAACGGGGCAAGCTCAGGCTGGTGCTTTTTCCCCATAGTATGTGTGATGTTCTTGCGGCAGCGATACCGAGAGGAGAAGCCTCCAGGGGGGATCGAGGGCCTTTGCGCGACCTGCTGTAGAACATCGTTGATCTTTAACTGGAGTGGATATCAAGTGGCACATGGAGCTAAAGAAGCTCTTGATTTCGCTTTGTCTCTGAGGTCTGGGAGGGTGCTTTAGGGGGTAAGTCAGGACTTGAATTAAGTGGCTTGGAACCGTGGAAAGGAAGCTAGGTTTCCTTTCGTCTTTGACCTGGGAAATTGTTGGGAAGTGTACCAATCAAGTTGGGGATTGTTGGGCGATACAGTAAGAGCCTGTGCAGAGGTCGAGTTGGTGGACATAATCTTTGAGGATGGAAGGCCCAGCGTTCAACATTCAACCCTACATTCTCCTTCAATGCCGCCTCTGCTACAGCCAGATTGCCCATGCTAGATATTCATGTCAAGCAGTTTGTGTACCACAGGCAAGTCCTCCCAGTCCACCCCATCTGATAGCTCACACCGCATTTCAGACGCCGAACTGTAGCCAGAACGCTGTGGGCTACTTGGCCAATGTAGCGCTTCCATCCACTGAAAGCGTACTTTGGCCATTTAACTTGTTTATGGAGGGTAACAGGTCTCCCGTTTCGACTTTACGTCAAGCGCAGTCGCGACAATTCAGTCACAGAAGCGCATGCCACCCAATACGTCCCGACAACACCTGTGCTCCTAATGGGAACGTCGGTACACCCCTGGTACTCATGACGCGCGTCGAGGAACGCCTCTGGAGAGAGGCCTCTGGAGAGAGAGCGGACTGCACACTAGCTCAACGAGCCGTCGGATGCCTAGCTGAGCACCTTTACGGACCCTATGGCTGGATGGCTGGCACAAGTCCGCCAGCTGGGCTCCTTCTGGGTCGGCTGTCTGTGGATTATGTGCACGCCCTCCGTGAGCTACTGAGCTATCATATCGATCACAGCCGGTGCGGGGTCCCTTCGGAAGAGTTCCATGGACAGTATTATTGCATTCTGCCCCTTGGTGCCGATCTGCAAGTGCAGGAGGTTGCAAAGTACCACAGTGTACATTTGAACCCCAGGACGTGCCCATGTTGGCTTTTGGAATTGACATAGTTGAGGGAGAAGGATTCGATTCTTGCCAGTAGTAGCAGCCATACCCCGTCCCAAATTCGAATAGAAACGTCATAACTTGTAGTATGAATCGCCTGGCTTGGGTTTGTGCTATGTAGAGACATTTCGTCAAAGTAGCTTAGTTTTAGACCTTGGAAAACGACTCACGCCGAGTTGGTGGGTATGGCTTCCCCACCGTAAAGCGGAATCCGTTGCTACTCGTATCTCCCCGTAATATTGCGCAGATCGTTCGAGGCTGCCATGTTCCTCCTTAGACTTCTTGATGATCTCTCTCCGCCGTCAATTTATTTTGTGTCTCGCAAAAGTTCACGAAGGACTATATCCTGGCGTCGTTCGTAACTCGGGACACGGCGAATCTGCGTAGCGATAGGGGACTTGCAGTTCATAGATGAAGAAGTTATCCAAGCGACGCCTGTAGGTGGCTGCCCATCGAGTGGCATGAAGTTGAGACCAAAGGTCGAATAATGGTGAAGAGACATCGCTGGTGACTCCTCTTGGCCAACAACCACAACGATGGACACCACACATCCTGGATACGAAGACTTTACAACACAATTCTCAACCCTCATCTCAACAATGCCACCACCATTCATGTACATAAACGACGCCGACGCCATCCAAACTACCGTCGCCGTAATCGACAACGTTCTCAACCACCTTTTATCGGCACCAGGACCCTCAAAGATCAGCTACGCACGCGCAGATGCCATCGCCTGTTTCTCCGCGCGGCTTCTCTACGAATCCATAATCAACGCTCTAGCAAGCTGGACGCCGCAATGGGAGGATGGAGCCGTCAATTGGGGTGCAGATAATGGGGTGAGGTGGAACGACACTTTTGACGGGTTCGTGCATGGCTTACGCGCCGTTCACGCGTATTTGGGAAAGGGGAAGAAGAAGGAGGGAGATGTGAGGCTCGTTGTCGTTGTGGAACGCGCTGAGAGGCTGATACCGGAGTTGATGGTGCCACTTACGCGACTTGCTGAGCTGGTGAGTTCGTTGTTGTCCTTACTGGCGCAGCTAACCTTCTTTGATAGGCCCGAGTTGACCTTTGTGTCGTGTTTGTCTCAGAGGCCCCATGGGAGACGATACGACCACCGTTAGGCGCGTCTCCCGACCCGTATTTCTTTGACATTCCTCCGCCAACGAAAGAAGGTACGTCTTCGACAAAAATATTGTCAAATCACTCACTTACTCTTTACAGACATAGTTAAGCACTTGATCTCAAAGTACTCATCCCACCCACCCCTCAAACCCCTCTACACGCACTTTATCACTACCCTGTGCGACGTCTGTTACCCGTTCACCCATGACCCTCATGAGCTAGCGTACATCGCAGCCGCGCGATGGCCGGGGTTTGTCAAGCCAGTGTTGGACGCCAATAAACGCGACATGGATCTGGACGCGGACTCTGACTCTGAAGAGGCCTTCCAACCCCCCTCTGAAGAAACCCGTATGCGCCTCAGCCGTTTATTTAACCCCTCCCTTTCTCTAGCCCTTGACGCCCTCTATCCCCGACTCCAAAACGCCACAGACTGGGCAAAGGCAAATGAACCACCACCAAACCTCCTCGACCACCCACCAACCAATTTAAAAACCGTTGTACCGTCGGACGAGAAAGACGCGGGTATCACCTCCTTACCACGACTATCTAAATTCATACTCCTAGCTTCCTTCCTCGCATCCACCAACCCTCCAAAATCCGATCTGAGGATATTCGGAAGGGGGCTGGACGAGAAGAAGAAAAGGAAACGACGCGCGTCAGGTAAACCGACAAAAACGAAAGGAGGGGTGACGAAGGTCGCTCAACGCCTCCTTGGCCCTACCTCGTTCACACTTGACAGAATGCTCGCTATACTCGGTGCGCTTCTCGAGGAGAATGACGTTGATTCCAGGATACAAGGGCATGCTTCCGAGTTTAGTATACCCGGGGAGGAGACGGATATGGAGATATCACGCGTTGCTGTGTATGCAGTGGTAGTGGAGTTGACGAGTATGCGTCTTTTGACCAGGACATCGGCTGTTGATCGGTTGGATGGTCCGCCGACTTTTAAAGCTGCGGTGGGGTATGAGATGGCGCTGTGTTTGGCGAAGGAGTTGGATGTTAGTCTTGCAGATTTTTTTTGGGAGGTTATGTAGTGGCCTCAAATTGAGAGGTCGCTGCTTTTTTACTGCTGTTTGCCCTTGGTTTCTGAGTCTGTCACGTCGAACACACATTTGCACAATACTGCCAGTGATGCCCAACGACGTTTGAGATGCTCGCACTGGCAGCGTTGATCGAGGCTTACGCTTACTCCCAGATCTTGAAGAAGAGCGTTCACTGTGTTCTCCGCCAGCTTCGTTTTTTTCTAGGTATTATACAAACAAAATGATGCTCCCCAACACACTCTCTGTCTGGGTGTTAGAGATTCAAGACGGCAAGTCGAAGGTTAAACATTATTGAAAGTGAACCCGGGTGCACAAGTAGATATGTGAGAGAAAAATCACCATGAGGACATATTATTATTACTCTGTCTGGGAGCCGAACCCAGCTTTCGCGCGTAACTTTTCAATGGCATCAGGCCCAATGAGCGATGGCAGGCGCGTATACTGACCGATATATTAACAGAGATGGTTGAAAGAGGGTCTTCTTCTAAAATGTCGTTGTGCTAGGTGTTTTTGAGTGCGAGACTTTGTTAGTTGGGCGTGCTCTGTAACAAATGAGACGGTCGACGCGCAACCAAACCGCGCTTAATCTCAAGTATTCAAAGCGGATCCTAGTGGAAAGGGTACGTCAACCGTCGATCGAAGTGTATGCGGGAGGTTCTGACTTACCCATTCTCGTTCCCCTCAGCTTTCCCCACTAATCCCGCTGGAGGATCTCCCTGTCCATCATCGCTTATGCCCATCGTTTATCCCTTGCCTTTGACACCGACGTTGCGAACTCGTCTGAAGGATGTATGCGTTGTCGTGGAGGCGGATGGAAAGGTGTGGGTCGTCGAGGTCGTCAAGATCGGTTTCGTGGCCATGGCCCACTCTAGATCCGTCATCTGTGCTGAAGGAGAGGAACATGGGCTGAGAGGAGGTGGGGAACGCGGCAAACGACGTCGCCATTGACGTTGCGGTCGTCGTCAGGTGAGGGCATGGCTGTATGTAAGAAAGCAAGTGAGAGTTAAGAACGAAAATCATGTAGTATCATACCTGCTAGTTGGCAAAAACAAAACAATACCACCCACTATACTCTCTGTCTGGGTGTTGGATAATCAAGGCGGCAGGTCGAACGAATGCACAAGTTGGTATATGTCAGAGAAAAATCAGCGTGGCAATTTTCCATACTCTGTCTGGGAGTCGAACCCAGCTTTCGCGCGTAATTCGATGGCATCAAGCCCAATGAGTCATGACAGGCGCGTATACTGACCGATATATTAACAGAGATCGTTGAAAGAGGGTCTACATTTGAAGTGTCGTTGTACTAGGTGTTTTTGAGTGCGAGACTTTGTTAGTTGGGCGTGCTCTGAGACGGTCGACGCGCGACCAAACCGCGCTTGATCTCAAACCACGACCATGATCGCCAAACCGTCATAATCCAAAAATGCTCCAAACCCTTCTCTCTCCCCTCCGCAGTCGATTCGACTTGTCTCCGAAGACAGCCCAATCCCCCGAAGAACATGAACAAATACAAAGTCCAGAAGACTTTGCTCGGGACGTGTTGGTCGAGCTGATGAGGAGCGCAGTTGAGACCCTCAAAAGGGCGGATAGCGAGCGGGCAAAGTGTGAGGTGCGTTGGAAGTTGCAGGGGATGGCCGTGACTGACGACTTGTTCCAGGTATTGGTTGAGATACAGCGGATAATGCTGCAAGACGAGGTTACGAAGAACGTGTTTCGCGAGATGGACGGGTTCTTGGTGTTGATGAGCGTGCTTTCGACGATACAGGACCACCACCAGGATGATGACCACACGGCCGCGATAGAAACTACGCGACTCGTCTTTGTCGTTTTGGCAGAAGCGATGACTGACCACTCGGAGAACTCTGATTTTTTTAGGGTACGTATGTTCATATTAATGGTTCCTATTCACTAACGCGTCGCACACAGAACCGACTGGGCTACGAGTCCCTCGGAATCGCACTTCAAGGCCTGGTGTCAGATCCCAAAACGGTGGATGAAACCATGGGGTTCCTCCTTTCCCTCGCCTTGTCAGACTTTTCCCTCTCAGGCCTCTTCACCAGCATCCGCGGTGCACAGGGGGACGATCTCGAAGTCCGGCTCGCAGAGTTCCAGTCGCGCTTGGGAACCATACACCGTCCAGAGGTTATCCGCATCCTTTGGGACCTGGCGTTCCGCGATACGACGTCGGTACGCTACGGAATGTTCAAGTTGTTCGAAGAGCTGTTTTACGTCAGTCACCGGAATCAGGGTGTTTTGTCGGGGCTGGGGCTGGTGAAGTCAGTCTTTACGCGCTTTATTGAGACGAGGGGTGATGAGAGCGTTTCGGAGAAGGAGCGCCATGTTTTGCAGAAGGTGTTGAGAAGGTTGTTGGATATGGGCGCGACGACCTCTGAGGCTAGGCGGATTTTCCAACAGGCGGTTAAGGTTGATGAGACGTTGGATGGGGAAATGTTGGATGTGATTAGGTTTGGAATGAAGAGTCGTTGGCTGCAACATTTTTCGATGGAGTCTTCTGCGGCGTTGGTCGTGAGTGACGATAAATTCAAGGGCTTGCCGGCGGGTGGTTTGACGGTCATGGTGCGTGCATCTCTTCTGTTCGATAATCAACTCCACTCACTTGCGAAAATAGATGTGGATCTGGGTCGCTGGGCTGCCAAAACGCGGAAATTATGCCCTATTCACAGTTGAAGTGCCCACTCGCGTCCTACTCCAACTTTCCCTTCGGCCGGATGGGAAGCTAGAGCTGCTGTCTTCGGGAAATGCAGAAGCAGCCACATTCCCCTCAACAACCCTACGGAAATCTCGCTGGACCCATGTGGCATTGGTACATTATCCAGTTCGAGGAACTAATCCCTGCATCCGTATGCCCCTCTTGCCCCCATTGATTCGTACTTCTCATAATGATGTCAGGTCTCTTCGTCGATGGCGCATTGTGCGACATGTTAAGCTGGCCATACCCCAGACCTGAATCTTCCTTTCAGAAAGGCACATACACTATAGGCGACACGAGCGAAGCGGCGCACATGAGCTGGTGTTTGGCATCAGCGTACCTCCTCGCAACGCCACTTGGTACGTATCTAACTCGTTCCTCGTCGTCGTCCTTCTCTTACCCTTAACCTTCACAGGCGACGATCTTCCACGACTAGTCCATCATCTGGGACCTCGCTACTCTGGCCCATTCCAAGATCCTACACTCATCAAATTCCTCACATACGATGCTTCCACGTCACTAAACATGTTCTTAACGAACGCAACCAAAACCTCGGACGTATCCCCCTTGATGAAAGCAGTCAAGAACGGCCTTGGGGTTCCAGAGACCTTGTTTGTGTTTTCCCTCTCTGCAAGTGATTGTACCGCGTCTGGGCAAAATACCGCGGTTCCTGTGAAGGGCTTGTTGAAGGAGGTAGAGAGCCGAGGAAACGTGTTCACTGTCAAGGCGACGACGTTGGATATGGCCCTTTGGAAGATAGGAGGTGCGGCTGTGGCGTTGCGTTTGGTTCAACTCGCGCAGGTAACTTTTTCGTTTGTTTCTACAGCTGTATGGGCTTTTTGTTGATCGATGATGGTGGAAATGTAGACGCCGCATGAAATTTCGAGGACTTTGGGGATATTGATGGATGGGTTGAAGAATAATTGGCAGAATTCGGAGGATATGGAGCGGCTTCGTATGTCCTCTCTGTTTTTTGGGGCTAACTAAACGAGCTGACCCCGTTGTCCTTTGTAGGCGGGTACGAGATTTTGGCCGATATACTTCGCGGCAAAGCGCAGGCGATCAACTTGACGGCGTTTGAGACGCTTTTCGAGTTTCTTGGACTCAACTTTAGTTCACCTGAGTACGTTGTTCTCTAGGATGCCGCTGCTGTTCCTTAAACTTTCTGTGTCCTGCAGGTACTCTACTGTGACGAATCTCGTGGCTTACAAAGCCATTGCTCTGGACTTTGAACTGTGGTCTCGTTCGCGAAAGGAAATTCAGCGTAGCCACCTCGAGCATTTCACCATCTTGGTTCAGACGAGCCGATATAGAGCTTTCAATGTGAAGCAACGAATGGCGAAGATGGGATTGGTCCGAAAGCTCTTGTTTGCGTTGCAAGCGGAGTGGTATTCTCAGGAGACGCTTCCTTACGCTATTGAGGCGTTGAAAGTTACGAGTCAAGCCAATTTTAACAAGGACAACACTATCAAGCCTCTTGTTTCGTACCTTGCTGCCAATCTCCATGAAGGTTCGTCCTTCTTTGTTAAACGTTAGATTTTACTTCTCAACGGCGCAACATCTAGGCGCAAGTGATAGCACCTCACCTCATTCAATCCTTTCCCGCTTCGAGTTCAAGAATCCGCGAGAAAAAGCCGAACAGATTCTCGAATTGCTCATTTCAACGCTAGCCATCCCTACTCATTACGCAAAGTTTGTTGCGGCTCTTCCATTGACTAGGATTTGCCTACTCCTGCTCGGGGATCGCCCATCGCCCCTGGTCGCGACGCAGATCTTGAGGCTTATTGGTATCAGCATTGATATGTCGTCATCTTTCAGCCGCAAGTTTGAGTTGGTTGGGGGGTGGAGTGTTTTGAAAACTGTTTTGCCATTAAGTTGGGACCCAGCTGTCAACGAAGCCACTTTCAACCTCCTCCTTGGCAGACTTGATAAGAAAGCTGTCGAGCGCCGGGATGACGTCGTGTCGTGTCCGCCCATCGTCCCCACCATAATTTCTGCGTTCCACTCGGGCCTTGTTTCTGTTGCAGCTAATTGCCATGCTGATGAAGGTAAGTGACTTCCTCCTTGCATGCAATGTGTGGCTAACGGGGCAACTTGCAGCTTTCCACCAGCTGTCATGGGAGACGGAAACGACGATGGAGATCCTGGTGGAAGACATGATGAGCCTTCATGCGTCAAGTGCCACTTTCCGCGAAATTTTTAGATCTCAACAAACTACGCAACTCTTCATCGAAGCTTATAAAGCATACGTCTCCAAACTATCGTCTGCCAATCACATCAACCAATGGACCACTCGCATTTTAGACAAAGTTACACATTTCGCGTTGGCACTTGCTTTAGACAATGCGGTTGCGGGACAACAGAAGCGAGAGGTGTGTCTTTGCTTGCGTCTTCTTTGATTCTTTTCTTGATGTGCCGTTTCTTAGATTTTGAATACGATACAATCCGCAGAAATCATCCTCAACCCAGCAGCTGACAAGACGCTCATCGACCCGAGCTTGATTCATATGACGGATAGTCGCACTGTTCGCCAGCGCATTGCGTCTGCCCGGTTCAGCATGCAAGTTGGCGAGAGGACGGTGATCAAAACCATCACGAGGATGGGAGAATGGCGTCGGACGATCCAGGTTTCTGAGAAGAAGCGATTGCGGAAGACTATCTTGGACTTGTACGTTTCAATTAAAGTTGATGTTGTGGGATTATGGTTCTGATTGTGGATTTAGAAGGGAACATCGTCGACAAGTTTCTCGGCTCCAGGAATGGACGAACTTGTTGACTTCGGAAAGAGGCTTGTGGCCGCACCCGGAACCGCGACTGTGGAGGCTGGATGAAACTGAGGGACCGCATCGCATTAGGTATGTAGCCTCGTTCTCTGCCCTGCCCTCTATCTAAAGACGATACAGAAAGAAACTGGAACCCCAGAATGACAAAAACCCTAGTTCACGAGTGGATGCCCTCGAACAAGGGATACGTGATGTTCAACAACCAGATTCAGAGTCCAACTCCGTAATACAAGCAGAGGTCCCTCCTTGGGCTGAGTCCTATGAAATCTCTTCAACTGATATGGAAGGTTCGTTTAGAGCATGGCCTTACATCCTTCAAAGCTGACTTTCCGTTTCAGAGCGTCAGCTGGCTGAAGATATCGTCGATGATAAGCTTCGTAGAGTCCGGCATGAGTTAGAGCCCGGAGACGTCATTGAGGCTGTTGGAACCGTGGCTCGTGTGGTTGGCGTAGATTCGTCACGTTCGTTGAATCTTGTTTTCGTTTGGTTGAGGCTAAGAATGTATCGTTTTTCAGCAGGATTGCTTATCATCGGTCGAACTCACATATATATGCTTGACGGCGTTGTCGAAAACGACGATGGAGAGGTCATAGATGCTCACGACGCACCTAAAAGGCTCCTCTTCATTCCTGGAAGCCTTGTCGAGTTGGACGGCCCTCAGAGAGCTCAGAGATGGTTTGTAGTCTCTCCTTTCAAAATCTGATCGAGATCTTTATATTGCATGTTAGGGCTCACCACCAAATCTCGACATGCAGCGACAAAAAGTTTTTGTTCCGTGATGTCGCGTGAGTTTGGTGTTATACTTAACGTAACACTTCTTTGCTTACCATTACCCCCAGCTTAGAGATATACTTCAAAGACAGTCGGTCTCTGCTCCTCGTGTTCCTAGACAAGAAACGACGCCAAGACATGGATCAACAGTTATACGCCATAATAAACCGTAACAGCTCAGATCCAGGACTTTCCTCTGCACCATTGCGAACGCCTCTTTATCGCATGGGTTCACGGATGCTTTCTACTTTCCGCGCGGATGAGCTGTCATCTGCAACGAGAAAATGGCAGGCAAGGGAAATTAGCAATGTAAGTTTTTGTTCGAGAGCACGAGAGAACGAGAGGCTAATGTAAACGTCAGTATACGTACCTGAGCATCCTCAATCAAATATCAGGCCGGACTCCGAGCGACGCAACACAGTATCCTGTTTTTCGTATGTCGTGCCTGTTCTCTTTGTTCCTCTGGCTTACAAGTCAACGCTAGCATGGGTACTCAGCGATTACACGTCACAGACATTGGATCTAACATCACCTGAGTCCTATCGAGAGTAAGTCTCATCTCAAACGTAAATTGTTGTTTTTGACGACCATCGTAGTCTCACAAAACCTATGGGAGCTTTAACCCCCGCTCAGCGCGAAGCTGCGGAAACCAAGTATGAGAACTTAAAAAGTGTGGGAGAAGAACCATTCCACTATGGAACGCACTTCAGCTCCTCTATGATTGTTTGCCATTTCCTCATCAGACTAGCTCCCTTCACGAATATGTTTAAAACGTTGCAAGGAGGGGATTGGGATTTACCGGATCGTCTTTTCAGGTAGCGTTTCCTCTATCTCACATGTGCAACGAATACTAACATTATTTGCTAGTGATCTACCGAGAGCCTATCTTTCTGCCGCGGAAGATGTCCGTGGTGACGTTCGAGAACTCATTCCCGAGTTCTTTACCTGCCCAGAGTAGGAGAGGTTCTGGTCACAACCACTCAAGGCTCATTCATTTGTCAGGTTCCTTGAAAACTCGCAGAATTTGGATTTTGGTGTTCAACAGCAAACTGGCGAACGGATTCACGATGTCAAGTTACCGCCATGGGCTAGACAAGATCCGTTGTTGTTCATTGTAATGAACAGAAGAGTATGTACCCCTGTTACTCGAGCGTTTGGTCGTCTGGTTAAGCTTTCGTTTTTCAGGCTTTGGAGAGCTCGTACGTCAGTGAACATCTGCCTGCGTGGATCGATCTTATATGGGGCTACAACCAACGTGATGCTGCCTCGCTGAATGTCTTCCACCCGTTGTCTTACGAAGGCTCGATCGGTAAGTACGGTTCCTTATAACCTGAGCTAAAAGGCTAATTGCCCTATTTAGACCTCGATAGCATTGAAGATGATCTTGAGCGCGAAGCTACAGTTGGAATCATCCATAACTGTGAGCTATCATTCTTAGTTTCCACACCCACACCAACCGACCGCTATACTAGTTGGACAAACCCCACGCAAGCTGTTTACGACACCACATCCTGAACGTTTCCACCATGGTTTGGTGACACTTCCGATCGGTACGCTGCATGGTATCGAAGAAGATCCGCATCTGCTCGTTCAAGCACCACGCTGTTTCAAAGGTTAGGATTTGTAATGTTCGCTCTTTGTATGTGGCTAACTTCTCTTAACAAAGATTTGGGGCCAACAGTCGCTGTACGAGAGCTGGTCCTGGATCCTATCTCGGAACGTATGGTTCCCTGTCCAGAGGGTGTGCTCTGTGTTCCGCAGTACCCGCTTGAGCAGGTTGAATGGAGACCAGGAAGTACGGAGCTGCGTGTCGTCGTAGATAACAAAGTAGGTATCTACAATCTCTTTTGCGCACATCTTAACTCGTTGTTCAGGTCGTCCAGGTGGTAGAAAACGCGTTCTGTAACTGTGCGACGTTTGCGGATTCTGCCAATCTCATAACGGGTTCAAGCGACTACACTGTTCGATTGTGGAAAGTCAGCCGTCCGAACAGTGGCTCTTCGGGAGGCATACACATTTCGTTATCGAACATCATGCGAATCCATACGGACGAGGTGGTCTGCGTTGCTGCTTCTAGGGCATGGTCGTTGGTCGTTAGTGGATCGAAAGATGGCAGTGCAGCCATTTGGGATCTTAACCGTGGCATGTATGTCAGGTCCATTTGGCATGGAGAAGGCGGGGAATCCACGACGGTCAATCTAGTTGCGATCAACGAGAGTACTGTGAGGGCTTCTGCTGCATAGGTTTCGATGATACTGATGACGATAACGTAGGGTTACATCGCGACCTGTTCTCGTTTGAAACTCTGTCTCCATACCATCAACGCCCAGCACATAGCAACTCTGGATCTCACGACAACGCCATCCTATTCAAGACTCGTCCCCACCATTACGGCCATGGCATTCCATGAACGCGACTACTCCTACCTTGGGGTGCTGGCGACTGGTGGCCCTGATGGTACTATCACCTTGCGCACCTGGACAGCTGACGGAACCCCAGAAGGCGAGAAGGCACAATGGGAGTTTCTTGCTATTCGAACTATGAAGGCTAGAATGGGGGGACGTGGGATACATCGGCCTCCGAGCATCACTGCGTTGAAGTTCCTTGGGTAAGTCGTCTATATGAATCTCTTCGTCTTTTGTTTGACTGAGCTCGTTGAAAAAGGGAACAAATGTATCATGGGGAAGAGACTGGAAAGTCTTTTGTGTGGACTTTTCCCGAGTGATATCTGATATCAGTGGTTTTGACTGACTTCTTGCATTTTTTTTTTTCGGACTTTGAGTTGCTTCACGCTTTGTTCGTCATACTTGCTATCGCACACCTGTAAATTATGTTGGCATCTAACCTCCAGTATCTCTACTCAACTATAGAAACATTTTATACTCGATGCGACGGCGGGATGGACTGCAACAGCATGGACGAGTCTTCAAACGTCCAGTCCGAGTCCGTTCTCCTCAAATGTCCAAGTATAACCTGCACAGCCGGATCGCGACTACTTTCCATGGTGCCACGAGCAAGAAGGTCTGGTAGAGTTTTCCGTTATAGAACCTGCGCCGTATTGAACATCGTTTTTACAGGAAAACTCTGCGTTATCGCGAAATAAGTCAGTCTCCAGCCACTCAATCGAAGCGACAGCCCCCATCTGTGGTGTGTGCTCTGGTGTCCAGCCCAAAGCCTCTGCCAGATTTCGCTCAATGTAGAGCGTTTCTCCGGATAGGGCCACTTTATGCAGACATCAAGTGGACCATCAAAGCCCATACCTCGCCGCGACCTTGTCCACGGTGAAATCAGAGGACATCCTTTCATGAGCGGCATTAAGCGCACGTGTTCACGTTCCGCCTGGTAGCGTACTTCCTGGCGAATAAATACCTTCGTGCGAGGGGGATCCCTGGGTTGGTGGCGAGGTGGGATCGGTGACGGACATTCCGCTGAGCATATAGACGTAGCAGCAGGAAAGCTCGAGCCCGATGACCTCGCAGATTTATCGCGTTGAATACGGTATATTTGCTACCACAGAATTGTCAGGGCGTATGCAGCTGTATGAACCATCCACATACCTCCCTTTTGTGAGAAGCCGTGGCTATAAACGCCACAATCACTCAGTCACGGACCCGTTCCACCTTTGACGCCGGACAGTCTGTACCAGTACCACCATATCTGATCCTGGTTCCCCCCTAGTCGAAAGTGTAGGCAGCTCCGACGGAGGCCCACCAACTCCGTATACGACTTCTATGAGTATATGGTCAGTGTCCACTCCCAGATCAGTTCACCCATGCTCATGAGATCTGCTGCTACACAAGGATTCTGTTTCTGGAAATTCTGGTGCGTGCGCACTTTGAGTCAATCAATTTTTTTTAAATCTGCTCATATCACATGGACATCGGAAGATGCAGGTCCAAGAGGAAGAGAATAGGAAGAGGGAAGAGGGAGGGGGAGAGGGAGAGAAAAAGGATGGGAAGGGGAAGAGGAAGAGGACGAAGAGGAACAGGGGATGATGGAAGGGATAGAGGAGGAAAGAGGGGAGGAGATATGAGAAAAGGGAACAGGAAGGGGGGAGGGGGGGGATGAGAGAGAGGGAGAGAAAAGAAAAGAAAGAGGAGAATTTAAACGAAGAGGATGAAGGGTAGAAGAAGAAGACAATGTTCGGAAGACCTTCAACAGATATTGAAATTAATTGATGTGAGCGATAATAAGCGTACCGGGTTCGTCTGACTCCTGAGGCCGGAGGCGTTCACGTTCTGCCTGGAAGCGTTCTTCCTGCCAAAGGCCAAATAACCTTCCTGCGATGGGTTGGAGAGGTGGGGGTCGGTGACGAACATTGCTCAGCGCCTGTATAGGACGTAGCAGCTGGAAACCTTGTGGATTTATCGCGTCGAGTACGGTATGATTGTCCACATCGCGAGAAGAATGTCACGTCGGCAGAATACTGGCTGGATACGAGAAGGTAGAACGAGAGGAAGAGCTGATGAGATATGTTGATGGAAAGGGTGTAAGTATGCGTCGTCAGGAAGTATCCACCCTTTATGTTGTGCCTGCAGAACGCTTGAGTCCAGCCTATGACTGATTGGGTCCCGTGGGTTGGGCAAATATGGCTGCCCAGCGATGGATGGCGTAGAAAGATGGTCGAGTCTGTGCTTGTAAAGACGATAGCGTCTTCCCATCTAATCTAATCTTTCGGATCCTCTAGTTAGTTCCAGCTTGGAATATGCATCTACGCATCCCCTTTGCTAAGTAGCGGTGTTCTATCTTTCTAGCCAATCCATTCCGTTATCCTGGTCATTACTGTTCCTTTGCAATCCTCATTACATAAACCCTCTGTCTAAGCCCAGTGCGCTTCCGACATCCGTCGCCCATCATCACAATGGCACCAGGCTTCCTCGCCGTCTTCTCCGAACCAGGCACTAACGTCTCTCTCGAAGAGTTCCAAGGTTCGTTTCTTTCACCACCTCCCCCCTCCATCCTGAATTAACCCTTCCCTCCTCATAGACTGGTACAACAACGAACACATCCCCCTCCGCCTACACCACCTCCCCTCCTTCCTCACCGGCGCCCGCTTCTCCTCTTCCGACTCCAAAACACCGCGATGGCTCGCATTATACGACATCACCTCCACCTCCACCTTTTCCGATGAATCGTACACCAGCCTACGCACCTCCCGGAGTCAGCGAGAAGCGGATATAGTAGCGAGGTTGGAGGTGCTTGATAGGAGGACGTGTGTCCTGCTTGCGGATTCGGGGCAGAGTGGTGTGACGACGAGTTTGGGGGCGGAGAGGCCGACGCTGTTTTTGTGTACGCATGGGTTGGAGTTGGATGTGGGGGAGGAGGATGAAGAGGCGAGGGGATGGGCTGAGCGGAGTTTTGGAGAGCTTGGGAGGAATGTGGATGGGTGGGTTCGGACGAGGGTTTTCAAGGTTCTTGATCATGGGACGGCGGCGAAGGTGTCCCCGTATTTCGTTGTTCATGGTGCGTCCAGTGATTCGGAGAGAGTTGTTGTTCGTTGCATTGACCTGGGTGTATGCGCAGAATTCATGTTCCCAGATGTGTCTTTAAACACGACGTTCAGAGAGGTGGTGGACAAGCCGTTTGTGAGCGAGCTTAGAGAGTGGGTGCTTTACAAGGCCTATCCGTCCATCGCCCAGGGGAATCTGGGGGCCGATGCAAAATGAAAAAAAATGATGTCATTGCGATATAATTAATTGTACCTGGCGTCCACAAGCTAAAATACTTACGTCCAGGAACCATACATAATCAAGTTTTTACAAGCCAACATTACCTGCTTCCCCCTGCTCCCCCTCCACCCTCCTCTCGTCTTCTCGACAACATGAGTACTCCTCAAATCCCTTCTTCGGAACCACTGGACACTCCCTGCTGGCCAACACGGTCAAAACTCGGGTCCACCTTTCAACTAACTATCTTTAACGGGGGTCTGGACTTGGTCTGGACCCAACGCTTGTCAATGACTGTTGATGGCCGTCACGTCTGAATAGCGATATTTTCAGCACTAACTACCACCAACCCTGCACTAAACCTATCCTACTCAGGGGGAAGGGAACGCTCAACTGTCAACAATTGGCCCAGTGGCCAACCATTGGGTTTCACCTTCCCTGGGGCGGCGTGAATTCAGCTATTTGGAGACTTTTCTATGTAGGCTCGGGGAAGTGTCTGTCAGTCAGCATTGACAACCTAGGAACCTCCTTGTCGCGTTCGATAGATATGGCCTGCCTTTTACTCTGACCCCTACGTTCGACTACTTTGAAGAGCGACTTACCCCGATATCGACAGCGGACACCTCACTCCGAGACCCAGGCGACATGCCGACGATGCCAGTGAGGAGCACAAACGTTATGGAGGGAGCGAGCTTGATAGGCGCGATGTTGGCGTATCCGTAAGTCCCACGTCCTTTCCTTCCTTCCTTCTTTCCCTCTCCCTTTCTTCTTCACTCCTCCGACTCATGAACGCGCTAAAAAAGGATGTACGGGACACTGGTATGTCAGGTATCGTCGTACTATAAACGATTCCCGGACGACCTAAGGCATCTCAAAATCTTGGTTCGTCATCTCTTCTCTTCTCTCTCCTCTGCACCTGGGCTGATGTCTTTCAAAGGTCGCGCTTATATTACTCGTACGTCCCCCCTCCCTCCCCCTCTCCAAAATTGAAATGAACTGAGACCGATAACGACGGAACAGACATCAACCGCCGGTCTCATCATCAACGCCAATCTTATATGGTATTATTGCATACGACGCGGGATTGGGGTTGATCCCCGTGTTTTTCAGGAGTGTGATCATTGGTGAGTCGTTTTTTCTTGTCGTCTTTTTTTTTTTTTTTTTTTTTTTTGGAAGAGAGCTGATTTTGGGTAGGACGATATCGGTTAGTTTTGATTTACTCGGCGCGCTTTTTTGATGGCTTACGGGTGATGGCGAGGAAGGCGTTTTTTATTCCGAATGTATGCATTTTTGGCGACTTTCCCGCACACGATATTCTAAATTCAACTTTCGACTAGGAAATCACTTGTTTTCTTGCGGAAGGGTACGCATACATCCTTTCCTCTCTTGATATTTACGTCCAACAACACACATTGCAGCCTATTTCTCAAACGGATGTGGGCTTGTACGTTGTTCCCGTTTTTCTTCGGCTCCACTCACATTTGGAATACTTAGTGTCGAGGAAGAGGTATCCAACTGTCCTCGCGGTACGTTCCTCTTCGTTCTTTGATGGTAGTTGGTGTGACGGGACATTGAAATAGTTCATCCCGTTTGTGCTCGGCTGGGGTACGCGTCTTTTTTTCTTTTCTTTTTGAAAAAGTGCTGACTTTGTCCCGTCGGCGGTGTAGCGTGTACGATCGGTAATTAACCCCGTTCTCTATCACCTTCCCTAATTTCTAAAAACCTACCAAGCATACATCCAGGGAATGTACGTTTTCCGCCTCCCCACCACCTCTCAACCCGCCAAATCTAACCACATCCCACTAAAAAAAAGGTTCCGACACTGGTGTTTCCCCGACATCAAACTCAACCGCGTCAGTCTCTCCCCTTCTCCTCCCCTTTCCCTTCAAGTTCTCCCACTCCCAACTAACCCTCCTCCCCACTTCCAGCCCTACCTCTTCTCAAGCTACGGCTTCCGCTTCCTCTCAGACGGCATCATCGCCGGAACGATGTGCACCCTCCTCTACCAACAAACCTCGCACATGCCGACGGGGTGTATAAGGAACCGACCGAATTTCGTGCGGATTGTTAATTCGTTGGTTGTTTGGACGCTTTCTACTGGGTTTGTTATGTGGTACGTCTTTTCGCTTGTTTTTTTTTTTAGAGTGAAAGGTGTTGATTGATGGGTGATAGGGTAACGGCTGTTGCGTTTGTGCTTACCGTGAGTTGCACCTATTTTTTTTAAAACAAACAAGGGGGATTGATTGAATTTAAAAAGTATATCCTATTCCCGGCCACGTTCATCTCGCTGGCTATTTATCTCGTTCGGGGGAACAGTAAGTCTATCCATATCCACCCATTCTTATGAATATCTAATGATGTGTGCGCTACTCAGTATACGCCAACGCCGTTCTTGCACTGTACGTTCTACCCCCCAATTCTCTTCCACGTATAATACTATTATTAACAAGCGTGGTGATCATGATCTGCAGGTTACATGTGAGAACACGGTACCGAAGAGTAGCGGACGAGGTGATTTCACTGCATGTTCAAGTTCAGACGGTCAATGGCGTTGGCAATCTGGGTGGAGGAGATTCTGATGGGCTTACTCGGCGTTCCCGAAGTTGAGGGATGTACATAACGCATTGATAACGCATAAGTGAATGTGTTGACATTTAGGCTTTGGCTGATCGATAACCGCGTCGTCTGTCGACGTTGTTGCCGTGCGTTCACGATGATACTTACCCGCGATTGGCGCCAATGTTGTTGCCAGTGGTACCTACCTTCATCTGCCTGGAGGAGACGGTTCCTTGCATTTTGGAGGCCAGGATGCACTGTGTTGGCAATCATACTAGCTATAGATCATTTGTACATAGTCGTGCACCTGTACCCTTTCTAGGCATTTTAGAAGTTCAAACGTTCAAGCTCCTGCAAAGGCGCCCTGCAAAATGATTGTAAACACTGGTTTCTCGTCCAGACTTCATTAAATTCCCACGCTTTCTCACTTTCTTTTCCTGCGTTTCAAACATCAAAAGAGCCCTTCAAATTTTCGAAAACTTGAGTATCTACTACTCTTGCAGCATTTACTGGCTCGGACCAACCATGTCTAGAAGTGGGTTTCATCATGCACTGCACCTCATGAAGTTCTTGGCAGCAGACAGGCAAACCTCGGACGGCTGCAATTCTTGGGCATTTTAGCCGCACAACAACGAGGCACTTAAATACGCTCAGGTGAGACTTGGCAGAGTCGAATGGTACGAAGCTTTGACGCTTCACGGATTTAAAGGTGCTCAAGGCGTCGATTCGAACGACCAGGCTTCCTCGCCGTTTTATCCGAACCAGGCAATAACGTCTCTCTTGAAGAGTTTCAAGGCTCCTTTCTTTCACCAGATCCCTCCCTCCATCATTAAGCCTTCCCTCCAAATATAGACTGGTACAACAACGAACACATCCCCCTCCGCCTCCACCACCTCCCCTCCTTCCTCACCGGCCCGCTTCTCCTCTTCCGACTCCAAAACACTGCGATGGCTCGCATTATACGACATCACATCCACCTCCGTCTTTTCCGACGATTCTTACGGAGCTCCCGGAGTCAGCGCGAGGTGGAATTAGTAGCGAGGTTGGAGGCGCTCGATAGGAGGACGTGTGTCGCTCCTTCTTAAAGATTCAGGGGAGAGTGGTGTGACGACGAGTTTGGGGGCGGAGAGGCCGACGCTTTTTTTGTGTATGCATGGGTTGGAGTTGGCTGTGGGGAGTGGTGGTGTGGAGGATGAAGAGGTGAGGAGATGGGCAGAGCAGAGTTTTTGGACGGGTGGGTTCGGATGAGGGTTTTCAAGGTTCTTGATCATTCAGTAGTTGGCAATGGGACGGCAGCGGGTGAGAAGGATAAGGTGTCCCCGTATCTTGTTGTTCATGGTGCGTCCTCACATGAGAGAGTTGTTGTTCGTTTGTTAACCCGAGTGTATGCGCAGAATTCATGTTCCTGGCTGCATCTTTGAACACGACGTTCAGAGAGGTGGTGGACAAGCCGTTTGTGAGTGAACTTAGGGAGTGGGTGCTTTACAAGGCCTATCCGTCCATTGCCCAGGGTAAATGAAAATGATGTCATTGTGATATAATTAATTGTACCTGGCGCTTGACGCGCCCACAAGCTAAAATGCTTACGTCCAGGAACTATACATAAACAAGTTTTCTCAAAGCCAACCTTACCAGCTTCCTTCCAACAGCCCCTCCGCCCTCTTCTCATCCCCCCGACAACATAAGTAATCCTCAAATCGCTCTTCGAAACCACTGGGGACACCTCGCTGGCCAACACGGTGAACGCCCAGCAGGGAAAGTGAAATCAATGGCCAATGGCAACCGTCGAAGTTAGTGCAGGGTTGGGTACTTCAGTAGTGCCGAAATATATTGATTCAGAGCTATTCAGAGTGACGGCCATCATCAGTCATTGACGTTGGGTCCAGACCCCATTTGGAGAAAGTTTCTTAGGTTAGGTCGGGGAGGTGTCAGTCAACGCCTCAGGCGGACATATATGAACCAGTAACCTCCCCGTCGACAGATATAGCCTCTCTCTTATTCTGATCACTGAGCACGTTCGACTACCTTGATGAGCGACTTATTCCGGGACCGACAGCGGACACTTTTCTCCCGAGAACCAACTGACAGCGACGCGACTCCGATGAATAGCGCAGACCTAATACAGGGAGCGACCTTAATAGGCGCGATGCTGGCGTACCCGTACGTGTCCCTTCCTTCCCCTCCCTTTTCACTCCCTTCTCATGAACGCGCTTTTTCAAAAGGATGTACGGAACTTTAATATGTCAAGTCTCATCATACTACAAACGATTCCCGGACGACTTGCGGCATCTCAAGGTTCTGGTTCGTCCCCTTTCCTCTTCCCTCTTCCCCCTCTTCTCAATTAAGAAGATTACTGACGTTTTTATTATTTAAAGGTCGCACTTATACTCCTCGTACGTGGTACCCCCCTCCCCCCAAATCAAATCAAAACGATTGATACTGACTGAGTCGGAACAGACTTCAACCGTCGGGCTCGTCATCAATGTCAATCTTATATGGTACTACTGCATACAACGCGGGATTGGGGTTGATCCACATATTTTTCGTTTTTGCGATCATTGGTGAGTTTCTTGTCGTTTTTTTTTTGTTCTCTTTGAAAAAGTCTAATTTTGGATGTGGGGGGTAGGACAATATCGGTTAGTTCGATTTATCCCGCGCTTTGTTCTCCACTTATTAATGGCGACGAAGGCGTTTTTTATTCCGAATGTATGTTCAGCGTGTTTCTTGAACGACATCCCGATAATTTTATCTTTCTACTAGGAAATAACTTGTTTTCTTGCAGAAGCGTACGCTACATTCTTCCCTCCCTTCCTCTTTTGTTATTTACGTTCAACATGCACCTTGCAAATTAAACAGCCTATTCCTTAAACGGATGTGGGCATGTATGTGCTGTTCTCTTCCCGTCTTCCCTTGACTCTACTCACATTTGGAATGCTTAGTGTCGAGGAAGAGGTATCCCACTATTCTCGCGGTACGTTCCTCTTCTGTCTTTGGTACGGTAAAGGTTGACGACAGGGATATTCAAATAGTTCGTCCCGTTTATGCTTGGCTGGGGTGTGTGTCATTTTTCTTTTCTTTTTTGAATGCTGACTTTGTTCGGTCGGTGTGTAGTGTTTACGATCGGTAACTAACCCTGTACTCTATCCCACCTTCCTGAATTCTAAAATCCTACCAAAAATCCTACCAAGTATACATCCAGGGAATGTATGTTTCCACCTCCTCCCCACCATTTGACCTGCCTAATCTGACCACATCCCACTAAAAAGGTTCCGTCACTGGTGTTATCCTGAACTGCAACTTAACCAGGTCGTCCTTTCCTCCTTCCCCTTTCTCCCCATTCTCCAACTAACCCCTCCTCTTCCACTGGCAGCCTTACCTCTTCATATGCTATGGCTTCCGTTTCCTCTCAGATGGCTTCATCGCCGGAACGATGTGCACCCTCCTCTACCAGCAAATGTCAGACATGCCAACCGAGATCAAGAACAGACCGAATTTCGTGAGGATTGTGAATTCGTTGGTGGTTTGGACGCTTTCTACTGGATTGATTATGTGGTGTGTGTGTGTTTTTTTTTTGACTTCTCTTTGTTTCGGACTTTTTTTCTTTCTTTCTTCTTTCTTTCTTTCTTTCATAGTTATGCATATTGATATGGGTTGATGTCAGGGTTTCGGCTGTTGCGTTCGTGCTTACGGTGAGTTGCACCAATTTTTATTTTTATTTAGTTGTCGTGTGAACTCCACTTCAGTATATCCTACTCCCGGACACATACATCGCGCTGGCTATCTATCTCGTCCGGGGGAACAGTAAGTCTTCGCTTTCCCTTCCATCCATTCCCAAGCTTACTATGAACTTGTGCGCTACCTACCTAGTATATGCCAATGCCGTTCTTGCACTGTACGTTCTACCTCCAAATCGCTGGTGTATAACTACTAACGATCTGCAGATTACATGTGAGAACACGATACCGAAGAGTAGCGGATGAAGTGATTTCGCTGCATGTTCAAGTTCAGACGGTCAATGGCGCCCGGGCCGGCAATGGTGGAGATTCTGATGGGCTGACGAGGCGCTCACGAAGTTGAGGTTGAAGGCTGTAACGTGTTCACATTTGGGCCCTTGGCAGATCGATAACCGCGTCGTCTGTCGACGTGGTTATTCTTTGTTGTCATGCGTTCACCATGCATATGAATCTTAGCCCGACGTTATGACGATCGCCACCCTAGGTTGGAGGAGCCGGTTTAGCATTTGGGGGGCCAGGATGCATGTTCATACTAGATCAACTGTACATAGTCGTGCACCTGTACCCTTTCTAGGCCTGTTCTAGGCATTTTAGAAGTTCAAACGTGCAAGAATAATGGACCCACCTGCAAAAATGATAGTTGTCCGGACTTTTTCCTAATTCCCACGCTTTCTGGCTTCAGTCATCACTTCATGGTGCGCCCAACGATGACCTTTAAAATTTCGAAAACTTGAGTATCTACTACCGTCTTGCAGCATTTACTGGCTCGGACCAACCATGTCTATTGTGATAGAAGTGGGTTTCATCACGCACTGCACCTCATGAAGTTCTTGGCGGCAGACAGGCAAACCCCGGACGGCCGCAGTTCTTGGGCGTTCTGACCGCACAAAAAGGAGGCACTTAAATACGCTCAGGCGAGACTTGGCAGACTTGGCAGAGTCGAATGGTACGAAGCACTGCGTCGAGGCTCAGATATTTGACGCTTCACGGATTTAAAGGTGCTCAAGGCGTCGATTCAAACGATGTCAAGTCATGTGCGGTGCACTGCGGTGCAAGTGCGGTGAGTCAGACTCTGATGCAACTCTGATGTAGAAGCCACGAACGGCAGTGCAAACTTAAAGCTGCTCCTCCTCAAGGCAGCTCAAGGCGTCGATTCAAACGGTATTTATCATGTGCGGTGAGTCAGACTCTAATGTAGTATCCGCTTGGCAAAATCACATATAGTGCGAACCACTGCATCAACTCTCAAATACTTGACACTAGACGGATTTGTAGGCGTCGATTCAAATGTGCGGTAAGTCAAACTTTAATGTAGGAGCCGCTTGGCAGAATCACATATAGTACTAACCACTGCGTCAACGCCCAGCGCTCAGATACTTGACACTACACGGATTTAAAGTTGTACAAGGCGTCGATCCAAACGATGTCAAGTTGTGTGCGGTGAGTCAGACTCTAATGTAGGAGCCGCTTCCAGACTCACGTAGAGTACTAACCAGTGCGTCAACGCTGAGATAATTGACACTACACGGATTTAATGCTGCTCAAAGCATCGATCCAAACGATGTCAGGTTATGTGCGGTGAGTCAGACTCTCATGTAGTAGTCGCTTGGCAGAATCACATATGGTACCAACCACTGCGTCAACGCTCAGCGGTCAGATCCTTGATACTACACGGATTTAAAGTTGCTCAAAGCGTCGATCCAAACGATGTCAAGTTATGTGCGGTGAGTCAAACTCTAATGTTGTAGCCGCTTGGCAGAATTACAGATAGTACCAACCAGTGCGTCAAGGCTCAGATTCTTGACACTAGACGGATTTAAAGCTACTCAAGGCGTCAATTCAGACCAGATTTATTGTGTCAAGTCGTGTGCGGTGCGTCGCAGACTCTAATGTATCAGCGACGGAGTTGAGGGGCAACTTGTACTTAAACCTCCATGCTAGTCTCTTTTTTTTTGGTTCAAACACCTCTTCTCATACCCAAGACTCGGACGGCCCATAGCGTTGTCGAAGAACGATCATTTTTTTAGATTAACTCAGCATTGATCCAAAAAATGCGGTGGCTGAAGTATGGAGTTGGGGTCATGTTCACTGCTACTTTTCTTTCGTGCCGTGGAGCGGCAGTACCAAGATCGGAAACACCGTCTCTTGAAGAAATTGCAAGGCGATATACAAGGAGAACGGCGGGCGGTGTTCATCTCCCCATTGTGAGGCAGGTGCCAACGGAGACGAGCAAGTTGAGGAGACGTGGGTTGACGTCTGCCATTGGGTTGGGCGATTTCGTGGATCTGTGAGTTGGTCTTTTTAATCTTCCTTTTTAATTTTTTTTATGGATCTTTGAGTTAGAAGGTATAATGTCCTCATTTCTATTGGCGGAACGACCACGCCGCTTCTCCTTGGTGCGCCCTTACCTCACCATTTGTTGTTTCTGCTCCTCTGACCTTGGCATAGACACCGGCTCGTCAGATCTATGGGTCGTTTCTGACGACTGTACACAGGGGTGCTCGAGCAGCCAGTCGGCGTATCCACATGCTTCATTGCAGTACTCTGGCGCCGACGGGGATCTCTGGTATGGAGACTCGAATACAATCACTCATGCGTCGGGCAAGATCGGCAAGGACACTGTTACCTTGGCGGGCCTGACGTTACAGGACCAATACTTCATCGCGGTAAACCGAACCAACGTTACCTTAGGAGAGACTGGCTCATCTGGAATCTTTGGGCTCGGGTTTCCCGTGATCAGGTACGTCTGAGGTTTATATGAGTGAGAGAGAGCAATTTGAACTGACTCTTTTAAAGTGACGTCGCGTTCAGACTATGGAATCAATCAAGGTCATCAATCAGCACGAAAAGACAAGTTACAGAAGACAACCCCATCCCTCCCTCCAACATCAAATTGGGAAGCCGCATCTTGCCCTCCTTCAACTTCCGACGCATCGAATTCCCCATCCTCTCCGACTACTTTTCAAGCCCAGGCAAACAAAGACGACAAACACTGGCATCCGGCAACGTCTCGTCCAGCGCAGCGTCCATCTTCCATGCTTTGTCCGTCTTTGGACCCTTGCTCACCCGATTTGTCGCAGCTGCTCAGCTGACCTTGCCGATGTTCACCGTGACGCTGCAACGGGATGCTATACAGGTTGGAGGGAATGTGGGGATGTTGAGTATTGGTGAGATGCCGAGTGGGGTGTCGGAGCATAACTTGACGTGGGTTCCTATTCGCGCATATCCATATTTGTTGCCTGCTCCCACTGATTCCCCGAACGAGGTGTGTGGTGTTTCTCTTTGGTTAGGTGTGACGCTTACAACGATGACAGATGTATCCACTAACATGGGAAATTCCCCTCGACGACGTATACCTAGATGGCGTAAAGCTTCCCCGCTCAACACTCTCATCACCTTTCATCACCCTCTCTGCCCTCGTCGACAGCGTAAGTTCCCATTCTTCCTCTCCCTCCCACTCCACTCACCCCTCTCTTACGTACAGGGCAACTCAATCCTCCGCGGTCCTGCTGACGTCGTACGCAACATCCAATCCAAACTAGGCATCAACGGGCGCTTTCGCTGCTCCGAACCACACACCATCGCTTTTTCTATCGGGGGCCAACTCTTCCCCGTCGACCCGCGTGACTTTATACAGCAGGTCTTTGAGAATGATGTGGCTATGTGTACTTCGATGCTTGCACCTACGGATCCGCCTGCGTTGGGTCGGGTTCAGTTTAGTTGGAGTCTTGGGGATCCGTTTTTGAAGAGGTGCGTTTTGTGTTGCGTGTTTTCTTGTTTTCGTTCTTGGCGTCGTTGCGTGTTGCCTGGTTTTTTTTGTTTGGCTTGGTGTCTTTTTGTGAGATGTTGTTGCTGATGATAATTTGGTGGTTGAACAGCGTATTGGCGGCGTTTTACTATGGGAATATCACTCACCCGTCACACGACCCCCCTAAGATGGGATTCCTTTCGACCGTCCCGCAAGATGCTGCGTCGCAATTGGTGTCTGCTGTAGCGGCTGTCAAGACGGGAGATAATTTCCCTTGTAGGTTTCTCCCTCCCTCCCTTTCCCCTTTCTTTTACCCACCCCCTCCCTACAGATATTTCGGAGGTGGCACCAAGCGGAACCTTCAAACCCGCCGGAACGGCGTCTAACGGCGTACCTCTGGCCACAGCTACAGGCCGTGCTGCAGGATGACTGTTCGGTGGGCGGGATGTGCGGGGACAGTTCAGAGGTGGGGAAACATTGCTAACTGTACACTGATCTGCTCTATTTATTGCTTGTGTTCTCCGTACGTATGTGTAGTGTTTTATGGACTTGTTGGACATACTATTCGCTTAATTCGAGAAGGACTCATACCTACTAGTACTGTCCGTGATAAGAGACTCGCCCAGCCGTGTACTTCTGTGAATGCCGTTCTTTCCGTCCATTACTACTTAACGCATTGTTTCAAGAAACGCGAGAAACACCAAAAAAAAACCAGGGGCCGAGAATGAGAGCCATTACAAAATAGTATGGGTGTCCAGAGGGGACAGGATCGACGATTGCAACGCGTGTAACTCCCACCACTGTGTATTCAGTTGATCTACTGAGAAGGCCTCTCTGAACACTTGTTTAAATCAGTAAATTTGCAAAACAACCCTTACTTTCTTACAATGAGGCCAGTGAGGAGGTCTCCGAGAGTTTCCAGCACCCACTGCAATTAACTTTTAGTCTTGCACACACGGATACAAATCGGTGTTTTCGACCACACATACTGCGATGCGACATCTAATTTTTTGTTCACACCTGATAATGAGCTTTTTATAGAAGGAATCATCAAGCGAAGTTTGGCGGTTTCGCATGCTTTCGAGGCCTCTTCCATGATCTCGTGGTGTATCAAAATTCAAATCTATATCAAAAAAGGTCTCAATAAGGGCTTTATCAAAGTAGGGTAGTTCAAAATATTGCTACGCTTGCAGCGAGCGCCGTTGCTCGAACATCCATGTGAGTGAATGGAAGGGTTGGATGATATCATCTTTCGTGATCACGCACTCCAATCAACGCGCCCTAAACCATGGCCCGTGCGCGCCTCCTTTTTCCCTATATAAACCCCCCTCTCCCCTCCTCTTTTCCTTACCACTCTGGCCTTTTGGCTTAGATCAAGTGTAGTATCTGTTCTTAATAGTTTAACCACTATTATGGAGGCACCGCCTCCATTCTTGGTTATCTAATTTTTGCCGCCCCAGCTCCACGGGCTCTGCTTGCACCTTGTGGACGCGATGACCTTGCTGCTGCACTACTGGCTTGCGTCGTCGGGGGATTCTCTTTTTTCATCACTGCTGATTTGCTGGGAGACTACTGGGCATCAGTTGATGTAGCAGTGGATCTGAGCAAATTGCAATTGCATTGATTTTTTGGACTCATTGGGCGCTTATTTTCTGTCTTACGGCGAGATTCTTTTGTTAGCTGTCACTTTCTACTCCTCGGGGTTGATACCTTCTCGCTCCCCTTGGAATTATGTGCCAGACAGGAAAGAACCACCTTCATCGCGGCTGGCTCTCTCTTACCACTTAGGGTATGAATCCCTCTCGGAATAGCATGTGCAAGAAGTCCATAATAATATGAAAACACTATGCATATGTATGAACAGTGAACACAAGCAATAAATAGAGCGAGTATCCCAGGGCCGCCGGCGCCGTGAACTCAACCTCAGTATATCCTACTCCTGGACACGTTCATCGCACTGGCTATTTATCTCGTTCGCGGGAACAGTAAGTCTTTCCTTCCCATCCACCCTTAGCAAGAGCTTATGAATATTAATAATGTGTGCGCTACTTAGTATATGCCAACATTGTTCCTGCACTGTATGTCTCCTCCAAATCTCTGATGTATAACTACTATTACTAACAAGCGCGGTGATCTGCAGGTTAGAATGAGAACACGATACCGAAAAGTAGCGTACAAGGTGATTTCGCTACATGTTCCCTGGTCAATGGTAATGGGGCCGACTGGGCCCTCACGAACGGCTCTAAGTACTACTGGCAGTGCGTTCATATATTGTATTATCCTTGGGCCTTGGCTGATCGAGTCTGTCGACGTGATTATTGAATTTGTTGTCATGCGTTCACCATGATTCTTAGCCTTGATGCTGGGGGTAACCGTATGACGATCGCCAATGTCGTTGGTTCACCTGCCACCTAGAGGAGACGAGACAGTCTTGCATTTCGAGGCCAGGATGCATGTTGGCGTTCATAGATCACTTGTACACCTTTCATAGAGGTTTAAAGAACGTGTCCGTCGCGATTGATGTGGGTGTCGTCATTGCGCAGCACTGAATGGGTTCTTGGCGGGAGCAATCCGATGGTCGCGGTCCTGGGCGCGCTCGGCCGCACGCATAAGCGCAGCCGAGACTTGGCACAATTAGATTTTATTCATGTAAGTACGAGCAACTCCCACTTTTCAACGACGTCGACGCTCAAATACTTGACGCTCGGGGGCATATACGGATTGTACAGCCGTTTAAGGCGCTCGGAGGCAGGATATACGGCAAAGTTTAAGGGGTGCGAGTCATGTGCGGAGGCAGAAAAAAACAACGAAACAAAGCTTGGCAAGGCCTCAGCGATGGGATGAGGCTGAGCACTGCCAGGGGCAACATTACTTATACCAACCATCTCTTCCACTCTCTTTTGCTTCATCTCTCCCCGACCGAGTCCATACCCAAGACGGCCCGCAGCGTCGTCGAAGAACGATCGTTTTTTTATATAGATTATAAAGTGTTATGCGGTGGCTGAAGTATGGAGTGACGGCGTTGTTGACTGCGTGCCATGTGGCCGCTTCACCAGCACCAACCACAGAAACGCCGTCTCTTGAGGAGATTGCAAGGCGTTATACGAGGAGGACGGCGGGCGGTGTTCATCTCCCCATTGTGAGGCAGGTGACGGAGGCGAGCGAGTTGAGGAGACGCGGGTTGACGTCTGCGATTGGGTTGGGCGATTTCGCGGATATGTGAGTGGTACTTCGTGCTTTTTTACGTTTTGGGTTTGTTGATGGAGTTTGAGGTAGTGTGTATAACGTCCTCATCTCTGTTGGCGGGACGACCACCCCTCTTGTCCTTGGTACGCCCTTACCCCGCGTTTTGTTATTTCTTCTCCTCTGACCTTGGCGTAGACACCGGCTCGTCAGATCTATGGGTCGTTTCTGACAAGTGTTCACATGGATGCTTGAGCAGCCAGTCGGCGTACCCACAGGCTTCATTTCAGTACTCTGGTGCGGACGCGGAGCTTTTGTATGGAGACTCGACGTCGGGCACTGCTGCGTTGGGCATGATCGGCAAGGACACCGTTAGCTTGGCGGGCCTGACGTTGCAGGACCAATACTTCGTCGCGGTAAACCAAACCAACACTACTTTGGGACAGACTGGCTCGTCTGGGATCTTTGGGCTTGGGTTTCCCGTAGGCAGGTACGCCTGAGGATTGTATGAGTGAGAGTGTAATAACTGACTCTTCTAAAGCGTCGTCTGGAGCGAACTATGGACCCAATTAAAGTCATCAGGCAGCACGAAAAGAGAAGTTACAGAGGACACCCCCATCACTCCCTCCAACCAGAAATTCGGAACCCGCATCTTCCCCTCCTTCAACTTCCGGCGCATTAAATTCCCCAGCCTCTCCGATTTCTTCCCAAGCCCAAGCGAACAAAAACGACAATCCAGCAATGTCTCGTCCACCATGACGGCCCTCCTCCCCACTTGGTCCGTCTTTGGACCCTTGCTCGCCCGATTTGTTACAGCTGCTCAGCTGACTTTGCCGATGTACACCGTGACGCTGCAAAGGGATTCTATACAGGTTGGAGGGAATGTGGGGATGTTGAGTATTGGTGAGATGCCGAGTGGGGTGTCGGAGGATAGCTTGACGTGGGTTCCTATTCGCGCGTATTCATATTCGCAGGGCGGGTTGCCTGCTCCCCCTGATTCTCCGAACGAGGTGTGTGGTGTTCCTTTTTGGTTAGGTGTGACATGCCCATAATGATCATGATGATGATAGGTGTATCCAATGACTTGGGAAGTTGCCCTCGACGACGTATACCTAGACGGCGTAAAGCTCCCCCGCTCAACACTCTCATCATCCTCCATCTCCCTTTCTGCCCTCGTCGACACCGTAAGTTCCCTTCTGTTCCCTTCGTCTCTCTCCCACCCCACTCACCCCTCTCTTACTTACAGGGCAACTCAATCCTCCGCGGTCCTGCCGACGTCGTACGCAACATCCAATCCAAACTAGGCGTCAACGGCCGTTTTCCCTGCTCCGAACCACACACCATCGCTTTTTCTATTGGGGGCAAACTCTTCCCCGTCGACCCGCGTGACTTTATCCAACAGGTCTTTGAGAATAATGTGGTTACGTGTACTTCACGGCTTACTGCTACGGACCCGCCTTCGTTGAGTGGGTACCAGTTTAGTTGGAGTCTTGGGGATCCGTTTTTGAAGAGGTGCGTTTGTTGTCTTTTTGTAAGATGTTGCTTGCTGATGATGATTTCTGCTTCAACAGCGTATTGGCGGCGTTTTACTTTGGGAATATAACTTACCCGTCACACGACCCCCCTAAAATGGGATTCCTTTCGACCGTCCCACAAGATGCGGCGTCGCAGCTGGTGTCTGCTGTGGCCGCTGTAGGAACGGGGGTCAATTTCCCTGGTAGGTTTTTCCTCCCTCTCTCCTGCTCTCCTTTACCCCTTCTTGTGCTCACCCCTCCTCATAGCCATATCGGAAGTGGCACCGAGTGGAACCTTCAAACCCGCCGGAACGGCGTCCAATGGCGTAGCTGTGGCCACGGCTACAGGCCGCGCGACGCAGACGGGGTCTTCGTCTACTACCACGAAGGGATCGAAGAGCGGTGCGGAGCGAACACGAGGGTTGGGGATGGGGATGGGAATGGGGGTGGTTGTTGGGATTGTTGGGATGTTGCAATTGTGGTCGTGATGCGAGGACGATTCAGAGGGGGTAGGAACATTGGATCTATCTATACCACTCACCAACTAATTGTACACGGCGGCCAGGCCTGGGATGCTGTATTTATTGCTTGTGTACGCCGTATGTGTAATGTTTTGTGGACTTGTTGCACATACATACTATTCATCTATTTCAAGTTTCAACATCAACGAAACGGTTTCTTTCGTTGGAACACGTTCAAAAACAATCTGGTTCGTCGTCTAACATTACTTACTTCCAGGGCATACAAAGGACAAAATAAACGCCATCCAATCAAGATTTTTCAAGCAGCAAGTGACCAGTAGGAGCCTGAGAAAGTTCATATGATATTCGTCGTATCGATGGATAGAAGCACCTTCTCTTCGCAAGCCCCTGCGGTCACTGGAATGCGTGCGTCTACTAGAAGGCCCGCCCTGACCGAGCCGACTCGGAGATTGTACTATGTATTCGTCTATCAATGGATTTTCCTGAGAACTTCACAAGCCCTCGCTGCAGTTCTCAGCTCCGGGAACCGAGATTATATGTGCAGCTAAGCCCTGTTAAGCCGGCATCGAACCAATCACAACTCCACCATCGACTCCAACGGACATTTCACTAGGTCTAAATGGGTACTTCCACATCGATGAGATATATCTGTCTAAGATGAAGTGCTTCTGACCTTGGCAGACGCAAAGGCTAGGGCTGAGGCTGGTCTTACTCCCTGACAATGAATACGCCCAATCACTGCGACGATCACATGGACGGAGAGAAGGTAATCACAAATCATACGTGTACCATCATCGCGAAGGTCAGCCCGTCTGCTACGAAGGCGATTGAACAGATACGTTCTCGTCCTTTGTGGCCTTCCTCTGTGCTTGGTCCGATTGCGAGGTGTACAATTGAAGAATCTCGAAATGCGCGCTGGGTTGAATGTGTCAGTGCTAACGTGGACTTGTTGTAAGTAAGAACGCTGAAAGTTTTGAGTTAGGTCTTTAATTTCCGTTCGACGTCAGATCACTGGTTGTCTCCTGCCATTTGGCCCTTCGAACAATAGGAGCGAACCTGCGATTGGCGTGAAGCATGTCAGCCCTTCATATTCGTCGCTATTATCGATGGATAGAAGCATCTTCTCCCCTGCTGGCGTCACTGGAATGCGGACGTCGAGGCACTATCTAGATGCTTGCTTCATCTGGATTAGGCTTAGGGACAAAACATACAATATATAAGAGGCTGAACAAGTCAGCTACCTCAAGTTGCTTCACCCCGAATATCGACAATGGTAAGTAACACATTATCGTATAAATATCCCAACCTCTCATGCAGGAGTCAAGGGTCACTTCCTCGTTTTTGAGACGGATCCCAACTGGAAACCCGACCCCAAGAACTTTTCCAACTGCATTCACGTCCCTCCCATCTGGGAAGTCGATCCCGAGGGTAATCGCGAATGGTACATCCCTCCCCCCGGCTGCCGTCCCAGTCGCCCCACTAGTCACGACTTTGACGATCCCCACCCCGTTTCCGCTATCACTTTTTCCTCCGTTGCTCCTTCCCCCGGCTGCCCCGCCTACGTTCCCGCCCCCATAAGCATTGGCGCTACCCCCTTCTCCGCCTCCGCCGCTGGTGCGTCCTTCACCATTGCATCCGGCGGCGCCCCCTCCACCTCCACCAGTGCCACCACAGAGGCTGAAAAGAGTGCCGATCATGAGGAGGCAGCAAAGACCGTCGATCTACGCACCACAGGCTATTTTCGCGAGATCTGGAATCAAGGTCGACTTGGAAGCTGCGCTCCCCACGCCGTCGCTGGTGCGTTCACCTTTGTGCACCAGAAACAACTTGATAGCCAAGTGGACCACTTTGAACCTTCCCGACTCTTCATTCATTACAATATGCGTGCGATGTATGATGAAGTCGATAAGGACAACGGAGGCACCGTGTTTGAAGGATTGTTGAGCGTTTCGGACAAGGGTGTGTGTCCTGAGGAGGACTGGAAATATTTACCGTGGGGTAGCCACGTCCCCCGGACAAGAGGATATGTATTGGAGGCGGGTTCGCGGGCGACCGTGCAGCCCTCTGACCTGGCCTACGAACGCGCCCTCGAGCACACTGTTACTGAGTACGTGCAATTGGCGGTCAACAAGAACTCGGGGACCGATGCCGAGTATGACTTCGATCTCGATGTACTGCGTAAATGTCTCGATGATGGGTACCCCTTCGTGTTCGGGTGTCATGCTTTCAGGAACGCCATAGCTGCTGGCTTTCTGGATGATGGTACTCTTAAGGCACCCAAGGATGCGGATAAAGGCAACGGCTCGATAGGCCATGCGCTGATGGGGGTTGGGTACGATGATACAACGCAGTGCTTCACTATTCGTAATTCCTGGGGTCCTACGTGGAACGGTAATGGATGTTTTATGATGCCGTACGATATCATAGCTCACCCGAGGGTCGCCTACGACTTCTGTACCATCCGCAAAGTAAAGGAATGAAGAGGAGAAGCCGCAGAGAATGAGGAGAAAGAGAAAGAGTGGTAAGTCTTGTCTGGTACCTCTGATCGGATACTGAGGTGCATTATATTGTAGAAATTCCTGACATTGAACGGCATGGCATGCCCAAGCTCCTGGCCTTCCGCGCGATACCGCCGTTTCACTCGACTACGCTCTGTCACACGAATGTGATTATCCTTTCCGTATGTACTTTTACTTTGCCCTGCATCCCATCTGCCCGCTCCATGTCAATATATCATTGTTCAACACCCCATTCGTGTGCCAACATTCAGGCCAAAGTGAGCGACAGAGAAATTTGATTGAAAGAAAATCAACACGTCGGACATATCTACTCACATCCTTGCTATCTATCCAGCATGCCCTGTCATGCAATACCAGTGAACTCGCAAAGGATCTCTCTCATCACATTCAAGTAAAAATCCAGTTGTTGTGCGGCACAAAAGGTTGTGTGTTGTGCAAAGCTTTTCTTTGTTTTCGTCGTTGCGTGTTCTTTAAATTTTTGCTTGGGATGATTCACAGGTGGAAGAACATTGGATCTACCACCAACTAATTGTACACGGCAGCCAGGCCTGGGATCATGGATGCTGTACTATGCCCTACCAGCACCTCGGAACACCCTATGAGTCGGCATGATTTTGATCGTACACCTTCCACAAAACTTTCTGCCACAGAAATTAGTATGTGACCTCCTAACTCGAATTCAATCCAATTTCCCTTTTTTCCGTTAAGAAAGTACGAAGAATTGAAAGAATCTCGTTTTTCAAGTCGTCACGCTTGTCCAGCCAAAACCTAGTGACTGCCGACTCATAGGGTGCGCCGAGGTGCTGGTAGGGCATAGTATTGATTGCTTGTAATGGGTCGAAAAGGTTTCATGCAAGAGCGTAAACATTATTGAAGTTCGAAGGTATTCTGATTCATGGAGAGGCAACAATGTTCTCGTTTCGACATTACATTCACAGCATAAAATAAGCGCCCAACGAGCGCAAAAAAATTCATTTCGACCCACCTTATTTGCTGAAATCCGCTGCAACATCAACAGATGCACAGCAGTCTCCCAGCAAATAACATGGCAATGAACCAATCCATTTGCTGAAATCCGCCGCTACATCAACAGATGCGCAGTTGAACTTCCAGCAAATAGCGAGCCCAAAGAAAAAGGGGAGAAGATCCCCCGACGACGCAAGCTGATAGTACAGAAGCAAGGTCATCGTGTCCAAAGGGGTGCAAGCAGAGCCCGATGAAAACTGGGGCGGCAAAAATTAGATAACCAAGAATGGAGGCGGTGCCTCCATAATAGTGGTTAAACTATTAAGAACAGATACTACACTTGATCTAAGCCAAAAGGCCAGAGTGGTGAGGGAACGAAGAGGAGGGAGGGGGTTTATATAGGGAAATGGGAGGGCGCACGGGCCATGGTTTAGGGTGGGTTGATTGGAATGCGTGACGTCGTTGCACAAGTTGTTCGCCTTCAGCTTCGCCATTTCGCCTCGCCACGCTCGCCAGGTGACGACCAAAAATTTTCAGAAGGGGGCGGCGAGACCTGGCGAACCTCCCCCCGAACAATCCAGGTGATATTTGGACTTTCAAAAGTTCTCGGCTCACATTTTTCTGTATGAAAAGATTTTAAAAGTCATAATTAGCGGTGATTGAACGGTTCCAGCTTGTGCTGTGCTACTCAATACTCACTCTTAGTGCTAGGTTTCTGAAGTTCTCTTTGACACTCTTGGTTTCACTCCTTATGATGCCCTTTTTTTTGTTGTGAACAACTCAATGAATTCGAATGGTAGACCACTCCAAATTTTCTTTCGAGTGACCATGTTTGACAAGCCTAGAATTGGCACAACTTGCTGTTCTTGCTCCACCGGGATTGTTCACGAACTAAGAACTTACATATATAGCAAATCTACGGGGAAGCTGCTTCAAGGCGTGCCGCAGCCCGCTAGGTTATGACATAAAGGTGGGGTTTCTTCAGGCATACAAAGGAAATTCTGACAACGGTCTACAGTTACATATGCAGTTAGCTGGAATGAAATTTCCGGTGTTTTTCGCCTCGCCAGTCTCGCCACCATTCGCTTGAGGTTCCCCCTCGCCAGGCCGGGTGGCGAATGCCCAGGATTGATCACTGACTCTGAATTGGAGTGACTCACGCCAAGCGATGTTGACTCCTTCGTGATCATTGCAACTTTTCCGCAATCGACGTTCAAAAAAGAAACGGCCCAAATACTGACCTTTACCCAGGTCTATGGCAAGACCTGGGTTAATCAACATCCACGCAAGAACTCCGGGCTCTGAACGTCTTGACGCCGGGCCGCCAATATCTTTCGCCGAGTTGGAGTTTTGGACGCTCAACGAGTACTTCTCCCCGGGCCGCTAGCGTACCCGACTCCTCCCTCAATCCCCAAATTATTCGACAGGCAAAATACGCGAATGGAAGATACGCGGATCCTCCGAGTGGGCCGGGCGTGGAGAGGAATGTTTTGAAGGGGAGAACAACGATGGCTTCTTGTCTTGTCTAACAAGATTTTTACGATTATCATTGTCGTATCGTATCGTATCAACAGAGGCGGAATGACGGCGCGCCGTTCATAATTAGAATACGAATTCCTGGGGTAATGATGGATGGAATTACCCTGTGTCACAGGGGTGACGATCACCTGCTTCGGTTCTCTCCTCATATGCAGCAGCCAAGCATCAAGGAAGGAGGCGGGTTCGCGTCTAATTATTCTATTTACTGCTCTCCTTGATTCCTTCCCCCTTTTCGTGCTCGCTCCTCCTATTCCGATTCAACAACGACGACGATGGCAGCGAGAGATTTGTCAGTACCTGATAGTGTCGTTCAAGCACTGACACCACCTGCGAAGAAGCCGTATCCGTTTTGGTTGGGTGGTACGTTACGTTTCTGCGCATATATCCCTTGGATGTTATAGCTCATCTGGAGGTTTGTAGGTGTTGCTGCGACGATAGCGGCTTCGATCACACAGTACGCTTTCCCTCCTCCTCCTCCTCCTCCTGCCCCCTCTCTTTGCCCTGTGGTACTGAGAAAGACGCATATAGTCCCCTAGATTTAACCAAAGTCCGCCTCCAAGCATCAGGCGATAAACGGATGATAGAGAGTATCAAGAAGACTATAAGAACTGCTGGTACATATTCCCTTCCTTCCCTTTCTCCTATCTATACATGAGCTGCGACAGGCGTCCGAGGGATGTTCGACGGCATCTCAGGAACATGGATGCGTCAAATGTCGTACTCCATGTGTCGGTTCTGGGCATACGATGAGAGCAAGAAGTTGCTTGGTGCGGGGAAGGACGCTCCGGCGTGGAAGTTGGCTGCGGCTGGTAGTATGGGTGCGTTTCTCTCCGACTCCTTACCTGTTCTCCTTTTCATGGGGTTTGGTTTTAGCGGGTGGTATTGCGGGTTTTGTTGGAAACCCTGGAGGTTTGTTCCCTTCTTTCTCCCTTTTGTTCAATTGCTGATGGACTGAATAGAGATCGTCATGGTCCGGCTACAAGGAGACTTTGCAAAGCCCCCTGAGAAGCGGTTCAACTATAAACATTGCTTTGATGCTCTCTTCCGCGTGAGTCTGTCTTTTCTTCTTCCTTTGAGCGTCTTTGTGTCGGTTCCGAGCTTGAATTCGTATTGGCTCTGCTCTGGGGCTACCCTCAAATAGAGCTAATTTATGCTCGTGTGCCGTGCCCTTCGAGCTCTTTTTCAACATTGGGCGTTATGAGCTCACATCATCTGGCCCTTGGGGATCTGCTTCTCATTCATTTAACTAACCTCGCTTTAATGCTTCGTTCATTCGTCGATCTAACCCTTCATCTGCAGATGGTCCGGGAAGAAGGCATATCTTCACTAGCCCGCGGCGTCGGTCCAAACGTGTTCAGAGCAGTCTTGATGAACGCCAGTCAGCTCGCTTCGTCAGTCCTCTTTCTTTCTTTCTTTCTTTCCTTCCCCTCCTTCCTCCCTCTTCCCCTCTCCTTCCTCTCCTCCACCTCTTCCCTCTTTGTCTGTGCTATCTGGGACTGACACCCCCATCACATAGGTACGACTTCTTCAAAGCAGAACTCATCAAAACGCACATATTCGAAGATAACATTCTATGTCATTTCACGGCGAGCTTTGCGGCGGGGACGGTGGCTACTACCGTTTGTTCGCCTGCGGATGTGTTGAAGAGTCGGATTATGAATGCGTCGGGGCCTGGGTCGAATGTACGTTCGATTTTTTCTTTTTCGATTTTACTTGCAGCTTTGTTTTCTCTTCTTCTCCCCCATCCTCCCCCTTCTTGTTCCTTTTCTCTTATCTCCTCATCTCCTCCTTCTCTTCCTCTTCCTATTCGTCCTCCCTCTTCCTCCCCCTTTTCTCGCCATTCCCCTCCTTTCTCTTCATCATCGTAGCTTCTTCGTATCCCCATTCCCTTCCCCTTCCTCTTCATCATCCTTTTCTCGTTCACTCCTGCCCATCCTGTTCCCGTTTCTCTTCTCTTCCCCTCTTCTTCCTCTTCCTCTTTCCTTTTTCCATCCTTCATCCTTTCCTCTCCTCTTCTTCTTTTCATCCTCTTCCCATTCTCGTCCTCTTTCTTCTGTTGTCCTCCCCTCTTTGCATCCCCTTCTTCCTCCTCTGCTTCTCATCTTCTTCCCATTCTCGTCCTCTTCCTTCCTTTTACTGTACTCTCTGTCGCTCTCCTCACCCTCTCCCCCTTCCTCCTCGCATCCTCTTCATCTTCCCGCCTGTTTCCCGTCTTATCCCTTTCTTTACTCTCTCCATCCTTCTTGTTCTTTTTTAAATGCTCTTCGTCGTTTTCTTCTGGCCTCCGTCCTCTTCGTTTTCTCCTCTTTCTTTTCTCTTCTTCTCCTTCTTCTTGCCTCTTCCTATCCTCTTCCCATCCATTTCCTCTCCCTCTTCCCCCCCCCCCCTCTTCCCTCGCTCTCCCCCTTCTTTCTCTTCGTCGTCGTATCCCCATTTCCTTCCCCTTCCTTGTTATCATCCTTTCCTCACTCACTCCCCGCCCATCCTGTTCCCGTTTCTCTTCTCCCCTTTTCTATTCCTATTCCTCTTCTTTCCCAATTTTCTCATTTTCTTTTCATTCTCTCCCTCTCCCTCTCCTTTTTTTTCATTCTTCGTCCTCTTCTCTCCTCTTCCCATTCTCGTCCTCATTTCACTCTTCTCATCCTCACCTTCCTCCCCCGCTATCCCTCTTTCCGTTTTCTTTTCTTCTCCACCCCTCTTTGCACCCCCCTTCTTCCTCCTCTGCTTCTCATCCTCCCCGCATCCTCTTCATCCTACCTTGATCTTTCTGCCTGTTTCCGGTCTTTCCTCTCTTCATTCTCCTTACACCCTTTCTCACTCTCTTCAACAGTCTACCATGGGTGTCATTCGCCAATCGCTGAAAACAGACGGGCCCATGTTCATGTTCAAGGGCTGGGTGCCCGCATGGACGCGTTTACAGCCCACTACGATACTCATCTTTTTGACGCTGGAGCAGCTGAAGAATGGCGTAGATTTTTCGCGCAGGCATGGGGTGACTTGGTTGTGAGAGGTGCTCAGATAGTTGTGGGGTGTTTCGAGATAGGCGGCAGCGGAATGGACTTGTCTCTGAGACCCATGTCGTGATTCGCTGGCTCAACCCCGTGGGTGCTAACCAGAGCAAAGAACAAGATGGCAGTGGAAATGTTTTTTGTGATGTACGATTCGCACGTAACTGATGTAGATGTACTTTTTTTTTTTTTTTTTTTACTCATGATTCATGAAGGTGTTCGTCGTAATACCCTCTCTCTTTGTACTGTATTCCGTGCAGGTGGCTCCTCGCGGTGTATCGCATGTATTTGATAGATGATAGCCTTTTTCTCTGAGGGACTCTTAAGTAACTCCCTATCGTCAGGTGGTAGGGCAAAATCCAGATCATCCAGCAATATGCGTGGGGTCGCCACATTCCAAGCAAAAGTACGTTTCGTCATGCTGTTTCCGAGGTTCCTGCAGTTTGCGAGTCGTCTGATCTTTGCGGGCTTGATTCCGTGGGTGTTTTCGTGCTGCAAGAAGCGATGGTGGCTGGCAACACGATTTCAGAACTCCGAAAGGGGATGGTTTCTGTTAATATCCGGCGATATCTCGCTCTGTCGTTCAATCTACACGCCATGATTACTATTAGATTCGTCAAGGAGCGAGATGTGCAGAAGAAGAAACGTACGATACTAGGACAGCGTTGGCGAAAACTGTGGGAGGACAACTGTGGTGAGAGACGTAGATTTGAGGAAGAGGGTTTCTTACAGCTTCCTCGGACGTTGTAGATCCCGAAGGGAACGGGACTATCTGACAATATGATGTACTATGAGGATTGTGAGCGTTCATTTTTAGCGCCGAGCGGAGATCAGCGCTTACAGTTATCATAAATGAAATGGCGATGCACCTGAGGACGGAAGATCAGGAGACGAAGTGAGATCAGTCCGGATGGCGGACGAACCACATGATGAAGCCCGTGGATAATGAACCCAGCACCAGATAATGAACGACCCGGAGCATCTTTTCTGTTTGAACCATCCTTGAACGGATTCATTCAGTCAATCTGCGCACAAAAACAAGGTCAGATTGACTCACTCGTAGGAAGACAAGGGGGCAGCCCGTCGGGTCAATAGAATGCACATGGTTGCGGTCACCACGCCGCTTGAAAAGACTCTCATCCCAAAGGACATGATAAGGGAAAACTAGTCGAGATTTAGTGGATTCAGCAACAATTTTTACTGATGTGAAAGAAATGCACATTGGTAGCTTTTCGCTGTGGAGCGCAGAAATGTCTTAATCTGCAAGAAGGCTCAGCTGGTGTCTTCGATGCAGGGATAACCTCGAAACTTACATTCCCTGAAGAAAGTCTACTCCCAAGTCTTCAGTCCCAGGTGGACAATGAATAGTTCTGGCTTACAGATAGTGAAACCTACATGAAATGAGATTAGATATAGTAGTTCACATGCGTACGGCGAGTGAGTCGTACCCCAGCCAATTAGAAAAGGAACCAACTGTTCAAGGCATAAATACCAAGAATGTAGATCAAAGGCGGTAACTCACCACTACGGCGGCAAGTATATAGTTCTTCTTACTTGCCACTGGTCCAGAGATTAGGTTGGCCTCAAGCTTAATGCTTTACTTACAAGACCACATTCGTTTGATAAAGAGGCTGGGAATACGAATCTTGAGGGAAAATGACCACGGAGAAGGTAGACGTAGACGTACACTTCAACGAGAAAGCAGGTAAATTCCTGGATCACTTGTTAAAGTAATGAATCAGACAATCCAACCTCAACATACGGTCGGAACGAAAAAGGCCTGAAGTGATCTTGAGGAGACTACACATGCGCGAGGAGAGTACTGCACTAACCGCGGCAGACCTAGAATCATTAGAACCTAATTCAATTCAGCGAAGAGGGGACATACCAATAATTGCAACTTATCAAAGTCTCGGGGTCGACGCCAATTCCCCGCCGGATGAAATAGTACCATATCGACCTGCTATCAAGCACAAGGCCGGCGGTCTCTGACTGCATTGCGAATCGGTTTGATTGATGTTATCAGGTTGATACCACTCTTACAGCGCATAGCAACACAATCTATGTGTGGCAACTCAGAAATTAATCGACGTGGCGGTACAACTGAGAACACCCACTCACCAAAATCTTCAGATATAGGGGGTCCTTCGGAAAGGCTCTGAAATACCACGCAGCCTGACATATCAAGGCACCATACATCCTGTGGAAGAGCTATGAGCGAGAACAATGAGGTAAATGAAAGAGTCACGAACGCGAACGCAATCATAGCCCCAATCAACGGAGCAGCAAGTTCCCCATTCGACGCAGCATGCGGTGGGCCCATAGCCTCAACCGACGACTTGGTGGACTTGGAAGGGAAGAATTCTGAATAAATGCGGAGGAAAGACTTGGAGGAGTGTTCCATGAACATGTTATAAGGCTGGGTGGGAGTTGAACAACGTCCTGACTCTAACGATCGAATTAGCTCCACCAATGACCTAAGTACTATGTTCAGTGGAGAATTTAAATAAATTGAGGGTTGTTTGAGGCCCCAGGAAGCCGAGCGAAGTCCAAGCCCCGTGCCAACATCGCGTCGGGCGCCTTCGGAGAAAGCCAAGCTAAAGTTGAAACAGGGAGATCGATGACGGAGTTTCGGATGTATATGAGTCGGAAATGCTACAAGTCGATGAACAAGGGGATGCGAGCGATGGCTTGAGAGTGCATCTGAAGTGTGTTAGTGGTAGTAACTTGGTGGTCAGGAGGAGACTGTGTTTAGCCGAGATTGTGGACGTTAGGTTACTCTCCAATCTCAGACTCAATACAAAACGGGAACCTGTTGAAACCTACAACAATAAATCTTCATCCAGAAGTTTGACGAGAAAGCGAGAAGTTGTAAGTTTTTGGAGGTGGACCGCCTGTGGACCCTTGCTTCCGTGAGCTCAAGCTCAAGTCTGATCTCTTTACACACAGAGGACACAGAAGGTACCGGTGTGGTTACGTATACCCCCTGTCATAGAAAACAAACGTTTCATTCAGATCGGAGTGTACAGCCCCTTCCATCTGCATCCGAGTCTGATACAAATGTGAGCACGGAGTATGATTAGAATTTAAGGCCATCCTCCACAATATACTCATGAGGTAGGGTGATGTCCAAGTGGTAAATTTTCGCATAGTCTTCATCCTGCCAATGATAGGTTCCCACAGTTCATGAATGAGATCTCTTTGTTGTGAGTCTACGTGGCGCGGACGGGGGCGTTCGAGGTTGAAGGAAACCTGACAGAACTCCGAAGGGCAATAGTTTCCGTTAGCATCCGACGGTATCTCGTTCTGTGGTTCAATCTGCATGCGATGAGGCTAGTTATGGAAACACGGTACCGAATTGGACTCACGATACCAAGACCGCGTTGGCAAAAACTGTGGGGATCACTGAGAAGAGATGCGAATTTGAAAAAGAGCCTCCTTACAACTTCCTCGGACGTTGTAGATCCCGAAGGGTATGGGACTATCAGGCAACACGATGTACTATAAGAACATGAGGGTTTGATTGAAAGGATCTGATCCTAGCACGGACTGTTATCATAAACAAAATGGCGGTGCACCTGCAAGGAAGGTCAGGCGATGGTGCTGGGATGGAGACTGCAGTGTGTACGAACCACATAAGTAAGCCAGTGGATAACGATCCCATCACAAGGGATTTCACGACGCGAACCAACTTCTGTCCTTGAAACATGCTTGGTAGCGGAGTAAATCTAGGCTCTCACGTATGATCTGGTTCACTCACGAGCCGGAAGACAAGGGAGAAGCGTGTCGATACAATAGGAAACACATGGTTCCAGTGACGACACCGCTTGAGAGGACTCTCATCCCGAAAGACATGAGGAGAGAAAACTAAAGACATGGCTTCAGCGGATATTTGTCTGCAATGACCGATAAAAGTACGCTGGTGGCTGTTCGCTGCGGGAGGCAGTAATGTCTCTGTCTAGAAAAGAACTGGGCCTCTTGTTCAATCTCAAAGATAACTTCCAAGCTTACATGGCCTGGAGAAAGTCTACGAGATCGAGTACTCAGTTCCGGTCGAACAATGACCCAATCGAGCTTACTGATAGTAAAACCTGAAGGAGGGGAAATTAGTCGTTGTAACTCACCTGTGGAGCGCATGACACACCCCAGCCAATTAAAAAAGGAACCAACTGTTCACGGCATTAATGTTGAAACCGCCCCCCGTACTGAGGAAATAACTCACGACTATAGTGGCGAGGATATAGTTCTTCTTATTTGCCACTGGTTCGAAGATGAGATTGGGCGCGAACCCTGGAGTAAAGGTTCACTCACAAGACCACATTCGTTTGATGAATAGTCTGCATATCCAAATCGTAAGGAAAGAACAATCGCTGAGAAGGCAGGCGTACATTTCGGCCAAAAGGCACGTGAACTCCTGGGTACCATCGTAAGAAAAGTAGTGAGCCAAGCACTCATAACTTACAGTTGGGATGAAAAAGGCCTGAAAGGGTCTTGAGATAAGTGCAATACTTGATCAAAGGGAGCGCACTGACCGCGGCAGACCTAGGATGTGGATAACATTGTCAATCGAAAAACCACGCATTTAGGACAAGAACATGCCAATAATAACAGCTTATCAAAGTCTCAACGTCAACGCCAATCCCCCTCTGGACGAAATAGTACCACAATGATCTGGTATCAAGCACAAGACCAGCAGTTTCTGACTGAATTGGGAGTCGTTTAGCTTGAAAATCCATAAACTTGACAACATTCATACGGTGCATAATAACACAATCTTTAAGTACCGACTCGGAAATTAGACAAAACGGCGGTACGACCGGGAACAAGTACTCACCAACACCTTCATATACGTCGGGTCTTTGGGAAAACCTTTGAAGTACCACGCTGTCTGACATATTAAGGCGCCGTACATCCTGTAAGACCATGAGTGATTAGGCTTAGGTTCAAAAAAAAAACACCAACGCGCTCGCAATCATACACCCAAACAACGGAGCAGCAAGCTCCGTATTCGATGCTGCATGGTCATTCATAACTTCAACGACTTGAAGGACTTGACAAGGAACGTTTTGAATGAATACTAAGCGAAGCTAAACAGGGGACTGCTCCATAGGCGTGCCGCGTGCTGGCAAGGTGGGAATCGAAGATTCAAGAACATTCAGCTCAATCACTTGCGATCTGGTATCCTTGGCGGACAATTTAAATCGAGGGTCCAAGTCCTCCCAACATGGTTGTCATCATATATAGCTCGGCTCCTACCGCCTGGAGAGCAAGTGAAAAGGTACAGGTCCGGCGGAGTTTGAAGTGGAGGCAACCGCTTGAAACCACGGTCCACCGCCTAGCGTCCATCGATATGTGCGAAATTTTTAAGAATTTCAAGAAGTAATTTAAGTACATGCCATTGGATGGAATCAAGGGTCGGAGTGACTCTGACGAAATCCAACGAATCTTCTCCCGTCGCTCAGTATCGTTCAGTCTACATGCAGTGATTAGAAGGGTCTCAGGAACAGGTATCGAATTGAACATACCAAGAACATTCGATACAACGACCGCGTTGGCGAAAACTGCAGGAAGATGTGTGAATTGCAAATATAGCTTTGAAAAAGAGGTCCCTTACAACAATTGTGGGTCCCCAAAGGAAATGAGGGATGAATGAGGGTATCCTTGGGGTATCTGTACTAGAAGCGACGAATATCTTGGGATTATCCTCATATGGGTGAAAAGCTGAACTATAGAAGGGTTGTCATAAACGCGATTGCGGTGAGCCTAAAAGGAAGGCCAGTTAGAAGCCATAGATGAGAGAAAGTCTTAGAGGGGACAAACCCAATAACCCTGTGGACAACAAACCCATCACGAGAGATTTCACAGCACACATGATCCTCTGACTTGAATCATGCTTTATGAAGTCAGTATAACCACAAAAACATGAAGGGATTGGCTCACCGACTTTTGGTCAATTGGGGAGGAAGCCTGCCTGCAATATATAAGAAACGTACGTTGATGGCTTTTTTGCTGCAGGAGACGGTAATGTTGTTGAGAAAAACAGTTGAGCGTGTAGTGAGCTTCAAGCATAAGGTTGAACGCATAGGATATAGCGTTCAACGCACATATTCTGAACGAAGTTCATGGGTGGGGAACAAATCATAAGGTCGAGTTGGATTGTGAATTCAATCAGGCTTACTGATAGTAGAACCTGCAGCAAGAACAGTTAGTCGCGGTGGTCACATCCAATGCGGTATGACGTACCCCAATGTCCTACATGTGGTGAGAACCGAAGTAAGATGAACAAAAGTTCGGGGTTTAACGTTCAACACATATCGGTGGTGTGAGAGCTGAGCTGAGGGGGCCCATGAACGTCTTGTTTCTGTCCATCAGAATGTACAGCCAACGGAGACCGAATCCGCCCAGATTAATCATTCGTGTTAATAAAGTCGATGGCTCAGGACAGCAAGAGGACATTTGCATTTCCCAAGTGGCAAAGTCCTTGATCCTGAGTAAATGGTAGACGGGTTTTGAGCATGAAAGAACTCATTCCGTACTTGACTCCATATCATCACTGACGTCGATTGTGGTGGTTGAAAAGCAAGATTTGCCCCCGAATAAACGTCACCGTCACGATGCGGCGTGCGCGTGATCGCAGCCAGTCGCAGCCTCTGTTGAACCAACCATCACGACCTTCCTGGCCTGTGGCCACCTTTCTCCTTGTCCACATATCCTACGGTCAACAAGCCAGTAATGGCGGGGTCAGGCGCGGGCTCGAGGCTCCCGACGCCAATCTTGGTGCTTGCCGGAACCTCCACCTTTGTGGCCGTCATAGTATCCGCAATGTCTATACACCTACAACTCAGGAATTATCGGAAACCCAGTCTTCAGCGGTATGCTTGAATTCGTGACGTCTTTCTGTTGGTGATTTGCTGGAACTTGGTGTTAGGATGGTCGTGCGGATAATGCTCATGGTTCCCATATACGCGATCGCGTCGCTTATTTCGTTATTTTCGGTGGAGGCTGCGTTTGTGATTGACGCAATAAGAGATATTTATGAGGTGAGTGAGGGCTGCTTTCTTCATGAAAAGACTACTGGGTTGGGGACCATGGAACAACGAACAGAGCAACGCGCAGTTTCGTCTGTTTGAAATGGACTTCGTGTCGTTCTCCATCCTCGGCGGAAGCTCTCTAAATATCCTATTACTCGCCATGCCCTTGCCTCGTGCTCCTCAATCTCCCGCTAACGCAAATCTCTTTTCTTAGGCATTTGTAATTTATTGTTTTTTCGTTCTTTTACTCTCATATCTCGGCGGAGAGAGATCTCTCCTCATCATGTTGCACGGTCGGCCACCGAAGCAGCCCGTCTTTCCCATCAATCTATTCAAAAGCGAAATCGATGTCAGCGACCCGTATACCTTCCTCTTTCTAAAAAGAGGCATCCTTCGTATGTTCACTTCTGTTCGAAATAAACACAAACTAACTGACGGAATCGTTGTAGAATATGTACAAGTCAAGCCAATATTAGCAGCAGTGACACTTATCCTCAAGGCTTGCGGCAAATTCAATGAGGGCGACTTCAGAGCAAACTCTGGGTATCTCTACGTCAGCATCATTTACAACGCCAGCATTTGTCTGGCACTATACTGCCTCGCCATGTTCTGGGTGTGCATAAACGACGATCTCAAGCCTTTCAGGTATGTTGCCCCACTCCCATCCCAGCAAATTTACTCATAATATCAGACCGGTTCCCAAATTTCTTTGCGTCAAAGGAATTCTCTTTTTCTCATTCTGGCAATCCGTTGGCATCTCCGTCCTTGTCGCAGCAAAGGTCATTACCAAGCTCGGCCCTTACACCGACCCAGAGAACGTCTCCGTCGGTCTCAATGACACACTCATCTGTGTTGAGATGCCCTTCTTCGCCATGGCCCATTTATACGCCTTCTCATATAAAGACTACATTGACCCCCTTCACACCTTTGTCGCCCGCATGCCGATGTACTACGCTTTCCGCGATGCATTTGGGCTCCTTGACGTCGTTCAAGACACCAAGACCACCCTTCGTGGTGAAGGCATGGACTACCGCGAATTCGAGCCTGCGGAAGGGCACATCCACCAGGGTGCCGGCCGTGATCGCAGAATACGCGCCGGGCTACGATACAGCAAAGGCGGACAGAAGAAATATTGGTTACCCAAGACGACTACGGAGGCTCCTAATCGCGCTGAACGTGCTTTCAATCGCATCGCGGGCAATGACAGCTCTACTACGCCGTTTTTAGCTCGAGATGCTGATGATATTGTCCATCTGGCACCGGACTTGAATCCACTCGACGAGGAAGAAACGATATGGGATGGCCCGGACCAAGACAACGGGTATGGCCTGCCCTTTGGGGACATAGACGAGGCGGACGAGGAGCTATTTGCACATAGCAAGAAATACCTGTTTGGGGACTACAATTACCCATGTATCGACGTCAGCTCGGAGTCGGCCAAGACGGTCATCTGGGATGAGGAGGAAAGGGTGCTGAGGAACGAGCGGGGGGCGTGGTTCTCTCCTCTTAGAGGTGCTAAGGGGCAAGTTGCCATACAGAGGAGGGAACGGCCTGCATGGGAGGGGTACGGTGCTGTGAGTAACGCACAATCGAAAGGGCACGGCAATGGAAAGGGACAACAACGGTTTTACGATGATGACGACGACGGCAAAGTTATTGATTATGATCAGGATCGGTCTCCTCCTGCAGAGGCCAAGGACGTCATTATGAAATGGACTAAAGTGCAGAGGCGAGATTCGCGCTCCAAGAACCCGGGCGTGCTAGGGGCATCGATGTCAAACAGCAGCAGCAGCAGCCATGCCAACCGAGTTCGTTCGCCGCCTTCAGTATCTCGGACCACCTCCAAGACTGCTGGGCCTGTTCTACCGTCAGACGCCGTTGATCTCGTGGTGGAGGACCACAGCGCTGCAGAGGACGAGCGCGTCCGTGAGAGACGAAAGGGGCACCCTGGGTCCCAAGTTCCTGGACTACGGAGGGTATACAGACGAGGGATAGAAGGTGGCGAGCACCCACACGTGGAGGTTGAAGTTGAAGAAACGAACGATGAAGCAGACGGGAGACGTCGAGTGGATGTTGGGAACGAGATTGTCGACGTTATTGGGTATGTTAGCAGTGATGACGATGATGAGGGGAAACGGACAACGATAGAGCACTTGACGAAGGAGGTGAAACACGTTGCGAGGGCGGTCACTCCTCCGCTGCATGCCCGCATCAGCGGGTTTCAATATGATATTCCGGATGACAATCCATGGGCTTGATGTATTGATGATTCTTACGATGTTCTTTCTTTCGATATCTGCATTTGTATCTTTCTGCATAGTTCCTATTCCTTTTTATGAAACACACGGAATCAGTATGGCCTTCTCAACTTCTATTTCCCCGGCTGGGTTTTGTTTTACATATTGTATAATTACAAGCGAACGTTATACATTCAATTTCTTTGTACCATCAAGTTTGGTTTTGCGAAATCGGATCACCTTCAACTAGACTGGTTATAATTCAGCGCTCGTTTATAATTTGGCGAGGACTTCGGAAGCGCCAGAGACAGTTACACCGGGGCCAGGCTCGACCTATGCAAGGGTCAGCAAAAGCCGCGCAAAACAAACAATCACGTACTCCAATGTACTTGACGACGAGGTCGTCAATGACAATGGCGAATCGCCAGGTGCGATGGCCAAGACCGGCAGCACTCAAGTCCTTGTCAAGACCAAGACTAGCAGACCACTTTGCGTCGGTGTCAGTGAGCGTAAGGATCTGACGAAGATGGCCGTTGCTCAACATTGATCGGAGTGAGTAGATAAACTTGAAAATGTACTTTATCCTTGACACCTTCAAATCGGCCCCAGCCGCTCATGACGAAGGCGTCATTGGCAGCAACAACAGCGATTACATCAACACCCTTCGCTTTGAACGCATCGTAGTTCTGAAGATAACCAGGCAAGTGGTTGGCGTGGCAGGTGGGCTAGAAGTGATAGATTGCGGCGATTAGATGATTGGTTCTGATTGGTATATCAACCATGCTTACAGTGAACGCTCCGGGTACGGAGAACAGGACGACTTTCTTGCCCTTCCATTCGTTGGTTGACAGAGCGGTAGCTGTATTGATAAGTTATGCCTCGAGTCAATGATGATCTGTGCCTGCACGTACGAATACCACAAGCAAGCTACAGTTTGATTAAGTCGGACACAGGGATATTAGGGGTCTTTGGATGTGCTCACGCTGTCCTCGAGCTCAGAGGTGTACGGAATGTACTTGAAGCTACCCTCTGGGATTGTATCACCAACTTTGAGAGACATAGTAGACTTTCGGGTGAAGGATGTAATTTGGTAAAGGCCAAAGAGCTTGAGAAGCGACGACCTTTCGGAGCGGAGTTAGCGTAACATAACCGAATGACGAAGCTTACACGTGCTAAGCGAGTAGCTGACTAACGTTTGTTGACAGCCATGTGTTCAAGACATGCGTAAATAAGGACAATTACAAGGCTTGGTAAGTTCCTAACTTGCATTTTCAATTGGCGACCAGAGATGATCTGATTATCATGACGGCGTCAGGTTTTTTCCCCTAGGAACGTTGATATCTTTTTGAACCCCATCCTGGTTCCTCATGATACGGAATCAAGTATGTAACGCGGTCCGGCAATGCGGGAGCCCTACTTTGTGCCCGCATTCAAGACAGACTCGAGTTGAACCTCCCTCTTTGCCCAATCTCTAATCCACATGTCATTCCGCATGGAATTGCATCACCAGCTGCTTACTCATTCTCCTGAAACAAGTTCTTGAGATTGCGTTACTGTGATCATGACGAGTTGTCGTAATACTCCAGGATCAAACGGATCAACGTGGAGGCCAAACGTCCTTCGGGAACAGACCGTATATGTTGAATCTCTCTCTGATTGAGCAGAAACCCATCTAACATCAATCAGGATCCGACGCCTCAGGTTTGCATTCGACCACCATTGATGGATGCTAAATTTGATACACGCGGCAGAATGTATAAAACAACTGCAGCGACACGTCCACTCCGCTCCTCAAACGCGGAACCCGTCCACTATCCATGTGCGTGAAGTCTTTTGCTTTCGATGATGACCGTGGAAATTCATCAAAATTTGTCTAGGCCTTCGCTACCTCTCGTTCGTCTAGTTGTCAGCTCTGACGGAGAGCAATATCGTGTAGTTGACGTGACAGGCGCACGCGACGGTTCAGACGTTCGCAGCGAAATCTTCTCCAAGGTTTCTGGGGCTCTCCATCCATCGTTCACGTTCTCTCATTGATGGGCCGTTCAGCTAGACATCCCGATCGAGTCGCAGCGATCATACTTCATCTACCCATCCGAAATCGGGTCATTTGCGCTAGGGAGCCCTTTATCCGATGGGAACCTATTTTCACTTTGTCAGGAGCATGGCAATCCGTCAGGCTTCCTCAAATTCTTCGTATCGCACTCTCCGAATGGTCCCGCAAGACAACGGGAGTCGGCTTCCGTAAAATTGTGTATCCCCGTAAGTGAAGAATATCTCTCACCTGGCCTCCAAACATATTTACCCTTCTCCGTCGCAGATACTAAGGATATCTAGCCAGTGATTTCTTCCAACGGCCTCGTCAACATCTTTCAACCAGCACATTTTCTGCATCTTACGATCCTCACCATCCTGCATATTATTTATCATTATCCCACACCCCTATGTCGTGTACGATAAAGTTGATGTTGTACTTTAGCGAAAGGATCTCACCTTATGTCCGCAGACGTCTACCCCATGTTTTTAATTTCATAAACTATGGGAAATCCATGGTTCCATGATAAGCAATAATCACATCATACTTAAAGTTAGGTCTGCTCAATTTTCGAGGTCTTGAATCCCAATTGGGACGAAGGAGTTTCGACGGTCCGCTGCAGTGATCTCAGGGCCAGACACCACCGCACCACGGATAATCATGCAACAATACTTGCAGTAACTTACGCTGAACGCAAAACAAATGTTCCAGTGGGTAATGACTGTCGCTGGTCAATTTAGTGCAAATTGAACTAAGCTCATCATCTTACCCAGATATCGCAGTTTATCGCCAATCAGTAACTATTCCCTGCGTTTCAGGCGCTCCCTGTACACAGCCCACTCATGATATCTCCATCGCGAAATAGTATGCGACTCTCGACTAAAGCGGATCAGCCGCGGATCACTTGGGCACAAGCATATTTAGGGGCCAGACTTCAGAATAATTTATCTTCGGCAAAGGTTGGGATATATAAAAAGTCGTAGGGCTTCACGGGAATATTGAAAAAAATATTGAAAAAAGGATAGCGTTTGAAGGGTTGGGTTGCCGTGCGGTGCGCAATGAAAAACCCTCTGGCGGTTTTCTCAACATATAAGTGGAACAACATCACTTACCTTGGGTCCCATAGTTATCCCAAAAGGACTTCAGCATTTTATCACCTCATGATGCTCGGATGCACATCACTTTACTGGTTATCTCGACCCTAAGTTCAAACGCCACTAAATGCCGTCCCTAAAAAAGATAAAAAGTCGCTCTCCTCACGCAAAAGAAAATGTTGACGGACTGCATGCTACTCTGGCAGTTTTTTCGGGCCGGGAACGCTTGGGAAACGCCGTGCTAGAAAATTAGCCAGCTGGGTTCCCATATGTACCAAATCATTCCTCTTCCTGATTTTGATGAAAAAGGAGGAAACGGACAAGGAAAGCACAAAGATCGACCCGGTCCTCAGTTCAAAGCTGCCCCATGCATGGGTATTTTCTGGATGGGGGTATCTTGCCCCTACCCAACCCCTTCCATATGTATGAATGTTCATACCAAACTTTTCTTGATCTACGGTGAATATATTTGAAAATGGTTGATAAATGGAGGTCGCCCCATAATTACCTTGAGATGAAGGGTGAGAATAAGTCTCGCAGTAGAAAGGACCTCCGAGGAACAGGGAGGTAACACGCGAAAAAGGAAGTTTTCTTCATTTGAGAACCTTCGGCCAGGGAATATCAAGACAGGGGAGGTCGAAAATCGGCTTGCAGATAGTAGAGTTAAATACATGGATGGGATTGGAAGAGCCCGAGCGGCAGCGGTTGCTGTTAGGCTGCTGGAGTCCTGCATGAAACGAATCTAGTTTCTGAATCTGAGTCCTGGCCTTAGTAGGCTCAGTCAGTGCCATCATCGGAGGCTTTCTGGTTATGCCGAAACAAGATTGTAGAAATAAATTCAGTTTCACCTCCCTGGTTCGTTTGATGAAAAACCGAGATACAAAACCCCAAATTTTCTTGCAAGGTGGATGAGGAATGAGCTCGAGATGATTGTCGGCAATCGCTGTCACAGAAAGAGATAATTGCAACCCGTCACGCAACACGTTTGTCATCTGATGTGACCGTGACACGTGATAGCCATTATTGTTGCAAATTGACACGACTTGGACACGACAGTCAAACTTCAACTTTCTCTTCACACTCACTGCAAGACCTAAGCAAGGCCTCAATTCTCTGAGATTCGATTTCAGGGTCTCCGACGAAGAGGTATCATATTGGAACTAATTCTTCGTCATTCCTCGCTTAGTGGAACACTGGAAGAGGTGGAATCCATCGGATCGGAAATTTACGTTGTTCACGAAACGGTCCGCAACTGGGGTCTCCTGTCGAGGATGAGGGAAAAGAAAAAGCAGAAAACGTCTCTGACCTGGTCCAGTAAGCTGACATTTCCAAGTCTTGGTGCGAGCTTTAACGGTCATCCACTCAAGGTCCCATTCGCAGAGCAGGCTGCACGACTTTATCACCAATTCCTAACGAGATTTACTTGAGGATTTTCGACTACATCCAACCAGCGGAAACCTTCAATTACACACGTGTGTTGTCCGACCTGGCGCTTGTTTGCCGCTTTTTTTGTTTCACGATCCTGCCACGAATCTACAAAAAGCTGGAGTTGGTGGGGAGTGCCCATACCGATTCCACGCCGAATTACTCTGCATTCTGTAGAGCCGTCGTTAAGGATGCAGAACCCGCTCGTACTTTGGCGAAACACGTCCGGGAGTGTGCTTTTCGGGGGTGGACGTGCTCCGACGACCATCTCACCTGGTCCTACAACGCGTTCTTAGGGTTATACTGCAATGCTCTCGGAATGATGTCTGGAATAGAAACCGTCCACCTTCATTCCACACCTATCAGCAGGACGATGCTTAGGACAATCCGGGGCCTCAAGCGTTTAAAAGTATTATCGATATTTTCTTGCACCTTCCAGAATGACGTCACAGAAAAAGATATCGCAAAGCTGTCCTCACTTCGATTAGTCGAGTTTCAGCTGTCAATGTTGCTCGAGCATGCCGGTACATTGAAGGCGCGGGCCCTCATGAAAGCTATCGACCTCTCAAATTTGCAAAGCATCCAAACAGACATGTGGGACCTTGTCTCAAGGCTTGTAGATGAGATGGGAACTATTCCGCTTTGTTTTCTGGACATTTTTTTCCTTCAAGATTGGGCACTCTTCCAAAAGATTTTGAAGAAAACGCCCTTTTTGTCATTTCTAAAAATTCTCCACCTCACAGACCTATCATTCATCAACTCAGATCTTAAAATCGACTCATCTTTGATTCCCACCCTCCAGAACCTTACTTGCCCACCTGACCTTGTGTCGACGTTTGTTCCTGGTCGGCCCATAACTGTCCTGAAGATTTTGACTTCTCGCCAGGTGGTGATGCGCGGTCTTCAACTAGCGGACATCAAATTGATGACAAAGTCATCTGTTATGATACATGAATTGTCGATCTCTGCCACTGCCTATTTCACCTTTTCTGTTTGGGAGCACTTGCCAGCTCTGAAGAAGTTAGAATTGTACCGGACTAACAAGTTCTTGCTTGAGGATGTTGACCTTGTACGCCACCTTCAAAGGGTACATCTCTATACTTATTATCTTCAAGGTCTTGCGAACATTCGCTGACCAGCCTGCCGATCCAAAGCACCCACCAGGTATCCGCGAAGTCACCTTCAGTGTATCGCCGTCGGTACCCCACCTCAATTTCTTCAATCTTCCGTGTCAGCATGAAATCATTTCGACCGTGATGGCTGGGCGTTTTCCAGAGCTAGAAAAGGTTTTTATATCCAAGTACATTGAATGGCGTCGGTCGGACGGTGACGGATGGAGCCCTTCAATAGCTATAACGCACTCGACGCTCCTCGCGGGGAAAATCAAGACGGGAGAATTCACATATTTCGATCATGGCGGGTGTATAGAGCGGTTACTGAATGTCGTCTTTGGCTCACAAGCTCAGACTTAGGTGGGTCAACGTTCATTCTTCGCGCCTTTACGTTTTTGTATTTTCTTGTTCCTCCGTTGTGCGGCAGATTTCTTTCCTACGTCGGCTACCTTTCTTATCAATATTTCTTCTTGGTGAGGTCTGCGTCGTCTTAGTAAAGTTAGATAATTTTTTGTGTGGAGTATACACATTCTGAAAGACCTACTTGTTAGTTATCAAACAATTATCAACGCTCGCGTGATGTCCAAGTTGAACTGCTGAACGGTGAACACCAGCTTGATAAGGATAGGACTTGAGTTGTGCTTTTTCCGTTACTACTTTGTATATATGTCTTGCTCTTTCAAAAAAATTCAAACATGTTTAGTTAGTATATAAAGTACTGCTTGCAGAGTTTTGATGGGATTCATGAAGTGTAGGAATGACACGAAAAGTGAACCCCGCATATCCTGATCCATACGCACATCGTGACCATATATGATACTTACTTGTATGATACGCTGAAACTGAGGTCTCGCAGCGCTAGGCTTGAGCGGCGCTGCAATGTTACCGGGAAGGTGGAGTAATAGTATAGGCACAAGGTCCGAAACACGAGGCCTCCTCGCTCCTAAGGGAAGTTCCTTGCCGTAATATCCGTATCGTCCGGTGACCACAGGGGAAAAAACCTTGAAAATACAGCAGTCGTGACTCAATGCCCATCATGATTTTCGCAACACTTTGGACTACTATTAAGTTCTGTCAAATTCCTGTCCAAGCTGTTTAAATTGGCCAGAATTAAATTTTGGCATGAGCTCGGACGATCCTAAGATTCAGCGTCAATTTTGGCTGCCAAAGATATTTTTAGTTCGACATGTGATGTTGTGAGTTGTTTCGCAGCCGCTGCTTTTGGCCACCGACCAATTTCTTATCTTTCTTCAGACGGCCACCAATGGTCGCAAACTGCTGCTATTCGAGTTGGCCACGATTTGCTGTCGGGTTATTGCTTGCGCTTCGAACTTACTGGTTGCACGTTCTTTGTCATTCAAGTTGTGCGAAGGCTTGCAACTTGAAATTGCGATGTAAAAATTCATGATACCGGTTCGTGCCTGGTTCCTTCACATTCACCCCTGCGCTCAAACACGGCGTAGCGCCGTGTATGCAATACATAAGAACGCAGGAATGAGGTTGATCCAGGGTCAATCCCACCTTTCTCTTGACATCGATGGCTTCTGCCGCTGGTGGTTTGACTCTGGACGATCTCCCTCTTTCTAAAATTCTGCCCACGCCCAAGACCATAAAGGACCTTCAAAACAAAGTTAATTGGAACTTCAACAATCAGTACGCTCTATAGTCCCCGTGACACTCGCTGTTTCTGAAATATATTCAAAGGTTGTTTAACCCATATCATGTCATCCCCATTGCTGTCCTTGTTGGCCAGACCTTATTGCTCACTTTCTCCTGGGCATTCTTCGCAATGACATTGAGCCAACCAGTCACCCTATCTTATTCGACGGCGACTTACGTGCAGAAGAACTACCAGACGGTAACTTTGATCGTCACCCTTATCGCTACCTTCCTTTCTGTGTGCTCGATGATGTGAGTCTTCGGCGCAACCCTCAGCCGACGCTGTCTGACAGCATCGTGCCTTAGTTTATATGCGGGCGCTATTCGATACGCATTGGCCAGAACCCTCGCAGGGTCCAGCACCACGTTGTATGTAATTTTTGCATCGATACATATCTCCAAAGCCACTCCAATCAAAAACCTAATTCGTCCTCACTGGACTCTTCTCTCACTTGTATGCGCGTTGGCTGTGAACTTTCAAACTGCGGGGTACGGCCCTTTTTGCAAAAACATAAACTCCTTCAATTAACGATGAATGCGCAGATTTACTACCCTTTTACTGCCGAAACCGATATCCCTCCCGACAACAATGTTGGGAACCGAGCTTGATATGAGCAGCCCACCCTTTCAAGCCCTTATGGTCACTAACGCAGCAAAACTTGTTCCTGGAAAGTGTATCCTTGCTTCACGCCGACCTTTTCTAACTTCGCTCCGCTCTTTAGATTATTTCGCACATGTCCTATCTCTGTCGGAAGCCAGTGGTACCAATGTCGCTAGCACTCGTTTTGCTCTGCCCAGTTTCCTCAACTTCAACCATTTTTCGTATGCTAACGGCACCAGTAAGCGTTCGACTTTCTCATAACACCATAAACTCTGACTGCTTTTGGTAAAGTGGGTGTCTTACCGCATTCACTGGAAGACGTCAACAGCAACCTGTTATCTTCTACTGGTAATATCGTCCCGTCAACCGTGAGCACGAGAAATAAGCAAGGGCAAGTCGTTCAACCAAAGCAAGCACCAGCTGGTCTCCCTGTTCAATACACGGTTATCCAACAAGGCTTCACAGCCGATGTATCCTGTAGCACGCAAGTATTGAACGCAACCACTTCGCCCAGCGTAGTGTTGAGTTCAATCACAAACAAAATTTTCGACACAAACCTGACCCTGGCGCAATTGGCAGTGGTGTGCCCCGGTGACACAGTTGTCGGCACCTCAAGTATGGCCTTCATTCCCTTTTTTGGGTTCAACTGAATCATGTCTTTGGATATCTCCAGCGCCCGTTATAACTTCAGTCAACGTGGATGCGGTCTATGGGGCAGTCTGCGGGCCGTACAACAATACACAAGGCAGGCAGCAATGGAGTAAATTCAATTCCCGTATCTGTGTCTGTGCCATGGTGCTAATCGTCGCGTTCAAATTAGACCTCGTTTTGACTGGTTCGGGAATGTATAAGCCATTTGGGACAGTTATATGCAGCGTATTCCCCAAAATCACCACTATCGCCGTCGATTACAGCGTCAACAGCAAGCTATTCAACTCTACTTCTCCAAACTTCCTCAATTCTTCGCACCCAGTCATTTCGTCGATGGACGCGCCGTGGCTTGGTGATTTTGCAACCGGCATTTTCTTGCAGGGCTTGTACGTCGGGCAGGGCATTCTGGGTAATTCGATGGGTGATAGTATTTTGGCATTCTGGCAAGCTTTGCCAGACCCAGTTCAATTTGCGAACGAAGTGATGGTGAGCTCCCCTCGACGATATAAATCTTATTCCCGCTCAAACCGCATTTTTCTTTTATCAGGCGGATTATATCAGAGGAGTGCTTGAGCTCAGCGGAACCGTGAGCGAAATCGTATTGCGTTTGGTGTATGACAATAATCGTAACGTTTTATAGCTTCTCCGTACCGCGTATGCAGAAGATGGAAATGGGCTGTTCCCGAACGGGAGCAGCACCCCTCCAGCAAATATGCTGGTGACGACCAACGGAACCCACTCGGTGACGACTATTGGGTGGCACCAGAATCCTGCAACGTCGGCTGGAATCCTCGTCGCGCCGACATTCGTCTCTCTGATGTCCATGATACTCATCTTAGTCATCTTGTTTAAAAGGCGACACCATCCCGAGCCTCGCACGAATCATTATTTCGATCCTGGCGATGTCCTGCACATCATGTCCGCGGCAACAGCCGGAGGGTTGGCGCACAAATTGCCTTCTCTTGACGAAAAAAGTGTTAGGAATAGTGACAAGATGCGGATTGCTCTAGCGCCGGTAGACGGAGAGAATAGCAGGCCGGGATTCGTTCTTCTTCATGATGAGAATGATAATGGAGGTAACTCTCCAACTGATCCTGACGGATACACGAGTGTACCACAAACCTAGGCCTATATGATGATTACACGATACTGCTATGATATACGACCTGCTACTACATTACTTTTTGGGAAATTACTTTTTGGATGTTGGGACTATTGTGCAGAAATGTGATTAATTCGTTCTTCACAGAATGAATATACAATGGCAATGATCTACTTGACTTCTCTGGAAGTTGAAGGCGCGGCTGCGTGATTTGGTAAAATTCAAATGCATAATGATACATAGCTGGAAGAACGTTCGTTATGCAGATATAGGGGTTGCGCGCCTCCCAGTGATACAGAACTAGATTGGTGTTTCTATTTTCTCGACGAAAGGAAAACTACAATCGAATGCGGATAATACAATGACGACAATCATTTACTTTCTTCTCGTTTTCACATACATAAAAACCACAGCTTATGAGATTACCTTTGAGTGCTCCATCAACGGCCGAAACGTCCCGAACGGTCCAACTCGAAAAAATTAAGCAGAGATCTTCTTCTTGAGCAGATCCTTGAGGGTCTGGCCATCCTCAGCGAATTTCTTGATACCCTCATGCAACTTATCAAACGCCATCTGTTCCTGGAGCAGGGCCCAGCGGAACTCGGGCTCGTTGTCGATGAAGGTGACTTTGGGGATCGGTTCGGCTTCGGCGGCTATTTTCAAATCGGAAATTCCATTAGCCATACGTCATCGCATAGAATCCCGGCCCGGTAGACCGAGCGGAAAGATAACGTACCAGCACTGGCCTCGAGTCTTCGTGGAACGGGATCATTGGACTTTTTGAGTTCTTCAAGAAGGGCAGGGGAGATGGTCAAGAAGTCAACACCAGCAAGAGACTTGATTTCGCCGACCTGAAGTTAATCCATGAGATATCTGCGATTGGCTTGCGAAGGACATCTAAACGCACGTTACGGAAGGAAGCACCCATGACGATGGTCTTGTAGCCATGTTGCTTGTAGTAGTTGTAAATCTTCTTGACAGACTGGACACCGGGATCGGCATCGCCTTCGTAGGTCTTTCCGGTGCTTTTCTTGTACCAGTCGAGGATCTATCGAAGTGGCGATGAGAGAAATCCTAGTCGGAATGGGAATGAGACTTACACGCCCGACAAAGGGTGAGATCAAGGTAACTCCGGCTTCTGCGCAGGCAACGGCTTGTCCAAAGCCGAAGAGGAGGGTGAGGTTGCAGTGAATGCCGTCATCTCTTTCGAGTTCGCGGGCAGCCTGGATACCCTCCCAGGTTGAAGCGATTTTGATAAGGACGCGCTCTTTCTTGATGCCGACAGAATCGTATAAAGCGATCAGCTCCTTAGCCTGGAATCTGGTGTAAGATTGAAGGTGGACGGAAGCTGGTAACACGAACCTTGGCCTTGGTGGCCTCCTTATCGAAGGAAAGGCGGGCATCAACCTCTGTCGACACACGGCCCGGAATGATGGCCAAGATTTCTTTTCCGAATTCGACGAGCTGAAAGACAAAATTTTCAGCAAGTTTTTCTGTACTGTGGCAGTATCACTCACGAGTCTGTCCGTTGCCGCTTGGGTCTGCTCATCGATCGTCTTCCCCTTCTTCTTTCCATACTCGACAGCGGCATCGATGAGGCGGGCATAGCCAGGCTTGTCAGTGGCGGCCAGAATCAAGGAGGGGTTCGTCGTGGCATCCTATAACCCGTCGTGAGCGACGCACCGGATTCAGCATTGCAAACGAAATTTACCTGGGGCTTGTAGACATCGATAGCTACATCAAGGTGATTAGAAGCTCTACATTGAGGCGCAGCAGTGAGGACTCACACTCGAAATCGCCGCTGTCAGAGACGACGACGGTACCGGTTTGTTTGAGGAGATCAAGAGAGTTGGACATGATGGTTGCGGATAAAGAAGCGGAATTTCTCTCCAAATATATGTATTCCCAATGATTACTCAGTGATCGAGGCAAATGCCGTGATCACGTGTGGTAATATCTGACGTCGTACCACGTGAGCGATCCAAGAGCGATCCCCCTTCTTCAAAACCAACCGAAAAACCTAACTTGAACAACTGTGTCCTGACTTGTATCACAGTTCAGTCAGGAGAATCTCCCTCGCAAAAAACTTAGCTTTTGTGTATCTTGCGTCCTTCGGAATTTCTCGTTCTGAACGTGCGTGGATCCGACTCTAGCCTGAGACACGTTCATCGGGGCGTACACGTCGAATCCCACACAGGTACCGGTGCACCAATGCGAAATTGAAGCAAATGATAGGGTATACGTTCTCCTTCTGTTGAATGCATTGGTCCTTCCCACCAGCTTCATTGGCTGCCTCTTGGGCTCCACCATGACTTTGTTTCGTGTCTCATTTTATTGCGCTCTCAATGTTCTTTCTGCGGCCCAGGATACTGGTTCGTGCTGTTGGCAAAATTTAGCGCTTGTCTATTGTCACCTCTCGGCTGACTCTTAGCTTCGTGTCTAATTCTACTGCTCTCTCCATGTTCTCTCTGCGGCCCAGTATGCTGGTTCCTGCTGTTGGAAAATTTTACCGCTTGTTTATTGTCACTTCTCGGCTGACTCTTAATCTCTTCCCACCATGATCTTGTTTCGTGTCTAATTCTACTACGCTCTCCATGTTCTTTCTGCGCCTAGGATACTGTTGACAAACTTTAGCGCCTGTTTATCGTCACTTCTTGGCTGCCTCTTAGCCTTTTCCCACCATGATTTTGTTTCGTGTCTGATTTAAATGCGGCCCAGTGTGCTGGTTCCGTTTGTTGGAAAAATCTAGCGCTTGTTTATTGTCACCTCTCGACTGACTCTTAGTCTCTTCCCCCATGCTTTTGTTTCGTGTCTAATTTTACTATGCTCTCCATCTTCTGTCTGCGGCCCAGGATACTGGTTCGTGCTGTTGGAAAACTTTAGCGCTTGTTTATTGTCACTTCAAGCACAGTCGACTGGTGGAAGGACCTTCGGATACGTCTATTGACTCGATTTCTCAGTCTCAGCAGAGGCTCTTTGATTTTTTTCTCCAAGGTTTCACAAATTCCAATCGTTTCGACTGCCACGAGCGTTCACAAGATCGACTTGGCGATTGCTGCGATCACTTAGGCTTCGCAGTAAGTGAAATCTTTGACTGGCTATCCTTTTGTGAAGGAGCGATAACATCATGCTTTGTTCCATAACAGAGTTATTGTTCGAGTCAGTCCTGGTCCATATAACTTTTGACGGTGCTAACGAAGCTCCGCTAGAACCTATGTCGCCTCAATAAATAATTCAGATGGCGGATCCGAGTAAGTATTCCGATATGACTCGAATTACAAGAACGTAGTTCTAAGGTGTGGTGCCGCGTATCCGCTATCTGAAGCCGATGTCGAGTCATGAATTATTGTCAGAAACGAAAAATTCACAAATATGGTAGCTTCCCCGACGCCAGGATCCCGTTAGGCACGAAAGCTATCAACGGTGATATGCGAAGATGAAAATCCGTGGTCGGCGTTTCAGCACTTCGCCGTCCGCATCAGCCTGGAGAAGGACGATAATAGGCTTGGGATGCTAACGAAAGCTACAGGTGGTCCTATCACAGAATACAAGGAAGAACTGAATTGCACACTGGGTGGGCGCTCGGCGAAGGCAGTGAGACGCTGTGTTTCCTCAAAAACGTGGTGATTTTAAGCCTTTCCCATGGGTATAATAATCGTCAAAATTCCTTCCATTTTTTAGCACGCGAGGTTTCGTAAAAACGATCTCTATTGTCACGGAGACTCGGGGTTTCGTGAAGCGCGCAGTTGAGAGACGCACATGACACGACAGAACGCGATCACAATATGTTTCCAAAATTGGAAATACTTTTGACATGACTCCTTAGCACCGCCATGACCCCGACAGTGGGACAGAGTTCCTCTGCCTCCAGCCTCCATATCATGAGAAATGGAAGGAACAGCTCCAGTTGTTTCCAAAAATATCCTCTCGTCACCAATGGTCCCCTTCCTTTCCTCCGCTGCGACCCGGTGTGTGCTCATCCGAGTCTTAAGAGGTGCCCCTCATCGATATCCTTTCCTCGCATAACTTGCCGCACGTACTAGGAAAGGGTCGGAATATATCGGTCTCTAATCTCGGTCGGTGTTTCCCCCCTGTTTTTGTCCGACGCTCGAAGAGGACGCAACAAGATCTCTTGGATTCTACTTACTGAACCTGGACGAATACTGCTATCGTGTCCATGACTAGATCTGAGTCGCAACCAAGTTACCCCTGGCCCTTGTTTGAGGTTTTGGTTCCTAGGTCGATTTGAATCAGGCCGTTTAAAAGGAGTCGCGTGGATGGAATCGGCGTGTTATCCAGTTCCATCTTTATCCCTAAGTTCGAATTCTCTTCTTCTGTTCATATTCTTAATTCTTATGTCACGACACCATCACTACCACGCATCGACCTCACGCGCTGCTGCTGCTTCGCCGCCTGTTATCACACTGTACGACGTTCCCGGCCATACTCCACAACCATGGGCTCCACACATTTGGCGTGTACGGTACGTCGTGACTCATATATAGTCGCGTCCAATATAGAGCTGACTTACGTTAGGTTTATTCTGAACTATAAACGTCTATTGTACCGAACAGTATGGGTCGAGTTCCCTGACGTCGAAGCCACACTACGGTCTATCAAAGCGCAGCCAACCGGTATGCGAAGCGATGGTCGACCCGTTTACACTCTTCCAGTCGTTGTTGACCCCATGCGTAATCCCACCAATCCTGTCGTAGTTTCCAACCCCAACGAAATCGCCGAGTATCTCGAATCTGCATACCCTGCGCGTCCCGTCTTTCCAGAGGGGTCTCGCGCACTCCAGACGCTCTTCGTGCACTTCATTCAGGAAGTGTTTTCGAAGCCGCTGCTGCCTATCATGGTGCCATTGAGTCACCATCAGCTGCCTGACCGGTCTCAGGCGCATTTTCGGGGCGGGGCACCAGTTCCTCCTCAGTTACTAGCTGCTGGGCCGCAGCGCGAGCAGGCGTGGCTGGCCGTCAAGGACCAATTCGATTTCCTAGCTAGGATCTTGGAAAAAAATTGCCTTGATGGGGACGGTGTCGTGGTTATGGGCCACGACGTCACCTATGCGGATTTTGCGCTCTGCTCGGTTTTGATTTGGATTGAGAGGATGGCGGCGCATGACGGGTGGACGAGAGTACGCACCTGGAATAATGGGAGGTGGAACCGCCTCTGGGAAAGGTGCAAGGATTATATGGATGAGTATTAATTCAACAGGAAACCAATCATCGATCGGGTTCTTTTATTTTCGTTCTCTGGCCGAAGTCGGGACAAGGCCTCCACTCGCAAAATTATCTGATCATTCATTATTCCACCAGACATTCTAAGCTATCACTCCATCGAACACTATTGTTATCTTTTGTATCCTCTTTGACCTACCAACCTTCTGTAGCCACCACCCTCACCTACCGCTGTATTTTTAGAATTTCTTCTTGAACTCGAAACCGTAGTCACAAATTTATCTGGTACACATGCAGCAAAATAGAGATTACGCAGTTGACAATCAATAAAACATCCATTGCATGGGACGCAAAGCCTGAATGCTGAGTCCGCAGGCAACCAAACGTGAGAGCGGAGCCGTGGTCTGGACTCTTCAATATCTTCTTGCAGCGCGGGTTCTGCACATGGTGTGATAGGGACTTTACAGTCCGGCTGCGTTGATACGGGAGAATACTTCACAAGGTGGGGTTGGTACGCATTGTAGATCACCGCCGGCCTTGAGTTTTAACTTAAACGGCAAAGCATCCCCTATTGCGCAATGGCTATCATCTAAACACGCCGACCGCCAAAGAAGAGCGGGGAAATTTGCCATAGAGGTCCCCGAGTAATCGCTGATTCACCGCCCGGTTGTTCGGAAGAATCCACACTGCGAGTCGTGAGATGCAACGGTGTTTATAGAGAAAGAAAGTAGGAAAATTGATTGTACACAGGATAGATAAGACAGTGATGCTCATTGAAGACTCTTGATAAAGTCAAGAGCAAGTTTGGGACTGATAAACAATAAAGATTAACTCCCAAGGTATAAAATTCAAGTTTAACATGAAGACAAACCTATCAGCAGGTTTTACTGGGATTTTCTTATCTACCAGTTTGCCCCCTTGCTCAAAGATAAAATGGCTCCTCTTAGTCTTCCCGCCTTCGCCTGCGCCCAAGGCAGAAATCAGTAACCTCTTCGGGTCAGACAGCAGGGGATACGGAAGCTCTTTCTAGAAGAGGGAAATAGGGTCTGAGTGCAGGGTGCCGCGGGAAAGTAAACCAAGACTCACCTTCGTCTGCCACTTTGTCTGTGCAGCAGGGGTGTCTGCGCTCAAGCAGTAGACATCGTAGTTTAATGAAGTGAAATCAGGGTAAATATCGCGGAAGCCACAAGCTTGGTTTGTGCACCCAGCTAAAAACGTGGCACGCGCCGTGTTGAGGATCCACACGAAATCGCCCTAGGCAAGCCAATACGTACGGGTATCTGCCTTGGGCACCAAGAAGAGGATAACGCCCTTCTCCGACGCCAGGTTTTCGACCTGAACATCCTCGCCCTTCTCGTTTTTGAGCGTGAGGCTTGGTAGGCTGTCGCCAATGTCTATCGTGGCCAATGTTGGGTTTCCTTCGTCTTCATCCTCAGCCGCAGTAGCTTTAGCCTAGTATTACGTTCGAGTATCAGGAAAGCACCCCACGAACACGAGAGAAGAGCCCCGAGATAGAGCGAGCGTGTGTGCACCTTTTTCACAGTCGATGGTTCAGCCTCCTTCGTGGCGTCCACCGTCTCCGCAGCTGGTCTCTTCTTGGACGCGACGGCTTTCTTAGGTTTGGGCTGTGCAGACTCGGCAGTTGGCAACGCTGCTATACGCCCCGAGCGTCTGGGGGGATCAGCGTCGTTTTCAGTGGTTTTAGTGCGTGGGGGCATGATGGTATCGGTTGAAGAGCAAAAGACGCCAGCAGTTAGTCAGAGTAACCTATATATATGGTTGCACTATCTACACAACATCAGGCACATCCCCCTCATGCTGTTGTCGACTTGGTGATATCTTCCCGAGCACGTTGCGACATCTGACCTTTTTTCGCCCTAGCTGACGCCATGTGCCTAGAATTTTGCCAGACGTGATGAATGGGAAAGAAGTTTAGATATGCAGATTCATTATCATCAGCAAAGCAAGGTAGGTACGTCGATATCCAACAATTATGCTCGACGCGGGTCGTGCCACCTTGTGTAAAGTAATGTACTTGGCGGTCCAGGAACGTGGGAAGGGGATAGCGAAGAGACGTTATCGAAACCTCCAAATGTTATGACCCTATCCGCCGGGAAAGAAAGAAGGTGTTATCCAGTGTCGTGTTTGTAGGTGAGGGTGCCCTGTGAAAGCCAATCGTCGAAGCAGTTGTGAGCATGGCCCTTGAAGATTGTGTATCATAGCTTACCCAAATTCAGTCATTCAAGACTCCACATTGGGTGAACTTTGACTTCGTGGAAAATAAGGTCTTCCAGAAGCCCCAGGCGACGTCGGTGATAAACTCAACGTCGCAGATACGAGACTCTCGACGACAGGCCCGTTCAGATCAGGATGGTCTGTCCCAACAGGTGATATGAGACTCATGATCGAGGAGGAGGTGGACCTGGTGCGTGAAATGTATGGGCGAGGCGATGGTTTGGGTGTCTCAATGGTAGGAGAGGGATCGGAGGGAGGTACTGATGATGTGGACCGTTGGTCCTCAAAGTTCATGCTCCCCGGGATTATCTCTATCCCAAAATCATCAGTCAAAGGGCGTGGAGGGGGTCGCTCCACCATGGCCTCTAGCAGCTAAGATAGGTAGATCTGTTGAGCGATATTTTCGAAAAGGTGGGAAATTAAAGTACCTCTTTCCGTAACTCTTCACCAGCATACTCCCCCTCCATCTCCTCAGGGCCAAGGAGAATTGTTCCCCTTCTAAACACCTCGCCCTCTTCCTCTACCCAACTACGTGATCTATTGAAACGATCATCACTCACCAGACTTACATAGAGGGGGGACCAACACTTACCGATCAGTTGGCGAAGTGACCTCCTCAAGATGCTCTGGGGCGATCACATATCGCCTGCCATCTTCATCCTCGTCCTCTGACGATTCCGCGATCAAGAAGGTCGGACTGAGGACCTTCTCAGGAACCTCTGGCTCTGGCTCAGCCTTCCGCTTTCCTTTGTCGATTCTGGGGGTCGTCGGTGTGTCATCATCATCCTCTCCCTCAGGGAAATGCCCATTAGCATGACCATTCAAGAACGCAGGTGAGCCGTTTGCCAATGTGGTATCGCCGCCCACTGGTTCAATACCAGGGAGCGACAGACCCAAACCATATAATGTCAGGGTCGGCTTGCCACCTCCAGGTACCTTCTTCAGCAACGCAAGTAGTTGGTCGTTAATTCCAAGCAATTCCTCCATCTGTATTGGGTCTTCAGTCTCCTGAATAACCGTCGTTAACTCGTTAACCACAACCCGTGCTTTCGTGGCCGCGTCCGCTATGTGTTCCGGATTCACAGTTGAAGATGGAGCCGCCGTGACATTGGCTAATGATGTAAGGCAAGCTCGTGCTCTGACCACAACATCACTCTCGATCTGTGGCCGGTGAGGGAGTGGACTGGTTGACAGAATCAAAAACACGTACCTTCTTCTCTTCATCCTTCCTAATCGACTTGGCAAGCTCGCTCTCTTCGATCATGCCCCATACGCCTTTACCCAGTCCCCGCCCACTACCAGTGCTTGATCCCTCTGCCCCTTTCGTTATCCTTTCGGCCTCTTCAGTATTCCTGACACAAGAATTCAGGATCTCTCTGCACATCCTATAGCAACGTTAACAGCGCCTTTTGGCAAACCCAGAGCACGTAAACCACAAACCTAGCGAACTCCTCATCACCCGGCGGAATGTTCACGTCCAGGCATCGCATAACATGATTGGCCTTCAGCCCTGAGCTCAGGGCCATAACTCCAGCGATATCGAAGCCATTCATGGTGAGGTCCAGGTGGAGCAGGGACGTTGACTCTGGAAGAAATTCTGCCAAAGCAATGGCGCCTGCGGATGTCATTGAAGTCGAGGATAAAAAGAGACGTTTCAGCGCCGTGTTGAGAGTGAACGCGGTCCTTAGAGATTGGATCTATGTAGAGAGTTAGGTGGAGTTAGAAGATATGATGACGACATTTACCCCTTCAAGACCAGGACCAGAACATGGATTTTTGTTCAAGTCAAGTGTCTCTAGACTGGAGTTGTATTTCTGTTACAAAGGAAAAGTTACTTCAAGGACAAGAGGAGAAGAATTAGGCTAACCAACGCCTCCGCGATGATCACCAAGCACTGAACATCCAGCTTATTCTCGCTCAGATTTAGTACCTTCAAAGTGCGATTCCGCTTTAGCACTTGAGCAATGTATGTTATTCCAGTCTATGAAACAGGAAATTTTGAGCAACCATTAAATGCAAGTGTGTCAACTCACGCGTAAGTCATTCCCCTTGAGGTCCAAGGTTCTCAGTGCCCCAAGACGAGGCAAATTATCTAGTGCTCGGATATTATCTAGGAGCGCGGCACTCGGCCCACTATCGTGGTGAGAGTTATGTATTGGGGTAGCAGGACTACTCGGCGCTGGATGTCGCGTAGTTACCCCACCTTGAGAGGAGGATGTGATAATGGGGATATGTTGACCGGAAGGCGACAGTGGGTTGGCTGAGCTAGCAACTAATCTGCGAGCGCGCGGTACGTATGGGGTATATGTTGTCTGCATGCTGACAGCTGGGTGTCGTGGAGGAGGAGCTGGAGGCCCTGTCCGTGACGGTGCTAACGGGCTTGGGCTTGCAACCGTCGGTGTACTTGGCGGCGACATCAGGACGTTGGGGAGGTTGACAAAAGATGACGTGGGTGATGAGGACGCGGAGGATGTGGGTGTTCCAGATGGGGCTGGGGAAAGCGGTGTGGGCACGATGTCGGGATAGTCTCTTATCATGAGTGCGAGTGCTACACCTCCTGAGGCGGAAATCCGGTTATGCCGTAGGGAGATGTTGCGTAATGACGACGTGCGGACTGCGCGACAAAGCGTTTCGAGAGCCGCCGGTCGTAGTGCACAGTCGTCCAAGCGAAGAGAAACCAAGCCGGCTTCAGGGGCTGTTGCCAACGCAGCGACAATGTATTCAATCGCTTTCTTATCCAAAGGGTTCTGTGAAAGGTCGAGAAACTGCAAGCTTTTCGCCTACTTTATTTTTCAGCATATTGTCAAGGTAACTAGAGTCGCTTGACACACCTTTTTAACGTATGCACCAACGAGTCGAAAAGCAGCCGCTTTCAATCGTCGATTTGACGCGATCGACAGAAATGAAAGCGTCCCCGGTATTAATAAGGCATGCAGTATTGGTTTCAAAGTCTATCAGCAAGTCAGTAAGGCACACGGTGGAGGAGGACAATGTGACGAAAAAGCAAGCCTTCCTCGAGAAAGAATATCCGGACCGCGGTATCCCACAGACACGGCGTCTTTGAAAGCGAATGGAATAAGACGCACATGCTCATCTAGGTCGCATTCACGGAATACCAGCTTCCGTAAACCCCACTCGATGTTGAAGACATCCGACAGGATAGACGCCGAATTGAACGTGAGCTGGACGCCCGAGAAGTCGACGGTCCTTGGACTCGATGGTGAGGCATGCTGAACAAATGGGAGCTCAGACTACGAGAAAATGCTTCAAAGATTGTTCACGTACCTTGAGTGCCACGGTGATGGCTGGATCTGGCTCCTCTTCACAGCCTGCACAACACTCCCGATAGAAAGATTCAACCTTATCCATCGACCACCATTCTTCCACATCCTGGCCTCCAGGGCTACCCGTAGAATTCCCTCGGACGACCCGTTTACGGCGCTCCTGCTCCCGATCCTCGATAGCTCTCTTCTCTTCCTTCAACGTTGGAGTCGACGGTGGGTTTATAGAAGATATTGGGTAGACAGTAGCTATCTGGGGGAGAATGAAATGGGCCCTTTTCAAAGGTTTTGCATCTTCGGTGGGTGCCGCTTGTGGCTGGGTCTGCGTTGGCAGAAACCTTGTGATCCTGGAGAAGATGGATGCTTGGGCTTGTGGTGGACGTTTTAGGATAGACTTTCCTGCTACAGGTATTGTCACTGCAGACGACGACGGTAAGCATGACGGCGTGGATGAGGACGAGGATGCTGCCATGGTCATTGGCGGGTGTGGTCACGACGTTCAAGGTTGTGACAGAAAACAGTTATGAAGCCAAGATCACTTTCATCAGCTTTCATCATCACAACATAGTTGAGCATTTTTCATCTCAATCTCTATGATATTAACGGCTACCAGCTCCAGCTTGACCTTTAAAGTGCTTTCGGGGATATCATCTTACTCCACACAATCGTTATGGACCACAACCTAAAAAAAGACGGCTTCAACACCAAGCTTCCAGACCACCATCACGCCCGATATCTAATTCTTCAGGACTATGTCGTACGAACGAGGTACATGCTCAATGCCATCTGATAAGGGCGTCCGTGTTGATTGAAAAGTTGTTGGCGGCTAACGAGTTACGACATGAAGGAATTTCCCAGATTCCAGGACAATCGAAGTAACGGTTGGCCCATCGACGCACCGATGTTTTCCCTCCGAGACGCGATTTCGGGGCTGTCACCAGCGAAATACAGCGGGGTGAATGGTCGGATTATACTGAATGCCTAAAAATACAACCAAAAATTTACGATAGCGGAGAATCATGGGGCTGGATCAAGCGGCTCCTTTCGATCTATCGTCGTGAAGGGCCGTTGCAAATTTCTCGGGAGAGTTCTACGCGCAATACTTTATCGATGCGTTTCGGGTCAACAGGATGAACGGCTCACCTTTGATCTCCTGAAGAATCTTTTTGACATCTAGAGTCCCGCCTGACTGCGACAACCTTCCATACACCACCTTCCATAATAACTCCAGGAATCCCACTTCTAGCCTCCACCCTTCCGAATAAGCGATTATCAGTTTCGGAACCCAGTTCTTCATCTGGCTGCCGCTCGGTTAAACACGTTAATGAATGAGACGTCCGTACGCCTAAGCAGACGAGGATGGCGACTATAGAGAGCAGGCAGATAAAGACAAAATCGGAGAGACCAGCTGATTCAATGGCGAAAAGTAATTTGGCAATGTAAGCTCGAACGGTGGCGAGGACGATAGCGAGGACGACCATTCCGGTCATGAAGAATTCTTCCACAGCGGCCATAAATTCAGATGGTGAGACCGCCATGGTAAGGTTACGTTGGTGAGCTCGGGGCGCGACGTTTGAGGCTACCAGCCGAACGTTGATTGGTGATATGTGACCAAGCGTCTGACGTCCTGTCTCACCTTTATATGTGGAGACGGCCCGCGAGTCATCGATTTATCCCTGGATTTTCCTCGTATGGACGTGTTGCATTCATCAATCTGACGCATCATGCACAGGCGTTAGTACTTCCGGGGCATACGGCGCTTTCTTTGTTAACCAATCGATGAATTCCCATTGGTGACGGTTTGGGCGTCAACAAGCGTCAACGAGTCCTTCTGGAAGTCGAATCGACAGGGTAGAACATTGCATGGCCTTTTGCACCAGCGTCCACATGGGTGCTTCGCCGAATACGATTACCGGCGATCAACGCACTCGGTGAGGCCTAATTTCATGCCGCCTCGAGGTTGTGCAATGTGCAGGTGGTGACCATCATTGAGATAAGAAGACTGGCATTGATCTCTTAACCAGCTATGGAGTCATCTAAAAGGAGGACAGTGGGAGGAGAAGGGGAGTTCCAGCAAGAGCCGGGTGTCGCTTCTGGGCTAATAGTGCTGCGGACTTCATACAATTTGAATTCTGTGCTGCGATATCATCATCTGCGCAGCGGCCTATGACGACAACGAATCAACAAATTTTCACCACGTTTGAGGCCAAACCCGCCGCTTAGCGAGAATCTCGAAGCAATATATCGGAATTTTTTTTTTTTCAAGACACGTCTTGCAGGCGGAGATAATTCTGAGAGCGGAAACAACTAACATCTTTATGGATGGCCTAGGAATGCAAAATCTTCTACAATAAGCCCAAACATAAAAGAAGGGACAAAACGGGTTTCCACGCCAAAAGGTGCGTCCGGGCGCGAGCAATGCACAACACTCATGACGTTAATTCCGTAACCCGTTTCAGACGGACAATGGGGTTGCAATGGGGGCCGAAGAAGGAAGATTTTATTGAAGTGAGCGCTCTCAAATACAACATCAAGCATTTGAGAACAAAGGAGAAGACGAGCGTATCCCTTATCGCAAGCCGATTCTACCTGACGGCGTCGGACAACTTCAGGCTGGCCAGCCCGGCCATGGCAAGTTGGAATCTTATTGCCTTTTTGAGCACCTGTATATTTGTCAAATCAAGCAAAACCAAACACTGTACACAAGTAACTCTTTTAGTTTTCGGTTTTCAAACTCTTGAATTTCTCAAAGGTCTTCATATCCCTTCAGATCCATGATCCGTTGTAGAGGGCCACTTCAATTGCCAGGACATCTTCCCTGCATTGTTTGACTTGCAAGAGTCGCCTGATCCGGACTCGCAGAAGCTTGCAGCCACGTGAATACTAACGTGCTTCTTCTTCCCCATACTTTCGCCGACACAGCCCCGTGGGACGTACTCATCAGGCAATTCGCTTCACTGATGTAGTGATGTACACGTGGCTACTGAAACCTTTAGATTTATATAAAGCGTGCGCCCAATGCCAGACCAATTTTCCTTTCCTCCCACATCTTCCACCAACGCTCGGGAAATTCTAGAAGGATGTTCGTCGCAAACATACTGTCGCTTACAGCCGCCCTTTTTGCGCCTTCTGTTTACGCCGGTGTTATAGCGTCCCAATCTAGCCTTCCGTACAATTTTACCCTGGCCGCACTCAACTCATCCTTACCAAACGCGAACTACACAGGGGCGCCATTGGTCCTCGGTCAAAACGGTCAGTTACTAAGGTCTTGGTCTTCGTTGATTGCTTCAATATTCACGCTCTGGATGCTGCCTAGGTGCCAGCACAGGAGTTTCATTCTACGTGACGTCTGTATGTATCATTTTTACCTCACACGCATAAGGTTCCAAAACGCGCTTAATAGACACACGCATCCTATCCTTACAACGATTATCCCACGTTGGCTCTACGGGATAATATCTTAAAAGCTTATAGAACCTCTGGACCGTCGATAACCAACGCAACGGAGGTACAGAGTGGCGGAGAACTTGTTTGGATTACCACTACGCAAGGCCATGCAGGCTCGGAGAACTATTCGGTTATAAAAGCTCCCGCCTATCGCTTTCCCGTTCTCGCCGCTCATGGCATACACGACCTTTGGTCATTATGCCCCTTCCAAGGAGGCCAAACAAATGTTGTATTCAATGTCTCGACTGATCAACCTAACGCGGGGTCCGATCCATCACAATGTTATCAAGTCATAATCAATGTGGTTCCAATCCCTCAATCTTACTAGGTCCTTTGCGAGTCCTTCCATCACTCAGAATTATGCACCTTATTCTAACTTTTTAGCATAGAGGGACAGCCTGCTAAGAACCCGGTTCCCTCGCAATTTATTTCCAAAAAATTCGTCATTACGAAAAGCGGACTTTTAGATACCAGCATCAGGACTTAATTGTATACCTTTAAACTTTCAGTGACGCCTTGTTGTAATATTTTATAACGAAACGGACAAGTGAATGGACTACAGATCAGTAGGGGTATTAGCGTCGTGCATAGCGGGGCGGCGCTTCCGAAAAATACATATCGTAGATTATTACGTCGATAGATGAATGTCAATGGCCTCCTCCACGCAAGGTTACCGTCCCATCTTTGGTCAGCGATATTCTGTAAATCAACCTCGATACAATCACCCTTGTCGCCCAGAAAAATTGCAGAAAAACGCAGCTTCAGCCTATAATTTTATTGAAGGACGTTGGAGGTCCCATCGGCGGCGGAAGATTCACCTTGGATTTTTGCGATTCTTTGATGATGTTCAGCCTGTGTTCACCATCGCCTCAAAGTGACTGTATTATCGTGATCGCCATTGTTGAATGGGTTTTTACGCCAGAGAACCTTCGGGCATCCTGTAAAAAAAAAAAAAATACGTCCAAAATGCCCGGTTTGCTTCGGAGGATGATCGAGAGAGAGAAGCTTGCGGGCCGGTCTGCAGGACAAAATATTCACGTCGGTAAACACAGCAGAATTTGACACATAGGACATACTTATGAAGGTCTAGCATATTTTGAGGAACAGCCTCCCCATTCGGGCTGGTCAGAGAGGACGAGTCTCCCCATAGCAAGATCGCGCTTTTCAAAGTTGTTTCAAAGAGCATGGGAGAAATGCAAGAGTTTTCGATTTCGTGATCGAGTGCCGATTGAAGACGCTCACCAGTGCGTTTCACGAGCCCTAGTATTTTGCTCATCGCAAGGATAATGTCCGCATTTGCATAATTGTTGTCGTTGTCAGTGTGTCTCCTCGTTCGCAAGTACCAGTTGGCTTGCAAGTGTTAAAGTAACGCGCCAAGCAGAGGCAAACAACATGCTGGTTCAACTCATTCAAAACTCATTATCCGAGTCCGTCGGAGTTTCCTAACTTTCCTTCCGACCACGGCAGCCCGCTCAGATACTAAACCTGAATCGAATGTCTACGTTCGCGAGGACAGGTTTTAACGCCTCTGCGTACTCTGCATCGCGTCCCAATTACCCATCCAAACTCTTCGAGTACATCTTCAACTATCATAAACACTCGGGCAGCGCTCGATGGGAGCGAGCGGTTGACTTGGGGTGTGGTACAGGTGAGAAGGGATTTCTGTCGAGCTTGTGTGGTACTCGAGCTTTTAGCTCTTACGCATGAAACGTTTGTTGTCATGCCATTGCCTGAACTAATTGAAAGGATAAAACGTTTCTGACCCAACAATATCCACGCAGGTCAAGCAACTCCACATCTAAGCCCATTTCACGAAGTAATTGGAATAGATCCTTCCGAGGGGATGCTTCAAAGGGCGCGCACTTATGTTACTTCTTTGGATATTGCGCCCAGCGGGAAGGAAGAGAGATTCAAATTCCTCAAAGGTTCGGCCGAAGACCTGCAATTGACCGTCGAAGATGGAAGTGTAGATTTATTGATCGCGGGTACGTTGTCGTGTATTTCTCTCTCGCTTGACCTCATTGGAAGGCAACGAGTTGAGGGTGAAGTGTAACTAACACCTGTGTTCCATCTTTCAAAGCGCAATCTGGACATTGGTTCGATTGGTCAAAAGTTTGGCCAGAAACACAACGTGTTCTGCGTAAAGGAGGAACGGCTGCGTACTGGGTATACCTTATAATAGTTTTTCTCCGAATCCGGCAACTTATGAAGTCAATAGGTCTACGCGGAATTTCGCCTGCCAGCATATCCTTCGCTGACACCGCTGATTACATCCTACCATCAAGGCTCAGATTCCAGGAGTAGCGTTGGAATGTATTTTCAACGTCCAGGAAGGACCATATTGGAGCGGATGTTGGTTGACGTGCCAGACCCCGCCTCTGTACTTGGGGAAAAATCTGAATTGGGGGACGTGCAGAGGATGTACTTTTGCGGTTAGCTATCTGCGTCTCGTTTTCTGGTATCTGATAACGTTAAGTTACGCAGGAACTGATATTCCACCGCCGGTAACATTGCCACCTGGCCACAATCCTCAGCCTTCACTCATGCGTAAAGAAATGAGCTGGCGTGACCTTTTGGGATACTTTAGGACTGCGAGTGCACTTCATACTTATCATGAGAAGCATCCAGAAGATTTGGATTCCGAAGAGGACGCGAGGTTCCTGGCGGACGATATCGAAGCGGACTCGAAGCGGCAAGCCTCAAGGGTGAAGGCGGACGCGGATGACTCGGAAGCCTCGGAAGACATATCTATTCGAGGCGGCGACATTGCCATTCGCTTCTGGAAGGACTTACGACAAGGTGTTTTGGAATCGAACCCAAGTGCCCCAGTAGGAGCCGATGATAAGGTACAAGTGGATTGGCCGTTAGCCCTTATCCTTACAAGACGGAATTGATTATCATGATTCGACGATATGCGACAAATCCAGGTCGTAATTCTCGACTTTTATTGCATTTAAGCGTGAAAGCTGAACCGTTCCACTATCTGACGAGCCAGCCATGCACAAAGGAATAAGTTGCCATTTTTGCAATTGTGCATGAACGAATTCTTCCTTGAGCTGGGGATGATACACCTCTCGAAGGTTCAGAATTAGGCAGCAGCCTACAAGTTTTGACAGTGAAAGCCATCGTTCAATATTTTGTAGAAGCCTATAAAAAGAGAGCCGATCCACTCCGTCCAAGGAGGCGAAATGATCATTTGCACAGGAAAATTACTGTGCATTATCATGCACGGTAATGCGAATACCGTACAAGATTTCACAGTAATTGCCCACTGGTTTGCACAGTGATGACCTGATAGTTGACACGTGCGGCAATAAACAGGGCGACAAAAGAGCCGGAACCCGGTCAGAACCTAGATTAGAGTGCGCGGCAGCATAACTAGCTTTATTTCTGTAGAGCCAAATATGCGGCCTGGCTTTCAATTTCAATGACCCGAAATTAAGAAAGTCCTGGGATTTGCCTGGGACAGAGATACTTTGTCCCCAACAAACCCATATTACGAGTAAGACTCGGAATGCGCGGTTTCTAGCGACAGAATCAAACAGAGTAAGAAAATATTGGGTCCAGTGATGAAGTCATACTTCTCAGATCTCAGGTTTTCACCGGCACGCGGCCGAACCTGTCGGTTTGCAATACATCAGCTGAGGGTGTTGACGTTGAGCGCTGAGCGCTTGAGTGCTGAGCCTTACAAACGTCTTGACACCAGTGCTAGTGATGGACAAACAGTGACTTGTACTGCCTCCGATGGTTTAATGAATTGGGGCTGTGTTCTTATCTCTATATAAAAGGCTCCTCCAATCCATCCGAGTCCCATCTACCGGCTGTCCTCCCTCCAATCGCGCAGCAGCAGCCAACGAGAACTTGCATCAAAAGACCACTATCATCGCGAAGTTCAACGATCGGAATTATGGCAGGAACAAGCTCGTACGGAATCATATCTTATTCCTGGGTTGCCTCTTCTCAAAATTTATGGTGTTGGCATTGATAGAGTAACCTCCTGCGAATCGCATCAGCGCGGTTGTTGTTCAGCTCAGCCTGGGTCAGTCGCAACTTTCCTATCTTGATTCATTGTTTTACTATGACAGGCGTCTCTAGAAATCACCATGATCAAGAGAAAAAGCAACCTACTCCTACGAATGAACCTGAAGAAGACGATGACGAGTAAGTGCGAGTAGCAAAGGCTCACTATTCCATGAGACTCAAACCATCGCTCAGTGATGACCAGTGGGGAGATGGACCAGGCGGGTAGGTGCTGTCGCAAATCCCAGTACATGAGCTGATTGGTCTCCTTGCGTGGTTATCAGAGACCTGGGCGGACGTGGAACGAGGGATAAACCGACCATCGGGGTCAAGGGTAGCAATGATCCTAAATTCCCAACGGAGTTTGTCAAGAAATGAGAGTCATTTTTTTTGACTGTCCTAGAGCTTAGGGTTCTTTGTCATGTATCGCAGAATTCAGATAATTTGAGAGCGGCGGTTTACTGGTGTTGAATTGAGTCGCTCTTGGTAGAGCTGAACGTTCGTAACTCGGAATTTTCGAAGTAGCAGCTTGTCGGTTTCAAACCTGCCACCGACGATCCTGAGAAATAAAACTCCATGAATCGCAAGTAGGCGGCGTAAGGGAAACACTGGCAAGGTGAGTTATTCGAGGATCGAGAATATATTTACCCGCAAAAACGACGTATGTTGGAGAGAGATAAGGTTGGGGCTATGCCAAGCTGAATGGATCCCTTGCCCGCTGGCTTCGGCAAAACACCAATCAAACACCTTGGCTACTGCACTATAATCCGCTGCCAAGGTCCGGTGTTACTGCATGTCGTTGCGGTTACAAGATGCTAGATACTCACTTGTTCCTAAAGTCTTCAATGTTCACAGAGAGAGAATGTCTGCTGATTTTTAAACACATTTTCAGCGTGAACCACGAACTGCTTCCTTTCCTCCATCAACTCGAGTCTTAACTCCTTCGCTTCCTGCATACCAAACGGGAACTCGTCAACCTGCTGGAACACCTGATCCTGCAGCTCACGGGGAAGGTCGCCAATCGCACTCCGCGTATTGACAACCTCCTGCCACCAATCCTTTCGTTGGCAGGGAACATGCGCCGTCGAGATGACTTTGACTGTCGGGTCTACCAGAAAGAGCGCGAGGATCTTCCGGTGCCCTGGTTTCGACCGATCCTCCAACGAGAACGGCTGAACCTGGTGTTGAAGAATGTTGGGGAATGTGATCAGTCGGCCAGCTCGAGTTTCGACGGACCCGACTACTTGCACCGTGGAGTCGCCTTCGGCACACCCGAAAACGTCTTCCAGCCAGTCACTCTGGCTTTGCGGGTAGTTGATCCCTTCTGCGTCATCCTTATCTGATTGTTGGCGGAATGCAAGGCGGCTGTTGGTGATATTCTCGCAGTCATAATAGTATATAGCTGTTGCACATATATGTTCATTCTGCGAATTGACATGTTAGATATGAATATGAAGGCTGTAGGGCCCGAAATGATCTCACTCACCATTTGGCCTTCAACATGCCACTTCCCTCCTTTATACTCCGGTTTCTGCGGGGTTAGGTGGATGTTCGCCAGCTTGACTATGATTTGCAGGGGTTTACCCTCGTAATCCTCCCTCAGGTCAACTAGGTCCCTTGGGTCTTCCGGGATGTATGAAGGAGGTTCAAACGTTCCGGGCTCAGGGAGGACGACACGCCTGTACTCTCGTTCCCACTCGCACCTTCGGTCATTATAATCCTCATCGTCTTCACCTTCCTCTTGCTGTGGCCCCGCGTCACCCGGCAAGTCATCGGGGTCCGGATCGTATTCTACACAGTCGTAGTCTATACGTCTGTAATCTTCGACCCCCAATTTGAGTGGGGATAAAGTCATATTCCACAAAGGAATGGCCCGTGCGATGACTTGCTCAATGACGCTATACAGCCCATGGTACCGCTTCGGATGTAAGTTATTAATGAAGCTCTTGATTCTGCCAGGACTTCATGAGAACACGGAGAGTTAAGAAGTAGTAGATAAACTGACCGGACAGAATTTCCGTCATTCGCCGATATATCCACTTCGCAGGGCAACCACTGAAATTTGTCGCTGAACAACTTTAAGTCGACGGTCCTCCGACTGATCCGTAATCTCTCCGGTGCGACACCACCAGTCATACTAGGTATCACTTCCCCCTCGCCACATCGCTCGATGCAGTCATCCAAAGTGGTCACGCCCTCCTTCAAAATCTTGCTACGACCGTACACGAGCGGAAACAAGCTGGGGTGTACGAGGTCAAGGACGACGTCGTCTGAACCTGGATGCCAGTCTTTGAGACGGTCGGGTATGTCTTCTAGGGGCGCCACGGCTGCGCGCAATGACGCTTGAAGTTCGGGCGGGATCGCGATATCCGATTTGACGACGTCGCCGTTGTAGACAGAAACGAGCCCTCCATTTTCTTGGAAAGCTTTTGCTTTAAATTGCAATTCCGCGATACACCAATCCACCATCTTCTCCGTCATGTCGATCTTCCCAGCTCCTTCGCTGACATTGGGAGGTATTGACGCGTCGGAAGACGCGGGTTGAGCTTGTGATAGCGCCTCTTCCTTCCATTTGGTAGTAATGGTAGAATCGAAAACCTATGTAGCATCGTGCAACTCGGTCGACGGTAACTTCCGAGATATTCTGAGCGCTCACCTTCTTGTCCCAGCCAGGCTTGTCTGTCAGCTGGTCCATAAAGGCCAGCATCGTCATTTCACGCAAAGTGATCAAACGCATCCTGCCAACACCATCGATATCATCATCATTGGCGATTGATATACAATACTCATAATAGCACGTACGAAAAGGCAGCCGCGTCGCTGAGGCAGGAGTTTAGTGTCGTCGGGAATAACTCTGCATTGTCATTCCAGTCCAGAGGACGCCCGAAGCCAGGGAGGTTTCCAAAGTTCGAGTCTTGAGCCATGGGAGATTGACAGCAAACAGAAAAAAAGTCGTTTGATGATCAGTGCAATGCCAGATGGAGTTGGCAGTCACACCGTACCGCACAGGCCACTCCAGATCACCAGAGAAATTGATACTGAATCGGGTAAGATATGTGTGCTATGCCTAGCCAGGCTAGCAGCCGGATCAATTAACGTTGAATGCGACTTGACCAAAGCATCCAACTCAAATCCGATGCTTCTGGTCAGGTAAAGTCTCTCCTAGACAGCCTCGGCATAGCGTGTAGTCGTTCTTTCGTTGATGGTGATGGTCAGGAGGTATGTAGTAGATGTAGTTTGAGGAATGAGGAAGTTGTCGGGCAGGATGAACGTAATGAGCAGCCTCAAGCCTTTTGATCGCAACCGTCAACCACATCGCCCATCTGTCCAATCCACCACTCTTCGCCGTTTCCGTTACAAACCCTACGCAGGTCTACCTTTGGTCGCTTGTTTCCCTCTTCCTGGCTCGCCCGCTCTCTCACTTCAGCTTTGGAAAACGTTGCTTAACAATTTTTTCTCGGAGGAAGCCGCTCGATGGTGTTGCATTAAGTACTTAAATTCAAGCGCAACGCGAAGTCTTGGGGTTTCTTCATTACAACCCCACCCAAATGCAAATTGCTATGCTATGTGGTCTGTGGCAGTCTTCGACTTTGGACTGCACCACAACAGCTTCCCTGTCAACAGGGAGACATGGCCTTGCGGTCACCTCACCGAAAGTGACATCATGAAACAAGGGACGTCTTTCCTCTCAGCCCTGTACCAATGACGGTATGCTGGAGATTGGGATCCATTGAATATAATCATGTCAGTGTTCACAGAGCGAGAACGTATTTCGATTCTCAAACGCATTGCCAGCATCAACGACAAACTTTTTCCTTTCCTCCATCAATTCCAGCCTCAACTCTTTCGCTTCCTCCATACCAAACGGGAATTCTTCAACCTCCTCGAAAACCTGGTCCTGAAGTTCACGCGGAAGGTCGCCAATCGCACTTCGCGTGTTGACAATCTCCTGCCACCAGTCCTTTCGCTGGCAAGGGACATGTGCCGTTGAGATGACTTTGATCGTCGGATCTACGAGGAACAGCGCTAGGAGCTTTCGATGCCCAGGTTTCGAGCGATCTTTTAGCGAGAAAGGCTGGACCTGGTGCTGAAGAATGTTGGGGAAGGTGATCAGCCTGCCGGCTCTCGTCTCCACGGCTCCGACTTGTTGCACGGAGGAGCTACGGTCTTCGCATCCGAAAACCACTTCTAGCCAGTCATTGGTGTTTTGCGGGTAGTTGATGAGCTCAGCGTCGTCCGTTTTCGATTGTTGGCGGAAAGCGAGCTGACTGGTTGTGATGTTTTCACAGTCGTAGTAGTATAAAGCCGTCGCACAAATGTGCTCGTTCTGCAAATGAATTATTCGGGTGCAAGGCGCTCAAGTGGAAGGAGCTCACCATCTGTCCCTCGACATGCCAGCTCCCTCCGTTGTACTCGGGCTTCTCCGGAGTGAGATGAATGTTCGCTAGCTTGACTATAACTTGCAATCCTTTCTCGCCAAAATCTCTCCTCAGATCGACTTGGTCCTTTGAGTCCGTTGTCATATACGGAGGAGGGGCAAATGTTTTGGGCTCAGGAAGGACGACGCGCCGGGTTTCTTCTATCCACTCACTTCTTCGATCCCAGTAGTCGTCTTCATCCTCGCCTTCTTCCTGCTGTGGCCCCTCGTCTTCTGGGAAGCTCTCTGGGTCGGGATCGTATTCGACCCAGTCGTAATCTATACGCCGGTACTTGTCTACCCCCGACCGCAGTGGGGACAGAGTCATGTTCCACAAAGGAATTGCCCGAGCAATGACTTTTTCTATGACCATGTACAGTTCCGAATGCTTCTGTGGGTGTAAATTGTTGATGTAACTCGTAATTCTGCCCAGGTTGCTATGAGAGTTAGAAAGGATGATCGAAATCAACATACTTACCGCACATCATTCCCCGATATATCTACTTCGCAGGGTAACCATTGAAACTTGTTGCTGTAGAGGTTTATGTCGAGGATAGCCCCTTCTACCCTCACCCTTCCTAATGTGGATTCGTCCAATCGAACAGGCAATGTAACGCCTTCTCCGCATTGCTCAATACAGTCATCCAGAGTAGTTACACCCTCCTTCAAAACCTTGCTACGACCATAGACTAGCGGGAACAAGCTGGGATGCACGAGGTCCAGGACAAGCTCGTCCGAACCTGGATGCCAGTCTTTGAGACGGTCGGGCACGTCTTCTAGAGGTTCCACGGCCGCTTTCAACGCAGCTTGGAGATCAGGAGGAATAGCGGCATCCGATTTGACAACGTCGCCATTATACACAGACACGAGTCCCCCATTCTCTTGAAATAGCTTCGCTTTGAATTGCAATTCAGCGAAACACCAATCCACCATCTTCTCGGTGATGCCGACTGATGTATCCTCAGATTGCCTCTCCGAGTTTTCATCGTCATCGGGCGCAGGGTCTTCTCCGTTGACGTTAGTTGCTGACTCTTCTTCTTTGACGTCGTCCACAGGTCCATTCTGAGCTAACGCCTCTTCCTTCCATTTCGCAGTGATGGTGGAATCAAAGACCTAACAGCACAAGCTGGCAGTTCAGCCAACTAGAAATCACGGCAAGACAAAACTCGAAACACCCACCTTGTGCTCCCAGCCTGGCTTATCCGTTAACTGGTTCATGAAGCCCAGCATTGCGAATTCTTGTAGGGTGATCAATCGCATCCTGTCATCGTTCGCGATCGATTTCGAGTTTCAGCCGATAGGGCTCGGAACACGTACTGGAAGGAATTCAGGTTACTGATGTTGGAATTCAAGGCTGTCGGGAACAAGCCCGCTTTTGGACTTGGAGTACCCTCTCCATCTCCGAGCTTCGATGCCTCCGGTTCAGAAACCAGATCGGTAGGAGATGGTGAAGTCCAGGTCAGAGGAAGCCCAAAACCAGGAAGTTTTCCAAAGTTTGAAGCTTGCGCCATGGAAGGTCAGCGTTGAACAAGATCAAAAGGTAGTAGATGGGAGTGATGGATGATAATCGGTGCAGTGGGCAGGCACGTTGAACGCGTGTCCACACCTCAGAGTCAGCTGAAGTCAGGGACTCGGATGATAATGATTCTCGGAGTCGGAAGAGGCTAAGAAGGGCAACATGTGCCTGTATGACATCGTTTGATGATCGAATAATCTGAATGAGGAGCACAACTCAGAAAAGGTGTTTGGGGGGTGGACATGAAATTGACAGTGAAGAATACTTCCAGATAATAAATCTTCATGGAAAAATCGGACAGAAAACGTCTCTTGGCAACGCTGTCGCTAATTTGGACATTCCGGAGTCTCTCCGTAAGCTTGACTCCGTCAACTTCAGCCTCAACCCTTTCGCCCCATTGATCAGGGCTCAGCGCCGGGAAGTCTAGCCAATATTGGGAGTCTTTCAACAGACACAGAGCCTCTCTCCACAAGACGAATGCCTCCACTGCACAGAAAATGCAGCTTTGAGATGACCCTCGCTCAACGAATCGAACACTGCGATGGCTCACAACGAGAGCGGTCTGCCAGCCAGAAAGGAAGCGAAAGGCTCAACCTGGCTCGAAGGATGTTGAAAAAGGTGGTTATGCTAGCTCGCCAGTTCGTCTCCATAGCGCCAAGTCCCAACGTCTTTCACCAAGCGACCGAAAGTCGAGTTGGGCCTTCAGCCGTTGTGCCGATTTTTTGATCCTATCCGCATCTTCCTGGCGCAGTTGCTGGAGGTCCGCCATTCGTTGCACCTAGTAAATGATACTCTCGCAGTTAACCATCGCAAAAGTTGTTCACTCTGCGCTGCAACTGCGCATATCAGTGTTAGCCAGATCCGGAGGTGGGTGTGGGCCAGCCGAGTGTATGACGTGTTCCAAACTCCCCTTCTGTGTCCGAGGCCTCTGCGCTTTCAAGTTAGAGAGCTTCGGACCTCCTAGACTTGGGGGCAAAAAAGCCTGGTCTGACTCTTCAACTTTCTCCTTCAAAATTGATTTTAAGAAGCTAAAGAGTACGTCAACGTTAAACGCTCATCGTCCACCACAGCGGAACATCCTCTTCTCGTTTCCCAGATTGGGAACGTACCTCTTGTGATCAAAATCTTTCATGTAGCTCCTCAACCTACGTAACGCAAATTATTGGGAAATTCAGCAAGGAACAAACCAGCTCACCGGACAAAATCTCCTTCAGTCACACGATGCAGTCTCTCCAGAACATTGCCAGAACACCTCGAACTTTGCTCGAAATACTCGGTAGCTTGCGGCCCGAAATACAGTCGAGGCCCGGGTCCTTTGAAAACAGTGTCAAGCAGGGCTACGCCGGGGTCTAGTCCATATTATCATTCAGCCTAACATGTGGTAGCAGAGTTCATGGAGCCGGAGGTGAGTAGTCTAAGACTCCAAGTCTGGACTCTGTTAGATGAGGCAACAGTGGCAGATGTCACATTCAAGTTCGGCCGTGGATCTAGATTTTCGCACCGGTTTCAACAGCTTATCCTTCACGCTTGATTTTATAGAAAAAATTCTGAGGTTGTGTAGACAGAGAGAAAAATTGATGTACTTGTCGAAAACAAGTTGAAATCTTGCTTGAATGATCTTTCGTTCTTGGCTTGTTGCAAGATGTTTGCCATCAACTCCAACACCAAGCTAGCACAATTTTACAAGGCTTCACTTGGGCTTCACTCAACTTCAGTAACCAACTCCCAAGTTGTTGAGGTGACAGAGACGCGTAAGAAATTCAACATTCTCCTCACTTGAAAAATTAAAATTCAGGCAGGTCAAAATTTGGTCAATGTTTCGATTGCAGGAACCCTGCCTTGAGTTCACATGATGACTCGGACGCCTTTTGGAAAAATACCTAATCCAGTGGTCCTCGTGCTCTCTGGGGTTCCCTGCGGCGCTTTCTGACCTACTGCAAGGGCATCGAGATGAAACGTTTTGAGTGAGCGCTCTTTCCTCAAGGTCCGGTATTTGCAGGGAATCAAGAACAGCCACAGCAGGATATTCTACTGCTGGGAGCCTTTCTACGCTCATGACTGAAATGAGACTCAACATCTCAGCGCAAGCGTACCAATTGGTTCTCTACGGCCTCCCTTTACCGAAATCAAATGCCAATCAAATGCAGGGGTTGACTTCTCTCGTGAATCCTTGCTCTCTGTATCAACCTTGGAAGAATCATATGGCCAAAATCCTCTAACAGCTTCCTACCACGCGAAGAGTCACAGCGCTCAATGTGACGTTGATTTACACACGTCGAGAGGAGGCAGGCTTGTATCTCTGGGGGGTTGCGACCTTGACGGAAGTTTGGAAGAGGTTTGGGGGTGCCAAGTAGCGCTGTCGAATATGCCAAGGCGAAGATCTCGTGCTGGATGGATGCATACTTCAATACCTACTTGCCGCCATCGCCTGCCCATCCGAGCCCTGCGGAGTCAATACACGTCTTTTCGTCACAGAAATCCAAAGGTTCCCGTTTACGCTTCGGGATCGGACTCTTGCGGGATCATGCCAAGCCTCCTCCATTCTCATTTTGTGATTTTTACCACCTCGTCGGTCAATAGCCAACTTGAACCAAATTCCAAAGCCTCCCTATTCCGACCTGCATTATTATCGGAGCCCCGATTTCCCTGGGGATTACACCATTCCCATATGGCACGGATGCGTTGGGAGATAGGGCGTCTTGTTTCCATTGAGGGTGGGCGTCGTTGAAGAAACTCGCTTTCACTCTCATGTCGAATGGCACCGTCAAGGGTCACACAGACACTCCGCATCCCATCTCAAATGGAGACCTCCAGCCTTTATAAAGAGGGTCTTGGTTTTTCGCTTCTAACAACAATTTAGCCAGTTAATCCAACCTCATAGGATGATACTCACGCGTCTCTTCCCCGCGGCGGGGTTTCTTACACTTTCTCTGCCTTTGATTCGAGCTCAGACCGAGCCCTTCATCCCCTTCAACACCTTTATCCAAGGCGTTCAAAGCGCTACATACGCACAGTGGAACAGTACGGCTGTAGAAAGCTCTGCAGCCTTTGACACGATCAAGGCCCATATCCTCTCCATGTACAATGGTATTGGAAACATCAGCAACACCTTCGTTCTCGACGTCGAGTACGCTGACTGCGTCGATATATACAAGCAGCCCACTGTCCGCCTTCTTGGCGTTGACGGTATCCAGAGTGCTCCATCCAATGGCTCACACCCCGATTTTTCCGAAGGCGATGGTCATACTTTTAACTACACCGACTCTCCATTGAAGCTCGGTCTCACCGATCGCTTCGGGAATCGCATTTCTTGCCCTGACAAGACAATCCCACTTGGCCGCTTGACCTTACAGAAATTAACTAGGCTCCCTAATCTCCAGGCATTTTTTGCCAAATCACAGGACGGTTCTGCGTTACCATCTCTCCCCTCGAAGGGTGTTGGCCGACGCCGCCAAGCAGAACTCACTCGGCGTGCCGGAGAGCCGCATTTACATGCTGTTGGTTATCAGTACATCACGAATTTTGGGGGAAATTCTTGGTTGGATCTCTGGAATCCCATAGGCGATTTCTCCCTCTCACAGCAATGGTATGTGGGAGGGTCAGGCGGCAACACGCAGACCGTCGAAGGGGGCTGGATTGTCTACGAGCAAAAGTTCAACACCAAGAATGCGGTCTTGTTCATCTTCTACACCGCCGATAACTACGTCTCGCAAAAATGCTGGAATCACGACTGCCCTGCCTTTGTCCAAACTAATAATAACTGGTTCTTGGGAGGGCCTTGGAATCATTATAGCGTCAGTGGTGGAGCACAGTGGGGATTCGAGATGCAGTGGAAGTTGTACAAGGGGAATTGGTGGCTATTCCTCAAGGGGCCGGGTAGCTACGAAGCTGTGGGATATTACCCGGCCAAAATTTTCAACGGTGGACAACTTTCTAAGAACGCCGAGATCGTCGAATATGGCGGAGAGGTGACGAGGTTTGATCCTTCGCACAACTGGCCCCAGATGGGAAGTGGCGCTCTCCCGTCGGCTGGGTGGACCAGGGCCGCCTTCCAGCGGTCGATCTTCTATATTCCGAAGGACGAAAGTGGTGGTGTTGGTGTTTGGACGGACCTTTCCACGGTGGTTGAGGGTTCGACGAGATGTTGGGATATCGCGTATACGCCTTCCTCGAAGGGTGGAAGTTGGGGATCGTACTTTTATTTCGGGGGACCAGGCGGCAAAGATTGCAACTGACCAACAAGTAACAGTTAGTATCTTTTCATCTTTCAATCCTCTATATTTCTGGAGTGGTTCGCGACGTTGAAGTTTGATGTTATTTTTTAGCTACTTTGGACATTAGTATGTAGTTATATACAAGCCTGGGTAAATTTGGACTAGCACGCTTCAGTATATGTTTGCCTTAGCAGCTTTTTTCTGAGCTTATGCACTAACTTTGCAATTGCGTTGACATTCAGTATTCCCAGTGAAACCCGGCTTAGTTCTCAGCCGCAAGTATCTGCGGATTCCCGGCAGATATCAGAGGTCGTCGGCAGAGCAGAGAGGCGCTGATAGAATGAGATTTTGTCCCTTTTGCAGATTTTTTTTCCACCAATATCTGTGCTCCTCGATACAGCTCCGCGCGGAATTCTCTGTCCGACATCATCGCTTAGGCGATGCTATGCGGCATTTTCACACCCGCCTTCAGCACTGCTCTGTCATTCTTTTTGACTTCGTTCACAGGTTGATTCAGAGCTAATGCCTCTTCCTTCCATTTCGCAGTGATGGTAGAATCAAAGACCTAACAGCACACGCTCTCAGCAAATTGGAAATCACGGCAAGACAGAACTCGAAACACCCACCTTGTGCTCCCAACCGGGCTTATCCGTCAACTGATTCATGAACCCCAGCATTGTGAATTCTCGCAGAGTAATCATTCGCATCCTGTCATCGTCCGCGATCGATTTCGAGGCTCAGCCGATAGAGTTCAGAACACGTACTGGAAGGAATCCAAGTCCCCGCGCCATGGAAGGTCAACGTGGATCAAAAACCAGAGACGGTAGATGGGAGTGATTGATGATAATCGGTGCATGGGCAGTCATGACGTTAAGCGCTTGTTCTTTTTTTTTTTTTTTTAATGTCAAATTTATAGTCTATCGGGGCGAAGCCCCATGTCAGACGTTACAACTTCGTAGACTACCTAAGGCCCCTAGTGCCTGTAATTCCTGACCCCCTACGGACCACCTCTTGCACTGGAGAGGGCACGCCCATGGCGATCATTCCCCCTCCTAGTCCGGCATGGAAACGCCGTTTAGAGGTGAGCGCTTGTTCAAACCTCAAAGTTAGCTGAACTCAGGACTCAGATGATGATCATTCTCGGAGCCGGAAGAGCCCAAGAATTCGGCCTGTATGACATCGTTTAGTGACCGAATAATGAGAAGAGGTGATTGGGAGGTGGTTATAAATTTGACAGCAAGGGATGTTTTCACGTATAACAAGTCTTCATGGAAAGCTCGTCGGACAGAAAACACCCTCTTGGCAACGCTGCCGCCAACCTGGACATGGAATGCCTCCCTAAACTTGACTCGGTCTACTTCAACCTCGACGAGTACCCCCTTCCCCAATGTGTAGGGTCGTCAGACCCTCGCCCAGAGTCCTGCTGCTAAGCTTGAACAATTTCAAAAGTTGGAGTTCCGAGAACTCAGAACACGCACTGCGGCAATTTGAACCTGGGTCCTTATGGGCCATGGCACCCAATTACAGCGCGAAGCTATCTCTGAAAGAGTAGTTGGCGGGGTGTGCTCTGGAGTTGGGAAGAATTTAAACTTGAGAAAAAGAAAAACCAGTTCGGAGTTCTCAAGTTGAAAATTTGAAGCCTAATCAACCGTGACCTTCAAAGTGCAGTAGCATTCAGAGCTATACCTTCCAGACGTCGTCCGATAGAAAGTCGTTGGTCTAGACGTCAATCTGGGAGACAACTTGGAGTTGAGGCACCGTGGTCATGGTAGTCGACAACCAACACGCTTGCTTGTTCAGTCACAGCTTCAAAACTTTTTGTTCGGTTTATTCAATATTAATTTCAGTGGTATATCCCGTATATCCGTTCATTTCAACAATACTACAAACCCAGAAGAAAAAAATAGGAAAGACAGAGTAGAATACAGTGGCCCATATTAATGTCCATGTTTGTATCCAATTGAGTGAACCCCGACCGAACTCACCGCTTCCTCTTTCCACCAACTGTTCCATCGATGTCCTCCCCATCCATGATGACCCTCACACCCATATCATCACCCCCTTCATTATCCAACATAGCCACAGCAACCTCTTCCTCAGCCAACGCATTCAAATCAACCATCTCCTCATCCGCCTGTCCCTCATCCTCCGCTGGGGAATGATTATTACCATTCCTCAACACACGCCTAGGCCTCCCCGTCCCCCCCTCCTCCACCTCCGTCTCCGCACCCGCTTCACGCGAAACGCCAAGGTGGTGGTGGTGTTGGTGTTGATGTTGATGGTGGTTCGTACCATCCTCCATTCCCGAGTCATCGTCTCCCCCATGACCATGCTCGTCCGAACCCACAGGCGACTCGACGTCAATCTCCATATCAGCCTCATGCTCCACCTCCACGTCCTCTTCCAGATCCGCAAATGTCCTGCATAGGGGACAGGAAAAGCCGGGGTGGTGCGATTCGAGGAGGGGCCTGATGCATTTGTAGTGGAAGGTGTGCGAGCAGGGGGCGATGAAGAGTGCTTGGCGGATGGTTACTCCGAAGAGACCTAGACGAGGGGTCTGAGTGTGGATGATTGGAAAAAAAGTCGGACGTACAGATACAACAGTCGGGAATTTGTGACTTTGGTCCAAGCTTCGCTCCACCCGTCGATTTGCTCGGGATAACAGAGGGCACAGCGAGGGTCTTGAGATTCTTCAGTGCACTCGTGCTATTTTTCATTATAAGCACCACACCACACAAAAAGACAAACCAACTCACTTAAAAGCATTAGGTGCAGCCTGCCACTCGCGTCCAAGCTCAACCCTAATCTTCACGCTCTTATATATATCCTCTGCGCCCCCTTGATAATCCACGCCGAGCTGTAAAATATCCCCATCCTTGATCTGGAAAGGCCTCGACTCCGTATTCGCAGGGCTCAATCGGACATGGTTCAAAAATGTCCCAGAGCTGCTCTTCGTATCTTTGATATAAAACTTTGCCCCATGCTCTACCCAAATCTCTGCATGCGCGCGCGAGACAACCTTCGATCTGAACGCGAGCTTATTCGAACCTAACGCATTGACAGCTGCGAGGCCTATTCCGGAACGGTCGGTGAACCGCCCAATGCGGAGGGGTAGGTCGCCTTCTTTCATGTCCCGACCGATAGCGTCGAACCTGAGGGAACGACGTGAATCCAAGTGAGGGACTAGACGGATGTGTCGAGTGGCGCCACCACCCGCGGATGTTGGTGGGTGTGGGTGTGGGCGCGGTGGCGGTACAGCGGGAGTAAGGGCAGCAGCCGTTCGGTTAACTTCGGTGTTGATCCCCACTGCTTGAGGGGGCGGTGGTTGAATGGAGGCACTAGTGGAAGCAGGAATGATGTTCCCCGCTGACCTCCGTCTCCTGAGCATATTGCTCAGGCCCAACCCAGGCGACAAAGAGGCTCCTGCCATCGTCGGAGCCTGATGAGATGCCGACTGCTGCATAGGCGCCACACGCGATCTCCTAGCGTTTGCGTTTGGGGATGGTGGTTGTGGTGATGGGGAGAGCTCTCGAAGGGGATGGTCAGCGTTAAGGTGGATATGGGATTGAGACGAGTTTCTCGGTCGCCCGCGTAATAGCGAGCCTAAAATTGTGGTTCTTGAAGGCGGCGATTCGCTGCTTAGGTGGGGATTAGGATCCATTTGTTGATCCTTGCCAATGGTCAATGGCACACTCGGTTTACGTCGGTGAGTGTGTATACTTCACCAGCTTCTTGGGAGTAGTAGCCGCAGGGATGGGAGGGCGTCGTTAATACCAATACCGAGAAGAGATTGTTGTCCGAGCTGTCAGTGCACAACTACCCGAATTAAGCTCCCTTGTTAATCGCAGCGCACCAATCACTCACGGTTCGCACGCTGATAAGGGCTCTGAGCTCGCTGACGGTCGCCGTCGCCGTCGCCGTCAGTGGTGGTGGTGGTAGAGGTAAAAAGAGTTGGTTGAATTCTGACGGAAGTTGAAATTTCCGGGTTACGCTATTTCACCCACACACGCCACATCAATATTATTGTCCAAGGCCACCTTCCAAAAACGCCTGAACTTCAGTTTGGAATGGGAATAAGGTAAGAACAATTCACTGTTGAATTTTATACAGAGAACTCGAGTCGCTTATGTCGATGCATCCTACAGGAATTGACTTGAGAGCACCTCAGTTTGACTCGGAACCTTGCAGCGTAACAGCCTAGTTCTCCCATCAACGAATACCCCCTATCGTTCAAATCTACACGTTCCCTAAATCATGTTTCCGCCCTTTCTCGGCTCCCAAAAATTGGCCCTGCGCACTCGAAATCAATCGATAATCCCCCACTACAATTGATTGACCCATCCAAGTCGGAAACACACCATTGCGATTTCATTGTTCAATTCATAAGTATCTCTCAACAGCATTCAATCTCGACAGGAGCCTGGAGGTACGTTCAGGAACCAATCACTGCTTCTTATCATCATGATCAATTGAGTCAATTCACAGCAATTCACTCGTGGGCCGTGGCTGGCCAAGAAAGTGATAAGTGTTCTCAGGGCAAGCCGTGGCATCACCCTCTGTGGAGTCAAGAGTCAAGAGTGACGTGCTTAATCGTTATTGCAGGTGCAATGTGGCCGCCAAGCTGCGAGTTCACACTTCTGACTAACACTGAACGTTTCTCCGAGATCATTCAAAAATTCATCAAACACATGCGATCACGGGTTCAATTGAAAGTTATTTAAGCTGGTGCCAATTGCACCTTCAAATCGGTCCCGCAGGGTTGCAAAGCTGCGGGTGCAGGCTCCTATGTGAGCATCCATCCATGACATGTAGGTATTTCTTGATGACGCCTCCTTTGAAGTTGCCAAAACTTGACTTGCATTCTCAGGTCGTCTCGGTAACACGATCTGTACAGAAATCCGCCTGAGTCAACGCTGGACACACAATTATCCAGCTAGTCCCTACAATAATAGGTGTTTTTTAATAACGGGTCAACCCCACTTCGAAAAGGTCCCGGAAATACTCCTGCTTCGGATAATACCCAGCCATGAACCACCAAAATCTTCTCCACGAAGCCGGAGCGTCCCAGGACTTCCGAATAGTTCTCGGAGCTCCAGCATTTGAAATTGTTCAAGCTTAGCAGCAGGACTCTGGGCGAGGGTCTGACGACTCTACACATTGGGGAAGGGGGTACTCGTCGAGGTGGAAGTAGACCGAGTCAAGCTTAGGGGGCATTCAATGTGCAGATTGGCGGCAGCGTTGCCAAGAGGTGTTTTCTGTCCGAGCTTTCCTTGAAGACTTGTTACGCGAAAACATCCCTTGCTGTCAAATTTATAACCACCTCCCAATCACCTCTTCTCATTATTCGATCACTAAACGATGTCATGCAGGTCGCCTTCTTGGGCTCTTCCGGCTCCGAGAATGATCTCATCCGAGTCCCTGACTTCAGCTGACTTTGAGGTCTGAACAAGCGCTCAACGTCACGACTGCAGCCCATGCACCGATTATTATCGATCACTCCCATTTACCGCCTCTGGTTCTTGATCTACGTTGACCTTCCATGGCGCGACCTTCAAACTTTGGAGCACTTCCTGGTTTTGGGCTTCCTCTGTCCTGGACACCATCTCACAGCGATCTGGCTCAGGCTTCTGAACCAGAGGCATCGAAGCTCGGAGATGGCAAAGGTACCCCTAGTCCAAACGCGCGCTTGTTCCCGACAGCTTTGAATATCAACGACGGGGACCTGGATACCTTCCAGTACGTGTTCTGAGCTCTATCTGCTGAACCTCGAAATCGATCGCAGACGATGACAGGATGCAATTGACCACTCTGCGAGAATTCACAATGCTGCGGTTCATGAATCAGTTGACGGATAAGCCCGGCTGGGAGCACAAGGTAGGTGTTTCGAGTTCTGCCTTGCCGTGATTTCCAGTTTGCTGAACTGCCAGCGTGTGCTGTTAGGTCTTTGATGCTTCCATTACTACGAAATGGAAGGAAGAGGCATTAGCCCAGAATCAACCAGTGAACGACGTCAAAAAAGAAGAGTCTGCAACTCACGTCAACGAAGAAAACCCTGCGCCCGGTGACGATGAAAACTCGGAGAGGCAATCTGAGGATAGCATCACCGAGAAGATGGTGGATTGGTGTTTCGCTGAATTGCAGTTCAAAGCGAAGATATTTCAAGAGAATGGGGGACTCGTGTCTGTGTATAATGGCGACGTCGTCAAATCGGATTCCGCTATTCCACCTGATCTCCAAGCTGCGCTGAAAGCGGCCGTGGAACCTCTAGAAGACGTGCCCGACCGTCTCAAAGACTGGCATCCAGGTTCGGACGAGCTTGTCCTGGACCTTGTGCATCCCAGCTTGTTCCCGCTCGTTTATGGCCGTAGCAAGGTTTTGAAGGAGGGCATAACTACTCTGGATGACTGCATTGAGCGATGTGGAGAAGGGGAAACATTGCCTATTCGATCAGACGATTCTACGTCAGGGAAGGTGTGGGTAAGACCGGATATCCTCAACATAAACCTCTACAGCAACAAATTTCAATGGTTACCCTGCGAAGTAGATGTATCGGCGAATGATGGCAGCTCTGTGCGGTAAGTATGTTGATTTTTGGTCATCCCTTATAATTCTCATAGCCACCTGGACAGAATTACGAGTTACATCAACAATTTACACCCACAGGAACGTTCACTGTACTTGGTCATAGAGCAAGTCATCGCTCGGGCCATTCCTTTGTGGAACATGACTCTGTCCCCACTCCTGTTGGGGGTAGACAAGCACCGGCGTATACATTACGACCGGGTCGAATACAATCCCGACCCAGCGAGCTTCCCAAAAGAGGAGGGGCCACAGCAAGAAGAAGGCGAGGATGAAGACGACCACTGGGGTCGAAGATGGGAATGGATACAACAAACACAGCGCGTCATCCTTCCTGAGCCCGAAACATTTGCGCCTCCTCCTTATATGACAACGGACTCAAAGGACCAAGTCGATCTGAGGAGAGATTTTGGCGAGAGAGGATTGCAAGTCATAGTCAAGCTAGCGAGCATTCATCTCAATCCGGAGAAGCCCGCGTACAACGGAGGGAGCTGGCATGTCGAGGGACAGATGGTGGGCTCATTCCACTTGAGCGCTTTGTACCCAACTAATCAATTTGCAGAACGAGCACATTTGTGCGACGGCTTTATACTACTACGACTGTGAGAACATCACGACCAGTCAGCTCTCCTTCCGCCAACAATCGACAACGGACATCGGCTGGGCTTACAGCCGCACCATCGACTACCCGCAAAATCAGGACGACTGGCTAGAAAAGGTTTTCGGATGCGAGAACTATGGTTCTTCCATGCAACAAGTCGGAGCCGTGGAGACGAGAGCCGGCAGGCTGATCACCTTCCCCAACATTCTTCAGCATCAGGTCCAGCCTTTCTCGCTAAAAGATCGCTCGAAACCTGGGCATCGAAAGCTCCTAGCGCTGTTCCTCGTAGATCCGACGATCAAAGTCATCTCGACGGCACACGTCCCTTGCCAGCGAAAGGACTGGTGGCAGGAGGTTGTCAACACGCGAAGTGCGATTGGCGACCTTCCGCGTGAACTTCAGGACCAGGTCTTCCAGGAGGTTGAAGAATTCCCGATCGATATGGAGGAAGCAAAGCAGTTGAGGCTGGACTTGATGGAGGAAAGGAAGAAGTTTGTCGTTGATTCTGGCATTGCATTTGAGAATATATATACGTTCGCGCTTTGTGAACATTAACATGATCATATTCAATGGATCCCAATTTTCGTCGTTGGGACAGGGCTGAGAGCAAAGAACGTCCCCTGTTTCATAGTGTCACTTTCGCTGAGGCTGACCGGAAGGCCATCTGGCCATGTTGACAGGGAAGCTACTCCTTGTTGTGGTGCAGTCCAAAGCCGAAGATTGCAAACCAAACCGCGATTTGCATCCCGGTAGGGTGGACTGCCACCAGGTAGTGATGCTTAGAGGGGCTAATGGGAGATCCAGTAAGAATTGGGTAGCAAGTCAAGATACGCATTCAACATACCTGGCCCTAAATGAGGTCCACGGGAAGCCCAATCTCACTTCTGTAGCCATCAAAGAAGGACAGAGGTCACAGAGGAGTGCTGGAGGCGGGTGTGCCGGGAATGCCCCTTAGAATGGCATGGGCGATGATGCGCCTCCACCCTGGCAGAGCCTTGTGTACGGCTAAGAAGAAAAAATGTTCAAGTGACGCAACGAAAGACGTATACCTAGACCTCGGAAGGGTGGGACTATGCTCGGCCACACTAACAGTGGTAGACGTTCAAGCCCGCGACGAACAGTTGACGATGGGGATTGAAAGATCAACTAAGGAGCGCAATTGCATGGAAATCTTGATTGGCGCGTCAGGATTAGCAACTGCCTCACCCAGGTGCGATCTGATAAGGGACAGGAAAAAACTTACGATTTCGCATTGCGCTTGAGTTTACCGCATGGAATTCGATGGGCACAAATCTAGGGGTCTCATGCGCGTCTTCGAGGGTACGGTGTCAGTGACCGGCTCTGCGTTCAAACATCGCGCCTGCTCTGCGATCATCAGACTGTCAGACATTGTCGACTCGGGTCTAATGCAACACGTACTTGAGGGAAGTTAGGGTCCCCCTCCTCCTGTTACAGTACTCTAGAGGGAGCAATCTGGACCGCCAAAGGCTTCAACTTATTCGTGACGCGTCCTCTCAACGACACTGAGTTCGACCAGGGACCTAGTAGAAAATTTGTTGAGCGACATAGTTTACCACGTGACTGGCAGAAATTATTGAAAACATCCCAATGTGACTTCACCTGGCACCATCATGACTTCTGAAAACCTGTAACTTTCGTGAAAAGTTCTCATAAACACTCTGACAAATTTACCTCTAGCTTTTGAGTTTTGTGGCTCAGAGTTCGCGCATTGTCCTCAAGGCTCTGATAGAAATCGGCGATTGCAACGCGACTCCGACACTGATGATAAAAATAGGTGTATCGTGAATTTTTTTGGAATAGATTTGAACGGCACAGGGAGAAGGGAGAAAAGAATGTGCACGTAAGCTTCTTCTTGATGCAATTGCAGTCTTCCAGCTGATAAGGCGCATAATTAGTTGAAAGTAGCTCCTGGTACGGTTATTATTATTACGACTCAACCCTGCGCTGAGTTGAGGCGTCCGTGCCGCGGGCTGGCCGTTCAATCACCTTCAACATCAGTTGGAGCCCTCCTAATCTCCGGATCCATTACCGCCTGCACATTGGACAAACTGTTCCCATTCGGGCTTCCTGTAATCCATCACGGAACTATGGTACCGGTGATCTTTACCGCACGTATTCCGCGTCAGCAGAAACAATTGCATAAATCCCCATCTAAGCTTCAGAGCCTTTCTGAAACCGTCTCGAAGGTATGCATCACTTTTTACTTTGGCCAGCTGTGGAGGCTCAGAAAGATTGAAGTTTTACGCATCAGCAATCAACTAGATATCATTCAGACCTGTTCAGACCGGGAAGGCGGAGAGATATTTCCAAACGATGATGTTATGCTCAGATTTTCCGAACTTTACCCCCCGATCAATCCTCAGCTCTCTCTTTCGACCCTCCACCACAGTGGCCTTGAAGATCGATGGCAACAAGAAAGTGGCTGATGTTGGTTTACTTCTTTCCGTCACTTCTAACTGATGCCCCTCGCAGTGATTGCCCTTCGTGCCTCAGTTGAGGTTTAAATTTACGACAAGACGGGGGAAACATTGCCAATGTCATCTGGGAGTAATTCTTTCGATTAGTGCACACTTCAGACTCCTCAGTCCGCTTCAACTATCATTGGGATGTCAACCGAAATTTCCCTATTGGACGAGCTGCGACAACCGAGAGCTTGAAAATTTTTGGCCCTCTTGGTGGCGATATCTACTGCTCTAACGCAATGAACATGGGATTGTGTTTCATTTTTTTTCTCTAACTTGCCGCAGCAACGCGCGGAAACGCATTCCCATTTTGGAAGCAAGATCAAATATACCTTTATTCAGGCAACCCTTTGCTGGCCGGACGTATTCTTCCCAATCTCCCCAACTGTGTTCGCCAGTTTTTTCATCAACTCGATATCTATCAACGCAGATTGGCCATGTTCTCCTCTGAAAGCTATAAATGCGCAATGCACTAGGAACACGGTTTCCATCTATCTTTCCACTCATGCTTTCCAGCATCCTCAAGGCCATAGTTTTATTGTCTTTATTCTGGATATGCTGGCGTATCGTTTGTCAGCGGTTATTCAAGACCGCACTCGACAATATTCCAGGGCCTCCGTCACCTTCCTTCCTCAAAGGTATGTCTTCTGTAAATAAAAGACTCCCCTAGATTCAGGATTCACCGCAGGAAATTTTCCTCAGTTGTTCAACATCAACGGCTGGGATTTTCACAAGGATATCGCATCCAAGTGTACGTTTCTGGGTTGAATAAAATATCATTGCTGAAGCTCGTGGTAGACGGTGGCGTGATCAAAGTCAAGGCGCTCTTTGGCGTAAGCTGTTTCTCATCTGCGGGAGACAAGGTTATGACGCTGATGTATAATGATGAAGGAAAATCAACTCTACGTTTTCGATCCAAAGGCTCTCCATCACGTTCTTATCAAGGTTGTCCGATGCTCGATCTTAATCTACCGTAACGTTGACATCTATGCAGGATCAATATATATATGAAGAAACGTCGGCGTTTATCGAGTAAATACTGACCTGTATTTCCGGAAGTTGTCTACCTGACGGTCCGAACGTTTTAGGGGTAACCGTATGATGCTTGGAAATGGTCTACCAGCGACGTTAGGTGAGTAATGCGAATATGTACTCGAGACGTACCTTATTATTGGTCGGCAGGGGATCATCACCGCCGGCAGAGAAAAATGCTCAATCCTGTATTTTCTAATTCAAACTTGCGAGAAATGAGTGAGTGGAATCAATTGCGCGCATCTCTTCTTGCTGAGTGCATCCCCAGTACCTACCTTATATAGCGTTGCACATAAAGTGAGGATGGCAGTCTCCTTATTAATTGTATTCGATCTCATTTTCTATGTTAGCTTCGAACTTCAATTTCGCAGCAAGTCACTGACGGACCTCAAGAGGTAGATGAGATGATCACCAAAAGGAGTTACCACTTACTTCATGATCCCCTCTTTATCAGATTGATCTACTCTCCTGGACATCGCGTACTGCCCTGGAAATGGTTGGCCAGTGTGGCTTTGGCTACTCATTTGACTCGCTTGCAACAGATGCTACACCACATCCCTATAGCGTGTCAGTCAAAGAGTTGATGTGCGTATTGCTTACACGCGAAGCTATGAGTTTGGAGTTGGAGTTGATCTTGGTTTTAGGCCTGCCATCCTCCGAGTTTTATTCGTTCGCTCATATTTACTGGCACCCGCCGTCAAAATCGGTTCTCCAAGATTTCGACGCTTTATGGTTAACCTACTTCCATGGAAAAATCTGCATGATTTGCGGGATATCGTTGATACGATGTACAAAACCTCCGTGGAGATTTTTGAATCAAAGAAGAGAGCAATGATGGGGGGAGATGATGCTGTTGCGACTCAAATTGGACGGGAAAAGGACCTTTTGAGCACCCTGAGTACAGGAATTTTGCCTGCCTTTATTTTCTCATTTTTACCGATTTTTATTGTAGTGAGGGCAAACATGGATGCATCAAACGAGGACAAGCTAGACGAGTCTGAACTCATTGGACAAGTGTCGTGCGTCTTTTAGTTGCATCGGTGAAGTATCTATATATGACTTTCCCCCGTCGGTAGGGCATTTACATTTGCCGCCATGGACACAACATCGAATGCGCTTTGTCGTATTCTGCATTTACTAGCACAATACCAAGACGTGCAGGATAAGCTTCGTCACGAGGTCACCGAGGCCTACGCCAAGCACGGAAACCTAGATCACGACGAACTGGTCGCTCTTCCATATCTCGATGCCATCTGTAAGGAGACCCTTCGCCTTTACCCTCCAGTATCCTTCCTATTCAGAACGTGCGTGTAAACCCTCTTTTTCATTTTGTGACTGAGGGTGTATCATCAGAACACGCGCAAACGTCGTGATGCCCCTTTCAAACCCAATTCAAGGCCTCGACGGAAAAGAAATCAATGAAATTCTTATCCCAAAGAACACGAATGTTATCATGTCAATTATCGAAGCTAACCGTAACGCGGAAATATGGGGTCCTGATTGTCTTGTATGGATCCCTGAAAGATGGCTTTCCCTTCTGCCTTCATCTGTCACCAACGCGCGTGTCCCTGGAATCTATGCTCACACGTGGGTTGTCCTTTCCTTTATCGTCTGACTGCAATCTTAAATGTATCTACCCGCCCTCATCAGGCTGACCTTTTTGGGTGGGGGAAGGGCGTGCATGTATGTATCGTGCTTTTTTATCCTTGCTTTCGGCTTTCCACTAAACGATATATCACAGCGGGTTCAAATTTTCGCAACTCGAACTAAGTTCGTCTCTAAATCACCAGTGTCCCCGACCTACCTTGTTGCTAAGATAACTTAATTTTTCTCACAGAAATTGTCATTTCGCTGCTGATCAAATCTTTCCGTTTCGCCCCCACTGAAAAGGAGATATTTTGGCGGATGAGTTCGATTTCGACCCCAAGCGTTCTCGGCGAAGGTGATAAATCTCAGCTTCCACTTCAAGTCAGCAGAGTATAAGGCCAAAGGTTCCCGGCGATCGCCGGTAAATTCGTCGACATAAGTCATTTAACTCAGTAGTATACAGCGAATTTCCTTGTAATTTATGACAAGGTTCTGTTCAACTTGTTCCGTTCATCCAACTCCGGCTCGGACAGTTTGAGAACAGTGTAGGTGAAGCCTGAGCGCTGAGCAAAGACAGTTGAATGAGATGGACGTTGTAAGATGAGAGCTTTATGAACAACAATTTCTTCAAAAAGTGCTAACGAAGGTGTTGCAGTCTCACTGTCAGTGTCAGACTCAGAATAGGGACGTTCAGCTGGGCGCAGCTCGCATTTGATGGGCTTAGTCAGGTTGCAATTTCAAGTTCCGCTCGGCCTCCCAGAATACCGGCAACCGAACTTGATTCCCATCAATTCGTACATTAGGTGTACGATAACTCCTCAACCTGAATTCATCATGTATTTGTGTTGCATTTAGGCGCATCAGGTAAATAAATGACCTATCTTATATATTTTAAACGAAGAAAACAAGTCTACGATGCTTAATTAATTTTTTGGTTGACTTTTCAGTCAAATCGATTTACTGGATGACTAATAAATTGGCATATTCCATATATAGGTCAATTTTAATGCCAGGACTGCCGTCTTCAAAACTATGTTCTTCAGAAATTGGGCATACTTCTTCTTTGCGAAAGCTGTAAAATACCCAGCTGAAATTTATGGGATATCCTTATAACGGGCAATAACCCTAGAACATATATAATTTTCATCACCACCCGGTGTCATGGGAGCGTTGGCGGAGCTTGAAATCGCAACCTGACTAAGCCCATCAAATGCGAGCTGCGCCGAGCTTTGAACGTCCCTAATATTCACTGACCACGTGACGATGAAGTTCGACGACGTCGACTTCTGCGTTCCGTTCAAGTTCAACTCTGCTCCACTCCCAGCGTTGCCAGTGGCAACGCTGGTTCATCGTTTCGTTTCGAGTTATGGCCGTGCAATCTAGTCTGAGACTTTTGGTCAAGCCATGGTTTCAAAGTTGGTCTCAGACAGTCAACCCTTTGTAGAAGCTTGTCCTTGACTCATTCATCCCATGACGCAAAACTTGAATTTTGGAAAACTCCCTGGCTTTGGGCTTCCCGTAAAGTGGATTCCCAATGTAGATACGTACCATGCGACTTTAATGCCTGATGGCTCAGGTCCCCCCGAACAGTGCGTCACTGACCAATTCGACTATCAATCACTAATGATGGTGATAATTGTAGGATGCCTTTGCTCACTTTGCGCGAATTGGCTATGCTAGGCTTTATGAACCGGGTGACAGACAAGCCTGGCTGGGAGAAAGAAGTGGGTATCGTGGCTCTCTACTACAATTCACAGCTGGCTGAACTACACGGTGCTATCTAGGTCTTTGATTCCGCCATCACCACAAGCTGGAAAGGAGAGGTATCTCAGGCGTCGATACCACCAAATGCCAGTAATTCAGAGGAAACCTCAATTGATATGACGGAGAAGATGTTGGATTGGTGTATTGCGGAACTGCAGTCCAAAGCAAAAGCCTTTGAGGAGAACGGAGGGCTCGTGTCTGTTTTTGACGGCGACGTCGTCAAATCGGACACTGCCATATCCCCTGATCTTCAAGCCGCGTTGAAAGCAGCAGTAAAACCTCTGGAGGACGTCCCGAATCATCTCAAGGACTGGCGTCCTGGTTCAGATAATATGGTCCTTGACCTTATAAATCCCAGCTTGTTTCCGCTTGTGTATGGTCGTACCAAGGTTCTGAACGAGGGCCTGACCACTTTGGATGACTGTATCCAGCGCTGTGGCGAGGGGGTGGTACCCGAGAGGTCTGGCACTGGATCATATACGTCGTCTTTTCTGGGTAGGTCTGATAGCGACGCGGCGTTTTATAGCAATAAATTTCAGTGGTTACCCTGTGAAGTGGAAATATCGGCAAGTGACCCCAACACTGTCCGGTGAGTGTCTCCATTGCTGGTCGGACTGCCCGAATTTCTCATAAACATTGGGCAGAATCACGAGCTACATTAATAATTTACATCCAGAAAGACATTCTGAGTTGTACAGCGTCATTGAGCAAGTCATCGCGCGGGCCATTCCCTTGTGGAACAGGAGTCTAACTCCAACCAGTTCGAAGGCTTACAAGCGTATACCTTACCGCCGGGTCGAACACGATCTAAACCCAGAGAACTTGCCAGGCGGTGTGGGGCCTCAGCGAGAGGAAGGTGAGGATGAATCCGATTACCAGTATCGCAGAAGGGAGTGGGTAGAAGAAAACAGGCGTGTCATCCTTCCTGAGCCCAGGACATTCAAACCTTTTCCGTATATGAAGGTCCCGGACGAAGAAGACCTAAAGACAGTATACGGTGATGAAGGATTGCAAATCATAGCCAAGATAACGAACATTCACCTCACTCCGGAGAAACCAGAGTATAAAGGAGGGAAGTGGCATGCCATGGAAGGCCTAATGGTGACTTCGTTTCAGTAGCTTCCGGCGTCATGCCTAAATTGTCAATACATAGAACGAACACATCTGCGCGACGGCTGTGTATTATTATGATTCCGAAAACATCGCCAATGGCCAACTCGCATTCCGCCAACAATCAAGTAAGGAAGACGCGGAGAATGTTCAATATCCTGACGATGGCCTGGAGACAAGCCACTGGTTAGGTGATGTTTTTGGAGCTTGCGACTGTAATTCCACGGAGCAAGAACTCGGGTTTGTGGAGACTAGAGCTGGTCGGCTGATCACCTTCCCAAACACGCTTCATCGCAAGCTTCGGCCTTTCTCGCTGAAGGATCCCTCTAAACCTGGACATATCAAAATTCTTACGCTCTTTCTGGTAGACCCAATAATTAGGATCATCTCGACGGCGCATGTTCCGTGCCAGCGAAGGGACTGGTGGGAAAATCGCGTCAATGAGCAAAGTGCGATTGGCGGTCTCCCACTTGAGCTGCGGGATCAGATCTTTCAAAAAGTCGAGTCGGAGTTCCCCTTTTGTGTGGAGGAAGCGAAAGAATTGAGGCTGAAGTTGATCAAGGAAAGGAAGAGGTGGAACACTGATATGTTTGGAAAAATTATACGTGTATTCGACGTGTAAAATTTAGAGAGAGAATACCTACCGTTGTTGGTGTGGGCCACCGCCTCAGGTGGCACGTACGAGTCCGCAAAGCAGATGAGCAAGGCGGCAGAACGGTTGCAGAACGGGCACTTAAGCAGGCACGGGATCCGGAGCACAACCACAGAAGATCAAAAGCCCAAAAGCCCACGAAAAAAGCCAGTTGACATATTCCGCTTTGAGAAAATCATATATGGCCGTGTGGCGAAATGGCATCGCGTCTGACTACGATAAATCGTTAATCAGGAGATTGCAGGTTCGACCCCTGTCTCGGTCAATCGAACATTGTGTTCATCTTTTTTTCTAAAGCGGGCCCGGCAATTGACCATGAAATTCGTGGTGTTCTGCCAAGGTTTCGGTATCTATGTATCAACTCTTCTATGAAGGTATTCGTAACTTTTTTGATATCGATGGAGAAAAAGTTTCCTATGAGGGATAACTCTGGCCCAGCGCTTTGAGAGAGACAAAGCGCTCTTTCTTTCGACCACCATGTCCACCGCAGGCTCTCCCAAGCAGGCGCGTTCAAGCTTCTACATGCGCATCCACAAGTTCTTCTTGATTATGGGTCTGCTATATGGCTTGGCGATCGTGCTCGTTATGACGCCATTCCTGCAATCACGGTGAGCCGTGGCTTCTCCCGACCATCATCTCGCGCACTAACCATCCCTGCAGCGTCCTTTACGCACAGCACATTCACTTTTTCTCTTATTCAAAGTTTGAGCACCCAGAGCACTATGGATTAGCTCGTAAGTACGCTCGTTACCAGGTTCAATCTCCCTTTTTTTGATCTCTACCCGACAGCTGGTAAAACGATCAACTTAAGGCTGCGAAGCCCGGACAACACGTCCATCGGGGCATGGTTCATCTTCTCAGACCCCTTCTACCGCAAGTTGCCGTACCCACCGACACCACAACCGCACCAGATCTCCGAGGCCGTGCATCACAAGCCCACCATCCTCTTCTTGCACGGGAATACAGGCACGCGCGCTCTACCACTGCGCACCGTCCTGTACACCGCTTACACTGCGCGGTTGAGTGCAAATGTCTTTGCCATTGATTATCGCGGTTTCGGGGACAGCGAGGGCCACCCTACGGTGCTGGGGGTGTCAAAGGACGCTCGGGCAGGTTGGGATTACCTTATAGAACAGGGTGCACGTCCGGAGGATGTTTTGATCATCGGGCACAGTCTCGGGACGGCCATCGCTGGGCTGTTAGCTGCAGAATTGGGTAAGGATGGAATCAAGCCTCGTGGATTGGTGTTGATGTCTGTACGTCGCCGCCGTTTTGTACTAATATGGTGTTGGGCTGATTTCGTTTGCAGCCTTTCTCGTCTGTTAGAACTCTTATGGATCAATATTATCTATTCGGATTTTTGCCCCTCTTGAAGCCATTGTCTATGATACCCCTCGCACCGAGTTCGCCTTCACTGGCAATCTCAATGTCAAATTTAATCACTGACTTGACCCCCGACAGGACTCATAACATGGTCACTGGTGCATAGATTCGATACCCTTACACTAGTACCAGACATTAAATGCTCCGTTCTAATCGCTCACGCCGGTACGTCCTTATTCCACCCTCTTCCAAGTTCTCCCCAAAACTGACCATGTATAACACAGAAAACGACTGGGACATCCCCTACTCCCACTCCCAAGTCCTCTTCGATGCCTTCCTGTCACCAATACTCCCCCAAGCCCCTTCACTCCCAGAAAACCCGCTCTCACACGCAGATTGGCAGACATACACCGACCAAACCTCTCTGCACTCACAGAAGCGCGATCAGCTCGTATCCACGACTCAAGTGACTGGATACGGCACCCTGGAGCAAGCCCAAGTACAAGGACGCAATGTCGCGCTGTTGTTGACCGAGGCGGGCGGCCACGATATTGGGAGGGTGGAGGGTGTGCAGGAGACTATTGGGCGTATGTTTGGATTTTATTAATTGATGTCGATCCCCTACTCTCTGGGGCCTCCTTACGCCTCAGTCTGAGGTTAATTATGTCGATTTCCGTCTTAGGTTCCTGCTGCTCTGTCGTTAGTTAGTCTGTTATGTATACAGTCGAAACCCCCGTAACCCATGCGTCTGATAACCCATAACCCCTGAAATCCCATGCCATTTTGGGTCCACCGAGTTGGTGGGCGGGGATTTGCACACAATAACCCATAAGTCCATGATAACCCATAATCCATAGCCCTTGGTGGGATAGGTTTTGAACCCTATCTTGGGGTTATGCCTACCAAAAATGGTCATGAATTTAGTATTTTTACCTTTTCTTTTCCTGCCGCTGCACAAAATACCATCTATAAATCACCAAATTCTCTGGAATCAACCCACAAGGCCCCTCGTCCCCAGATCAATCTTTGCTCAATCATAAAGCCAACACCGTTGAAGAGAATTGCATCAATACTGACTTGCCCAAATGGTACTGATTGTTTGCCTTGCAGTCAAGGGGACCTATTGTAACGAAGAAAACAAGATTTTCTCGAAATGTACGTGACTTTCTTGAGCGCTTACTTTTTTCCCACCCCCTCCAACCCATAACCTCCGAAAACCCATAGGCTCGACTGTCCACGGAAGGGTATGGGTTACGAGGGTTTCGACTGTATCAACTGTTTTCGCTATTAGACAAAATTAGAAAAACTCAGGGTACCTACCCTCTCTACGAAATTATGACCGAGACAGGGGTCGAACCTGCAATCTCCTGATTAACAATTTATCGTAGTCAGACGCGATGCCATTTCGCCACACGGCCATGAATAACGAGGTAAAACAAAACATCATAATTTACATTGAGGTGAAGTCGAAGCGAGGCGACCGTACATCCTTTTTAAATGCTTGACCAAAATATCGGCATAGGGCAAGGACAAAAATGTTCCTTTTCTTGAAAGTACACTAAAAAGTACAAACACTTTACATACAACAGCTCTGCGACAAATCAAACGCGGATTGAAAAGAAAACTTGAACTAGAACAAAAAAGAAGGAAAGAAGAAACCATCAGCGAGGCTGCGAAACCTGCGCTGAATAGTATGCATCAAAAACGGGGTCGTTGAAAACACCCCCTACCTCAAAAGCGTCCGTCTCGTCGAGCTCCTCATAATCCTCATCCTCGTCCACCTCTACCATTCTGCTAAAGATGTTGACCTTCAAATCCCCAGAAGCGTCCTTGAACTCCGCGACGCATCCACGGTCTTGTCCACTGACATGAATATCAACCTCCTTCAAGCTACAAGCACCTCTATCTTTCCGCTCTGCAGCCAGACCACCAACAAGGAAGTCAAAGTCCTGTATCTGGAGTTGCTCAAAGCCGCGGATACACAGGGACTGTAATTGCGGACACGGGCAACTGGAGATGGCTAATGATGGGACTGGATTGGAAGGAAGCAGAGCGCGCACGGCGTGCATGGTCATTCCTATCAGCTCCAATCGTTGAAGGTTGGGTAGTGCGCCAAAAAACGCGCGCAGGGGTCGCGGACACGCGCGGACGGATTTAAGTGTGACGTTCTCCAGTATGGGGAAGGCGGCGTTGGATTTTGGCTCTTGGCTCAGATCCTCAGTGGTGGGTAAGCGAGATACGGCCCGCTTGTTCATGGCGACCCGATAGTGAAGCCCGTCAGGGAGCTCGTATGCGACAAGATAGTTGTGATCTGCGTCGTAAAATTCCCCAGTGCCGATGTACGTGAGTAGACTGCCCGCATCAACCTCCTCTGGGTCTCCAGGATAAGTGGCGTCTTCCAAGACCAGTACCTTGGCATTTGGGGCGTTGAGGAGCTCGAGGACGGTTTGACCTTCAAGGGCGGTTCGGTATCCGAGGGTTATGCTATGGAGATGGGGGAGTGGGACGGAGTCTAGGTCATGATGGATGACGTCGACAATATCGTCGACGTCGTCTGGTACGAACGGACCAGATCCGGAGATGGCCAATTTGCGGAGATGCAAGCTGGCGCCAAGGAGTTGTTGAAACTCGGTGAGAGTGGGACGGACGTCAGAGCAGTGAGAAGATAGCTCAAGACTGTGCAGTCCGCCTCCAGTCGATGCCGACAGGACGTTGACGAGAGAAGCCCACTCGACGTGGACACCTCGAAGAGAGAGATGCTTGAGTCGCGGAAGTAGATCTTTCTGGGAGGAAGGGGTGACTGAGCTGAGGAAGGCAGGACTTTTCATATCTCGGGGTTGGAATTCGGGTGAGAAGCTGACAAAGTCGTTACACCGCATCAAGGTCAAAGATTCCAGAAGGGGGGCGCCAAAGGAAGTGATACATGGGTTGATATGGAGGAGGGCGGAGTGCATGGGAGCCCAAGAGTCGGTGAGGATATGGAGTGACCGCCACCGTGAGATATGCGGCAGGAGGAGGGATATCACGGAGGCCATATGGTCGGGGGAAAATGGTGGAGTATAGGTGTTGAACTCATACTCAGAGGGAATCCTTGTGTTCTTGTAAGCACAAAGAAAAAAAAGAGACGGTTGGAAAAAAACGTACTCGGGTTCAAAAAAATCCCAATCTTGGTCTCTAGCGTCAATGAGAATATCTAGTGGATAGTTGCGAGATAGCGCGAGATAAGATGTAAGGTGAGTGGTGTTGAGCAGCGAAGAAGCGTCATCGTCGTCCTCGCTCAACCGTTTGACCATTTCAACGGTGATGCAGAGGCTGGTCCATAGTCCAGGTGTGTTACGCGCTACTCGCCCCCAATGGCGGCTAACACCTGCGAAAGCGAGAGGCACTTTGACGCTCTCTGTATTGAATAAAGGGTTACGACCTGCCTCGTCGGAACTCGGGACGTCGGCCGATGAGAGGGTGCCCAGCACAAAGATGTACGACAGCAACTCCACAGGGAGCTTGCTGATTGGCGAGGAGGGATGGGTGTACATCTCGCAGGCAGGATTTCGACAGTCGGGATTGTGAAAGGAGTGGAGAAAATGAGCGGCGCGATGGTTATGTACGGGAAGCCATGTCCTTTGAGTCATGCAATAGACTTGTAGAACAAAAGAGAAAACGTGGATAGATGACGATATGTATCAGCAGATCATATCGGGTAACAATAAGTGGGTGTCGCTAAATTTCTTATTGTTCTCTGAGATGAGAAGGAAACGGACGCACCCTGATTCGCACAAATTGAACAGTGACCAGTCCGTGGTCAGAAAATGAAGGACTTGCGAGGCAGTGAGGGTTGGCCAGAGCCTTGCGTTGATATTAGAAGTCATTGGGCAAGTTTGAAGACGGTATGTTCAAAGGAGTGTCCAATTCCATCCCAGCAACAAAGGGAAGAGGCAGATTGGAACACGATCGATCTCAGATCGACCTCACGTGCAAAGCAGTCACTAGTCACATCATCACATCTAAGACGACATTTCATCTTGGTTACCTGACCGATAGTTCCGATACTGACTCGGCATCTCTCAGAAAATAAATGGACAATGTAAGGAAGGAACTCATGTCTCCTCTTTTCAAATAACTCGAATATCACAAAGCATTGTAGTACAATCACGTTTACAAAACGATCAAAATATATATATACAGAGCTGGACGTAGTAGCAAGGATAAAGACCGGAATAAAATGGAGTACATATATCAGAAGAATAAAAGATGTAATGATACAGACGCACGCTGAAGGAGAGAGTGTCGTTATGGCGAGGATACCAGCCCATTCATTTTGAGGAACACAGGGCTACCAAAGCCCCCCGTAACCGGTGTCCCAGCTTGACGGTCATTCTGCTGCTGCTGGTGTATGAATTCGGAAGAGAAGAGATGTCCGACATCAACATTCCCATCACTAAAAAGCGACATCATCTCCCCGGGTGACATATACATTTGCGTGTCTTCCCTTATCATGTCCATTCCCAGACCCCCTGACGAGGTATCCATATACGCCGTGGGCGAAGGGTGTCGAACCTGCGGAGTTCCGTTGGAATATTGCGGTGCTGGATTAGGAATAGACGAAGATGACCCCGAGGCAGAGGACGAGCCTGAGGAGAACCCAATTCCATTTTTGGGCGGGTCATTGAAGAATTCAGATGGGGTGAACGCCTCCGGACTGCTGTGATGGGAAGGAGAGTCGCCACTGTTGTTCGAACGCGCAATGGAGGGTGCCTTTTTCCTTACAGGCCGTATCCACGGTGGCCGAGAGGTGTCTGCTGCTCCATCTTGACGAGTTGTTTCCAGAGGAATATTCGTGACTGAAATAGAATTAACATTCGCCATACTCGATAGAAATCAACTTACGTCGACAAAATTCTTCCATTAAATCCCCTGATCGAAGGCCGCAGACGTAACGTCCGCTAAACCGACGAAGCAGCCCAATGCAGGTGCGAAGCGCGTCCAGTCCGAGAGGTATCAAATTCTGAAGCGCTTCCGTCTTGCAACAGAGTAAAATAGCGACCAAGGTTCTCCCAGCCTGGGTCAATTGATGAATGACGTGGACACCGTCTAGAAGACAAGGTAAGTAGCCGATCAGGAATATTAAACCCAACGCACAGTATGTCATGAGGCCCTTCTTGGCAATGTGCAGATGAGCGCCGACAATCTGCAGAGCAGCGTTGTGAGCCGATATCAGAGCCTCTTTCTCAGCATCAGTCTGTTCCTCCTGGACGGGGCCACTAGTTCTCTCCGCCACGAGCTCCGAAAACCGATGTCGATAGATTAAAAGCCGGACATATTGCTCGGCACAATGCAGGCGTTCGGCTTGCGTCAAGCGAATGGTATCTTCACTGGCGAGGGTCTCAGGTGAGTGAGCCCAATGGGCAGGTATATTCTGATGAATGCAGTCCAAAAGCGCCTCCTCCTCGCGCATCTCCTTGAATCTACGCGCGCCAGACAAAACATTCGCCGCCTTCAACAAGAAGGAAGACGACTCGTCGGATTGTCTCGCGGGAGGAACGTCAAGGATCGATTCAAGAACGACCATGATCCGCAAGGACACGATGAACGCGCTCAGTCGACACTCCGTGCCTGGCGGAGGTACGCCAACTGATTCCCGTGTAATAAACTCGTCATCAACCGGTGATGGCTCCGGTACATCACAATCCCGCAACCGGAGTAGTGAAGGTCGACCAAAATGTGCCCCAAGTTGCTTGTCCCAGATATATACACACCAGAAAGTACGTTTCCGAACTTCGTCTTCAATGGGGTCGAAAAGATCGTATGTGTCCGCTGAGCGGTGCAGCCCAGCGTCGATGCACATGGTAACGGCTTCGGCGAGTATCGAGGCCCCTTTCGAGAGTTTGCCAAGACCGATGGCGTAGACAGCCGCTATCAGATTGGCTTGGATGTTGTATAGGGTTGGACGGTCGGCAATGGGGAGAGCGCGTAACCGGGCAAAAAGGTCGAACCAATGGGTGCCCGCAGAAATACTGTCATTGGGGTCAGCGCGAACGCGGGGATCATCCAGGTGCCTCGAAGCAAGACAGCAAATAGAGACGATAAAAGCGGCAAAACCTGGTTCTGCCCACTTCTGAGGATTTCCATAGTCCTAGAGAACACATCAAGGAAAGCGTCTGAGCTTAGGGCAGGGGCAATGAGTGTGAAGGAAAAACGTACAGCAAGAAAAGTAGGAACATGAAGGAAAGGTAGGATATAGTATGACGTCGATAGATAGCACTGGACGAGACTAAGTGGGGGTATTAGATAACCCGAGCCAAGAATAAAATTGAGGAAATCGAACCTGTCCATGAGTTCCGGCACAATATAGGTTGTAATAAATCGCCATAACGTTTGGGGGTTAACATCAGTGCGCCGAGGTTGTCGATTGGGGAACCAGTCTGGGTTTGCAGCCGTTGGGATGGAGGGACCGTTTTGGGTATCATCACGGTGAGGTGCGTGGTGGTGGTGATGCTCTCTATTGTTGGGAGGAGTATGTCGCTCCACCAACAAGTCGAGTACGGGAAGACCAGACGTTTCACCCTGCCACCTGGTATATCCTTCATCGTCAAAGTAAAGGTACGATGACGTCAGGGACATTCGCGACGACCCAGCCGTTGCTTGATCTGGGTGATGTGCATGTGGATATAGGGAACCAAGAAGGGAGGAAAATGGATGTCGGGGACTGTGGTGACTTTCATCGACATTTGGCTCGTGCGTGAAATGAGTGGATGGATTTGTTAGAGGGAATACGTGTAGTGAAGGTGGGGGTACGCCTGAGGGTGTTCCAGCAGGGTACATGAACGGGGTTATGGGGCTGGTGGCACCATCTAGAGCAGGGTGTCCTGGAGGAATTGCCCCACCAGCCGCGAAGACAGCAGGTGGAATGGCTTGAATCAGAGTCTCGAGGTGGTGCATACGATCTTCCAGGGTCGCTGTGCGTCTTTGCGCAGATCAGGCATGAGCAATTCAGGGTGGTAACGAAAACCTACTTCGACTTGTGCGGATGTGTTCTCTTGCCTGGCTCCTCGAACGTACAGGACGAACCTGCAGTTAGGCATGCTTGACAAGGGTGGCCTTCGTCGCATTTTATCCTTCTTCGACTACGAAATGGCTCGCGCTATTGTCGATGACTGCTAGAAGGGTGAGTAACTCACCGGCAACGGTCACACGCCCTAACAAGATGTTGAGGACCAAATTACACAAGCGAATTTAGAGGACCTACCTGCTCAGTTTGAAGCGTCGTTCCTTGAGCATCATCGACGAGGATGAAGCTTGGTGGTCCTGTGTATCCGGTGTTGTAACTGGAGGCATGATGGTGGTATGAAAGGAAGTAAAAAGTTGTAGTATGTATACCAATTCGGACCCAAGACAGCCAAAAATACTTCAGAAACAAACCGAATTTTACCCGATTTGATACGACTTTCTTTTGATTCGCTAACGATAGTCATCGCCAAGAATCATACACTGGCGCAAAGCCCTCAACAAAATGCTACGTCCCCTATGTTTTCCAAGTCTTTCTATCGGTAAAACATGGCCTTGTATTGATCACTCTGTCCATCATCTCGACTACAAAAACACGCAAGACAATCCGTCGTTGAGAAAAGAGGCTTTTTTTCAAACATAGGTTTCATTCAAGTTTTTAGACCTCTTTCGATAAATCGGGTCATCAAAATGGCACGTGTGACCGGTCACCTTCTCAAATCTCCGGATCGTTTAATTTCCAGAGTGCTTCCCTTCTTTAAACTATCGTCGGTCAGTGTTTGAAGAACAGTGATCCCTTTTTCTCCGAGCAAAACGTACAAAGTCAGAAGATTCTCATTCAATGAATTGTAACCTCTGTCAGGTATAGTAAGTGTATCATTTGAGTAATTAAACGAGAAGGGGTAAAATGTCCAATGCAGATGGCTCATATAATAACAAGGGTCGGACGAGCAATGAAGGGGGGGTCTTTTAGGCGGGGGGAGAAGAAAGGGGCATCGGAGCAAAGGTAACCAACATGGACAAATACACAGATAGCACCAGTGAATGCAGAGAGCATGATGAGATGGAGTGGATATCTCACAAATAAATTACAGCGCCCGACCAACCTCCCACGTGGATTCAACGGAAACACGTCGGTCGTGTCGCTGGCTGTCGTCGCCCACTATGGTTTGCCGATCATCTTCGTCGTCATCATTCAGCACAATGTTCGCAGTACCTCCGCCATCATCGTAGACTGCGTGACCCGGATTACTCCCGGTCACCCCGTCCTCATCCTCAGACCAAAAGTCATCGGGCGCGGTAGCAAATGAGGCATGCGACGCCTCACTTTGTGACCGCTGGTAGTGGCTCTGGCGGCTAGGAGGCACTTCCAGGGGTGGGCTCCGCACCCGCATCTCGTAGGTACCGGGGTCCTTTACCCCTGCATTATGGAGATTTTGGGGTACTGGAAGTAATGATGACGCCACTAATGGTTGGGGTGTAGATATGGGATTGTGTATTGGGGGAGCTCGCGTGGATTCTGCTCTCGAGGTGGCAACGCTTGTTCTTATGCTGGGGGGTGTACTTGTCACCTCGCCAGATGGGTATCTGAATTTTGGCGATGGAAGGGGTGAGGGAAGTGGGATTTCCGAGGAAGAGTAGTATGATGGTTGCGGTGATGGGTTCATTCTATGATCAACGCCAGATGGATGGGGCGAAAGATGAGTTTCGTTGGAGGGGTCACTCTTGGCGTAAGTGTATTGGACACTTGGGAGTTCAATAGTATCGGTTGGGGGCGGCGTATCCAGGTATGTCTGTCTGGGTGCAGAAGCAAGGAGCGCTGGGCTGCTTGTCATGGTCGGTTCGTATGCATTGTGTACGCTGGATATCTCCGAAAAAGAACGGCTATGCTGATCGTGAAACATGGGAGCAGCTTCAAGGGTATTTGGGCTTCTTTCTTTGTTCTTCTTCACCTTCCTGTGGGACAAGCCTAGTTGGTCTTTCAGGTCACCATCAACCCACATCTCCCGGATGATGTCTTTGTCGAGAGGGTAGTAGACGGTGGATATATATTTGACGATAAACCTTGGGGCTTAAAAAAGCATATCAGTTGCAGTATAAACCTCAACTGTATCAAAAACTCACTGAGACAGATAAAACCGGTCAGAAGGACTGTCGCCCAGAAAGTCAACGTTCCAAAAAGAATGATGGCCTCGTCGACGAAATCGCTGCTCATGAAGAATGAGTAAACTACAATCCACAACATCATTACGACCGTTGAACCGACGACGACGATCCAAGTCATGATCGTCCAGCTGTGCAAGAATCAGTATCAATTAGTCCATACAATGAAGCGACCCACTAGTGAGTATTCATGCCGACATAAGTATTGGCAGCGAAGATCGCGGAGACTGCAACAGTGGTCCCAAAATCCGAGAGTGACTCGATTCCTTTTCCGTTCCATGATATAGATAAACCCAATGTCCAGACAAGATAGGGGAAGAAGAAGACAACGCCTGATTGGTAGAGGCCATCTGACATGTATAACCAAAACTTGGTCCGCGTGTACTCGAGCCCGCGAATACCCCGAACGTAGAGGTGAGGGAATGCCAGGGCCGCCTTGGCGTTGATATCCTGGTCGAAAGCTGAACCACGAGATAAAAGTCAGATAGGAAGGTAGTCGGAAACGACGAGTACGCACCTCCAAGGACGATTACCGGAAGTGAAGTGAATACAAGGTTGCAGAGCAAGATAAAGGTGTATTGGTACAGGTACGTTGCGTCAAAACTGATAGCATGGACGTCAGTGAGGACAAAGAGGGAAGCGAGAAACGACATGCCTGTTGAAGGGGAGGTACCAAAACATGGCGAATGTCCAGATGACGTTCTGTATTCAGATACCTTCTATCAACCCGCAGATGTGTGAGAAAAGAAGAAACTGTACCTTGTAGAAAAAGTTGCTGTGCATGTCCGCAACACGCTGATACGACCACCGACCATGCACAAGCAACAACTTCGTCAAGAAGCGGAACTGGCCAAACGCATAGTCGGCCGACATTGCAGCTTGCGAGCCCTCGAGACCGAAAAGACCACAACCAATGTTAGCCTCCTGAATCATGGCAACATCGTTTGCGCCGTCTCCGATCGAGAGTGTCATAGCGTTTCGTCCTTCCTTAACCTACAAACACATCAGCAACGCGAACTAAACGCAGATGTCCGATATACTCACCAGGTTGACAGTCAGGGCCTTCTGAGCAGGAGACACACGACAGCACACGACCGTCTCACACTGAGTGCCGAGATTGAGGAACAGCGTCTTCAACTCTGGAGTGAGAGCATGTCGGAGGGTATCGCCGTCAATAACAACAGCAAAGGATGCCTGAGCCCCAGGAACAAAACCTCGTTTCCGGAGATCCCAAGAAGGTGGACCAAGAACCGAAGCTATCTTGTTCAGCCCAGCCTCCAGCTGTGCCCGAGTTTTCTCTGCAGAATCCGCAGACAAGATCATCAAATCCATGTTGCTCTTCAGAAGATTGCAGCTGTAGCCAATCTCAATGGCCGTTTGTAATTTGTCGCCTACATTCAGGGTGAAAGTGAGCCGAAGATGGCCGTGGCAATGAAGAAGCAAACGCACCAGTCAAGATCCACAATTTGATTCCAGCACGATGAAGCATCTCAATCGCTTCAGGAACGCCCTCCTGCAGCTTGTCCTCCAGAGCCGTTGCTCCAAGAATCAGAAGGGAATGTTCAACCAACGCATTGGCCTTGTCAATCTCCTCTTCTCGGTTCTCGATGGCATTAGTTGCAGCATCGTACGTCCTCGCCCAAGTGAAGTACTCCTCCTCATCCAAATACCGGTAGGCAATGCACAACGTCCTTAACCCATTATTGGCAAAAGACTCCATATCCTTGCTTGTCTGCTCCTTCAAAGCCGAATCGTGGTCCTTGGCAAGTCGCTCATAAATGACGCTATCTGCGCCCTTACAATAAAGAATAAGTCGCCCATCCGGACAGCGCATGACAGTGCTCATCCGCTTCCTCGTGCTGTTGAATTCCAGCGTCTTCAGCAGCGTATATTTCTCCGACTGCCCCATGACCTCAATCTCGAACGCATCCTTGGATTTGCCGAGGAAAGGGAAGCCAGCATCTCGGGCAGCTGCAACCAACGCAGCTTCGTCAGGAGATTCGGCCTTGTATTCCACTTGGTACGGGTTCGTCTGCGGATCGGGTTTGTCCGCGAGGACAGTGTGACATAAAGCTAGAGCCCGGAAAAAAGCGATGATTCGAGGACGTTGTTCTGAATTACGATCCGCGAGATCTTCGGCAAATTTCGGAGAGACGAGGGTGAGTTTGTCGGTTTGCATGTATCTATTCTTGAAGGCCCGTTCCATGGTATGAACCATCTGGTGTTTCAGCTTGTCCAGCTTCTCGCTGATCTCCCGAGGGTCCAAAGTTTCTCCTTTGCCCTCCCGAGTGGCGGCACCACGTTGGGCCTCTGTGATCCCTTCGCCATAGGATACGCCATGTACTGAGCATTTCTGGAATTCCATGATGTTTTGCGTAAGAGTTCCAGTCTTGTCCGAAAAGACATACTCGATTTGGCCAAGGTCGTCAGAGATGTTCCATGTCTTGGGTACGCAAGCGGTGTCATAGGGCTTGTAGTACATGTCAATATCTTGAGAGATGAAGAAGGCCTGGATAGTCTTCACGATTTCGATTGAGATGTAGAGTGAAATGGGGACGATGTTCTGGAAGGCGATTAGACATGACCTTTGTTTGCTTCGTGTTTAGTAAAGGAAGAATGACAACAGAGGGAGGCACATACACGAAGGTGATGATGGCGTTGATAACATGCGAGGTTGTGGGGTCCGACCCTACCTCATAGAACTCTGCACTCGTCCCTGTTCTCGCGTCCTCCAAGCCGCTGAAGATCGCAGAAACCAAGCACATGATGGACAGCAGGCCGAAGTTGACTATAACATTGAAGTTGGTCTCCTTCTCAATCTTACTCCGTTTCGAAGGGGTGTCTCCGCCGTTGAGCATGATCTTCGTGTCGGCACCAGTGAACACCACCAGCCCAATGACCCAACCCGTGTTCCTGAGCGCACAACCACGCAAAAGGAGCTCGTTGATCGTGACGGGCTCCTGTCTTTGCTCGCCAGAAGTGGGATCGTCGTACCGCAAGACCCCATGGTATTGGTAGAGGTTCTGATGTGGGGGTTCGGAGTCGAGGTAGAACGATGACCGCTCAATGTCTTCCTCTGAGGTGATGGTCGAGGTGCCCTTGACAGCTTTCCGTGGTTTGAGATTCGTTTCGCCGTCCAAGTTCTTCGTCTCCAGGTAGCACATACCCTCGGAATCTGACGTGGACAGTACCACGATATCGGCAGGAACCTGGTCGTTGTCCCTCAACAGCACGATGTCCCCCACCTCAAGCTTCTTCCACAACGTCCTCTCCCACCGTGACGATCCACCCGCGTGTTTATTCCAGTTGACGACCCCAACGGTTGACTGTGATTGAATCGATTGCTGATACTGCGCCAATGACCCAAACTGCGCCCACTCTGTCGACTGTTTGACAGACCCCTCGGATAGTGACGTCTTAGACGCCGCGCCGACTGTTGTTGGCGGATAGCTGTGCGAGTCCACACTCTGGATATCCTCTAGCCTACGTCCACCCGCCCCTCCACGCAGATCAATGCTGCTCTGGCTCACGTCATGCGTCAAAACGCTCGACACATCCCCAGCGTCTCCTCCCCTGCTCAATACAACACGCATCCCCTCCCCAGCCTCCCTATCCCGCAGCTTCCTCACACCTTTGGTCACCTTACCCGGCGGATTTATGCCCAGCAGCTTCTGAAGCCATGACCGTGGATCTGTCGGCTGGTTCACGTTACGCCATCCACCCCCGAGTTTCGTTGCTGCGGAGTTGTTGACCTGGTCATCGAGACTGCCACGCCGGTAGTCTTCCACGCCATCCTTGATGGCTGTGACGGTGAGAATGAATGCGAGGGGAAGGACAGCTATAGAGCCTGCTGCAGCGCCAAAGACAGGGAACACTAAAATTGACGGTTAGCAGACAGGGTCAAGTAACGGTTTGAGACTTGCATTGTAGAATGACCAAAGATAAGAAGAAAAGATTAGCAACTCGTCGAAACTGTTCGTACAAGTTCTTGGGAATAAATGTGAAGATTGTGTACTCTTGAATACAAATTCAGCGATATTCACAAAGCAGGGTAATGATACGCACTTGTTGTCCGGACTTTATTTCGCACATAGTAAACTCTAGGTTCCCCATCGTGATCCACCTCCATAGCCGACAGCGCGTGATTGACGTAGACATTCCTACGCACACCGGGCACTTGTTTAGGCGCAGTCGGCGGGGTAGTCGCCGCAGGCACTGGTTTCTTGTCATGTCGACCACCAAAGAACCTCGAGCGTCTTGTCTGCAAAGACCGTCGACGCTCCGCCCTCTGCTCTGACTTTATAGACTCTGCAATCGCAGATGCGGCCGTCCTGACCGTCCGCAAACGTAGCTCTGGGTCGATGGCATTGTCATTTTCCTCGTCAGTGTCGTCGAGCTCGTCGGCGGGCGGGTGATTGTCTTTCAGAAAAGACATAAGTCGAGAGCCAGCCCGCAGTTAGAAATACGCTCGTCGTCGTCAAGCGCAAGGAGGAGTGCCGAGGGAAAACGTTGTCGTGAGCGTCTGCAACACTGAGAATGCCCAGCATTATTTCCGTTCTCGGCAGACACAGCCACAAAGATCTTGTTTTGGCTGTCCCCTGCTGTCCCTCATTCTGTCATCCTCCTCCAACGTCGCCTAAAGCATAATGCTCCTCGCTCGTCGTCCTTCATCATATTTTCATTATCTACGCTCGCAAAGATTTAAAGAACTTAGAAGCAACTTTTTCCCTGCCGATGCCAATCACTAGTGACAAACAACGCTGAGAGTGTAAAAATAGTCGGAAACGCGGCAGAGCTGGGTAAGCCTTTTACCTGAACAAAAATACGTTTGCTAATGAAATATATGGCAAAATGCAAGAAGCATCGAGCAGGTACTATCCACTGTGTGCCATCTACTCGCCTCGCCAAGAAAAATCTCCAAGGCGCTTGAAGGTTGGCATCAGTGAAAGTCAGGTGGAATCTCAACTGATACTCACGAAACACTTCCAAGGCCGTCTATCACAACGGGCAGATCGGATGGGATTCAAGCATTGAAACCTTTCCCAGCGAATGGATCAAGAGGGGTTCTACTATATCGTCCATACAACAGGCAAGTTAATTTAGGGTCATCAATCGTGATTGAGCCGCAAAAACCCAGAATTACACTGGAATTTACAACAGTAAGCGAAAAAAACAACTACGAGTTAGTGGAGGAAGCCCTCATATATATGGTCTTGCTAAGCCCCAAACTTAAGAATCAAGTCGGTACGGACAAACATTGGTTTGACCCTTTTAAAAGTACGTTTAATGCGCGAGACCCACGTTGACTAACCTGCCGCCTATTACAGGTGAGCGATAACTCGGAAAAATCATATTGACAATTTTCTCCAAGCTGAAACTTAATGCATTTTGGGACTGACGCCCGATGGAAGTGCTGGGCGACGAAGAAATTCAGTCCGAGGGTGACAACAAAATTCAAATTCATGTTTAACGACTGGTTTCGATTCGTACTGAACAAGAGAACCAGAGGCGGGGCTTGAAACCTTCGTATCATTCGACTGCTGTAGAGGATACTCGATCTTCTCTTGGCGAAAGCGGTCCCGAGGTTTCTTCAATGCGACCTCAACGAAGGCGCATGGAGATCGATGCCATCTCTACCAAGCGGCCATTCTCCATCGTACGCTTCCTGAATTCGGAAGGACAGGGGAATCGACTGTGGCTACACACCTTGAGACATTGGCAACACTAACATTGTGAATATGAGGGTAGAACTCCTCGTCGGACTTGTAACTGACGTTAGGGAAGCCAGGGGAAGAAGCGACGTACCATAGATGTTGTACCGCCGCCATGTGTCGGCCGAATGTCGTGGTTGGCCGCCTGCCAGTGGACAGCTTTCGCAACTAGCTCGACGTCACTTCAAGTTGAGTCGCAATCTATACTCTATGCACTCCATAGCAATAAAGCCAATTGAGCATCAGTAGTAATTCGCCGAAAACGCATGGAATACGCAAGGCGATAGCATCTTCATAATCCTGCGGCGTGCAACCTTCGTCAATGGTAACGTTGGGCCCATATTTAATCCAGGCAATGATTCCAGCAGTGTGCTACAATTTTCTCCTCAAAAGGCAGACTGTCAGGCTGGTTGAATATATATTCTGAAGGTGCAGCAAGCATTGACTAGTGACTCCGTAAAGGAGACGTACGTAATATAACGAAAGGCCCAAGCTGATGATCGGGAGGTTTAAATGACTTCACATGGCCGTGTGGCGAAATGGCATCGCGTCTGACTACGATTACCAATCGAAATCAGGAGATTGCAGGTTCGACCCCTGTCTCGGTCATCATTTGCCTTTTCCCCTTTTTTTACACGTTTCCCACCGGCTAAGATGCTAAGAAAACAATAATATTCTCTCAACCACCAGTGTCGGTCAGCCATAAATCAATGGGCTTTCTTTTGAACTGAAGGAAGATGCTTGTTGTGAGCCAGTATTGGACTGATCGTCATTCGCCATCAAGATTCTGGGTATTCAGAACAGCTGCAATATTTAGTTGATACTTCAACATTTTCGCCGACTTGAATTATGGAGAGAGCTTTGTGAGAGCTGGTCAACCTTTCGCCCGGGGTATCGAGCTTGGTGTAACCATGAACCAAGGTTTTGGGATGACCCCAAAAAGAAAAAGAAAAAAAAAGACATAATCTGAAAAGTCTTGGTTTGCGATCATATCGAATGGGACGGGTTGTAGAGGGACCATCTAATGATGTTCTATTCATATCAAATTCATATACATATATTTTCAGGACCCGACATTCCAAGATGCCAAAATCGCAAGGTTTCTATCCGCATTTCTCCTCAAGCCTTGCGAGAACGACGATTTCTATCCGTACCGGGATCAGGCATCTATGTACAAAAAAAGCTGTTTTGAGGCGCTGCGTGGCGGACTTACATGGCTTGTGATAATTCGGAGGCAGGTGTAATGAGCAGATTAACGATTTTACCCTGTCATTTTCCCTAATTTGCCCAGAATCTTCTCAGTATTTGTTCCAGGATTTCCAAAATTTTCTTGGGTTGCTGTCCGCGCCTAGATCTACCAATGTTGGTGGAGCTGCCGGTGGTCGAATAGTTGCGCAAATTCAAATTTGAAATTGACGGTGCACGTGCTGGGAAAAAATGAGCCCCATCCTCAAAGTTTTCTCCTATCAGTGTCACTCATCATCGCCCTCTTCTTCCCTCTCTCTGCGACTGGTCACCAAAGAACAGCAAGTCCCCCCCCCCTTCTTTGGGTGTTTTTTAGACTTCAAACTCTTCTCGCAATTTTTACAGAAGGGTTACTCTCATCACCGAATTCAAGTAATGCATCCCGCTCTTGCAATGAAGGATATCCTCAACGAGATCTTTCAAAACTTTCATGGTAAGGAATGGTTGACTTGCGTGGAGGTGGGGTCGAATCCAGACCTCCATGCAATGAGATTGATAACGGACACAAATTCTCTGCGTAACGCTGCACTGACTTGTCGATGCTTTTGCGGCCCCGCTCTGGACCGTTTGTGGTACACTTTTGGATCAAAATTAGCGGAGGTACTCAAGCTCCTTCCCGCATTCAAGCAACGTCTGTGTAACACCGTCTACGTTAGTGTCCACCCCTTTCGTGTGAGCTTTCCAAAGCCTGATTTGAGACTTTAGACTCTCGACGGAACTATCGGGGCTGCTGACTGGGCCCGCTTCGAGTTTTACGCCATGAAAGTGAAAAGTCTCACAGTTCAGGCAGATCTAGACCTTGACGACATCGATCCGTCGGTCTTCTCTCACATCGCCTATCTCAGGGAGGGCAGGCCATTATTCCCTGCGCTGCGTAATTTAGATATAGAAGTAAGCTGCAGCGGAACAATGTTGCCTCTTTTCCTCTCAAGTTCCAGGCTCCTCAGCATTGCGTTAAAGCATGCGTCAATCAAAGGATCCGCTCAGTGTCCAGGTGCTTGGTCGTTTCTCCACGCTCTGCCAACCACCATTCCGGATATCCATACCTTGTCTCTCGACTTGATGCTGTCCGACTCTGCGTTGAACGCTATTCCACGGATGACAAATTTACAACACTTACACCTGCTTTGTTCAAATCCTAAAACCAAGATCACTCACTCATTCTTTTGCTCCTTGGCTTCCCTCCCAAAACTGGTTGAACTAGGCATGCCTCATGTCGATATGTCTTCCCCTCCGCCCACCGTCGACTTTCCATCAACACCTTTCCCATGCTTAAATTCATTGTCCCTAAATGGCGATGCATTCGGGGAAGTAAGTTCTTTGCTTGAGGTGCTTAAGGAGCATGGGATAAAATCCCTCAAAGTTGAGAGCCAGCGTAACCAGAACATTCATCAAGACACTTGGCTTCGTTTCTTCCGGACAATCTCTACAAAATTTTCGAAGTCTCTTTCTAAACTCGACATTGAAATATACCAAGCTGAAAACCCTCCGGCTAATGTAAGGCTGTTTGAACCACTGCTGGAATTACACGAGCTTGAAGAATTCAAAATTATGAACTATGCTCCTTGGTTTGCATTACAAGATGCAGATCTCCTGCTCATGGCGAAGGCATGGCCCAAAATATGCGTCTTGCGTCTACAGTCCAAAGCTCAGCCCAAGCTCACATTTCATGGCTTGCATTCCCTTGCATCTTTTTGTCCGCATCTCTGTGAACCTTGGCTCGAGATCGACGCTTCAAGTAAAGCGAACCTCAAACCAGTCTCTCTAGATGTACCATCTGATCACCCGCTTTGGTATTGGAACGTTGGAAATTCTCTTATTGATAATCCCGCACCGGTGGCTTTGCAGCTTGAAAAAATGTTTTCCAACCTATGCATATTCATGGATGAGAGTTATATCGCTAAGCGACATCTGTGGGAAGAGGTGGCAAGATGGCTTCCCGCCCTCCGGAATGCTCGGCGAAGGGGTTCGCAAATGACATGATAGACGGATCATTTTCTTCGACCCTTGAATGAGGAATGAAGAAAGTATTTTCAAAAAACAGTCATTCTGTAGGTGTAGGAGTTTTCTGGTTTTCTCAAGATATATATGTACCACGAACAACTGTCCATAAGCGAGAGATGCCTAAGGGATGCTTGAGGCGGACAAACTTCGATCGACTTGTGGTTGTCGGACAACGAGTGTTCTGCCCCTTGCAACTTGTCCCATTAAGTTCTGTACATAGTCTATAAATATAGCGCCTCAAGACGGCTCCAAAACTGTCTGGTGTTCAGAAGCGTACAAAATATGGCTCCGGATTACTCACCAAAATATAGTATAAAGCCAACCCGAGATCAAACGCTCGCCGTCGCCGGTGAGCCCCACCACCACCCAAGAACCTTGGAAGTCAACCAGAATGCGATAAAGACACCGACGATCAGAGCAGCAATGCGCCACGGTTTGAGACTGCCTGTTCCAATACCAAAAGCTTGTGCAGCGCGCTGGGAAGTTTGCGAAAGAGCTGTGCCGAAGGACGAGAAGCGGTCATTCTGTGGCAAATGACATTGTCAGCGGCGACCACTCTCAGCAGGAACAAGCGACTTACAGTGTTATCTAACAGCAAATTTTGAGCTTCTACATCATCGTGAATGTCTGTCGTTATCTTTGTAGTAGCATGATTAGCATCGTCAAATCCTACTTTGAAAGTTCTGCCTACCCCGCGCAGTGTACGAATCTTGGAATGCAGTTCGTCTAATCTTTGGTCATTTTGCGATTCGTATATGTCTTCTACCGTTCTGCTTCTTGATGATGACATGGTCGAAGGTCGACGAGTATTGGGGTCAAATTGGGGTACTAGGGGCTTGTCACTGTTGTCCAGCAGCGTTGTCACATATTGTTACCTATCAATCACGTGATAAGGTTCCTTTACTGTCAGTGTCACAGAGAGCTACGGTATTGACAGCTAAATGCAAAACCCTAGACACCTCCCGAAAATTTCTGGTGTCCGCCTCGCTTTGTGCAAACGACCGCATTTGGCACAAGTCCGTACCATCGTAACCTCGATTGGAGTGTGGAGTACTCCATTACATTACATACACCCTGAGTTGGTGGAGACTTGCGTCATTCGTGCCCGCTTCCTTCCTCAAATGGTTGTTTGCACAAAGCCAGGCGGAGTGAAGAAAATTTTCGGAGGTGTCTAGAGTTTTGCATTCAGCTGGAATTTGGTGAGAATAAAAAGTCCTCTACAGGTTACACTTATTGGGACTCTGCAATTGCTTTACTCTGTCGGCCTTTATTCTTTTTGCTTTTTTGTTTGTTACGGTGATGGCACGTGATCGTCCTATGAACAACTTGCTTTGTTCTCAACTTGTTCTGGCTCTTCCCTCTTGCTTCCCTCCTCCGTTATGTCATTCGAAGAAGCCAATGAGTCCAATTTCCCCCTCCAGAATTTATTTTGAAGTGATCATCCACCTCTCTGCCATCCTCCGAGCTCGGACCGCTTGGGACTTCAAAACACCCTGCACAAACTGTTGTTTTGGATTGGTTTTAAATTGTGCAATGCAAATCGAAAAATGCTGTAGGACGCTTTGAAATAATACCGTTGCAACAAACACCGTCTGAACCATATCAACACATTTTTAACTACTGCAGAATCATTGGAGGTTCTGCAACCCAATGTGAGACAAGGTCACTATGGGAAGTTCTCCTTGTAAAGATGTAGTTAATTATCACCTGTCATGATCAAATTATTAAACTTTTAGATGCTTCAATTCTGGTTGTGGGACTGCTCCAGAATCTATTTATCTATTTATCTTCTATCTATCAAGTCGAATAAATATATAACAATGCCCTATTGAATTATGTTCGCCTCATCTGCATAGGTGTGTATTCTGGCAGAGGATCATCTGATAAACCCAGGGCCCAAGCCGACCTCTGCTGCGCCCTCAAATGTGCAATCTGCTCCCTCATCACCATTATCTCCATTCTCATATTGGATACCAGCGAGCCCTCTTCCCCGGCATGCCCAGACCTGAGACGTCCGCTGTTGTCTCAATCCCAATGTACTCTCGGTCTCCATGGCCTGTTGCATCTCCTGCTGCACCACTCTCAAGTGGTAATCAATCTCTTCTTGTCATTCACGGCGAACTTCCTCTTGCCTCTGTTCTCAAGTATTTGGATGAGAATTGTGGTTAAAACCTGTCTGGTTTGATAATTGGGGAGTGTCTATTGGAGCCTCTGAACGGATTTGGGATTGAAGATGCGCTATTCGGGCCGACACCACCAGGGGGTCTCTTCCAATGTTAAAACTTCTTATGAAAGACGCAGGGTCCCTGTCCTTTTGAAGGGCATCAGGATTTCTCCTACAATGCCAGGGGAACAGAAGGAGGATGACAAAAATGAATATTGCAATGCCGCCCACAGTACCACCAGCTATAGCTCCCACTAAAGTCTTCACGCTATTTGATGTGGTGCTCTTCTTTACTGCATTACTTGTTGGACTTTGTTGCGTTATTTTGTTAGTCGATGAGACCAACATTGTCGATGGTGACACAGACGTCGTCAATGGTGACGCAGACGTCGTCAATGGTGACGCAGATGTCGTCAATGGTGACACAGACGTCGACGGTGATGTAGACGTCGTCGGTGTTGACACAGATGGTGGCACAGACGTCGTCGATGATGACACAAATGGTGGCACAGACGTTGTTGATGGTGGCACAGACACTGTTGGAGGTGACACAGACGTCGAGGTTGAGCAAAGTGTGAGACGCCCTGGAAGGGAGATGATTGCAAGAGCGTAGAAAAATGTGGTCCTCATTGATGAAAGTGAAGAACAATGCAAGGGAGAGTTAGGAGTCCACACCCATCAACGTGTTTTGAGGAATAAATAGAAATGGCTAGAGACGGGCGTCAAAATCATTGGTTTTCCCTGCAAGGCGGGGGCTACTAATGCAGCCGATGGTGCAGACAAGCGGTTCAGAGGTGAGTAATGATGTTTGCAGAACCAGTGGCCTATAAGTTTCTGACCATCCCAGTTCCTGTGAAGCGAAGCGAAAAAGCAATGCTCCTTTGTTCGCAAGTTCCCTAGGGCCATACTAGAAATTCTCGGCCAGTCATGGAACTTCGCCAGTGCTTCAAGCTGAGGTCGTGGACAATAAGAGACTGAGCAGTCGGACCGGGGGTGATATAGATCATGTTGGGTTGATACCCAGACCAAATGCGGATGCTATTCTTGATGAGCAAAAGATTCTTTGATTTCATGGAAAACATACTAACAGTTTGAAGTATTCGTGGAATGTCTCATGTAGGACAATTCCTGGAATGATGAGGGAGACTCTTCATTCCACATTCCATCGCACGATCGACATAAGCAACCTACGCGGTTGACGAAACCCCAATAGCGTCTCCGTCACAATCATACAGATCACCTTTACGAAACCTTGCAGGCTGGAAAATGGAAGGAATTTTGTCGATTAATTATTACCATGGGAAAAGGCCTGGAATCACCATGTTTGAGGAAACACCTCCTCCTTCTCTCCCTCCTTGAGCAACCGAACCCCACTATCCTGATGCAACACCACCCTCGACCTGCTCCTCCATTCGCTGCATCACTTGGCGTATGTGTATCACCCGACGAGAACGATTATTGGGTTGTTGCAGGAGTCGGTACTATCAAGCTCCCTTCCTCCATGTCACATGTGCTTATTGATGGATACGCAAGCGGTAGAGACTGATGCTGCGCCAGCCTACCCAGAACTGCAACATTAGACGATGGTCCGCCAGACGAAGTCGCAGTGTTGTACGACTGGAAGCTGGGCTAAAGCTGAGCTGTGGGGTGTGTGTGGGTTTTCATAGGTATCCAGCATTGTGGTGACGTGTACTCCACATCCTGCGGCGGTGAGGAGGGAACGGGGAAGGGTTCCACAACCGTCTTTTCTTCGGGTGTAGAGGGAAGCGTGGGGGGACGACGGTGTTCCCTGAAACAAATGGCGAAGAGAAGGCAGAGGAGGAGGGCGAGGCCGCCCTTATAGTGAGTTGTGTGGAGGAGCTGTCCCCGTAGAATGTCACCAGGAGTTCATGGGGCTCGGAAGAGGATAACTGTAGCATTTGAAAAAATTGCTGGTTGTAAATTGTGGCCGAATTGGCTGAGGCTAATCTCTTCAAAGTGAATGCAGTTGAGGTGGTCTGGCCGTCAATTGAGTATCATATCCCTAGTGAAGGATTGTGCGGGAGCTCTGTTCGTATGAAGCTTGTATGAAGTGGAGCTACCTCTGGAGCACGTGCACGTTCCTCAAATCATCCCAAGGGATTTTAAATTTACCTGATCAGAGGCACTCTTCATCAACTCATTATCAATTTCTCTTGTGACCTGGAGACTGGACTTGGACTGGACCTAGGCCAGATGTCGTACGTGCAGTGTGACCGCCAAGTTCTATTCATCTGGCATTGCTCTGATCATTAAATGACTTTTTTTCAACTTTTTTACATTTGAATTTTGCTATTGATCTCCCATGGCTCAACACTCGAATTTCGGGAACCTCCCTGGCTTCGGGCGTCCTCTGGATTGGAATGACAATGCAGAGTTATCCCCGACGACACCAAACTCCTTTTTGTACGTGTCCTATTATGAGCCTTATTGGACATCAATCGCCAATGATAATATTGATGGTGTTGGCAGGATGCGGTTGATCACTTTGTGTGAAATGACGATGCTGGCCTTTATGAACCAGCTGACAGACAAGCCTGGCTGGGACAAAAAGGTGGGCGCTCAGCATATCACGCAGATCACAGTCAATTGAGGTTGCACGATGCTGCATAGGTTTTCGATTCTACCATTACTGAAAAATGGAAGGAAGAGGTGCTATCACAAGCTCAACCCGCATCTTCCAACGCATTGGTACCTCCTGATGCCAGCGAAGTCATGACGGAGAAGCTGGTAGATTGGTGTATCGCGGAACTGCAATTCAAAGCAAAAGCTTTCCAAGAAAATGGAGGGCTCGTTTCCATCTACAACAGCGATGTCGTCAAATTGGATACCGCGATCCCGTCCGAAGTTCAAGTGTCATTGCACACAGCCGTGGTGCCCCTAGAAGACATACCCGACCGTCTCAAAGACTGGCATCCAGGTTCAGATGACCTTGACCTTGACCTTGACCATCCCAGCTTGTTTCCGCTTGTGTACGGTTGTACCAGGGTTTTGAAGGATGGCGTGACCACTTTGGACGACTGCATCGAGTGATGTGGCGAGGGGGAGGTGATACCTAGTGGGACTGGTGTTGCACCGAAAAGATTATGGATCAGTCAGAGGACCGTCAACTTGGGGTTGTTCAGTGACAAATTTCAGTGGTTGCCCTGCGAAGTGGATATATCTGCAAATGACGGAAATTCTGTCCGGTCAATTTATCTACTCCTTTTCGACTTGTTTGATTGAGGTTTTGCCGATGCCAGCGGGCAAGGGATTCATTCAGCTTGGCATAGCCCCAACCTTATCTCTCTCCAACATACGTCGTTTTTGCGGGTAATTATATTCTCGATCCTTGAATGACTTTCCTTGTTTCCCTTACGCCGCCTACTTGTGATTCATGGAGTTTTATTTCTCAGGATCATCGGTGGCAGGTTTGAAACCGACTGCCTGCTACTTCGAAAATTTTGAGTTACGAACCTTCAGCTGCTACCAAGAGTGAATCAATTCGACACCAGTAAACCACCGCTCTCAAATATCTGGATTCTGCGATACATGACAAAGAACCCTAAGCTCTAGGACAGTCAGAAAAAAATGACTCTCATTTCTTGACTGGTTTTGTTGGGAATTTAGGATCATTGGTACTCCTGATGGTCGGTTTAAATCTTGTTCCATGTCTGCCCAGGTTTCTAATAGCCAGGGAAGGAAACCAATCAGCTCATGTTTTGGTATTTGCGACAGCACCTACCTGTCTGGTCCATCTCCCCACTTGAGTCTCATGAAATAGTGAGCCTTTGCTACTTGCACTTACTCGTCATCGTCTTCTTCATGTTCATTTGTAGGTGTAGGTTGCTTTTTCTCTTGATCCTGGTGATTTCTAGAGACGACTGTCATAATAAAACAATGAATCAAGATAGGAAAGTTGCTACTGACCCAGGCTGAGCTGAACAACAACCACGCTGATGTGATTCGCAGGAGGTTACTCTATCAATGCCAACACCACAAATTTTGAGAAGAGGCAACCCAGGAATAAGATATAATTCCGTACGAGCTTGTTCCCGTCATAATTCTGATTGTTGAACGTGATGATAGTGGTCTTCCAATGCAAGTTCTCTTTGACTCAAGGGGGTGCCGGCCTGGGAATCCCGTACCGGGACCCGGTTAGTTAGTCCAGCCACAGGCTGTGAAAAAAAAAAAAGGACACCTTGGGCAGAGGGCCTTCAATCATGAAGTTGAGTACTTTGCAGCATAATATAGTAACTACAGAATGTACTGGGAGGAATACAGCTCCAATAGAGGCCATCAAGCACCATGATATAAGATATTCATCAATTCCTGCCATATTTGGGCATTTTTTTGACATTACTTGAATTACCGTTGACCAACAATATCCTAAAATCTACAGTATATCTAACATTGGTTTCATTCTATGTATCACACCATTGAGACAGAGCCAGCTGTTCTTGATGCGGAGGGCTTCACAATCTGTCCAGATTGTGGCAGCCGTGTATCCTCATCAAATTCTCATATGCAAACAAGGTGTGCGAGAAACGCTGGGTAAGTACATTGTATTATGAGAACTGAGTGATTTTCCAACTCACGTTATATGCCTAGTTCCACCTAAAAGTGTGGAACATGTGCAAGCACCCCGGAATTGTGCCTGCACAACTTGTGCAAAACGTGGGGAGAGCGCTCACAAATGATGTCATATTACTATATATAGACATGTTCCTGATTACGTTAGTTAGTTAGTCCCCCTCAAGGTCGCCTTAAAAAAAAATCGACCCCGGGTCTTTTTTTCCAATGCCGGCACCCCCTTGCTTTGACTACTGCTGCGCGATTGGAGGGAGGACGGCCAGTAGATGGGACTCGGATGGATTGGAGGAGCCTTTGATATAGAGATAAGAAGGCTCAAACTCACAGCCCTGATTCATTAAACCATCGGAGGCAGTACAACTCACTGTTTGTCCATCACTAGCACTGGTGTCAAGACGTTTGTAAGGCTCAGCACTCAAGCACTCAATGTCAACACTCTCAGCTGATGTACTTGCAAACCGACAGGTTGGGCTGCGTGCCGGTGATGACCTGAGATCTGAGAAGTATGACTTCATCACTGGACCCAATATTTTATTACTCTGTTTGATTCTGTCACTAGAAACCGCGCATTCTTACTCGTAATATGGGTATGTGGGGGACAAAGTATCTCTGTCCCAGGCAAATCCCAGGACTTTCCTAATTTCGGGTCATTGAAATCGAAAGTCAGGCCGCATACTTGGCTCTACAGAAATAAAGCTAGTTATGCTGCTGCGCACTCTAATCTAGGTTCTGGCCGGGTTCCGGCTCTTTTGTCGCCCTGTTTATTGCCGAACATCTACCATGTCAACTAATCAGGTCATCACTGTGCAAACTGGGCAATTACTGTGAAATCATATTTGCATTACCGTGCATGATAATGCACAGTAATTTTCCTGTGCAAATGATCATTTCGCCTCCTTGGACAGAGTGGATCGGCTCTCTTTTTATAGGCTTCTACAGGACGGTGGCTTTCGCTGTCAAAACTTGTAGGCTGCTGCCTAATTCTGAACCTTCGAGAGGTGTATCATCCCCAGCTCAAGGAAGAATTCGTTCATGCACAATTGCAAAAATGGCAACTTATTCCTTTGTGCATGGCTGGCTCGTCAGATAGTGGAACGGTTCAGCTTTCGCGCTTAAATGCAATAAAAGTCGAGAACTACGACCTGGATTTGTCTCATATTATTGTGGCGTCTCGTCAAACCATGATAATCAAATCCGTCTTGTAAGGATGAGGGCTAACGGCCAATCCACTTGTACCTTATCATCGGCTCCTACCGCGACACTTGAGTTCGATTCCAAAACACCTTGTCGTAAGTCCTTCCAGAAGCGAATGGCAATGTCACCGCCTCGAATAGATATGTATTCGTCATCCGCGTCATGATCCACCTTCACCCTCGAGGCTTGCCGCTTCGATATCGTCCGCCAGGAACCTCACGTCCTCTTCGGAATCCAGATCTTCTGGATGCTTCTCATGATAAGTATGAAGTGCACTCGCAGTCCTAAAGTATCCCAAAAGGTCACGCCAGCTCATTTCTTTACGCATGAGTGAAAGCTGAGGATTGTGGCCAGGTGGCAGTGTTATCGGCGGTGGACTATCAGTTCCTGCGCAACATAGCGTTATCAGATACCGAAAAACGAGACGCAGATAGCTAACCGAAAAAATACATCCTCTGCACGTCCCCCAATTCAGATTTTCCCCCAAGTACAGCGGCGGGGTCTGGGATGTCAACCAACATCCGCTCCAATATGGTCCTTCCTGGACGTTGAAAATACATTCCAACGCTACTCCTGGAATCTGAGCCTTGATGGTAGGATGTAATCAGCGGTGTCAGCGAAGGATATGCTGGCAGGCGAAATTCCGCGTAGACCTATTGACTTCATAAGTTGCCGGATTCGGATAAAAACGATTGTAAGGTATACCCAGTACGCAGCCGTTCCTCCTTTACGCAGAACGCGTTGTGTTTCTGGCCAAACTTTTACTAATCGAACCAATGAGTAGATTGCGCTTTAAAAGACGGAACACGGGCGTTAGTTACACTTCACCCTCAACTCGTTGCCTTCCAATGAGGTCAAGCGAGAGAGAAATATACGACAACGTACCGGCAATCAATAAATCTACACTTCCATCTTCGACGGTCAAATGAAGGTCTTCAGCCGAGCCTTTGAGGAATTTGAATCTCTCTTCCTTCCCGCTGGGCGCAATATCCAGAGAAGTGACGTAAGTGCACGCCCTTTGAAGCATCCCCTCGGAAGGATCTATTCCAATTACTTGGTAAAATGGGCTTAGATGTGGAGTTGCTTGACCTGCGTGGATACTGTTGGGTCAGAAACCTTTTATCCATTTAATTTAGTTCAGGCAATCGCATAACAACAAACGTTTCACGCGCAAGAGTTAAAGCTGAAGTACTACAAAATCTTGAAAGAAATCCCTTCTCACCTGTACCACACCCCATGTCAACCGCTCGCTCCCACCGAGCGCTGCCCGAGCGTATGTGATAACTGAAGATGCACTTGAAGAGTTTGGATGGGTAATTGGGACGCAATGCAGAGTACGCAGAGGCGTTGAAACATGTCCTCGCAAACGTAGACATTCGATTTCAGACTCAGTATCAGAGGGGGCTGCTGTTGAATATGCGCGGATGAACGAGGTCGGAACTTGGAAGGAAGGTTGATTTGAAGCAGCGTGTTGTTTGGCGCTGCTTGGCCTTGTCAATAACTACTACCTAAACTTGCAACAACCAAGCAACACAAAAGCAACAACGACAAGAACAACGACGAACAAAAATGCAAACGCGCCGTTGTCTGAAGACGATGACCGCCTTTTTTAAAGCGCCCTCGACCATGAAGAAAAAAGAGATCAGATTCTTCAACAACTCTTTCCGGCGACTTGCGCACATACTCAGGCTGGAACAGTGCTCACACCGGCGTTAGCGCGACATCGAGAAGTTCTTAATTAAATCTGCCTCTCTCTTCCACAACTCGCTCATGGCGAAAGCAAATACGACAAGCTTCAAAGGAGGTTGATGCACCAACTTCAATTCTGATGCAGCTTCAAGTGAGCCCAACCTCTACTACTTGGCCTGTACGTTGATTTCATCTAGAGCTTATCGAGCTCAAGTCCATTGCCAGTGACCCCTATCGACCCTCCCCTGTGGAATTACTCGGCCACAAAGCATTTCCGTGACAGGTTTCGTACGTACAAACCTTGCTTGATTTTGATTCGGATCGAATACCCGACTCGCTGGTTTACAGATATTTGCAGAGTGCCAGTGGTGGGACATATATAAGTAAGCTCGACCATACTCATTTGGGACTCTATCAGCTGGTCTGCCCCCCTCAATTCGCTCAAGCCCATTCATCCAACGGCCGGTCCGTTTACTTGTTCCAACACACATCGTTCAAAATGCATCTTTTCTCTTTCAAAAATTCTGCCTTGCCCGTCGTCGCTCTTCAAGTTCTCGTTCTTCTATCATCCGACCAAGCTTTCGGGGCCGTCATCTCAATCGAGAGACGAATGAAAAATGCAGGGTCGTGGACAGCTAAAGACCTCAAGACTTCAGCCTACAGGAACGAAGCTATGAAATACAACAAGGGTTCTTACCTGCCCACTGCCAACAACAATAAGGTGGCCTGGATAAAGGGCGCCATTGGAGATGCCGGTACGCTTTTTCCATTTAATTATGTTACATCTATCCGCGATGGAATGATAATCCATTTTATGATTTTAGAACATATCATCGAGCCTGGAGCGCATATCAAACCTGTGCTCAATGAGTTGGGTATCAAGAAAGAGTGCGTAAACCTCCAATTTCTGAGAAATTTAATGTGAATCTTACTGAGCACGCAGTACGCCTTTCCACAAGGAAATCAAGCAAGTCCTGAATCACAAAGACAACCTATCAATGCTTCACCCAGGTACCAACAAAGCAAAGGCGCAGCTTGCCACTGATCCCAAGCGAAATCCAAAACTAAAGGCCACCGCAAAGCATTATCTCCAACAGCCACCCATCAGGCAAAAGGCAAGCACAACGATGGCTAAATTAGGAAGGGCAGCGGAGAAGCACAAGATCAAGAATGTTAGTTATGCAAACTCAATAAACTCATTCGGGAGCCTCCTGCTAACTTATTTTGATGGTGTTATAGTTCGAAGCCAAGGTGAAGGCCAAAGTCAAGGGAATATTACCCCACATCAAACGGAGCGAGCTAGCGGAATATCACCTAGACTGAGCAAATTAAACACAGACATGTAACGGTGAATGCAAGGACTTGAGCAATCAAAAGGGTTTTGAAGAGAGATAATGGAATCAACGAAACCGAGATATCTCGGTCAAACGTCGGCTTGTGTGCAGTTACTGGTCTCCAAGAGAGATATTTTAGCGACTCGTCTGGATAGTAAGAAAAGTTCATTACAGAAAATTTCATTGCAGCACGATGATAAATCAGTCACCAGATTGCTAAATGGGAAGACAAAACATGTTGAAGGATGCACTACGTAATGGTATCGAATATTTTAGGACGCGTATCTGTATACGTTGGTGTTTGGCTAGCAATACATGAAAAGGATCAGCGGTTTCGCAAAATACACATCAATTTGGGCAAAGTTGCCGTTCGGAGAAGGTCGAAAACGAATCATAAAAAATGCAAGCGATGATTGGCATATATGCGGCCGGCCGCAAGTCAAGTATTACTGCTCGGCTCCGCAAAAGGCTGTCCAAGCACTAGGGTTCAATAGGACTCAACTCCTTTTCCTTCTCCCCATCATCATCAACGGTATAGCTGAGTGGGGCAGGAGATTTCGAAGGAGCTCGGGTGTCCGTCTTACCGGCGGAGACAGCGAAAATGATCGATCCGATGATGGTGAAAAGGAGGGTGAACCACGGGATGATAGCCACCAGCCTCACTATCGAAACTCTCAGCAACAGAATCCCTTTTGTTGTAAATGGAGAGAGGGCACTTACGATACTCTAGCTGATTATACACACCCGTAACGCCAAGTTGTTTCTCCACCGAATTTATTATAGCCTGAGGCACCGCTATTCCTCCAACCGTAGCCGTCACACGAGCGCTGCGCGTGTGGAAGTAAAAGTCGAACGCTACGAGGCCAGCGAAGATCCATATAGCGCATAGACACAGCCCAATCGACTGGGCGAGGAAGAAGCGAGTGTGTTTGAGGAATAGGAGAAGTGCGGATATGGCGCTGAAGGCGGCTGTTATACCGCAAGCTACAGTGACGACGATTCCTGCCGTGTCGACATCTAAGAAGCAATTCATACATTTGGTTGGGGGGAAAAAGTGGAAAAAGGGCGCATATATGTACCATGGGTGTTGATGCTGACGACCGTTGGAGCGACTACGGCTGCTTTGACGGCTCTCTTCTCTTGATGAGATTTCACCCATGCATGAGCGCCTATAGTACACATAAGATCGCTCGTTGACAACAAACCCGTTCAAAAACTCACCAACGCCGACAGAAATGACCCCAAACGCCCATATGAAGAAGAGAACCGCATAAAAGTAGATCCTCCCTATCCCATGACCGTCAGTTTTAGCTCTGGTCCCATTGTGCAAGTTGCTCGTAGTCGAATGCGCGGGGGCTTCGGGATCGTCAGCCATAGGTGTGTAGATGGGAGCGCGAGGGAGAGTGCCAAAGCAAATACATGCCTCCTTTATGTCTGGGTTTATTTTTAGCCACCATGTGTGCGGCTTCTGTGCTCGGGTCTTCTTATGGCGAGTTCTGCTACGAAGCCGCAAGCGAGAACTGATCGGCTCCAATGTTCGCCTTGGCTGAGCTTTGTCTTGCGACGGATGTAACCCAGTGTCTCAGCGCGTATCTGAACGCGTGTCTGAGGTTGTTGGGGGGCAGAGAGGGTAGAGCGCAGAGGATAGCGTGGTCTCATTTTCCTGCTTCAAATTCCGATGGGGTATGTAAAGCTGTCAAATGCCTAGTGGAGAAAGGACGAGTGAAGCCGTCGACGTCATTTCTCCGCGGGGTTGGGGTACTGTGAGAGAACAGTGCGTAAAAAATTGTCAGAATCGCGCTGAACACCACCAAATGAACACACTTGCGAGTCGCGACCGGACGCTTGTATGCCCCTAGCACTCCTATTGAAAGTTTCTTTGAAATTTTAGAAAGTGATCATCAGGAGCGCCCTCGTGGACATACGCACCTTTGTCGCTTGAGAAAGGCTGACTGTGATGGTCTGACGGTGATGTGCCTTCTGCTCCAACCCGATTTCCGCCAGCGGCCCGCGAGGTGGTCGACCAGCAAGTGCAAACAAACCCCCAGTCAACACCAGTCAACACCTCCGCAACACCTCCGAACATCGCCAACAAATCGCCAAGCTTTCGTCGACTGAACATCACCTTTTCGGAAAGACATTTACCCAACTAATTCGGATCCTCCACTCCTATGTAACTCCCCCATTTCACCTGTCCTGACAATCGTCCGACCTCTTCCAGTCCGAGCGTCAAACGCGAGTCACCTCCGTCTTCGTTTCAACAACGAGGCGCGGCTGGTTGTCCATTTTTTTTCGTCTCCATCACACTGTCAATCGTGAAAGGATTGTGTGTACTCAAATCCGCATCTTCAGGACAGGAAAATGGCTTCAGCTCCCGTGTCCCAAGCGCTTAACCCTCTGAGCCTTCACGAGGACGTTTTAAATCTAGGTACGTATACTACAACCCTCCATCCGACTCCCTATCTGAATCCTAAAGTTAGGGGTTTCACACCGCCGCTTAAACCCAGAAAATCCCTCACACGTCCCGTACCCGTAAACGTGTCATCGGGCGCCGGGCGGAACTAATTCTTCCAGGTCAATTTCAAGCACACGAGCACAGGTCGGCTTTTTGACGCGGTCAGCCGACCTGGAGCAGATGTAGGAGCGGTTTGTAATTCGTGGAATTAATGATGCTTGGCCCATAGATCGGGTCAGGCGTCATCTCCGGCGGGTTGTGCATGGCAGTAAACGAGTCAACAAAGTGTCCATACGTGGGAGCATAAGTTACGGTACGCGCTCCGTCATACTCGCCTCAACGCGCTGCCGTCTTTTACCTTGCACCATCCCCTGGCAATCCTGCTCGTGGTTGAAAAAAGAAGAAACCTGTGTATTTTGTAGGGGTCTCCACACCGTTTATCGCGCTTGACGCGTCCACTTACATGATCGACGGCATTTCAAGAAGGGAGCATCTAAGCTCAGTGTGCCTTTCAAGTACCCCGTCAAATGACAGACATCAGCTGGTGCGTCATAGCCAATAGAAGTACGCATCGATGCGTCCGCCGGCATTCTAAAGTTCCCTCTAGATAGGATGTGACTAAATTTTGATACAGTAAAATGAAGGAAGCAAAAGCGACGAAATCTAACTAGACGTCATGATTAGTTTATAAACCTCTTGTGTACTCGCCTTGAATGCGTCAGGATGTACATATATTAATGAATGGCACAACATGCCTGTAGCATAGAGTCCCTGTCGATTAGTGGTCAAATCATCTTGTTGTGGTATCGATTTGTCGTTGTCCATTGCTCCGAGAAGCTGGAAGTTCGAATCCTCCCTGGGACACGGCAAACTGATAAAGAGTTTGAATCTTTTTTCACCCAAACTCAATACATACTATCAAGATCTACTCCCATGACAAAAGCTTGATAGCTCAAACTTCCTGGCCATCACGCACTTCAAAATAAGATACAGTCCGCTAAATACCACTCAAGTAAATGTCCTTGTTGATTAGTGGTGAAATCATCTCGTTGTGGTATTTGCGGCTTAAATCTGTACATATTTCGAGATGCCGGAAGTTCAAATCCTCCCTGGGACATGCTGCTGTGAATTAAAAGCCGTATTCAAGCTGATTTTTTCCTCTCTATAACTCCATGTGAAATACTACAAGCCCAATGAGCTTGTTTGCATGCAGCAAATTTTACATTATCTTGTAAGTATCTGATGAACAGTGACTATGAAGTCTGCCTTCTACTGGAGTTTAGTGACAGTTGACATATAAATAACTAAGTCAATAGCCAATTTTTGTTACAGCACAGATGAGCAACTTTAATTCATCAAAATATAAATATATCCTAAATGTTTCTAACCCTCCCAGTGTAGTACAAAGAAGCCTCAAGATCTTCAAGATATATCAAATGGAAGTTTTCAAGCATTTGATTTTTTCTACCAAGAAATTTATGCTGGAAAGATCAAGGAAAGATAGCCATGAAGTTGACCACACTTTTTGTCAACATGCACATCTATGCCTGAAAACATCTACCTGTTCTTGTTGATTAATGGTTCATCTCATTGTGGAGTAGATCATTCAGGTTGAGCCCAAGAAGCTGGAGGTTCAACTCCTCTCTTAGACATTAAAGTGGTAATGCACTGTTTTTTTTTTTTGTAAATGATCTTATTGTGGTCATCCCAAATGAAAACAATATTGACTGCAAGAAGTGAGCTTGCTTTTGTGCAACAAATTTTGTGCTACTTTGGAAGTATCTGACAAACTAGAGTAACTTTAAACTGTCCTCCTTGAGTTTTAGTCAGAGTTTGGATGATAAATATTTCCTAGACACATGTATATAATCTATCTATCAATCATAGAATTTTTTCACTGTGGCACAAAGGTGCCCCAAAAATTCCAAAAGCAGCCTTCTTCAAGATACATTGAAGTAGGAGTCTTCAAGCATTTGTTTTTTCTACTTAGAGATTTATGCTTGTAAGATGATCACAACCACACTTTCATATATAACAAGCTCATGTTTGACATGCACATCCAAGCCCAAAGACATGTACCTGTCCTTGTTGATTACTGGTGAAATCATCTTGTTGTGGTGTTATAAATCAGGCAGAGCCTGTGAAGCTGGAGGTTCAAGTCCTCCCTTGGACATCAAGATGTGGATGAAAGTCTTTTTCTTCTTTTTTGAGTAACTGGGCTGAATTATCAAAATTACAAGCTCAATTAAAAGCCAAGATGAAAGAAAAGTGTTTGTCCTGGTTGAGTGGTGTGAGATCATCACATTATGGCAGCTTATGAACCACTGCAATTCTTCAGGAGGTTTGTGGTTCAAGTCCTCCCCAGGGCATGTGGGGCCCTGCCATGAAAATGTTTTATTTTTCAAGGACTTAGTGTTGTAGAGTATGGTAGTGCATATGTTGTACTATTAGATCAACCATATTATTAAAATTTACAAGCTCATGCTCTATATGGAAATTGAAGCTCAAAGATTTGTACATGCCATTGTGGTTCTGGAATACTAGTGAAATCATCTTGTGTAGCTCTCTTCATGCTGAGCTTATGAGGGTGGAAGTTCAAGTCCTCCTTTGGGCATATGTTAGCTGTACACATAAAGTCTTTTTTTTTCTGCAAGATTTATGCCAAGTGAGTACCTACATACCTTACCGATTGGACTTCACTCTTGAAATTCACAATCCCATATACATTGAACTCAAAATGTGGGTAAGTGTCCCTGTCTATCAGCTATAAACTCATCTTGGTAGTATCTTCAATGCAAATCTGAGGATCCCAAAAAGCAGAAACTCTGATTATTACCAGGGCATTGAGCAGGCATGATAAGTAATTTCCTTCCAAATTGAATTTGAATAAATTCATACTACTAAACAGTTGCTCAGTAAAAAATTCCAAAGATAGATTCTTGAGATCAACCATGAGTACCTGTCCCTTTTGGTTAGTGGTTGAGTCATCTCAAACAAGAACTCAGAAATTATGTGTGGGAGGTGAAAGTCCTCCATGGGACGCTATAAAAGGTGATTTCTCAAGATCTTCTTTCCAACTTCAAAACTCAAGCTTGTGTGCTTGAGCTTTTGATATTTTGCATATACCAAGTTTGACCATCACAAACCTGTTAGTAATGACTTGCACCACTTAAAGATGGACTCTCATTTGTAAGAGTATGTGTCCTGGTTGATCAGTGGTGAAATCATCCCACTTACTTGGTGGAGACTAAACATCGCTGTGGAAAGTGGGAGGTTCGAATCCTCTCAAGGACACTAGCAAAAATCACCTGGTGCCTTTTTTTTTCTTTTTTTTTCAAGCTCTGGCCATTTGTCAATTTGTCAACCCTTTCACCATACTGCAAATATCAACACGAAGTACACTGACTGGGCAAAAAGAATGTCCCATCATTTTTTGGACAAAGTTAGTCCTGTAACGCAAGAACCAAACATTTTGAGAACTACAGTCTGGTGTATGAAACATAGCCAAAAAGGTGTAGATTGTACATACCAAGTCTGGGGATGAACAAGTGAAAAGTCATGATAAGGCAGGGAATTAACTGTGACAAGTGCCAAAAATGGGATGTAACAGAGTGGGAAATTCTGAATGACTGCAACCTACTGAAAGCAATTCACAACTTGAGGAAGAGATATTTTGAACACTGGATCTCCCTGCTATTGTTATAAGCTTCATAAAGTCTCTGGGCTAGAAAATTTTATATCCTCCTCTAAAAGGTAAATTTGAACCTGTTCTCCATTTTATGTATTTTTCACTCAATATATTTGTTGGAATGAGGTAAAATGACTCCCCATCAATGTTTGTAGTGTGTATAATACAAAGGTTGGTAGAAATATTAAAATGAACATTGCATGATGTCCGTAGAAGCTAATTTCCAGAGTTTTTCTGGAAGTAAACAAGTATCTACAACATTGGTCCTTCTTTTCTGCAAGAAGAAAAAATGCTACCATCCTTTTGAATTGATCCATGGAGACTCAGGATGTCTTTTAAACAATGCCTAAAGTATAGCATGATAGCAAATAAATTTACACTGGGTATAACTTGAAAAGTCCCAAATAAAAGTACATTTTGCATAGAGCAATCATCCTGGACCAATCCTTAACATTTTTCTTGGTGAATTGGGGCTAAAAATATTTCACAAGGCACTTCTCATGCCTAGTAACACCATCCCAAAGAAATAAACAGAGCTCCTATTTATACAAGGATCTGAGACCCACACCTTTCTTGCTCTATGCAAGATGTACTTTTATTTGGGACTTTTCAAGTTATACCCAGTGTAAATTTATTTGCTATCATGCTATACTTTAGGCATTGTTTAAAAGACATCCTGAGTCTCCATGGATCAATTCAAAAGGATGGTAGCATTTTTTCTTCTTGCAGAAAAGAAGGACCAATGTTGTAGATACTTGTTTACTTCCAGAAAAACTCTGGAAATTAGCTTCTACGGACATCATGCAATGTTCATTTTAATATTTCTACCAACCTTTGTATTATACACACTACAAACATTGATGGGGAGTCATTTTACCTCATTCCAACAAATATATTGAGTGAAAAATACATAAAATGGAGAACAGGTTCAAATTTACCTTTTAGAGGAGGATATAAAATTTTCTAGCCCAGAGACTTTATGAAGCTTATAACAATAGCAGGGAGATCCAGTGTTCAAAATATCTCTTCCTCAAGTTGTGAATTGCTTTCAGTAGGTTGCAGTCATTCAGAATTTCCCACTCTGTTACATCCCATTTTTGGCACTTGTCACAGTTAATTCCCTGCCTTATCATGACTTTTCACTTGTTCATCCCCAGACTTGGTATGTACAATCTACACCTTTTTGGCTATGTTTCATACACCAGACTGTAGTTCTCAAAATGTTTGGTTCTTGCGTTACAGGACTAACTTTGTCCAAAAAATGATGGGACATTCTTTTTGCCCAGTCAGTGTACGTAGATGACTTGGTAACGCAAATGAATGTCCTTGTCGATTAGTGGTTAAATCATCTCGTTGTGGTGTTCAAATATTTCAAACGCTCCGAGAAGCCGGAAGTTCGAATCCTCCCTGGGACACTGTAGCAAACTTGTAAATGTGTTTTAGTGTTCTGGTGCAGCATTCAATTTCATGAATTTACAACTTTTGTTTTATTATATACGTACTTGCAATCGAATCGATGGATGGTAAGATACATACAGATGAATGAACGCCCCCCCCCATCTGTGGTTCATAATCATATTTTATCCCCGACTACCTACCTCTCCAACTCAACTCACCGCGGCCGGAGCGATGCGTGGAATGGTCACGGAAAGCGCCGTCTTGGCTGCGCGAGGGACGGGATGCGCATGTTCCTTGGCTTGGTGAACCCTCGAGAAGTGAAATTCAAGAAGGGAGGGTTGAAATTCAGCGAGAGCAAGAGGTGAAATTCAACTTGGATTTGTCGACTTGAGAATGGATTTCTGCTCGTCGGGAATTAAGTACCTGGGCACCAAACGAGTTGAGGAAGAAGATCAATGTAAATTGAAGCATCAGATTAGAGTCAAGCGAAGTATGCACTGGAATTTGAATGCTGACAAAACTAGCTTGGGGCAAAGCGTGCAGTGCGACATCTATCCAGAGAGCCAGTCATGTACATAGGAAATGTGCCCATGATAACTGCGAAGGCGTCGATGTAAAGACGGCTAGCGGTACAGTTCCCCAGCTATGTTCAATTTGTTACTTGGCGTTCAGAACCATACTCACGACGGCAGCAATGTGATATAATTAGAACTCTTCCTCCCGGCTTTGAAGAAAGCCGCAAGCGTAGAGCCGTGGGGCCATTCGTGATAAACGAAAGGCAGAAGGCGAAAAATGCGGACGGAAGGACGAGGTTTGAGGGGTCTGATGGATGAACTTGGAAGGTTCGAAAGAGATTGACGAAGACGGGATCAAAGAATCTGTTGAGAGAAAGCCAGGAATTGAGCTTGATCTTTCGGTCTTTCGTCGCGTTCGGCGATATCACCATCTCCAGAAGAAAAAGAAGCAGATCGATATCGTCCAAAGTCAGAGCATCAATTAGAAAGAGGAAGAGTAAAACCAATCTTGTTGGTCGCGTCGCGTTTAATATTCCAGAGAACTGATAGAAACGATAGATCCCCTGCACTTTAGGAGAAGTGGAAAATCCCCGTTCTTGGCGGTCGTGATAGGCAGCGGTAGATATCAGACTAGTAACGGCGCATAGATTCCAGAACCAATGATATTGCGCATGACAAGTGGGGGTACCGTGGGGCTCCGCTCTCGGCCACCAGTCAATCGGCCACCGCGAATCCGCAAGCTCATCATGTTATTGAGGGGAAACTTAAAAATTTGGGGGAACGCGGAGATTTAGGGTCTGGAGTCTGAAGTAGTAGCGCGTGCGGTGGAGGAATGTGTTTCACCGCCAACAGCTTGCGCAAAAAATCAGCATATGAAATGTTGGATGCATGGAGCACTAGGGCAGCCGTCGCGTCGCGAAGCGCTTGGCTAGTTTTTCAAGATTGGATTTACTTGGTTGGGCCCCACGCTGCCCCACGGCGAGCTACTTTGAGGTGTTGGTACGCCGTCGTGGAATCTGCGATTGGTCAAGTAGGTTGAAGTGGTACCGAAGTCCATCGAGTATACAGGAAATGACGTCAACCTCATTCACGAGAGACAAATTTCGGAGTACACGAACAACGTTAACTCCGTGGATACGCATGCTGCGCGATGAATGGTGTCGCCTGAGCATAAGTATGCCCCTCCCCATCCGAAGCACGATATTTCGGTCAAATTTCGGTCTTGATTGGCGTCGAAGAAACTGAATCGGTGCCTGGTTTATAAATGAAATGGGCGTAAAAAATCACAGCAGGCAGGCTCAGGCAGGGCTCAAGTTCAAGAGTCGGGCTGAAGCAAAGGAGCAAAGGGTGTGCATGTGACCGTTGTGACCGCATGGTACGCAAAACAACCGAGCACCAAGTTGAAGATCGCATCTTCGTCTTGGACTAAGTACATCTCTTCTCAAATACGGCCAGCCAATGGCTGATACCGATATGTATGCATATACATGCATGCATAAAAGCCCTGCGGGGCAACCCAACCTATTACCGGCCTTTCCCCGTCTCTTCTCTTCCCCACCTCCCGTACTCGTATACCCCTCCGGTTGAACTCGAGAAAAGACCTGAGAAATGGCGACTACACCAATGCCAATGCGTACAGCCCGCGCGATCGCGCTCTCTCTATCATGGTGCTTCGCCGTCATCGCCGCGTCTGTAGGCTTAAACTCCCTCATCAAGTCGAATCAATCGCAGAGTCACTTGAAAAAGCTGGCTACGCCGCCTACGGTCGTTAGCATCGATGTTCATGGTGAGTTGCTTTTCTCCCCTCCCACACGCGAATGCTCACCGACACCCCTCCCTAGACATATTCGACGTCGGCGTCCTAGCAACAACCTCCTCAACCCTAATCTCCATCCTAACATTCAACTACCTCCTCCCCCTCCTCCTCCCCATCACCTCCTCATCCCCATTCATCTCCCGCCTCCAAACACTATCAACAAAAACCCTCCGCATCCAAGCATACTCCCTCTTCTTCTGCTGTATTGTCTTGTTGGGAGCAATGATCCCATTCATGTTGTTCTTCGCTACGCGCGAGGCGGTGGTTCGTGCGTTCGTGGGGACGCTTGAGTTGCCTAAGGAGGTGGTTCAGAAGGTTTCCGCTGCTAGTGGGAGTACGCCTGTGTATAGCAAGATTGACTATAGTATGTCTCCTCTCTCTCTCTCTCTCCTTTTCCCGTTTACCTTTACTAATGCTCGAACCCATAGTCAGATTAGTGGCCATCTTCCCATGGTTCTCACTCTTCTTCACCTTTATCGCGGCGGTTGTTTTGTTTAAAGCGGACAAGGTGGCGCGTGCTGCTGCTGTTTTGAATGCTAATTTGGAGACGAGCGATGAGAAGGCAAGGTCGGAGGCGAGCGATGAGAAGGAGACGGAGTCGCGTCTTGAGAAGGTCGATGTCTGATGAGTAGTTTGGGTGTTGATTGTGTCGCCTTTTTCTGACTTGCTTTTGGATAATGGATGTTAGGCAAGTTGAGTGGCGTTTTGTGTCAACGGGGTTTGATGCCGGGTTATGAGGTACATAATGTATGTATACCAAACGACGACGGTGACAATGACATGTATGCATTTTGTACTAGTACTCCATACCATTACCATTATCCTCGGATTACTAGTAAGATTCGAGCTGAAATCATATTTCCCCCACATGAGCTCGCTGATGATCCACGCTACCTGGTAACTTTTCAGGTTTTGCTGAATTCCCAGGGCTCATCTTCAACATTATCAAACCCCTTCATCACGTCTTGTAGCTTGTCCATGTCCTCAGTTCTCATCTGGCAGTTATTTATCAGTTCAAGCATCTTTGCAAGTGCTGCATCCCGGTTAGAGCGACCTGCAGACTTCACATGATCCCGAATCTCATTGTGGACTTGAATTCTTTCTAGTGAATTCTTGTACGTGGCGAAGGCAAGCTTGATCAGGCGACGGGAAAGCGGCAGTCGGGCGTTAGCCACGAGGCCGAAGATGAGTTGCATAATGAGGGTGAAATCAACGATGTACGCCATCAGACGTCGTACCGTAAGCGTCCTGGAAGTTTCTCGATTAGTACTTGACCGCATACGTAGGAACCTTAAAACGCACGATTGCTCATATACATCGTCTGCCCACTTTGCGAGGGCTACAGTTGGAATTGCCACAGGATCGGCAGTTTCAGATAGACCCACCACGAGTGCAGTTAAAGCACTAAGCAGCGGGGAAGCGCGAAAACTGATGACTTGCGTGAAAAATAAGGTGAAATAATTGAAAAAGCACTCACGTTGTCATGTTGGTATCCGACAGCTCCTCGGCGAGTGTGGTCATTAACGCCATGAACTCCTTGCTCTCGAGATGCTGGGGGGATGTTCTCAGTAAGCGAAGTTTGAGGGGGCATAACAATGAAATCTTTACCCCAAATTGATCCTGAATATTCCAGGCTCGCACAATATCAGTGTGCAAAACTCGAAGACATGCTTCTATAGTTTTCCCCGAAAAGTTCACGCTGGACGCAAGGCGCATCCAATAACCTAGATAGAAGTTAGGTTCCAGTTTGGTGACACAGCGGAAATCTCATACGCTTTTGCCCAACTCTTTGACAAGAAGAATGTCAGCATGACGTTCAGCAGGCAAACGTTCAAATGCTCACGCAATCACTGCATCAATCTTCACAGCTGGATTCACGCGTAGAGCGATGGCAGAGACCAGTGCAACATCTTCAGCAACATCGACCTCCAGGGAGTTTTTAACACAGTCAGCAGTGAGACGGACAAGCCCGCCCAACATGGTATCCTTGTATTCTTTATTGACTTTGTTGGAAAATATAAGCACAAGCACAAGAAATCTCTTTGTAACTTACTTGAGACGGCGATATGCGGAATGTCTTTACCAACGGCCTTTTCGAAGGGACTAACACACAATTCTTGGAACTTTGCTGTTGTCTCCTCAGCAAGACGTGCATTTCGGGTTTCCCGATCCAAATGATTGTTGCGTTTGTAGAACTCTAGATTGTTACCAAATTGAACCTGCTCTACCAACTTATCATATTTGGTAAAAACGGCGATCACAGGAACTAAATCAAACAGTAAGCCATTGTGGGTCAGAGAACACCAAGAACCTACCAGGGCCAAGTTCTCCTTTGGACTTCATGCGGAATAGCTCCTCCACCTTAGCCTCAAACAAACGATCACGTTCAGACAGGGACACTTGGAAACAAACCCTGCGCAACAGCCTCATCATCTTGTTCACTCAGGTGATCGAGGAGCGGTAAACATACCAGACAACATGTACCTGATCCCTCACATTGGGCATGTCCTTCCGAGCTTGCAAAAAATCGACGACTTTCCCAAAGTTTTCACCCTCCCCAGGCTCGAAGCCTTCACTGTCGTGCAGAATAAACCTTACGTTTTCATTTGCTATGAGCTCCTTATTGATATTTGACACGCCAGCTTTAAGATCAGACACGGTCTGGGCAAGGACAAGCTTTAGCAGCGGATTTTGAGAAGAAGGGGAGGTGACTTCACAGTAGCCTTGACGCCGAAGCATTCATGGATGAGGGAAGATTTCCCTACACCGCTCTACAGCAAAAAAAACTATAAGCTAGTGCATGGGAAGAAATGTGAGAGAACTACGCTGCCGATGACCAGGACTCGGAACCTAGTAGCGGGAAGGTAAGCCACAGTAGTCGGGGATTAAGCAGACTGACCGTTCGACCAACTTGAATAACGCATCCGTTGTGGGTTGCAGGTCGCCACTCGTCGAATTCTAAGATCGATCGCACCAGCATTAGCCGGGCGCTTTTGCGTTTGAGGAAGAAGTGCACACACCCCTGCGTATCGGCGAAACTTCAGGACGACATTGAACTTGTCAAATGATTTTGACCATTCTAGAGTAGAAAGTCTTGCATCAGCAAGACAGGAGCGATTGCAAATGGGAGTTGCCTTGTTTTCCGGAGAAGTCGTGGCCCACCTTGTTTAGCAGTTCATCAAGAGGTATCTTGTTCTTCGACGCAGCACGAAACAATCCGCGGAATCGGACTTTCAGATAGAGGGACTCTGAAGGCGAAAGTTGACTGCTTTGACTGGGTTTGTCGTCCAATGCTACACATGATCATCGGCTCACCAGGGGGATGGCAACTCAAATTTGTGGGTCTTTGCGCCTAGGAGACACGGTGATTCCCGCTCGAACGATCCAATCGAAAGCTGGACCGATTTGAGGATGTGCTGGGATGAAACGCAGATTTCTAGTCAATGGGTGTCAGATGTTTGACTTCGGGCAAAAATCTGAGAGGTTACCTGTAATCTCAATGCTGGGGCTTCCTGCCAGTGTTGAGCTACCCCCCGCGGTAGACATAGTGGTTTCGGTAAAAAAGAGGTGCTTATCGCTCGGAACACGCTTTATTTAAACGGCAGGCATGAGGGACTGATTGCAGAATGTCAGACCGCCCCAAGACCGCCCGCTGGCTGCCACAACTGAATGTAGAGACGGCACGTGTGCACATGTGAGTGAAGAACACGTGCATGTCTCAAAAACACGTGTTCTCTCTTTTTTGGCTTCAACTTTTGAACTACAAAACCCACTACTCGCATAGCGGGAAAATCTCTTATGAAGCTTGTTTTTTTGTAACCCCTGAAATGACGGCTGGGTAAGAGCTGGCTTTGCTGGCAAGAAACAGAGGTTGTGGGCTTCACCGAACTTTGGCGCTGGGTCCCCCTTGTCAACTTTGCGGGATGATTGACAGGTGACACATCGCGTTTACACGCATGTCATCTCACACAGCAGTGCACACGTTCTCACTTTCCCCTTGGACAGTTCTTCCTCCTCCAACTTCGTCTCGGCCATGGATAATCCCAATGACAAGAATAATGAACATACTATTAAGATTCGTCAGTATTCCACTCCCTTTTCATACCCTTCAGGCTTCGGTGAGCGGCTAAATTATCAATCAGTGGATAATAAGACCCACAACGCTGTCTTCATTGACCGTGGGCTACCTGGCGTAGCCACGAATTCCAAGACTGCGTCTGATAAGCCGTGTATGCCCTGCGGCCATAAGTTGAACGCTAGAAACCTCATCGTCTGTATTGACGGGACGTCGAACCAGTTTGGAAAGAAGGTGAGCGTCTGTTTGTTTAATATTCGTCCAGGATCTCGACGCTTTCAACGATCAGAACACAAACGTAATTGAATTGTACAACCTCATATTGAAGACGGTTGGAGATAATCAAAGGACGTGGTACAATAGTGGGATCGGCACTTACGCTCGGCCATCTTGGAAGTCGCTCAGTTTTTACAAGAAGGTTCTTTATCACAAGATCGACTTAGCAATTGCATGGTAGGTCATGGCGCTACTTGTCCGATTGTGCCCTAATTTTCCTCTTGATAATTCAGGGATTTCGAGCGAATAGTCTTGGGTGCATACCGCTGGTTGTCGGATAATTACGAGGAAGACGATTGTATATTTCTGTTCGGTGTGTCATAACAAAATAATCTTGACTCATGTCCGCATCCTGATTTAATGTTAGGGTTTTCTCGTGGAGCATTTCAAGTTCGAGTTCTCTCGGCGATGATTGAAAAGGTGCGACTCGCCTTGTATTTGCAAACAGCTCGTTAACTGAGGTCTCTCGGAAACTTCAGGTCGGCCTCGTCTTCAAGGGGAATGAGACGCAGATACCATTGTGCGTCTCCAAATTTTCACTCTTCTCAAGCACTCAATATTCATCCTCAGTGCATATGAGCTGTACGCCGACCTGAAAGGTGGTGGGCATCCAGCGAGTAACGTCGGATCCGATGATACCGGCGGTCAGAAGCTCCCGACCTTAGCCGATCATTTCAAGAAAACCTTCTCAAACGAGGTGAAGGTACACTTCGTTGGAGCCTGGTGGGTTATTCAAATTGTCACAACAGAAAAACAAAATGACTGATGGTGCCTTAGGGATAGTGTTTCGTCAATTGGGTGGGCATCTAGGAAGTCCATGCCTCCAGGGACAGTCAACGGGATGACTCATGTCTGTTATTTCCGCCATGCACTCGCGCTTGATGAGCGGCGGGTTAAATTTCTCCCCGAGTACGCTCACGGGGGATCTGCCAAACCTGCGAGACCGGGTAGGTGCCAGTGGCCATGATTCGACTTGTCATCTGCCAGTGCACTGACCGCAAGATGGAACAGACTCCAAGGAAACGCTTCGACAAACGAAGGAGGTTTGGTTTGCAGGGACGCACTCAGATATGTAAGTTAATTGTCGCTCACAAGTTTATCACTAATGTATGGCTTTTAGTGGGGGTGGGAATGTAGAAAACACTGCAATGGATCGTGCTCGGCCACCGTTGAGGTGGATGGTCTTCGAGGCGGGGGTAGCTGGCCTTCGCACCGCGCTATTCAAACGTGAACTCAGGGATTATGGAGAGATCAGTATTATTGAATCTCTGAAAGGGGGCTGGCGCTTCGTTGAGATTTGGCCATGCAAGAGACTAACATTTACACGAAAGAAAAATGGATTGCCGGAGATGACTCGGAGGTGGGCCTCTTGTTGATTGCCATCGTATTTATTAAGGAATCTATGATAGGCCTCACCTTGGAACTGGCCGAAAGATCCATCAGGGCCAGATGATCCACATCTCCTTATCGACTGCTGGTCATAAGAATTACATCCCGAAAGCACGTCCTTTCGATGATGACCCTTTGTTCTGGGAGAAGCTGCGTGGCAAGGAGAAGGAACCTGCGATGGCAAACGACTGGCTGGAACTCGACTTGTACGAGCACAGCAAACTCGCGGTGGAGAAGCTGGTTTCAGAGGGCATCGATACTGCCTTAAAACCTCTGATCATGTCTGGTAAGCTCTCCCACCCTTGATATCTTTCATTCGGTTGAAGGTTTCAGGGGACGTCCGCAGGGAGGTATACCGAAACGTGATTGATGCCTTGAAGAAGGAGAAACTTCTCCCCGACTACCGCAAGTACCAGATCCTGTGCACCACGATGCAGATTCTGGAGAAGGACTCTCAAGCTGGTTTGAAATTCACATTGAGCCATTCAAGCAAAATCAGATCTGCTTTGTCAGATCTTCTTAAGGATGGCGGATCCTTCTACCAAACGGCATACGACTTTATGACTCGATTCACAGATTGTGAGCAAATCCTGCGTTTTTGTTCACCCATGAGCAGTTAAAGACTTTACTCCAATGCACAGTTGTCAAAGTGTTTCAGTTACAAGAGGACTTTCTTTCTTGTGCGATCTCACCTGACGGCACAAGCATAGTATCTGGCTTGCGCGACGGAACCGTTCGAATATGGGATGCAGAAACCGGTAGACAGGTGGGGGGGCCATTGCAAGGAAAAGAAAACCAGCTCTGTTCCGTCGCGTTCTCACCTGATGGAATGAGCATAGTATCTGGCTCGGATGATGGGATGGTTCAGATCTGGGATGCAAAAACTGGTGGCCAGGTGGGAGAGCCATTGCGAGGACACATTAAGTGGGTCTGGTCTGTCGCGTTCTCACCTGACGGGAAGCGCATAGTATCTGGCTCAGGTGACCGAACGGTTCGGATTTGGGATGTGACAACTGGTGGCCCGGTGGGAGACCCATTGCGAGGACACATTGATTGGGTGTGGTCCGTCGCGTTCTCACCTGACGGAACGCACATAGTTTCTGGGTCGTATGACAAGACAATTCGGATCTGGGACGCGAGAACTGGTATCCAGGTGAAGGAGCCATTGTGCGGACACACTGATTGGGTCTGTTCTGTTGCGTTTTCACCTGACGGAGGGCGCATAGTCTCTGGCTCGCGTGACGAGACAATAAGGATTTGGGATGCAAAAGATGGCAAACCGGTGGGGGAAAAGCCACTAGAGGGACACCGTAATTTTATTTGGTCTGTTGCATTCTCACCGGACGGCAGGCGCATAGTATCGGGCTCGTCTGACGGGGCAATTCGGATTTGGGTGGCGGAAACTTCAGAAACCTGGAGCCCGGTGGCAGTGACATCATTGCGAGAACAAAGTCCATCGACGTCGTCCGTGGCGTTCTCATCTGATGGGGCGCTCATGATATCTGGCTCGACATTTGATCGAACAATTCGGATTTGGGATGTAGAGGCCCTCGGAATGCAGGCCCTTGAAAATAGCCGTGCACTACCACGAATGGCTGCGTACGACTAACCATGCAGGAACTCCTACCATGCACAACTGTGTGTATCTAGCGATGACCGTGCAGAGTAGTGTTGCCGCAAGGCAAAGTCCCTTAAAGTCGGCTATTAGGACTTTACAGCTATCGAGTATTTACACCCGGGGAAAGTCCGTCCGTTGTGGTCCACCGAGGTTGAGTGAGATCGATTAAATCAGTTTCCCATCAATACCTACTATGACAGAATACTTATCATTAGATTAGACACTAAAAAAAGAGAAATACAAGATGCTGCTTAAGAAAGCCGCAAGCGCACGCGAACCCTTAAATGTCGTGAAAGGCCGAGTCTATAGAATGTTCATTGTTCGTGATAATGTTCGCGGAAGGAAGACGGGGTATGCGGACGGAAGGACAAGGTCTGATGGAAGAACTTGGAAGGTTCGAATGGAACTCGACGAAGATGGGAAAAAGGAATTTGTTGAGAATGTACAAGCAAGGAATGGAGCTTGGTTATTCGTCGCGATCGGCGATATCAGCGTCACCAGAGGAAGCAGGTCGTCGAAAGTCCGCGAGCTCCAGTAGAAACAGAAAGAGTAAAACCAAGCCGAGGTAAACCATACATCCCCAGCACTTGAGAAGTGGAATGCCCCGTCCTTGGTGGTCCTGATAGGTAGCGATAGAATTCAGACTGTTAGTAACGACGGGTAGATTTCTATTGTGTGTATGCCATGCGGGGTAGGGTTCTGCCCTCGACCATCGCGAATCCGCAAGCTTATAAGTTATCGGCCGTTCATGTTCATGTTATTGAGGGGAATTTGGAAATCCGAAGGAACGCGGAGAACTAGGGTCTGGAGTAGGAGCGCGCGTGGTGAAGGAAAGCCTGAAAAAGGAGAAGAAGTCGGCATATGAAATGTTGAACCCATGGGCAGTTGGGCGGCCGTCGCGTCGTGAAGCGCTTGGCTAATTCTTCGAGGTTGAATTTACTCGGTTGGACCGTAGTACAGCGTGTTGAATAGTCGAGGCGGACCGGCAACTCCGGTATGCCGATCCCGTGCATACGCGCACGTACTAGTCTCATATAGGACACTGTAGATAGTTATAGTAGTTTGTAGTATATTCTAGTTACATATGTTTGTAGTATATAAGGGGGACTGAGAGTCCCCGAATTCATTACCTTCTCACTCAACCACTACCCCTCGTACTCGCTGCTCCAACAGGTTATGGGCCCCGAGCCCTAAAACATACTACACACACTATACAAAACTTTATCATACACGATACCCTATCACACGTTACCCTATCAATTACATAGCAGCAAATGGAGACCAATAATGGATCATCGAATGTTTACCGGATTGAACCGCTTAAAGGCGCGGACAATTACGCGGTATGGAAAATCAAGATGATGGACATCTTGACAGATCAGGGTCTATGGGACTATGTGGATCCCGGAACGGCGCCATCAGACGCCAACCAGAAACCAGCATGGGATAAGAAGGACCGGACAGCTTTATCGACGATAAGATTGCGGGTAGCTGATAAACTATTGGTTTATGTATCTAGCGCAAAAACATCGAAAGAAGCTTGGGATACGCTAAAGGGTCTATTGGAAGCTCAAGGGCCGTTAGGAATAGTCCTTGCCCGCCGAAAGCTATTTCGGGCTAAGTGCGAGGATGGCACTAGCATTGAAGACCACTTCAGGACCCTGAGAGTCTATCAGGAAGTATGGCAACAGGGAGTGGCCAGCTTCGTTTTCTCGGCAAACACCGTTATTTGTCCACTTGCCGAGTTGCTGCCACGCATAATTATTACAAAATACCGTTTTCCCACGATGATTACCTTACTCATGGCTCGTAAATGTGAAGCATCCACTGAAAACAACAGTTCTGAGAGTGCATCAGTGATGATGGGTATACCATTTCCTGCCTATTTAGTTTGGAAATTTGTTTGTCAGCTCTGTATCATGGTACTTAACCTTTTGAATTGTTTTTTACTGATGTTACCCAGCTTTCAGCCTGTTGCAATCTATCCAACTCTAATAAGAGGTTCAATCCAGGTCAAGGATTAGTAAAAAATGCATTGGAATTTTTCTCATCTCATGGTTCCATCTGCAGACTTTGAAAATTTTCAAAATGGTGGCAAGGTATGTAGCTGAGAAAATCTTTTGAATATCCTTACTGCAACTCAAGTTTAAGGACTATGGGTATGTATATTTCAATCTCTCACTAGGATGTTCACTCTACATATTTTCTTGTATTCCAGGAAAGCTGCTAAAGTCCTTTCTTGCTGATGCTGATTCTCCATTACACTCATGTCTTTACCCTCCTTCTTCACAGAGCAAATAAAAAATACCTCATTCAAAGTATAACACCTGGGAAAAGCAGTGATTTGGAAATGTACTAGAAGATTTATTCCCTTCTGAGTATTTGTAATTATCACAGGACTTACAATAACTTACCCCCCAGAATTTCAATGATACTAAAGGTATTTTAGTTGAAAAGTATTTTTACTATTTTATTCAGCATGAGGAGTGCTACAGATTTGTGGTGAAGAGAATCAAATTACTTTCTTCAATCTTAACTGCTGAAGTTTGCTTCACCATTCTTCAACTTTGCACAGTGGCTGAAAAAGAATTTCGAACTTTGACTAATTTTTTGAATAGCATAATGTGACTGGCTGAAAGCTGGACAGTGTTGGTAGAGAACAATTTTTAGCAGAAGTATCATAACATAAAGATAACAAAAAATTTAAAATAGGTAATTATTGTGAGAAAATAGTATTTTATAATAGTTATGTCCAGCACACAACTCGGCAGGTGGACAAACAATGGTGTTTGCCATGAAAATGAAGCTGGCCACTCCCTGTTGCCATAGAATCCCACCACCCTATGGTCAGCCAGTCCGCATCGCTAAGTGCCTTCATAGCCGGCATACTACTTCAGGGTGAGCTATATTTGCACCAAGTGAGCCAGGTCGTTTAATTACATCACCTGAATGATAACTGGATGCCATCCTTTATGTCGGGAAAATCAAAATTAGGATATATGTAGAGACATGAAGAGATCAGCACATATCAGTCCGTCACCTTTTCGGGGGGAAAATATGGCTCAGTAATCATTTATATCGGATTGTGAGAATGATCACCATGATATCTATTGACCAGCGTGATTATTTCTGACAAGGGTGATTACCCGGTGAAAATGATCAACACTGGCAATAGTGACGACAACGGCCACCAGAGTCAACATCGACGGGGAGGGTTTGGGATAATTTGGGGTCGTACGTTATCCAATTAATAATATGGCAGTGATTATACCAAGATTATACATTGATATCTACATGCTACTAGACTCCAGATAATTCCCGAACATACGCAAGAACCACCGCTTCCAGACCAGAGTTTAATATCTCACCTTGCCAGGCCCACACCGTGCCGATGTGCTAGCCTCTATTGTTCGATACGATTCCGAATCCTAGTCCCAAGTCCGGTGTTTGGCGGGTGACATCGTGATTGAGAGGGCCTTGGCTCAACCTTGGCTCTTTGCTGAGTGAGGAACATCATTCGGAGTGTCTCCAAACTACTGGAGAATGGCGACGAGGATGAGGACGGTTACGTGGAGGAGAAGGAGAAGAGTTGGGTGTGTTCCTGAATATTCGGATTGGCGGAAAGTCTGGGTCGGTCTGCTTGTCGCATCCTGACCCAATGTGGGTCTGATGAGGAGAGGGTGAGAATAAAGTGGGATGAGACGAAGCTGAGGATTCATGGCAGAATTCACTCACAGTGTTTGCACATTATATATGTTTGAGGGCAACAGGAACGAGGTTGGAGCATGACGACTGCCACTCCAATGATGTGGAGTATGTTCTCTCCAACACTCCTGAACTCCACAGGAGTTCAAACAGCACAATTGGAGACCACATTGCACCGGACATCGCAAGGTATGGCTGCCCAGCACTGCGGTATTACGGGTGGCGATGGACAGTTGAAAACGATGAAGAGATTAGACAGAGGGACTCTGTCTTGATGGGTTCCAGGCAGTTCGGACGTTTACAATGGAAATAATTTGCCATGATGCGATAACTTTGTTGGGAATGCTTGTCAGATCATGATAGCGGTCAGCACTGAAAATGATATGACCTCGGCACCTCAGATATGATATCCCTCCTCCTCGTAGGCTGAACAAGACTTGTTAGAGGCACCAGAGATGATGTGAGGTGATAACCTTCTGATATGCTTGCCAGGAAAAAACTTATTACATACTGGTTGTTCGGACCAGCAGCTTACCAGTGGTGACATGATCTAATAGCCGACTGAAAAGGCTGCCTGCAAGAAGCTGATCAGTTCGCATATGTTCATCAGCTGCCGCAACCACTGATATGCTAATTTCGATTTTTCCGACATATGGCAACAGGGAGTGGCCAGCTTCATTTTCATGGCAAACACCATTGTTTGTCCACCTGCCGAGTTGTGTGCTGGACATAACTATTATAAAATACTATTTTCTCACAATAATTACCTATTTTAAATTTTTTGTTATCTTTATGTTATGATACTTCTGCTAAAAATTGTTCTCTACCAACACTGTCCAGCTTTCAGCCAGTCACATTATGCTATTCAAAAAATTAGTCAAAGTTCGAAATTCTTTTTCAGCCACTGTGCAAAGTTGAAGAATGGTGAAGCAAACTTCAGCAGTTAAGATTGAAGAAAGTAATTTGATTCTCTTCACCACAAATCTGTAGCACTCCTCATGCTGAATAAAATAGTAAAAATACTTTTCAACTAAAATACCTTTAGTATCATTGAAATTCTGGGGGGTAAGTTATTGTAAGTCCTGTGATAATTACAAATACTCAGAAGGGAATAAATCTTCTAGTACATTTCCAAATCACTGCTTTTCCCAGGTGTTATACTTTGAATGAGGTATTTTTTATTTGCTCTGTGAAGAAGGAGGGTAAAGACATGAGTGTAATGGAGAATCAGCATCAGCAAGAAAGGACTTTAGCAGCTTTCCTGGAATACAAGAAAATATGTAGAGTGAACATCCTAGTGAGAGATTGAAATATACATACCCATAGTCCTTAAACTTGAGTTGCAGTAAGGATATTCAAAAGATTTTCTCAGCTACATACCTTGCCACCATTTTGAAAATTTTCAAAGTCTGCAGATGGAACCATGAGATGAGAAAAATTCCAATGCATTTTTTACTAATCCTTGACCTGGATTGAACCTCTTATTAGAGTTGGATAGATTGCAACAGGCTGAAAGCTGGGTAACATCAGTAAAAAACAATTCAAAAGGTTAAGTACCATGATACAGAGCTGACAAACAAATTTCCAAACTAAATAGGCAGGAAATGGTATACCCATCATCACTGATGCACTCTCAGAACTGTTGTTTTCAGTGGATGCTTCACATTTACGAGCCATGAGTAAGGTAATCATCGTGGGAAAACAGTATTTTGTAATAATTATGCGTGGCAGCAACTCGGCAAGTGGACAAATAACGGTGTTTGCCGAGAAAATGAAGCTGGCCACTCCCTGTTGCCATAGCTGAAGGTCTGGTGGACGAATCGAAATCCTCAGCTCATTGGCAGCTATTACCTAGAAGCTGGCCGAAAACGCAAAGGTGCGAAAATAAAAAGAATTCCATCACGACACTAACAGATGTCTCTTAGGAGTATCTCTTATCACACAAAGCGACCGCGGGTGGGAGATGTATGTGGTGGCAAATATCCACACGAACATTCGGCATACTCTCGACCCCTCATTAAGTGATACACTTCAGCATCGTTGGTGCTTCAACAAAAGCAATGTAAAGCCAGAAATTATCTGGATGGTCTTTCGCCGTTATTTCACTCCCGGATTTGAGGATATTTTTGATCAGGGTGTCAATAGCGGATGGTATGATATAAATGACCCAATTGAAAAGTGACCACTTTATCTCCTTCTGTTACTGCGAAATTGGCTGACTGTTGTTTAGACTTGTATTTCGCTGGCTTGCCATTCCTTGGATCCAAGCGGAAATCGATAAATGGATGAAACGTTTCAATGAGAGTCCCCGTCGTGCTGACAAACACAAGCTGCTTCCAGCAGGCATACCGGATCTTATCACTTCAAAACCACACTTATATCATGCCAGTGATTACAAGGTAGTTTAACTTTTGAACTATCGATGCTCCTGATACACGATACAATACAGGTCAATGTCTCCCCAGAGCTCTTCGACGAGATGGAGAAGAAGTGGGCACCTCGCGATTTACCTGTATTTCAGCTTGTTCCGCCGGCCTTTGAAGAACACGCAAACGTGCTTTACGCTAAGCTTGGAAAACCGGCTGTATCTTCAACAAGCTTCTGGCATGTTTATAAGCAGCTTTTATCTGCCTTTCGGGGCCTGGCTTCATCTTCTTTGCTTGATGAGGCAGCGTTGGCCGAGGATGATGCCATGCCAGAGGATGAAGTACCTCTGCTTCCTGGTTTGCGAGATCTACGATTTGGTGACGATGCGTCGAGAGATCTTGGATATGTTTACTATGGCGGTCTCGAACAGCCTCCCAGACTTGAACCTCCCACAGAGAGTGACGAGGAAGAGGAGGTTGCAGTGGATTTACGAGAATATGCTGATTTCAGTGATTGATTTTGTATCCTTGTGTTGAATAACCGGCTTTGTACAGGATTTGTACTTTGATCCCCAATTTGCTGTTTTTCGGTTCAACTCCCGATCCCCAATTTCTCCATCTGACACATAGCAGTTCGACATACCATTTCTCTCCTTTCTATTTCTTGTTCTCTTTCATTGCCCATACTGAATGGCCGACGACTTTTCTGCAGACTTTACTGTCACCGACAACAACAAAGCCATTCAATGTGGACGATCCGAATGTTCAATCAAGTTTTACCCAGCGGGCACGGACTTTCACTACCTCCACAGCAGTGATCCTTCGGTTCCAGGTCGTGCTGTCTGCACTCAATGCTATGAGTATTATCGTGTCAAGAAGACTACACAGCGTCGACCAGTTGGTAAGTCGCACGAGTTGTCCTCAATACTTATGTGATATAACGCTTCGTTCCTCTTAGGTCAACCTGTATCAACACCGTCAAGTTCCAATGTCCATGAGCAATATGTTCAGCAACAAATTGTTAAGGCTCAAAGGACCGGTACGCCTACATCACTTGATATGAAAGTCATGAATCATCATTGACTCCATTTTTCAGCTCGTGCCGCCTCAGTTCAGCATGTTGGAGCGAGTGTGCTGGCTGCTGGTGCAGTCTTGCCTAGCTACGCGGCAAGGCCATCTCACATGTCAGGACCTATTGTACAGTTGCCGGGGCATCCTACACCATCGGCACCACCGTCACGCTCACACGCAATTGGCCTTGACCACGCTCTCGGTGCTACATCAGGGTATACAGTTAACCACATTGGTTATCAAGCAGCACGGACAAAGATGGCTAGCAATGCATATGCTGGGAATGCGGGACAGGTTATTATTGTAGAAGTTCGTGTTGTCCACCTTCTGGAAAGAAAATTCAAGCCTATTCTGATCGGGGTGGGTCAATTTAATAGCTCGCTCAGTTCAATAGCTAACCATTAATCTATTCATAGGACCTGCTTGCCGTTGTCCCCAATGTTCCAGTCCATATTGGTGCGACTGAGTTGAAAATGATTCTATATCATGAAATCCTACCAGAGTGGATGCGTTACACTGAACGTTTTCCTCTGGCTATCACTGACATTGTAATGAGGGACAAAGATTGGGTTGAGCTCCGTCCGAGAGTCCCAGATCGTGATGCTCTTTTGTGTCCGTCATTCTTCAAGAATGGCAAGAAGGGTGGCCAAACGTTCAAGGGTGGAAAGGCTCTGGTTCATTTTCATATTCCGAACAATATTTATGCCGCATACGAAGCTTGCTTAGAGGAACGAGAGTATCAAAATTTGGTTCTTGATGAATCTCCAGATCACGGTGTAAGTCTTCGAGTTTCACAGAGTCTTACGGCGTGTGTCTAACTGTATCGGACCAACATCGTGACCAGACACTAACCATGAAGGCCAGCAACACAAAAGGAAGAAAACGCACTCATACAAAATCGCAACGTGAAACTCAAACCGTGGTATGTTTTCTGATCAGGTGTTTTTCATATTGAGTTTACGCGATGGCAGCGCACTGCTACTACCAATAAAAAGTCACAACGTCAACGCAAAAATTGGCCAACCAACACTGGCACCATCGATATTGACAGTTCACCATCAAGTTCCCCTACAAAATCTCCTCCTCCGAAGCGGGCGCGAACACAGGCTGGGTTCAAGCCACTTCATTTGAATGACTCCAATGCTTCTCCTCGTAGAGTGGCATTGGATGATGCACTTCGGGCACAGACACACGCTTCTCCTCATGAAGTGCAGAGCATATTGTGTGAGTTTAAATTGCTTTCAAATCACCATATTATCAATGACGGGCCTATTCTTCAGTTAACCAGTCGTCGCACGTGGATGTTCTGGTATATCAAGTCAAATTTGCACAATCCTTCGATGAACTTCTCGCTGCTTTGGACTGGCAGTCTCATTTCGACTTTGAAAATCCTCAAGATATGCAACTAATTCTGGACATGTCACCGGCAGGAAAACCCAGGAAAGGGGCTTTCAAGCTGGCATACTTCGGAAAATCTAGTCAGCCGCTCTTTTCTGGCGACGTCAATATCTGTGCGAAACAGAGCTTCTACCAAAAATCAAAGACCGTAACCCGACGAGACGGGCGTGCTGTTGAAATCCGACAGGATATCCCATACGAGGGCATCAAGCAAGCTCAAGACCTCATCATGGAGGTCACTTGTCTCAAGTGGGCTCACGCACTGCTCGAGATGGTCTATGCCTTTATTGATGAATGGATGGATTTGCACCCCAAAGGAAAGTTTCGCTCAATCTCGATTCCACGGATGCGGTTTGTGGATGCAGGACTCGCTATAGAACAACTGAAAAAGCCAGGAGAGCGTCGTTGTTTCCTGGTGGAAGAGATCATTCCGACAACCGAAGGATCGTTTAAAAAGTATCTGAACAATGCCTCAGCGGTTCCTTGCCACTTCATTGATGAGGGCGACAATGAACGCGCCGAGTTTCTCGCTTTTGCGCAGCATGTTCAATACATTCAAACGAAGAAGCGGGCATATGTAGCCGACTTCCAAGGTTGGTCTCCAGTGCTGGTTGATGCTCACGGCGTGCTTACTGGGGCGCTCCTCACGCAGGTGGCACTACTCTTCTAACCGACCCTCAGATTTTAACAAACAGGTGATTGAATCTTCGTAATGGTTTCTTCGTGTTGTTAAATGTAGGAATTTTTATCAGCGACCTCGGCCATATTTTCGCAGAAGGGAACGTTCCTGCGACATTTCAGTCTTTTGAGACTGAGCATGTCTGCAACCGCTTCTGCACACAATTTGACTTGCCCACCGATTATGAAGATTGAAATGTTGCTACGTAGCTCCAGTCACTTCGGACATATCAAACTACACTTCCTCCCAAAACACTAGTCAGCATCCTTTAATTCCCCACCTTAGTTTTTCACAACGTTACCAACTACCATTTCATTTCATTCGTTTACGCTACATAACTCCTCTACCAAACTCTCCTACGTATGAACGCCGATAGTAATCATAATGCAACTAAATAGAACTACACAATGCGGGAGAGGGCCGTGACTAGGAGGATACTGGAGATAGTTGAGACCACTGTCCGTAGTGTGCACACAACGGAGGAGGATACTGGAGATAGTTGAGACCACTGTCCGTGGTGCGCACACGACGTCGAGCACCGTCAATGTGGTTTGCTTCGCGTGTTCTGTGTACGTTACTGAGTCACGAATGACCTAAGCGCAGAGGGTTAGAATCACTGGAGACGCGACAAACAAGCTATCAACACACCTTTTCAGGGAAAATCTTCAGGACACAACGGGCCTCCTCATAGATAACACCCAAAATACGCTTCACACCTCCACGACGAGCGAGACGACAAATAGCGGGCTTCATGATACCTATGAAACCGGTGAGTGTAGGCAGTGGCAGAAAACATACCCTGGATATATAGCGAAGAATCTTACAGTGACACTCAGCGAATGTTGACTCTTGCTCCGAGATCCACCTGAGAGCCCACTCCGCCTTGTGCTTGACGCAAGGAATTATCTCGATGGCGTCGGAGAGATACTTGTGCTGGCCTGGGTCCTCGAGAAGCAACATGCCTCGGCTGCTAAAACTTCACTCGAATGAGGATAGTGTTAAAGGCAGCGAAGAAAGCGAGGACATGGGAGACGAAGTGATGTTCGTTGTCGTTCATGTGGTTGTTTATTCCAGTCGTGGAGATCCTTCGAAAGCCCCTTCTCCTCAACCATTCAGAAAGCCATGAGATGACACATGGCTTACCTCGTTGTGCTGTAAGGGAAAGAACACGAATTGGCGCTATGACCCCTTGAGCAGAGGTTCCTCATCTAAGAGCATTCGTGAGATGGTGACGCTTGACATTAGAATACGTACTGTCCAGAAGGTCAACCTCTCCAATGAACTTCTTGCGAGGCTCTCGTGGTTGAGCCTCCTTGTCGTAACCAATAGTGTCGGGCAATCGCTCATCGTCGGTAAGTTTCATGAAGAGCTTCTTGTAGACCTTTGTTGGCGAGTCGATTGAGAACGCAGTTAGACCTGCTGCGACATGAGGAGTGGTCAGCGGAGGTATATGGCGTGACGCGACGCGGCGCGAACCTTCTTGCTGGGAGACAGAATGGGCAGTGAGATCTGAGAGATGAGAGCTGTAGGGGAAACAAAACGAATCGGCGCTTTGGATCGGACAAATAGGAAATATTTGATGATTTTAAACAATATTATGTTACATATACAATAATTAATTTCGGCATATCAATCGGCAGTGTACAAATATCGGTCTTAGCCGTGATTTTGAAGCTGGCTGATCCCTGTTGCCATAAAACAGGACTTTCATTCAACTCGGCTTCACGCGGCTATTCTCAGATCAATGTGTCTATATTAGGCACATCAGGAACAACCTCATCATCATCGGAGTTCACGTTGATGACATGTTAATTTTAGCTTCAGATGACGAAGCCATGGCAGAATTCAAAAGAGAATTTGGCCAAAAGTTTGATATCTCGGATCTTGGAGAACTCAAACAAATAGTGGGATTTGAAGTTCAAAGGGATCTCAAGAAGGGCACAATACATTTAACACAAAATCAGTATGTGGGAAAAATCTTGGACAGATTTGGAATGTCCAAATCCACGCCTGTCAAAATGCCACTCGATCCGAATGTCAAACTAACTAAAACTCCCGAAGGAGAACATCACGGTATCCCAGAATACGCAGCGGCTATAGGATCATTAATGTATGCAGCAATTGGCACGCGGCCTGACATTGCATACGCTATTCAACATTTAAGCCAATTCACAAGCAATCCGAGCCCTGCACACTGGAGTGCAATCAAGCGCGTGTTTAGATACTTAAACGGAACACGCAACTATGGGATAACGTATGGCGGCGGAAACTCTATTCCAGGTTTAGAAGGGTATTCCGACGCTGATTGGGGAAATAATGATCTTGATCGCAAGTCTATTTCAGGATACATTTTCCTATTCGGGAATGCGCCCATATCGTGGGCATCACGCAAACAGCGCACTGTTGCTGTATCCACAATGGAAGCAGAATATATGGCCGCAAGCTTAGCAACTCGAGAAGCGATATGGCTTCGCACTTTATTAACAGAAATTGGTTTATTACAAAATAAACCTACACTACTGAATATCGACAACCAATCTGCAATTGACTTTTCAAAGAATCAAGGGTCACATTCAAAGTCAAAGCATATTGATATTCAACATCATTTTGTACGCGAACGTCTCGGCGACAACTCAATCATAATAGAACACTGCGCATCAGAAGACAATCTGGCCGATGTATTTACTAAGGCGCTACCACGCCCAGCTCACGAGAGATTCACGTCTCGCATCGGCATAGATTCGGAGTTGAGGGGGAGTGTTGAATAGTCGAGGCGGACCGGCAACTCCGGTATGCCGATCCCGTGCATACGCGCACGTACTAGTCTCATATAGGACACTGTAGATAGTTATAGTAGTTTGTAGTATATTCTAGTTACATATGTTTGTAGTATATAAGGGGGACTGAGAGTCCCCGAATTCATTACCTTCTCACTCAACCACTACCCCTCGTACTCGCTGCTCCAACACAGCGAGTTATTTGTATGCTGTCGTGGAACCTGCAATTGCCAATTGGTACTTCATTCAAGTAGGTTACCATTCCGCTGGGTATACAAGAAATGTTGACCTCATAAACAATCTCTGGAGAACCAATCCGTTCATACGCATGCTGTTAGTGGTGTCGCCTGAGCATATGCCAACCCTAGCACACCAGTCTCCTGGCAGGTCCCACATCCAAATGTAAGATGGTCATATGCACCGCAATGCAACCACTACACCAAAAGGTCGTATAAATGAAAGATTACTCTTTCACCTACCGGTGCATATATATGGTAGTGTAGAGCACTGTAGACCTTACACCAAAGCGAGCGCGATATTTCGCTCTTGATTAGCCAATGATTAGCGTCGAAGAAATTGAATCGGTGCCTGGCATGTATATGAAATGGGATGGTAATTGAAGGAATCACAAGATTCCTCTTACGACTTTTCCCTTCCAAGTTCAGGCAGGCAGGGCTCGAGAAGGCTGAAGCAAAGGAGAGCAAAAGGTATGCATGTGACCCGTGAGGCTGCGCGTGGCCGCATGGTTCCCAAAAACAACCGAGCACCAAGTTGAAGATCGCATCTTCGTCTTGGACTAAGTACATCTCTTCTCAAATACGGCCAGCCAATGGCTGATACCGATATGTATGCATATACATGCATGCATAAAAGCCCTGCGGGGCAACCCAACCTATTACCGGCCTTTCCCCGTCTCTTCTCTTCCCCACCTCCCGTACTCGTATACCCCTCCGGTTGAACTCGAGAAAAGACCTGAGAAATGGCGACTACACCAATGCCAATGCGTACAGCCCGCGCGATCGCGCTCTCTCTATCATGGTGCTTCGCCGTCATCGCCGCGTCTGTAGGCTTAAACTCCCTCATCAAGTCGAATCAATCGCAGAGTCACTTGAAGAAGCTGGCTACGCCGCCTACGGTCGTTAGCATCGATGTTCATGGTGAGTTGCTTTTCTCCCCTCCCACACGCGAATGCTCACCGACACCCCTCCCTAGACATATTCGACGTCGGCGTCCTAGCAACAACCTCCTCAACCCTAATCTCCATCCTAACATTCAACTACCTCCTCCCCCTCCTCCTCCCCACCACCTCCTCATCCTCTTTCTTTTCCCGCCTCCAAACACTATCAACAAAAACCCTCCGCATCCAAGCATACTCCCTCTTCTTCTGCTGTATTGTCTTGTTGGCAGCTATGATCCCATTCATGCTGTTCTTCGCTACGCGCGAGGCGGTGGTTCGTGCGTTTGTGGGGACGCTTGAGTTGCCTAAGGAGGTGGTGCAGAAGGTTTCGGCTGCTAGTGGGAGTACGCCTGTGTATAGCAAGATTGACTATAGTATGTCTCTTCTCCCTCTCCCTCTCCTTTTTCACTTGTTTACCTTTACTGACGTTTGAAATCACAGTCAGACTAGTAGCCATCTTCCCATGGTTCTCGCTGTTCTTCACCTTTATCGCGGCGGTTGTCTTGCTCCAAGCGGACAAGGTGGCGCGTGCTGCTGCTGCGTTGAATGCTAATCTGGAAACGAGCGATGAGAAGGCAAAGTCGGAGACGAGTGATGAGAAGGAGACGGAGTCGCGCCTTGAGAAGGTCGATGTTTGATGAGGCGATTGCGGGGTTGTCGCGTCGGAGTTGTCGCGTTTTTTTCTTTGATTTTGGGTGGCTGTTGTGCAGTGACTGCGGGCGACGTGCTGGTGTTATGACGTTCATGATACCAAAGTTAACACGACGGGCAACGATTTAAACATATGTATGCATTTGTACGACTAGTTCTACATACCATTACCATCACCCTCCAATGATTCGAGGAGACGATATCATATAACCCAGACTCAAATTGACGCGTCTCAGTACTAATGCCACTCATCATGCAACACACTGTAAGCGTCACTAACACTGTCAACGAGTACAAAATATTGAAGGCCACTTCTAGCAGAACTTTACACCCCAATGTCACCCTGCTACTGCCTTTCCCTTCCTTTCTCCTTCTGCTTCTCCCTGCCCTTACCCTTCGCCAAATACACATCCCTCCAAATCTCTTTTACTTCATCGACGGCTCTCTGCGATCCATCATACGCGGCATTGATGGGCATGACTTCGAAATCTCCGGGTCAGTCACACCTTCTCCCGATATCGGTATCGGCTATATGCTGCCAAGCTCTGCCAACTCCACTACCATCTACTATGCCAACAACCCATATCATCCGTATGCCCAGCCGCATCCGTCCAACACCTCCCTGAAACCCTCGAAAAACGCCTCCACCACCTAGAGATTGGATATCTTGTGTGTGTGTGTGTGGGGGGGGGGGGTTCGCGTGAAAGGGATCGTGGTGCGCAGGAAGAAGAAAATGAATTCGACGTAGCAGAATCCAAAGTAAAACTCGACGAAGTGGGTCGAAGACAAACTCGACAAGGCAAAGGTCAACATTGCAGGGGTTCAAGATGAATTCACGGTAGCAGGAGTGGAAGGCACCCTCGAAGATGAAGTCGACGCCGACAGAAAACACGACCCGTACCGTGCGGGATACGCTCCATCCAGCAATGGTCTGACGGACGAACATGGATGTACGTTCCTTTCGTTCAAGTCCGCCGTCTGATATTGGGTTTGGGGCAAAACGGTGATCCCCAATCCCGAGAGATTATGTGCGTGTTGCGTGGAGTACGGCCCCAGGGACGTAACCGACTTCGAGGAGTGGATCCATGTATGGAAGATGACTTTCGCTTACAGATCTTGGAAAATGCATTCATTCCTTGATTCCTTCGAGCCATAGGCGAGTATTAGGAGCTGACATGATGAATCAGGAGGGCAAGGAAACGTACCTGGTAGAACACATATCTGGTTCACTGGTTTGTAGCATCGTCGAGTGTTGGTCACACGTCACATAAGTGACCGTGACAGAGATTCAGAACTGAGACCAGCTTCAAGGTCGACGTGGCTTTCATTACGACGGTGGTGCAGTCGGTTTTCGTGGGCCAAAGAAACCTTGGATGGTAGTGGTCGTGTACCAGAGCTCGGAAAAGCCCTCGAGCCCCATTTCCCCTCATAACAGCGATCACATGCGCTGAAATTGAGAAAAAGCCGCAAATTTTCAATTTTGTCCCCATGTTGGTTGATGACCACAGCCAGAACGAATGATGGCAGATGTTGCGCATTAAGCGACGAGGTATACCGTATGAACACCCAGAAAAACGTGTTTCTCTTTGAAGCTTGTGTGCGATCGCGGCAACCCAGTACTTCAAGTTCCCTCGCCAGACCATCCCCTGTACAGCGGTTTCAGTGCGAAACGACTCGGGCCTGAGTATGAAGATTAGTCAATGCCGAAGAGTGTGATAACTCTGAGAAGTACCTTGGATGATGAGCGCTCACCACCAACGGGCTCCAGCATCGACCATCACAAAGTCCACTCTGGCTTGAGGAAATTATTGTTGCCCGGGGCTTGTGAAAGGCACACAACAAGTGTCCAAGTCGTTGTGCGATACAATTGTTATCACCCATGGGTGCTGAATAAAACGTTCTGGTAAATTCACCACGTGTGTTCAAGGACGATTGAGCAAGTACCTCACCTTTCTAACCCCCCCCCCTGGCACCGATGAAAGTCTAACGGCCACGTAACGCGAGGGGACAAGTGAGAACACAAGTCGTCCTTCAACATTTAAATAGTCTCATAACTTGGCAAGGGGAGCAGGAAGACGACTGAGACAAGACTGAGAGGAATATTAAGTATTTTCAATCAATTGAATTCCTGGACGAAGACATACTGCTTGCTCCCTCGGTTAGCAGCTACGCTGAGTAGGCCTGTCGCATATGAGTAGTGGTGGGCCGTACGCGAACTTTCCTAAGCCTCGTCGTCCGCCCACTAGGTTGTGGGTAAAATTTGCTTTTAAACTCGGAGCGGACCCTGCCCTTGGTTTCTGGGCTGAGTTCTTTCCACGGAAATCAGAGCAGGGCCTTTCAAACATCGTCAGGAGATTGCTGGAGATTTTCTCAACGACGAGCGAAGCATGGAGAATGAGATACGTGGGTTATGATTGTTGGTGGCAAGAGGCAAGTGACTTTGGTCAATGATCGTCATCATGCGGGTTGAACTCGACCACAACAATTACTCGCCGAACTCACTGCCAGCTCAATCACGACGCTATCAAAGGTGATTTGTTGTTTGAATAATGCAACCATTCATGCTGACCTTGGCTACTTACTGGCACTTAGCATGTCAGTGAAGTCCTGGTGGCAGGTGGACGACCAATAAACGACGCTTCGTAATTCTCGCCCTAGTGCTGGCTTGCGTGTGAGCAAAAATCGAAGTTCACTATACTATAGAGATTCAACACAACTGGTCCTGACGTTGAGCGCCTCATCCCCCATCTTTCTGATCCGGCTGGCAATGAGGCTAGGTCATGGCACTTGACATGTTCCCAGACCTGCCATTTGAAACGCTCTGAGCGCTAATCTCTCCGCTCTCACTGATAACCACCATGTCTTCCTCCGGGAGTGGGAGCTCCTCCAGCATCGAGATTTTTGGTAAGTCCTCCCAGAGTTTTGCCACTGCTGTAGCTGAACATCTAGCTTACGCGTGCCAGAAATCCGCGTTACATGGCGTACATCGTTGATTTCACCACCATCATGCAAGTCATCTTTGGCCTCGTGGTCAACGCCCAACTGCGTCTTTCCCGTCGCCTGATCAAGCTCGCCTTTGCCACATCCAACAATTCAGTAGAAAGAGTTCAAGTCCACAATGAAATTAGGGATCATGTGAAGTCTGCAGGTCGCGCTAACCGGGATGCAGCACTCGCAAAGACGCTTCAACTGATCAAGGACCACCAGATGAAAACTGAGGACATGGACAAGCTACAACTTGTGATGGGGGGGGTTGATAATGGTGTAGATGAGCCCAGGGACGTCCCCAAAGCTTGAAATTTTATCATGCTCGTGCTTATTGTAGTAAAAATGAATAGAACCACACTCTCGAATAGTAAAATCCCTCTTGTTCCACAAGATATATTGGATTGGAGGGGCTCTTCAAGTAAATCTCGCATGCCGTTGCCGTTTGAAAGTAAGTCGCGTTACTGCCTTTCGCGTATGTCCTCCATTTAATCATCTCGCCAGCTCTTAGTCCTATACCAATGCCCAGGAGGGCATACTTGTAATCTTTCGTCAACCCATCAGCTTTGCGGTTTGGTTGTGTTCGGATTATAACACTTGCATCCGGACAACAAAGCACACAGGGAACCGAATGATAAAGTCACGCTTCGCACACGCCCCAATCCTCGTCGTCATTGTTCTCGAACCTCTTAGCTTGTAACTCCTCCATGTTCTCGGGTTTCATTTGGTACTCCTTGATCAATTGGATGATCTTCGCCAGAGCTGCATCCCGGTCAAAGCGGCCTGCCAGCTTCACATGTTCCTTGATCTCCTTATGAACTGTGCGCTTTTCCTCTGAAATATTGTACGTGTTGAGGACGAGCTTGATCAGGCGGCGGGAAAGGCGCAAACGGGCGTTCACCACGAGGCCGAAAATTACTTGCATAATAATTGTGAAGTCAACGATGTACGCCATTAAACGTTGTAACATGAGGGCCCTGAGTTTTTCCCGTTTAGTGTTTTGACATTGCATAGCGAGGAAGACATACGATTGCTCGTACACGTCGTAAACCCATTTCACAAGGACGAAAGTCGCAACGATGGGAACCACGATTGGAGCGGCATGTGGAAGTGAATCCAAAATGGCCATCAAGGCACTATGCAGTGACTTAGCATAAGCACTGACGGCTTGTAAGAAATAAGGCGGCAAGGTCGACACAACTGACTTACAAGGTTGTGTTGGGATTTCGGAGCTCGTCACATTGATTCCCAACAAGTGCGGTCATTAGCGTTTTCAGTTCCTTGCTTTCCAGGTACTGACAGCACAACTGCCGTAAGTGCGGGGAGAGGGCTCGAAATTCAAGTATTTACCCCGCAAGGATCCTGAATATTACACACTCGAACGATATCGGTGTGTAGAACCTGTAGACACGCTTCTATAGTCTTTCCCGGAAAATTCACGCTAGCCGCGAGACCCATCCAATAACCTGACGAAGAAAGGGTAGATTAGTTGAAATTTCACCGAGGGGCACACCGAAAAACTCATACGTTTCTTCCCAACTCTTGACATAGGCGTCAGCACGACATTAACAAGACAAGTGTTTGAATGCTCACGCAATCACCGCATCAATCTTCACAGCCAGATTCACGCGTTGGGCGATGGCGGACACCAGCGCAACATCCTCGGCGTCAACCGCCAGGGAGTTTTTAACACAGTCAGCAGTGAGACGGACAAGCTCGTTCAACATCTTTCTGGTATCTTGATATTCTTTATTGGCTGTGTTGGCAAGTATAAGTACAAGCCCAAGAAATCTCCTTGTAACTTACTTGAAACGGCGACGTGCGGAATGTCTTTATTAATGGCGTTTTTGAAGGGACCAAGACACAATTCTTCAAACTTTGCACTTGTCTCCTCAGCAAGACGTGCATTTCGGGTTTCCCGATCCAAATGTTTGTTGCGTTTGTGGAACTCTAGATTGTTACCAAATTCAATCTGTTCTACCAAGTTATCATATTTGGTAAAAACGGTGATCACAGGAACTAAAATAAACAGTGAGCCATCGTCGATCAGGGGACACCAAGAACCTACCAGGGCCAAGGTCTCCGTTGGACTTCATGCGGAATAACTCCTCCACCCCAGCCTCGAACAAACGGTCACCTTCAGACAAGGACACTTGGAAACAAAGCCTGCGCAACACCTTCATCATCTTGTTCACTCAGGTGATCGAGGAGCGGTAACCATACCAGACAGCATGTACCTGATCCCTCACATTGGGCATGTCCTTCCGAGCTTTCAAGAAATCGATGACTTTCTTGAAGTTGTCATCCTCCCCATGCTCAAAGCCCTGACTGTCGTGCAGAACAAACCTTCCGTTTTCCTTTGCTATAATTGCAGTACCGATATCTGATATGCCAGCATTTGCGTGAGACACGCTCTGGAGAAGTATAGGCTTCAGGAGCGGATTTCAATAGGGCGGGAAAGTGGCCTCACAGCTTCCGTGACTCCGAAGCATTCGTTGATAAGGGATGATTTCCCTACACCACTCTGTGGAAACAAACTGTGGGTTAGTACCTGAGGGTAGAGGCATGAGAGAACTACGTTGCCGATGACCAGGACTCGGAACCTAGCAGTAAGGTAAGCCACAGAGGTCAGGGATTGAGCAGACTGACCGTTCGACCAACTTGAATAACACATCCGTTGTTGGTTGCAGGTCGCCACCCGTCGAGGATTCCGCATCGGTCGAAGCATTCTAAGATTGATCGCACCAGCATTAGGCGGATGCTTTGTGTTTGAGAAAGACGTGCACACACCCCTGCGTATTGGCTAAACTTCAGGACGACATTGAAGTTGTCAAATGATTTTGACCATTCTAGAGTAGAAAGTCCTGCATCAGCAAGACAAGAGCGATTGCAGAAGGGAGGCACTTGCCTTGATTTCCGGAGGAGTGGGGTCCAACCTTGCTTAGCAGTTCATGAAGAGGTATCTTGTTCTTCGACGCAACACGAAACAATCCGCGGAATCGGACTTGCAGATAGAGGGGCTTTGAAGGCGAAAGTTGACTGCTTTGACTGGGTTTGTCGTCCAATGCTACACATGATCATCGGCTCACCAGGGGGATGACAACTCAAAGTTGTGGGTCTTTGCGTTCAGGAGACAGGGTGATTCCTGCTCGAACGATCCAATCGAAAGCTGGACCGATTTGAGGATGTGCTGGGATGAAACGCGGATTTCTTGTCAATGGGTGTCAGATGTTTGACTTGCGGCAAAAATCTGAGAGGTTACCTGTAATCTCAATTCTGGGGCTTCCCGTTGAGCTACCCCTCGCGATAGACATGGTGGTTTTGGTGAAAGGGAGGTGCTTAGCGCTCAGAACACGCTTTAAACGGCAGGCATGGGAAGACCGACTGAAATAGAAATTTTAGCCTCGTTTCAAGTGATGGTGTCTGATAAGGTCTCCGTGTCACTGTCAGAGGATGTGACGGTATCACCTGCGAGCGCTTGAGCAGTAGCTGGTTGCTATTGAGTCCATTGAAATGAAAAGCGAGGAATACGCAACATTGAACTCGTAGATGCCTCTGCCTTAGATTCACAGCAGAACAGAAGGTTAGTGGTGTCATCAGAAGTTGTTCACGACCGTCTTTAAAAGGGGGGTTGAGGTGGGGATCGCCTCGAGAAGCGTCCGCGGAAAATAACAAAGGGTGAATTGGGCATCGAAGTGAGTACAGGGTGTGTCCTATGACTTCCGCCATGCTGGCGGAGGTCAGTGCTTAGGAACGGCATCGCATGATAGTTGGAAGTTCTACAGAGTAGCCAACTTTGTCCACGATTGTGCCAGCGCACGCCAAGGTCTTTCGGTTGCGGCCAGGCTATGTCGCGGCTAGTTGATAATCTGGGTACAACTTATGTTAGAGGCGAGAGAAAATGGGAATATCAGAAAACGTACTTACGGAGAGGAACGGGTTACAGATGAAAGAAGTAGTAGTGTCAAACTTTTACAGTTCATCGGAACGATGTGTGCTCCTCCTCCGGTCTCCACAACCTACGGCGTGCATTGACTTTGTGAGGGATGAGATTACTCGTGATAGCGTGTTACAAATTTGTGCGGCGCCAACCCCTAGATATGAAATCGAAGCCCTCGGTTGCGAACGTGCTTCTGGGTTAAAAGAAGAAGGTAAAATTGCGACTTGAATGGAAACAAATGCTATGTAGGCATAACGAATGGTCAGTAGATAGAAATTTGACGTGTCGCCCCGTCTCACCTGGAGGACAATGTTCCCAAGTTGTCAGGAAGATGCGCGTCGACGTGGTTCGTGCCCGCGAATGGCGTTGCAGTGCTAGAAGTCGATGTTCCAGGTGCCAGCACTCGTTCTGGCCAAAATGAGCAGAAGCTTTCTTTAACATGTTGACCAGAGGTTTGACCCATACCACCAACCCAAGAAAAAAGAGTGCACGCATTGAGTGGGAATAGGAGCCGAGACCTATATATGGTAGGTGAGTACCTACACAATAAAGCCAATAACGAGGCTTACTTTCAAAGCAAACCGGTTGAACGTATTGTCAGGTCGCGCCGTTCCCATTCCCTCCCCTCCGAGGCATCGAAATCCAACCACTAGGCGTCTTTCTGCAACGTGACACGACGAGCTTCCACGGCGCAGGAGAATGTGTTTCGCGACAAAATCAGCCGCGTTGGCATTGGCATTACTCGAAAAACAAGCATTGATTGTAGATGACGAGCCTCATGGAAAGTTCGTCGACCTCCCCCTGAGAGATTCTGCAAGACGTAGGTCCGAGCGCGGATGTTCCGCGAAACGGGTGATTCCCTGTGCCAACACCACACGATGGAGATTCCCATCCGCTGGAGTAAAGGGTTCGAAGTCATGACAGTCGTAAGAGGCGCCCCGCACTCTTCCACGGAATAGCAATAACCTTGGTTCGCGTACAAATGGAAAGTGATTCAACGAGTCTTCAAACTGAACTCCAGATACGTATCTTCGCCTGGAGAACAAGCATGGCGCAACTCACGATCTCGGTGAGAACCATCCCCAAGGTTTCGTGAATCCTCTAGCCTCCCCCTCGGCTCGTCCTGAACGAGGTAGTGAAACCCCAGCTTGCGTTCTTTGGCTCATCATCTGCCATACTGGTATCTAGTTAATATTGTAGTACCTAAGTTGCGAGTGTTCGTCATGAAAATCAATTTAATGGGTTGGTTGAAGAGAATTCGAAGAAGACCCACCTCATAGGGCCTCACGGGGAGGTGGTCAACTGAACGTAGCTCAAAACTTGTGGATGATCGTCTTGTGTCGTCAAATTGGTCACGGCGTCGCTTCACACTTCACACTCTCATCGGAGTCACTACCTCTTTGCTTGTCAACACGTTTCTGACCGAGCTTCCTCAAACATCGCAACCTCTGACAAGGAAATTGAAAGATGTAGGCTACTTCGTGGGCCGGTTAGAAGGTGAGTTGCACACCGTGTTTTTGACGGCTCGTGCACCCACAAGAAATTACCCAGATTGTCAAAGATGATAAGAGCTTCGGATTTGGCTGGGAGGTTGTATCTGGGAAGACTCAACTTGCCTAATGCTCGACGAGGTATTCAGTGATTCAGCTGCCACTGTAACATCTGGTTCTCAGTAATGGGTGTAGTACGAGAATCCCCACGTTGTTGGCTGTAGAAATGTCTCTTGGAAGGTCATAACCTTACGAAGACTTCTGTATGAAGCCTGGTCAAGGTTTGACGCCATTTATGGTGAGTTTCGTGCTTGGCATCTCCTCACATCCGTTGACGACGTAATCCCTTTGCTCACCTAGATGCAGCTCGCCGCTCGCTTCCGCCGTTACATGGCAACCTTGGAACCAATAATATGTCTTGGGCAGGGTTCTTGTGGTAAGGTCTTTTCATTTTGACGTATCTCGCTTGACTTACATACGCCACCCAAGACAGGTATCTCTGATTGTCGGTGACGATCATCGCATCAAACTTTTGCGTCGGGGTGGGTTGGAAAGGTATAGCACACCTATTCCTCGACTCTCTGTGTTCTAACGACTAAAAATCACTCAAGGATGACCACGCTATTAGAAATCTGCTCTTATCGAGCACCCACCAACCCGTACAATGCGGCAATGCTCGAAATTACTCATCACGAATTCGAGACACGGGATGCTCTTATAGGGATAAAACTATTGAGAAACCCCCTTTCCGCGGAAACCCCCCGGGTTTCCGAGGCAATTAGAGAAATCCCTGACTTTTGCGTATTTAAACTTCCGGCCATACTCCGGCTGAGTGGGCGGCTTACATCATTGCGTTACTGATCACTTGTTGATCTCGCGCTCGCACACTTCGATATTCTCGTGAGATCGGCAGCGAGCTCAGAAGGGGGGATGGGGTGTAGAGTTGGACGAGCTGGAAGCTGAACAGGGACAAGAGTGGGGAGAGGATTGGGATTTGGATAGCCGGGGGAAGTTAAATTGAACAGCAGCAGCAATCCACACTCTTCCATGAAATTTCAACAGCTCTCACTATGGGCCAAGTATCAAGTGTTCCGGGAAGGCAGCATCCTGCAGGTGGTGCCGTTGTTCAAACCCACTAGATGCGAGTCCAGGTGGTGTATAAAAATAACGACGTTGGTAGACAAAACATACCAACTGCTACCCTCGCAAACAAGATCCACTTTAACCTGCCCCGAAACCACAATCATCGCATCAGCCTCCCTTCTATCTGACCCTTTCGAGTCCAGGAGGAGCCCTACAACCCAGCCAAAACCAATACAGACGGTATCAGCACGCAAACTCTATCATGGGGCGCAAGCCGGCATGCGCCCCCCGCTTACGGCTGTTCAGACCCAGGAACAGCTCGAGAACCTTCTTGGGATGTGCAGAGAATTCAGTAAGCAGATAAACAAAATAGTGAGCCATTGACTCATCATCGCCTAACACAGATATGGCCGTAACTGAACGTAACAAATTAATCCATGATCCCCCCACGCATAATCCCAAGGCAGACCGCAGCGGTTGACTAGCACAAACGAGGGACATCCTTGAGGTGATTGAACACGAGACCGTGTCACCAAACGAGACACGGTCGCGTTTTGAGATATTGTCTTTCAGTCCCAGCAATACGTCTCGGCAACGGTATAAAACCTAGCTTGAGAGGGGCATCTCAAACAGTACACCCATGAATGCAACGTCTTGTATGATGTGCGCCGCAGGGGATGGATGATGTGAACAAGTTGGTGAGGAGGTACACCAAGAGGTGCGTTCCCGTGCGCCGAGTGAGCGAGGATGAACGTATGGGTGGACTTGTCATCCACAAGAGAAGCGAAATGCTAAACAACCCAATCGAGCGCGACACGCACATCCTCGGGTCCTTGAAAGTAAGTGATGACTGGGACGAGACAGTAATCGGGTATGACAGTAAGGATGCTTCGCGAAGTAAGTCCAAAGGTTGTTGTATACGAGGTTGGAGGGGGGCGAGGAGCGGGATCCAGTAACGCGCCAGCCTCCGTAGAAGAGTACTAGGATTGCCGCAGATCTAGTTGTGCTGTCCGTATTGGGGGGCAGTACACGTCGAGCTGTGGTATTTAGATGAAACGTTTCTGTCAGTGCGTTATAACACACGTTATGGGGCTCTATTGGGATCAAAGGTTTTGCGTACAATTGAATCTATCGCTGCGTGATTTTGTTCAAAAGATAAGCTATGAAAAGTAGTAAGTTTGATTTCGTTTTGAACACAAAGCGGTTGACGAAATCCTTACTGGAATCATTGATCTCCTTTGTGCGTAGTGGGTAGTATTCTGGCAAGATGTGTGTGTCCAACATGGTTGCTGGATGTGTGGGCATGGGGCAGCAAAAGAACGTTTGACGCCGGCTGTATGTAGAGACGTTGACGACGGACGTGTTCAAGACGTGTTGTGATCAACAGAATGTCGGACCGTCCGCTGACCTGGCCACGAGCCTCAGTGGAGGGCATGTCAGCCACTGGGGTAGACCAGTCTACAGAGTCCACAGAGAAGGCACAGGCACCAGGGTCCAGCTCTCTCATGTTAACTAAACCCTGATTTGACACACCCCGAAATTCTCCGGTATTCTCCCGCGTTGTACGCGACGACGCCAAACGATGTTTGGCGTCGTCGGCCCCAAACTAGTAGGGCATCTTTAAGTCAATTACAAAGCTTTCACCGTTAAAAGAAATTGAGGAAACATTATATTTGAGTTCTAGCTATGAGTTACTGAAGAGTGCGTCAAATTAAAGCCACAAAGAAAAGATTTACTCGAGCTCATCGTTGGAAACGGCGAGTAGCGAACAACGATGAAGAAACCGCCCTGAGCGGACACTTAAAGTTAAATCTATGTTATATAAGCTGATGGCTCTTGCTACACCTCGAGCTTCGAGCCAGTGCGCTCATTTTTGAATGGCCCTGTTAGGTCCGCCGCTAGCATCCTATTACGAGGATGGGTGGCAAAAGGCGGACCAGGGTGCAACAAAGAGGGGCGGGCCTTCGGGCGGGCGAAGGCGCGACGAAGGTGGGCGGGTTCAGGGACGTGTCTAGATAACACGGTCAGGGATCGATGAGCTGTTTATATGAAGTTGGTGGAAAGTCGGAAAAGGCCGAGTCCACCATCGGTCTACGTAGAACGGTCTACCCCAGTGGATGCGAAGCTCTGCCTCAGTGCTACAAGCCTGGACGCTCCCTCGGAAAACGCCGCTGATGCCCTCACGTGCGGCCATAGCTGAACGTGACGTAGTGAAGGGTCCGTCGCGTTAATGTATCATGTCGCGTCTCGTTTCCGAGCCTCTTGTAATTATCACACTGCTCGCAAACATTCAGTTCCACATATATGAAGAGTCATTGAATGCATTAGACACATATAACACATCATGCATCATGCTTAAGTTGGGTGCTGGACTTGTTACTTGCTAGTTTTGTGGTTATTGGTTGTTGATTGGTTGATGCTTAGCTTGACTTTGTAAGTTCTTCTTTATACCTTTCACTATCCATTTGTATTAGAACAATGTAAAGTTATTCCTCGTGGAATCCGTTACCGTCGCCACAAAATGCGTATCATAAAGCGTATACAGCGCTAAGTTCTAACATTCTATTTGGTAACTGTTTGGTGGTGTTGATTCCGTCACTCCGTGTCATTTATAGAAAAAATTGAGGTATCTTTCACAACAGTCGTTTGAAATTTGAAAGTATCCCTGTTTTCGAAATTCATGGCATTTTTTTTTGAGATGTAGGTTGTCGCGACAAAAAATCTACGTAAGTTGCTGTGTAGACTTGTGTAGAGCGGAGTCTCTGATGAGCTGACGGGCTTTGCCGAATGATGCGGTGATCGTTCCCAGGCTACCAGCCTCAAGGCTAGTAGCCGACTCTTCGGGGGTCAGACGGTCCCGTGATCAATGGATAATTGAAGCGGCCACAGATCATGTGACTGCCGGACCTTGACCGAAGAGAAACCGGGTTTCCAAAGAAGCAAAGATTTTCAGTGGGGGTTTCTGCGGAAAGGGGGTTTCTCAATAGTTTTATCCCTCTTATAGGTCCTAGAAATCGGGTGCGCACATTAGGGAGTCGGAGGGAGCGAGCTTTGAATTGAGACCTCGTAACGTTGTGAGCACTTCTGCGTCGTCGGGGGCAATTGATTTGATTTGATTGTGTACCTTTTACCTGTCAGCAAACGCCCTTTGAACGGTTTAAGTTTTCCCCATATTTCTCAGAGCCGGCTTATATTTGTCTTTTCCTGGTCCCAAAACACTGAAAATAGGGTTCTCTCTGTGTGGCTGAACGAGCCCATAGAAAACGAATAAATGCTGACGTCGGCCGGCCATCAAAGATGCTTAGGAATGCTGCCAACGTGTGGCAGGGAACAGGAAGATTGGTGAGTATGATTAAGGTCGGAAGTTGATGAACACATACTCATTATTAAGGATAGAATTGTTCGGAAGAAACAAGGAAACCGCATAAGTAAAGATGTTATATCATGATATACAACGACAACAGGAGGAGGGGGAAGAATAGAAGGGGAGAATAGTGGATATCGAAGCGAGTAAGTGGTGAGGGGATGATGAAAGTGTAGGGCAATGTCATCTGAACATCCACATTCAACCCTGTACTTCAAGCTCTCGGCAATAAATTGGTTTCAAGTTACATATTGTAACAACACTTGGGCAAAGTTTTCATCATTCAATCGGCTTGCTTAATGAGAAGACTCACATACAGTTGCACAGGCAAGGGTTTGGGGTTGAAGATAGAAGAGAGGATGAGGAAGACGGCGTTCGTACCTGAGGGTGTCATTTCGCAACCTCGTCGCCAGGGCAGCTCTCATCGATGCTCATCCGAATTTCTGAGACTCATCCAACGAGAGGCCAGAGGACGCCAAATCTTAAACAAACTTTTTCATGTTGGAACGACACGAACTTTTGACTTCTTGTAGGATTATATAGTCAAACCTGAAAGTAGTTTCAGTTGTTCAATGTCGTGTGACCCTCGCGATCTTTGCAGGAAACAAGGACGCTGCCAGGCGGAGGGGAAGAACGTGCAGGATCCAGAGGGCCCATACCTCGAAAGAGGAAGAGATCTAGAAAGTCATTATTGACGGAGGAAGAGAGGTGGGGGCCGAGAACCAACCGCGTACGCGATAACCCCGCCAACCACAAACTCAGACGCCAACGCCAACCGCGAGCACCAATATTCCAACCTCGACCCTCCCAAGACTCATATCCGTCTCCTTATAGCATTAGCAGTCGCCTCGGCACGGGCTACTTTGTCCGCTTTGAGAAGAAGAAACAATGAAGGTGAAGAGTAGGGAGAACCATGTGAATATGGCTACTAGTTGGACTGGGGGTCCGCGCGTTAGTAAAGGGAAGGTAAAAGGGAAACAAGAGAAAGAAAAAGGAGGGGGAAAGGGAAAGAGGGGGAAAGAAGGAAAGGTGAAAGAGTAAGGAGGGTGAGGTAAAGTGAATGAGGAAGAGAGAGGGAAAAGGGATGGAACGAGGAAGGGAAGTGGAAGGGGTAGGAAGAAGGGGGAGGCAGAGAAGGGGAGGGAAAAGGAGGAGAGGAAGACGGAGACGGAGAGAAAGAGGGAGAGGAATGCTGTTGTTGCTCGGACGCCGACGTCGCATATGTCTGTATAAGGGGGAGGGTTAATCGTACAAGAGGCGAGGGAGAAAAGGCAATTCACCATACACGTCGGTACTAACAACCATAGGCGGCGTCGCGAGTTTCTTGAGGCGTTTCCGCGATTAATTCAACTTGATGAGGGAGTTCGACTGTACAAAACCAGCGATAACGGGACAGCACCACGAGAGGAAAATAGTGTCGGCTACAATGGTCCGTTTCGCAATCTCTTCGGCAAGGCAGATCGCATCATGGAATGCTCTGCATCGCAAAACTCTTCTCGTCCCGACATACGGGGAACATTTCCCAACTCGTGGTATCCTGCTATCCGTGGCACCCGTTCCGTTGAATCCAGATTCTTGACAAGCGATCCATCCCTGTACAGAAGCAGACTTCAGATTCTTCGTTCAAATCTTGTGTGGTTCTTTGTGACTGCGGGCTATTTTCCATTTGGCGTCGTTGCTATCCATCTGGGTTCATTCACATGTCCCTTCAAGGCTACAGCTGTACGGTGCAACGGCAGGGTGTGTGTGGGCCGACGCGTCGATAGGTTGGGTACGTGAGTAGCGATTTCGAGGAGGGTTGTTTTTCTCGCTATGTTGGTTGCTGAAGGGTTCTAGAGTCTGGGGGAAGGGGCGGTAGCCTGTAGGAGTGCCGGTTGTCTCAAATGTGATTGCTTACATTTAGCATCTCATCTTCCATCGTCCAATTTCGACATTTCGCACCGTCAGCCGCTAGAATTTGATTAGACAGAAGCATGCCGAGGAGATCCATGATCAGTTGGGGGCAAGCAAAGGGAGAGAATGGGGCAAAGACAACGAAGGCTGTGGAAAATGATCAACAACCCACACGTTCAGCGTGTGGCTGACATGTTATGTTACGCACTACAAACCAAACAATAGATGGCTGCATCTTGGCTTTCGTTTCCACTATCACATCCCTCGTCATCAGAGAAAATGTGGGGGAAAAGGCTACGTTTTTGGAAGGCCAAAACCCAGACAGCATTAGAAGCACCAGAAGTGGAATTCGAAGGTACGCACTCATATCCACCGCCTGTCCACCGCTTCCGTTATATAGAACTGTAACGCCATCTTAAGGACCGACTAAGGAAGTGTGTCAATCCAATATTGAGATCGAAGGTGCGCGCTCATCTCCACCGTCTAGAACTCTAATGCCAACGCCATCTCAAGCACCGGATCAAGAAATGAGTCAGTCAAATATCGAAATCGAAGGTGCGCGCTCATCCCCACCGCTTCCATTGTCTAGAAATCTAACGCCATCTCAAGCTTCGGATCAAGAAATAAGTCAGTCCAATATTGGACTCGAAGGTGCGCGCTCATCTCCACCACTTCCATTGTCTAGAACCTACGCCATCGCAAGTAGCAGATCAAGAAATGAGTCAATTCAATATCAAAACCCAACCAGCACAATATCTTGATCAGGAAAGACAAAAGATCCGAGCTAAAAATGTTCGAAAAAGGGTCAAACGCTTCCGTGTGCTCATCATTGGCCGAGCCAATGCAGGCAAGACAACCATCCTCCAGAGAGTTTGTAATACAACAAAGCTTCCCAAAATCTTCAATCCCCAGGGCCATAAGGTTTGTGTTTTACACATACACCATGCCACTCAGTGATTCTATTGGCAGATTGACTTGTCTGAGCTGAATCCAACTGCAAAGGTAATCAAGAAGCCCTTTTGTTATTACCTTTTTCTCAACATCTGATAGCGGGGAGAGCACAACATTGAGAATGAAATGATATTTGACAGCAACCCAGGATATGTCTTTCATGATTCTTGTGGCTTTGAAGCAGGTAGAACATTGGAGCTGGATGATGTCAAGAGCTTCATACAGCACCGGTCAACAGCAACACATATGGAGAAACAGTTACATGCTATATGGTGAATGGCTGAGCAATGATGCTTGGATGTATCTGAACATAGTTTGCTTAGGTACTGCATTCCAATGAATGATCGAGCAAGGCCAATTACAAGGGCAGAGCTTGATTTCTTTGATGAGTGTGGGACTGGCATAGGTGGGTGGTTTTGTCTGAAAAATCTGAGACTTTGCCTGTCTTGATTCTTGCAGTTCCTGTCATTATCTTGTTTACAAAAGCAGATTTGCTTGATGCTCCAACAATAGGAAAACTCGTTAAAACTGGGATGAGCATTGAAGATGCTGCAAGCAAAGCTGGAGAAGAATCAATTAACAACTTCCACAAAGATTTTGGCCACATGCTATATGCAAAGAAATATCCTCCTAAGACACACATATATCTTCGGGGTAAATATATTCATTGTTTACAAATGCAGTAAACTGATCATATATTGCAGATATGCAAAATACTAGAAGTGACTGTAGTGTGCTTGTAAAGAAGACTGCAGCTGTTCTCTCAGATGATGCCATCTTAAAGCTGTTTCTTTCAGTTCAACAGAATCAATTGTCTCTGTCAATGGAATATGCAGTGAAAAGGTTGTTTGTTTTGACATTATATAGTGAAACATGATGCTGATCAGTGATATTAGAGTTATGTTTGACTCTCAAGGGCATTGGTTAAAAACAAGGGAGAAGCAGATGATTACAATCAAGAATATATTGGAATACTTTCAACATATTGTAAGTAAAATTCAGGTTCTGTACTATATATGATGATGATGGGTCATTCTGGGTTTTGAACAGGATGTAAGTCAGTCCAGGAGGCCTTTTCTGTATGCTGACAACAGAATGGTCTGGCTGTTGAACAGTATGTAAGTCAGGGTTGAGGAGGCCTGTTCTGCATTATGCTGACAATGGCCTGCTCTGTGCTTTGAACAGCTTGTAAGTTACAGTGCAGGGGCCTTTTCTGCATGATGGTGACAATGGAATTGTTTGGTTTTAAAACAGAAAGTAAGTCAGAGTCTAGCAGGCCTTTTCTGCATGATGCTGACCATGGAATTGTTTGTGTTTGAACAGAGAGTAAGTTAGGGTCTAGGAGGCCCTTTCTGCATAATGCTGACAAGGGAATTGTTTGGGTTTTGAACAGGATGTAAGTCAGATGCCAGGAGGCCTTTGCTGCATGATGCTGACAATGGGATTGTTTGGGTTTTGAACAGTTTGTAAGTCAGGGCCCATGAGGCTTTTCTGCATGATGCTGATAACGGAGTTGTTTGGATTTTGAACAGGATGTAAGTTAGGGTGCAGGAGGACTTTTCCAGCATGATGCTGACAATGGAATTGCTCTGGGTTTTGAACAGGCTGTAAGTCAGGATCCAGAAGGCCTTTTCTGCATGATGCTGACAATGGGAATTTTGGGTTTTGAACAGGATGTAAGTCAGATGCCAGGAAGCCCTTTCTGCATGATGCTGACAATGGGATTGTTTGGGTTTTGAACAGTTTGTAAGACAGGGTCCAGAAGGCCTTTTCTGCATAATGCTGACAATGGGCTGTTCTGCATTTTGAACAGGATGTAAGTCAGGTGCCAGGAGGCCTTTTCTGCATGATGCTGACAATGGAATTGTTTGGGTTTTGAACAGTCTGTAAGTCAGGATCCAGAAGGCCCTTTTCTGCATAATGCTGACAATGGAGTTGTCTGCATTTTGAACAGGATGTAAGTCAGTTTCCAGGAAGCCTTTTCTGCATGATGCTGACAATGGGATTGTTTGGGTTTTGAACAGTTTGTAAGTCAGGGCCCATGAAGGCCTTTTCTGCATGATGCTAATAACGGGCTGTTCTGCATTTTGAACAGGATGTAAGTCAGGTCCAGGAGGCCTTTTCTGCATGATGCTGACAATGGAATTGTTTGGATTTTGAACAGGCTGTAAGTCAGTGTCCAGAAGGCCTGTTCTGCATGATGCTAACAATGGAGTTGTTTGGGTTTTGAACAGGATGTAAGTCAGGGTCCCAGAAAGCTCTTTCTGCATGATGCTGACAATGGAATTGTTTGGTTTTGAACAGGCTGTAAGTCAGAGTCAGAAGCCTTTTTCTGCATGATGCTGATAATGGAATTGTTTGGATTATGAACAGTATGTAAGTCAGTGAGCCAGAAGGCTGTTCTGCATAATGCTGACAATGAACTGCTCTGCATTTGGAACAGGATGTAAGTCAGTTTCCAGGAAGCCCTTTCTGCATGATGCTGACAATGGGATTGTTTGGGTTTTGAACAGTTTGTAAGTCAGGGCCCATGAGGCTTTTTTGCATGATGCTGATAACGGGCTGTTCTGCATTTTGAACAGGATGTAAGTTAGGTGCCAGGAGGCCTTTGCAGCATGATGCTGACAATGGAATTGTTTGTATTTTGAACAGGCTGTAAGTCAGGGTCCAGAAGGCCTGTTCTGCATGATGCTGACAATGGAATTGTTTGTTTTTTGAACAGGCTGTAAGTCAGGGTTCAGAAGACCTTTTCTGCATGATGCTGACAATGAGTTGCTCTGTGTTTTGAACAGAAAGTAAGTCAGGGGGAAGCCTTTCTACATGATGCTAACATTGGAATTGTTTGGTTTCGAACAGGCTGTAAGTCAGGGTTCAGAAGACCTTTTCTGCATGATGCTGACAATGAGAATGCTCTGTGTTTTGAACAGAAAGTAAGTCAGGGAGGAAGCCTTTCTGTATGCTGCTGACAATGCAATTGTTTGGGTTGTGAACAGGATGTAAGTCAGAGTTCAGGAGGCATTTTCTGCATCATGGTGACATTGGCATTGTTTGGGTTTTGAACAGAATGTACGTCAGGGTTGAGAGACCTTCTCTGCATAATGCTGACAATAGAATTGTTTGGGTTTTGAACAGCAAGTAAGTCAAAGTCTAGGCAACTCTTTTTGCATGATGCTGACATTGGCATTGTTTGGATTTTCAACAGGCTGTAAGTCAGAGCCCAGGAGGCCTTTTTTGCATGACACTGACAATGCAATTGTTTGGGTTTTGAACAGAGAGTAAGTCAGTGTCCAGAAGGCTTTCTGGATGATGCTGACAATGGGCTGCTCTGTATTCTGAACAGGAAGTAAGTCAGGGTCCAGAATGCCTTTTATATATCATACTGACAATATAATTGTTTGGGTTTTGAACAGGCTGTAAGTCAGGGTCTAGGAGGCCTTTTCTGCATGATGCTGACAATGAAATTATCTGTGTTTTGAACAGAATGTAAGTGAGGGTCCAAGGGGCATTTTCATGCTGACAATGGTGTTGTTTGGGTTTTGAACAGGAGGTAAGTCAGGGTCCAGGAGGTTTATTTTGCACAATGCTGACAATGGAATTGTTTGGGTTTTCAACAGGCTGTAAGTCAAGGTCCAGGGGGCTTTTCTGCATGATGCTGACAATGGAATTGTTTGGGTTTTGAACAGTTTGTAAGTCAGGATGTAGAGGGCCTTCTCTGCATGATGCTGATTATGGCATTATTTGTGTTTTGAACAGTTTGTAAGTCAGAGTTCTGGGGGCATTTTATGCATAATGCTGAGAATGAGCTGCTCTGGGTTTTAATCAGTTTGTAAGTCAGGGTCCAACAGGCCTTTCTTGCATGATGCTGACAATGGAGTTGTTTGAACTTTGTACAGAATGTAAGTCAGGGTCCAGGAGGCCTTTTCTGCATGATGCTGAGCATGGAATTGTTTGGGCTTTGAACAGAATGTAAGTCAGGGTCTAGAAGGCTTCTCATGCATGATTGTGACATTGGAATTGTTTGGGTTTTGAATAGGCTGTATGTCAGGGTCCACTAAGTTGTTTTTGCTTCATACTCACAATTGGCCACTCTGGATTTCAAACAGGATGTAAGTCAGCTACCCTCTAGTCTTTTCTATTTGATGCTAACAATCCCTTGCTGTGGGATTTGGACAGCGTGTAAGTGGTGTTTAATAGGCCTATTCTATGGGATGCTTATGATAGCTTGGTGTGGTCTTTGTGAATTGAACTCTGATTGATTTACTTTTCACCAACATATTTAGGTATGTTTTAGCTTTCATTGCACATTTCTGTATACATTTGACTACAAAATGATACAGATTGTGAGTTTTATGTCCAGAGACTTTATCTTGGAAACCTTCATAATGCTGTGTTCTGCTGTATAGCCTGTAAGTGATGTCCTATGTACTTTGTCTTCTTTTATTTTCTTCAATTATAATACTCTAATTATTCATATTTACTCATTCTCTTCATTATCTAGGAATACAATGCTCTACATTGTGTAGACTGGCGTTCTGTAAGCTCTTACAATATGTATCTTATTGAAATCACTCTTCTTACCATCTTTTTAATTTAGCTTGGTGATAACACAACTTTCCAGAGACGTGCCTCTTTGTGTATTGGTATGCATGCTTCCTTTTCCAGTATACTTTGTGACTTTTTCTCTCATCAAATACAGCCACAGCCATCATTGCAGAGCATTCTTATTTCATTTGGAAAAAACAACCATCCAAGTCTGCTGAACCCATCAAAAAATCTTTCCACATGTTCCAGTCATCTGCTGCCATTAATAACATTCACGATGCCATCAAGGAGCTGGATGAAGGACATAGAGACATTGCAGCTGCACTTGTGAAAATTGCTCTAGATAACCGTCTTTGTGAGTTTTCAACATTTCAAAAAAAAATGTGATTCCCCTTTCTTACAATCCACTTTAGCCTTGTAAAAATTATAACACATTCTCTTCATGGCTCCTATGAATGATGTATGCTTTCTTATGTCAATCATCCTGTGAGCTCATAGTTATCTTCATCAGGTTTCAAATTCTTTTCATGAACAGAGAGATTCAACTCCCTCCCATTTCCCATTTGTCTTTTCCTTGGTCCTCAATTAGTCAGGAGTTCAGTCAAAGGATTGTCCTTTGTCCATACCTCTGCATTGTCTGCAATGTTGTACTAGTGTTACTAGAGGATTCAACTCCTTCACTCTTGTTGAATGTAAAGCAAACATGTTGAATAGTTTAGTCATAAGCTGAAATCTTTGCATCAATGTCCATAACAACATGAATTGGGGAAAAGCAGACAATTTGGTGGTATTTATCTAGTACATGTCTAGTTTATATACAGGTCACCAACATCTGCCAGTTACCATAGTGTGCTCTGAGACTGCTGCATCTCACTTCTAGTTACAAAATATCAGCAGCAATGTGACATCTCCCATAAGAAGAGACTTGTGTCAAGTAACCAATCCATTCTGAACTCTGGATGAACAATTCATCTCAGGTGGTGCAGAAAATCTCTGAATTTGAAAGTGCAGTGAAAAAACTACTGCACTGTGTGGCAGGAACTTCTACCAAGCATGTCATAGGACTTACACTTCTGCAAATTTCCCACCACAACACACCATCCTCACCATTCTACCTCTTCACAAGGCTTTATGCACACACCTAACAATGCTCTCACAAAGTTATTGCAGATTAAAGTATTGATATTAATATGTAATGATAATTATCATCAATCCTGGAGTCCTGGTCCCACCTTCTGGATCTTTTTCCACCACCTGGTTTCCACCCAGCCCATTTACACTGACATCAGGGTGGGACATACCAGTGACTGTTGATAGAGGCTGAGGGTGCTGCAAGAGTGGTGCTTGAGGCAGGGATGACTGATCAGCCATGTGATAGTTAAGTAGAGTCATATAGTATTTGAAAGTCCAGTCCAGTCCAGTTTTTTGATGCCCCAGGTCTTAGACCATAACCATAACTGGTCTGCCTCTTTCCCAGAAGTCAAAAGACTGAACTGAACCACAAAAAACCATGGTCTGCAGTCTTTTTGCAGTCTATAGACCAGTCTTGGTCTTCTTTGGTTTTAACTGGTTTAAGAGTGGTTTTTCAGCTGATATTTTAGAGTTATGAGTTGGTGAATTTATTGATGTTTTTATTAGCTTTGAAAAGAGCCCAAGAACATAAAATTCTGTTAAGAATTGGTGTTTCTATAAAGTAGTCTGGTACATCTACTATCTTCAACAATATTTTACATCTTCAACTATATTGTTGTCAGTTTTGGACCAATTAATATGTTCTTGGGTGTGTTTTGAAAGGTATTTAGTGGGCTACAAAAAGCTGATAATAACCAGTCAAGACCAGTTCACTTAGACCAGTTTTTTTGCAGTCTTTACTTTTGAAAAATGAAAAGACCAGACCACAGGTCCAGTCTTTTGTGGTGGAAAGGGCAAATGCTAACCCCTCCTCCCCAAGACATATTCAACGTCGGTGTCCTAGCAACAACATCCACAACCCTAATCTCTGTCCTAACATTCAACTACCTCCTCCCCCTCCTTCTCCCCACCTCCTCCTCATCTTCTTTCTTTTCCTGCCTCCAAACACTATCAACAAAAACCCTCCACATCCAAGCATATTCCCTCTTCTTCTGCTGCATCATCCTGTTGGCAGCTATGATCCCATTCATGCTGTTCTTCGCTATGCGCGAGGCGGTGGTTCGCGCATTTGTGGGGATGCTTGAGTTGCCTAAGGAGGTGGTTCAGAAGGTGTCGGCGGCTAGTGGAAGTATGCCTGTGTATAGTAAGATTGACTATAGTATGTCTGTTATTTCTTTCTCTCTCCTTTTCCTGTTTACCTTTACTAACGTTCGAAATCACAGTCAGATTGGTAGCCATCTTCCCATGGTTCTCACTCTTCTTCACCTTTATCGCGGCGGTTGTTTTGCTTAAAGCGGACAAAGTGGCGCGTGTTGCTGCTGTTTTGAATGATAATTTGGAGACGAGTGATAAGAAGGCAAAGTCGGAGGCGAGTGATGAGAAGGAGACGGAGTCGCGTCTTGAGAAAGTCGATGTTTGATAAGGCGATAGGGTCGATTGTTGGGATATATGCTGGCAATTGACCAGTGCGGTTGTCGCGATTTTTTGGGGGCGGGTGTGGGCGACGTGCCAGTGTTATGACGTTTCTAATGCCAAGTTAACATGACGGCCGACAATTTGAACCATATGTATGCATTTGTATGAGTAGTTATATACCATTACCATTTTCCTCGTATTACTTGGGATGATTCGAGGAGACGATATCATATATATTACCAGACTCAGATTGACGCGTGTCAGTACTGGTGTGTGAGGTGCGTGTGTGTGGGTTCGCGTGAAAGGGATCGTATTGCGTGGGAGGAAGGAGTTGAATTTGACGTAGCAAAATCCAACACGGAGTGGGGGTCGAAGGCAAACTCAACCAACATTCCAGGGGTTCAAGGTGAGTTCACCGTAGCAGGAGTGGAAGGCACCCTCGAAGATGAAGTCGACGTTGAAGAGTCCACGACCTGTACCGTGCAGGATACACTCCATCCAGCAATGGCCTGACGGACGAACTTGGATCATATTCCTCTCGTTCGCGTCCGCAGTTCGATATTGGGTTTGGGGAGCGCAACAAAATGGTGATCCCCAATTCCAGAACGTTATGTGGGTATTACGTGGAGTACCCCCCAGGGACGTAACCAACTTTGAGCAGTTTAGCTCCATGCATGGAAGATGACTGTCGCTTACAGACGACTTACACATCTTGGGATTGATTCCTTGGAGGCATAGGCGAGTATTAGGAGCTGAGACGATGAACCATGGGAACAAGGGAACGTACCTGGTGGAGCACATATAAGCGCACTGGTTTGTAGGAGCGTCGAGATGGCTCTAATAAGCTCTCAAGCATTTGAGGTTTGTCACGCGTCACAAGCGTGACCGTGACAGAGATTCAGAACTGAGACGAGCTTCAAGGTCGACGTGGCTTTCATCACGACGGTGGTGCAATCGGTTTTCGTGGGTCAAAGAAACCTTGGATGGTAATGGTCGTATATCCGTGCTCTGAAAAGCCCTCGAGCCCCATTTCCCCTCGTAACAGCGACCACATATGCTGAAACGGTTTTGTGTTGAGAAAACGCCGCAAAAACTTCAAATTGTTCCCATGTTGGTTGCTGACCACAGCCAGAACGGACAATGGCCGATGTTGCGCATGAATCAATGAGGTAAGTTTAGCCAGATAAACGTGTTTCTCTTCGAGGTTTGTGTGCTATGGCGGAGGCTTGGTACTTGAAGCTTTCTTTCACCAAAATTTGCCATGCAGCGAAAGGACCCGAGCCTATGTAAGAAGCTCATCCTGAATGAACGATCAGCTACTGTCGAATACTAAATAGTGTGATAAATCAAAGAAGTACCAGGGACGATGAGCGCTCATTACCCTCCGCTCCGACCGTTGCGAGCTTCAAAGCAACACAAAGCCCATTCTAGAAGAGATGACTTTCGATATTGGCTGAGTCGTAAAGCCATTTGGCATCACTCATGAGTTCTGAGTAAAGTGTTTTGGTAAGTCCACAACGTGTGTTCGAGGACCTTTAAGCATGTACCTCACCTTTTCAACACAACCCTTGGCACCGATGAAGGTGGATTTTCTGGCCGCCACGTAACGCGAATGATCGAGTGAGAAGTTCGCCTTCGACGTTTGAAAAGTTTCATAACTCGACATGGGGAGCCGAAAGACGACCGAGAGGACATTAAGGCTGGGTAGGCCCGTTGTAGATTAGGCCTCGATATCACTGGTATAATTTCGTTGTCCATCCACTAGGTTGTGGGTAAAGTATAATCTAAAAACGATTCACATGAAAGCTCAAGGAACGCCGAAAGGAAACGACATACACGGACACGGAAAACTGATTGGTTGTAAATTCGGACTTCTCAAGAGCGGTCCCATCCCTCGGTTTCTGGGCTAAGCTCTTTCCACGGGGTTTTTCAAACAACGTCAGGACAGGAAATTGCTGGGAATTTGTCCAACGACGAGCGGAGCCTAGAGAACGAGATACGGGTGGTTGTGATTGTTGATGGCAAGAGACAAGTGACTTGTTGAGAGCTCAGGCCGTTGAGTACTGTTGAGTGACCGTGATCATCATCGAACTCGACCACAAGAATCACTCGCCGAACTCACTGCCAGCTCAACTACGATGCTCTGAAAGGTGATTTTGGTGTTTATTGAAATAAGTCATGCTGACCTTGACTTATTCAGGTATTAGCAGTTAGCATGCTGGTGAAGTCGTGTCATGTGGACGACCAATAGACAACGCTTCGCTAGACTCTGCTGGTTTCCGCTGGTGTTGTCCAGGTATGAGATTCAGAAATCGAAGTTCACTTTGCAACTTTATGTAGACTCAATCAGTGGTCCTGACGTTGAGCGCCTCATCCCCCATCTTTTTGATTTGGCTGGCAATGAGGCTAGGTCATGGCACTTGACATGTTCCCAGACCTGCCATTCGAAACGCTCTGAGCGCTAATCTCTCCGCTTTCACTGATAACCACCATGTCTTCCTCCGGGACTGGGAGCTCCCCCAGCATCGAGATTTTCGGTAAGTCCTCTCAGAGTTTTGCCACTGCTGAAGCTGAACATCTAGTTTTCGCGTGCCAGAAATCCGCGTTACATCGCAAAACGTTCTCAAATCTGTCGAGCTTTCGATTGGATCGGTCAAGCGGGAATCACCCTGTCTCCTAGGCGCAAAGACCCACAAATTCGAGTTGCCATCCCCCTGGTGAGCTGATGATCGTGTGTAGCATTGGACGACAAACCCAATCCAAGCAGTCAACTTTCACCTCCAGAGCCCCTCTGTCTTCGAGTCCGATTCCGTGATTTGTTTCGTGTCACGGCGAAGAACAAGATAGATCTTGATGAAATACTAAGGAACGTGGACCCTCATTCCTCTGGAAAACAAGGCAAGTGTGCCCCTTTTGCAATAGCGCTTGTCTTGCTGATGTAGAACTTTTTACTCTAAAGAATGGTCGAAATCATTCGACAAGTTCGATGTCGTCCTTAAAGTGAAGTCTAGCCAAAACGCAGGGGTGTGTGCACTTCTTCCTCGAACCCAGAAGCATCCGCCTAATTCGGGTGCGATCGATCTTAGAATGCTTCAACCGAGCCGGAATACTCAACGAGTGGCGACCTGCAACCCACAACGGATGCGTTATTCAAGTTGGTTGAACGGTCAGTCTGCTTAATCCCCGACTACTCCGGCTTACCTTACCGCTAGGTTCCGAGTCTTGGTCATCGGCAACGTAGTTCCCTCACATTTCTTCCCTCATGCACTAGCTTATAGTTTTGTTGTTGCAGAGTGGTGTAGGGAAATCTTCCCTTATCAATGAATGCTTCGGCGTCAAGGATGCTGTGAGGTCACTTCCCCGTCTTGTCTATCCGCTGCTAAAGCTTGTCCTCCCCCAGACCGTGTCTGATCTCAAGGCTGGCGTGTCAAATATCAATACTGAGATCAAAGCAAAGGAAAACGGAAGGTTTGTTCTGCACGATAGTCAGGGCTTCGAGCATGGGGAGGGTGACAACTTCAAGAAAGTCGTCGATTTTTTGAAAGCTCGGAAGGACATGCCCAATGTGAGGGATCAGGTACATGCTGTCTGGTATGTTTACTGCTCCTGTGTCATTCGAGTGAACAACATGATGAAGGTGTTGCACAGGCTTTGTTTCCAAGTATCCGTGTCTGAAGGTGATCGGTTGTTCGAGGCTGGGGTGGAGGAGTTATTCCGCATGAAGTCCAAAGGAGAACTTGGCCCTGGTAGGCTTTTGGCGTTTTTTGGTCGACAGTCACTCACTGTTTGATCCAGTTCCTGTGATCACCGTGTTTACGAAGTATGATCGGCTGGTAACACAGGTTAAGTTTGGTAACAACAATGAGTTCATGCACCGCACGAAAACCTTGGATGCAGACGCGCGCAATGCACTTCTGGTCAAAGAGGCAAATGAAAGGTTCGAAACACTTTGTGTCCGTCCCTTCAGGGCGGTGGTCGGCCCAGATGTCCCCCACATTTCTGTCTCAAGTAAGTTCCTGACCGATTTTTTCTCTAGATTTGTGTTCACATTCGCGATTGCAGCTAAGAAAGAATACATAAATACCTTGAAGGACCTTACTGCACTCACCGCAAAATACGTAAAAGAATGCCTCGCGGTTGACGTTGCGGAAGAAGTCGCGGTGCTCTCTGCTGTTGCTCAACGCGTGAACCCAGCTATGAAGATCGATGCGGTGATTGCGTGAGCATACAGACATTTGTTATCTGAATGCCCTGCTGACATCTTCTGGTCAAAGAATTGGCAAGAAGCGTATGAGATTTCCGCTGTGTCACTAAACTGGGACTTAACCCCCATCTAGGATATTGGAGGGGCCTTGCTTCCAGCGCGAACTTCCCGGGGAAAACTATAGACGCATGCCTTCGAGTTTTACACACTGATATTGTGCGAGTGTGGAATATGCAGGATGAATTTGGGGTAAAGACTTCGTTATCATACCCCCTCATGCTTTGCTTACTGAGCATATCCCCTCAGCATCTCGAGAGCAAAGAGTTCAGGGCATTAATGACCACACTTGCGGGAGAGCAATATGACGAGCTGTCGGATCCCAATACGACAATGTGAGTTTGCTTTTTCAACTATTATCACATTATTTCTCACACACAAGTCGTCAGTATTCGCGCTTCCCCGCTGTTTGTTGCTTTAACTGGACTCGTTGGGGGTTTATCCGGACCCGCTGCTCCTATTGTGATTCCTATCGCTGCAGTTGTAGTCCTCGCAAAGTGGGGATACGATGTATATAAGCAATCGTGCGTTCTCAATTTCCTACGTATTCGGTGAAATACTAAGCGACAAACTTCCAGGGAGCTTATCGTACAACGTCTAATGGCGTACATCGTTGATTTCACCATCATCATGCAAATCATCTTTGGCCTCGTGGTTAACGCCCAACTGCACCTTACCCGTCGCCTGATCAAGCTTGCCTTCGCCACGTACAACTGTTCACTAGAAAGAAGAGCTGTCCACAATGAGATTCGGGATCATGTGAAGTTGGCAGGTCGCGCCGACCGGGATGCAGCACTTGCGGAGATGCTTCGACTGATCAAGAACTACCAGATGAACCCTGAGGACATGGACAAGCTACAATTCACGATGGGGGAGGGGTTTGATAATGATGAAGATGAGCCCTGGGACGTCCCCAAAGCCTGAAAATTCATCATGCTCGTGCTTATTTTGAGTTAAAATGAATATAACCACACTCTCGAATAGTAAAATCCCTCTTGTTCTACAAGATATATCGGATTGGAGGGGCTCTTCAAGTAAATCTCGCATGCCGTTGCCGTTTGGAAGTTGAAGATGTGAGCAATGGCCATCGTCGGGAAGTGCTGCAGCGCACCACCACTGTCTACTAGCTCTCCTGACCCTGCCGTTGCTACCCCAAAGCAGTGTGTCACAGACTTGAGAACAACAATTTCAACGACATTGAAGTTGCTTCCGATTTCCAAGAAATCTTTGGCGTCGGGAATTTGCTTTCTGTGATGTTGGACGTCATGTATGAGGGGCCTACTGTCTCAATTTGCTTCGTGATAGTGATGAGCACTGAGTAGGGTATTCTCTGGACGAAAGTTGGTTTCATGAACAATTTAAAACCTGTGATCTGAATTTGAAGGTCTTGTGAAGGTCGATCATTCAGTGAAAACCTGCACCAAGATAGAGAGACCCAAGTTGCGATTTTTAATGAGTTGTGTCGTCGTCGTCATTCCCGTATTCCGCCGTACTTAGCTGATGGAATCCGCGACGTTCGGAGGGTATGGACATCAAATGGACATGAGGAAAAGAGAAACGTGATGAGACTCGGATGCGATGTCGGAGTTTTCTACAGTCGTGGACAAGCAAAGCCCACTAATAAAAATGGAAATTATTGATGGCTACCAAAGTGCCCGGAAAACGTGCAGATACGTTGAGGGAAGCTTCTGGCCAAATTTCAGCCAAGTCTCACGAGCCGTTTTGGAGAAAATGGCCATATACAAAAATAGACCCTAAATTTTTGGCCGGACACCAAAAAGTGCCAAGAAAAATATGAAAAATAGCGGAATCGCTTCCTTTCACGGAGAACAATCTGCCCATCAAGTTTCGAAACAATTTATCGAGCGGTTCTTCTGGAAAAAATTGCCAAACATTGACCCAAATTGGGCACTTAGTCACTTTTTTGATGTGACATCTATCACGGGACTAAGAAATTCCATCACACTAGGCTTTCGAAATGCAGGGAAATCCCTTTCTGATAGATTCTTTGCCCTTTCTGAGTAGCTTCCAGCTGAAGCCCAGCACAGGTACCAACTTTCGATAATTTCTGGCCAGTTTTGACCTGTTTTTATCCCCAAATGTTGCAGTTTTTTGGTCCAAAATTTTGGCCACACCAATTCCTCATGGGAAAAACATCGGAGGTGCGTTTTTCGACGCATTTCACAAATCTGAGCCAGAATCTGGAAAAATCTCAGCTCTAGATACATTATTTACCAAGATACCAAATTAGTGGGCTTTGCTTGTCCACAACTGTAATTCGGCATCTCAACCGGTTCTAACTTGTTGTGGATGTTCCTATCAAAATTGCCATCATAATTAAGAGCAACCAAAGAGTTTTTGGTTACAATTTTGGTCCCATCCAGGATGGCAACCTGGTTGCAACAGGTGGCAACGGGAGTTCCGGCGTGATTGTTCGAGTTTAAACAAGGTGTTTACTCAAGTCCAATGAAAACTGTCCAAGGCTAAGTTGCATGCGCACAACTTCAGTCGTGTGTCCGCTGACACACGACTCAGAGCCGCTGCTCATCTCTCCCTTAACTCACGTGATCCACGCTTGGATGTGCACTAACAGGCCTTGATTTATTTTTAGATATACCCCTCACAGTTGAGGAGTGAGGTTGAGACGCCCCCTTTCTGCCAGGCTCTCGTCTTGACATCTCACTCCTCAACCAGGTATGATTCTCATTTTTTAATCTAGGCCCTCATCTTGATATCTTACCTCGTTATCTAGTTCTAGCATATGCATTTCTCGTCACTTTCAATACATCTGTATTCATCGTTCCTCATTGTGACTTATGAGTGAGGGGCATGCGAGACTTTTTGCAGTACCCATCCCAGGGAATGGATCGTCCAGCACTCTGGGATCGAATGCAGCTGGACGAAGTGACGAAGGACAAGCCGAGCCTTCTGGAGAGAATGCAACTGCGAGAAACAGCGAGCGTTCAGACGAGCGAGGAGACAGAACCAACCCTGCTCCGTCAAATGAGGACGTCAATGGTAACCAATCTAATCCCCGAGGAACTCAACCTCCAGGAGGGAATGCCGAAGACCCAGATGTCGACGACCTCGATGAACCAAACTCAGGGGGTAGACCACAACTTGAAGAAGAATCGATCAAGTACATGGACGACATCGTCGACAAGTTCAGAAAGGGCGAAATTACCAAACTCAAGGCTCTATCCAACATTATCTCAATCCTCGACTTCGATCCATCGAGGACCAACCGAGCCAAGGATGCTGCCGTTGAATTCTACGCCAAAACACTCAACAAATACGCCGCCCTCGCTTCTTCAGCGGTTAAGCGAGGCAAACACGCTCAAGTCGGATTACAACCGAATGGACTTGGATCAGAACAACATGAATTACGGGACGTTGACCGAGACCAAGCCATCGACGAACTCGTCTCTCAGATCAGTTGAGACTCCAACAAGTCGAAAAGGGGGAACTCTCCCTCTCCATCTCAGTATGACGACGATTCAGACGAACCTTCAAACAAGAAGCGACGAGTCTTTGAATCGGAAATGCCCTGGTACAATCGAGAAGATGAAGCCAGGCGAACCGGAAACAAGGATTGCGAAGAATCTAGATGATTACTCCAGCTCTTCGCCCGAGACTACAAAGTTGTCCGGCAGTGGATCCAAAACTCCAGAACAGCTCCCCTCGGATTCCCTTCCTCTGAGTGGGACAACGTCATCAAAGGTCAAGCTGTCAACCTCGATGCCGTGTTCTCATCACTGCATCATATATCCGCTCCTAAAGAGAACGTTGGACGCGTGGGATCAACTGAAATCTCCCTTGGATGATCAGAACCAGCAAAGAAGGTCCAAACGAGCGGCGAATGGACCAGCGCTTGGAACGCCACCGTCAAAGCGATTAAATTCGCTTTCCCTCATCGGGAACAAGAACTCCGAGACTACGGCGAGTACATTGAAGGACACTTCTCTGCCAGGATCACGTCCGCTCACCGAAAAATCATTCTATACAACACCGCCATTCGGAATGAAGTCGGCGGTGGGCAAAATGCTCTCCTCACCGATGCTCACCGGTTCACCAGATTCTTTTCCGCCATTGTCATGCCAGATGGAATTGAATCCGATCACATCAGATTGGGTGGCAAATGATCTACCAGAAAAATCACAAAGTCAGAGACCTGCAATCGCTTCAATTCGCCCAATGGATGCAGGAACTCGGCTGAAGACTGCAGGTTCCGCCACGCTTGCAAGAAATGCAAGCGCCTCGGTCACGGACAAAAGGATTGCGATGTCAAAGAGGGATCTAACACATGAACTGCGCCCGAAATATCTCAGATACAACATCTGGGATGGTACAAACTCTTTCTCTCGCTCCTCCGCCGACTGGACAGAAACTGCATTGCCTTTACCCAAAATCCCTGCCTCTGAGCTAAGCAACCCTGTCGCTACTCAAACAATTCAAGAAAATCCACACCTGTTCGACATTGTCACTCCTATCTTCGTTGATCGCTTCGAAGAACTTCTGGAGACTCACCCGAACAGACCTTTCGTCAAATCCGTGTGTAGGGGTCTACGAGAGGGTTTCTGGCCTTGGGCCGATACCCGCTTTGGAGAATACCCTGACACTCTCGATTTTTCTCTACCTGAACCAGACAATCCCGACGAAGCGCAATTTTTGAGAGATCAGCGTGATCATGAACTCTTCAAAGGACGTTTTTCAGAATCATTTGGAGACAAACTCTTACCCGGCATGTACTGCATGCCCGTCTTTGCTGTTCCGAAGCCTCACTCTACTGACTTGAGAATGGTCACTGATCAAAGTGCAGGAAAATTCTCTTTGAACAGCATGATCCCCCGTGAAGCCATCATCGGGTACCCTCTCAACAACCTGCAGCACTTAGGACAGTTCCTCATCTCTATGCACGACCGTCTCCCTCATTCACCTCGTGTCTTATTCAAATCCGACGTAGCAGAAGCGTACCGACTGCTCCCTGTCCACCCTTACTGGCAAATTAAACAGATTAATTGCATTAGCGGATCGCTCCACGTTGACCGGAACACTGCCTTTGGCGGACGCGGCTCTGGATGCAACTGGATTGCCTTCATGTCTCTTGTGTCGTGGATCGCGAAGAAGAAAAGGGCCATTGAACTCCTGGGTACGTACTCGGATGATTCTTTTGGCCCAGAACTTGCCTCCAACCTCACCTTCTACGCTCCATATCGCAAATTCATGCCGACGAACCAAGTCAAATTGCTCGAACTGTGGGACGAAATCAACTTACCCCACAAAGAGAGTAAGCAAATCTTCGGTTCACCGCTTACTGTCATTGGAATAGATGTCGATGCAAACACTCTCTCCATGACCATGCCACCTGACACCCTCCATCAGTTAGTCACCGCAATTCGTGAATTCATCTCTAGCAAGCACAAATTCACGCTCCGTGAATGGCAGAGATTGGCAGGATGGATCAATTGGAGCTTGAACGTCTTCCCCCTACTGAGGCCCGCACTGAACAATTTTTACGCGAAGATTGGTGGCAAATCTGCCCCAAATCAATTCGTGAGAGTTAACAATGCTGTCCGCGCTGACCTTGAATGGGCCGCTAATCACCTTGAACGCGATACTGGCGTCAAACTCATTCATCAGATTTATTGGGACGCAGATTCCGCCGACTTGACACTTTTTTGTGATGCCTGTTTACAAGGTATGGGTTTCTGGTTACCTGACGATTGCGTCGGTTTCTACTCACCCACACCCGACGGCACCACCGACGAACACATCTTCTTCTTTGAGGCTTTATGTGTCCTGTCAGCCATTCACCACGTTGTAGATGTCCTTTGTGTTCCCCCAACAACCAAGATCTTGATTTACACGGACAACGACAACACCGTCGCCATCTTCAACACGCTCAGATGCCTCCCCCATTATAATTCAATTCTCATCAATGCAGCCGACGCCTGCATCAACTTCAATATACAACTCAGAGTCCTGCATATTGCCGGAGAACTCAACAGCGTCGCTGATGCCATTTCAAGACATAACTTTGACATTGCCCATCAGTATGTCCCCAACCTCATCATTTCACCCTTTCTACCCCCTCAATTGCTGCTGGGGGCTCCCAAAAAATGATCCCTGCCACCGTGCGCACCAGGCAACCCCACAGAGATGCCTGGTCGTGAGAACGACTGCTCAGAGAACGTGCCATCACTCTCGGACAAGCTGTCGATAACTCAACGTGGAAAAATTACGGATCCGCCCTCAACTCTTATTTGAATTTTGTCAAACTACATGACTTCCCACTCGACCCCACCCCTGACACTCTCAGCCTTTTCACCGTCTACATGTGCCATCACATCAAACCTGGCTCAGTCGCGACTTACTTGTCTGGCATATGCCAACAGCTCGAACCCTATTTCCCCGATGTACGTACCGCTCGCAACTCTGCTCTGGTACATCGTACATTGCAGGGCTGCAGGCGTTTACACGGAACACCAACCACACGCAAACGTGCCCTGACCCTTGACGACCTCGAGACAGTTGTCCATGCGCTAGGCAACTCATCTGACTATGACGACATCCTCTTCCTAGCGCAACTCCTCACAGGCTTCTTCGCCTTATTCCGTTTGGGCGAAATGACGTACCCAGACGACCTGCAACTTCGTGACCCTCGCAAAGTCACCAAACGCACCTCTGTGCGTTTCTCAGACATTTCTTTTCAGTTTTTTCTGCCTGGCCATAAGGCCGACAGATTTTTCGAAGGGAACACCATCATAGTCCGCAAAAACGGACGCATCTTCGACCCTCACAAGCACTTCCTTGCATACATCCACGCACGAGATAACAAATTCCCTTTCAGCTCACCCCTCTGGCTAACTAGCAACGGAGTCGTCCCTACACGGTCCTTCTTCATCAACCGCTTGCGTCGTTTCTTCGACTCCGACACCGCCGGTCAATCCCTCAGAGCCGGCGGCGCTACTTCCCTCGCCGAAAACGGGGTACCACCCTCAATAATTCAAGCTATCGGTAGATGGGCCTCAGATGCCTTCAAAATCTACATCCGCAAAAACCCTGTTTTGATTCAAGCCTGACTATTTGGTCAAACAGCGCGTTCCACATCGTCTTACATCCACGCTTTGGATTCCTGACACCACACAGACTTTTTCCTCCTACTTTACAGACTTTTATTTTACTCACAGACCTTTCTTTACTTAAACAGACTTTCTATGGATCCCAGAACCACCAATCCCCCACGACATGGACGTATCCCTTTCCTACACACTTATACATGCATGTACTTCTCCCGTTTTTCCCCTCGCTCCTCACATCTATCACTACGTGATCTCATCACCCCTTTTTTCCTTTTTTTCTTTATATAGGAATATAGCCATACCTCGAGTGGAAATATGTCGGAGTCTGGCGCGCGCTGCGCCAGATTTCCTGACTTTGGCTATTTTCTCGTCACACAGTGACTCATACCGCCTCTGCATCACGCAAAAGCCTAGGTGTCATTGGTCGAGTTTAAACAAGGTGTTTACTCAAGTCCAATGAAAACCGTCCAAGGCTAAGTTGCACGCGCACAACTTCAGTCGTGTGTCCGCTGACACACGACTCAGAGCCGCTGCTCGTCTCTCCCTTAACTCATGTGATCCACGCTTGGATGTGCACTAACAGGCCTTGATTTATTTTTAGATATACCCCTCACGGTTGAGGAGTGAGGTTGAGACGCCCCCTTTCTGCCAGGCTCTCATCTTGACATCTCACTCCTCAACCAGGTATGATTCTCATTTTTTAATCTAGGCCCTCGTCTTGATATCTTACCTCGTTATCTAGTTCTAGCATACGCATTTCTCGTCACCCTCCCACCCACTTCCTTTTTTACTACCAATCCTCGTAGTACTACTCATGTATGTAAGCCATACCTCGAGTGGAAATACGTTGGAGTCTGGCGCGCGCCGCGCCAGATTTCCTGACTTTGGCTATTTTCTCGTCACACAGTGACTCATACCGCCTCTGCATCACGCAAAAGCCTAGGTGTCATTGGACATGTTCAATGTGGATGACGTTGATGAATCACCACTGCTGATAAACACGTACAAACACACTCTCACCGAGATTCCCATGCAGCCAAAAGTGGTATTGTCTACCCATCGTACTCTATCACACGATGTACAGGCATTAATTAAGTATCTACTAATGTATATGAGGTCCGTCTGATCGTGGTCACCGTTGTCCATGCGTCACCGTCGTTGTCGTCCATGTCACAGTTGGTGGTGTGGGGCCCTCGCATCGTGGTCATACATCATTGTCCGTGGCCCTGGGCTGTCGTCCATTGTTGTGGCCTTTGCTTCGTGCTAGTCCCTCGCCCCTCGTAGTTGTGGTTCTGTTGTCATCAATAAACATCTGTCATCATCATTGTCAAAGCAAGGAGCAGAGAGGAGAGGGCTTTTTACTGACCTGGGCTCAGCTTCTGCAACACGAAAGAGACCATCCCCCGCATCCATCCCAGCTTGCTGCTCACTGCATGTTGTACTGGATCATCTCCATGTGCTCGTCCCGTTGTCGTTCGAGGGGTGATGGTGGTGGGCGCTCACCGCCGTCCATGGGTGGCCTCGTTCTTGATGTGGTTGCATGCCAGCCTGCACTGTCGCTGTGTGGTTGTCGTCCCGGGACGTAGTGGCATCGTCATTGTCTGGGGTCGTGGTCGCGTTGTTGTGATTCTGAGTCGTCGCCGCATAACTGTCTTGCGGGTTGTTGTCACATCGTCATTGTCTGGTGACGTCGTCCCGTGTCGTCGTCGTGTTGTCCATCACGTTGGTCATCCGCCATCGTGTTGTGGGTCCAATGACGATGAACAACAAATCGGCTGTTGTTCGTCATTTGATTGCCACGTCGCTGTGGGCGACGTGGCTCCTGGGTTGTGTGTGTGACTTCAGGAATGGGAGAAAGGGGGTAGCTTAGCTCACCTGGGTTGTTGATGTGTTGATACTGGTGATGGGCGCTCGTCGCCCTTTGTAGTGGTAACGTAGGTGGAGCAAACGTCAAACAACGATGGTGCCTCTGGAGTCTGGAGTGAGCTTTGACCTTTCTATCCCAGCGTTACTTGAATCTCACGTACATGTTGTATCCCCCACTCCACTCTCGCATTGCCGACCCCCACGCGCGTCCGACGTCGATTTGTGCTGGTGGAAGAGGGGCCGCCAGAAGCCTGCGTAGTGGTGATGACGGTGGGTGCTAATCGCCATTCGTGTCCGTGGGTGGAGGGCAGTCGCGATCCGTTGTTGCTCGTTGATTGTGGTGGTGATGACAGTGGGCGCTCATCGCCATCCATGAGTGGTCAGCAGTCGCGACCCGTTGCTTGTTGGTTGTGGTGGTGGTGGGCGGTTGGTGTCGATGACGAAGGGTGATGAGGGGAGCGGCATGGGCGTGATCGTCCTCAAAGTCGACGTGGCACGCCGGCATGACACGTCAAAGGTTTGGTGGTGGTGCTGTTATCACGGATAAACCAATGAAGTGCAACAGGGCTCGTGTAAGATTTGGCTCACCATCGTAAAGTTCGCGTCTAGCGAATGGCATCCCCAAATTCTTCATCCAGTGGTTGATTCCTGCGCAAACGTCGAGAGGCAGTCATGGACGATGACTTGAGGATTTAAGGGAGGAGGTTGATGGAGTGGCAGTGGATGAGACGACGATGTTGATCGATGTGTACAGTCACAGACAAACAAAGTCGCCAAAAAAAATAAACTTTTATTGATACCTCCGAAAACCATCGGGATCGATAGATACACACTTAAGGCCCTTCCTGGCCAACTTTCAGCTCAACCTATCGAGCCGATCGCTTTCAAATTACCATTTAAGTAATCTGTACCTGAAAATAATGGCCGGACCCTTAAAATATTCGATAAAATGGTGAAAAATAGCGCAATCGCTTTCTTTTTTGAAGAGTGGGACAACCCCAAAGTTTGGTAGACTTTCGTCAAGTAGTTGTTCCCCAAAAAAATTCCCAAATACTGCTGACCCAGCTCTGAATTATTGATTATTCGTGATATGGGAAAGAAGAAGCAGAAGAAAAACATCACCGGTCTTCGGAACCAGCCAAAGACGGCTTCTCACATCAAAGATAATGTCACCGTGGCTACGGCGCCAGCTCACCCAGTGACCCATGCCGATGTCGATGATCAATCAGATAATGACGAGGGATGGGATCCACATGTTAGATTGGACAGCAATAGACCATGCTGGGACTCTGACGACGAAGAAAAGGATAGCGAGGATGAGGCTGATGTTGAAGACGAAGTTATTGAAGCTGGCGAGGATGGGTGGAGAAGTGAATCATTACAAGTTGGACTTATGGTCCTTGCAATTGAAATTGGGGATGATCCTCGAGATGAAGATTGGATTCCTGAGGCAGTGCGAAGAAAGCATAAAGCTAGAATGGCCCAAGGTGCGTCTACAACAAATCAGAGGGCAAGATTACTTTGAAGACTGAGAGTGATTTTTTTTAGCTCGACCACGCCCGACATTTTATCAGAAAGGTCCAGATGTTGGCAGCAAATCTGACCGAACACAACGACGATACACAGACTTGCTCAAAGGTCAACAAACACTTGAGAATCTTGGTTTTGTGAAAGCAGAACCCCGAACGAGATCAAATGCAAGGGCATCCGAGACAGATAGTACACCAAGTGAAGATTCCGCAGGAGTCAAAGTCAAAGTTGAGGACAAGAGCCCTTTAATAAGCCCATGCTCACTGGCAAGTTCCCTGCCCACATCAGAGCTCGAGGATGGTGTCTGCGTGCGACAGGAAACACCAGATCCACCAGTACTCGAGTTCAATGTCGAGATACGGCAAGAGTCTTTGACTCCGCCCCCGCTCCATTTCGCCGAGTCCAGATCTCCGAGCGTGCGCATCCGTGAAGAATCCGTGACGCCGCCACCGCTATTCTTCAATCGTCCCACACGAAAAAGAAAAGCATCAGGAAGCCTAGAAAGCGAAGACTCAGAGGATGAAATGATGTCCAACCCTCTGGGAGATAACAGCGGAGAGCAACAGCGTGTTGAAGATTTGCAGGGGGAAGAATCAGCAGATGCCTGGGAAGAAGAACTCGATGAAACTCTGATGCCGAATGCTGAAATTCAAGATTGGGCCACTCTACGAACTCAGATCAAGACCGATCTTAAAAAAAAGCATAAGTCCATGACCTTATCGCAGATAAATCAGCTGATGCTCTTATGGAATTTTGCAAACCTCTGTCTGAAGGGTTTTGCAATACTTATCACTCCCCCACCTATTCCTACTGGACTCCAGGACTCCAGTAGGATTCCTACTGGATTCCTACCGGATTTTGACAAAATTTCCAAAAAGGCATTTTCACATATTTCTCCATTCCCCCTCCTACTGGACTCCTACTGGACTCCAACTGGACTTAAACAAATTAGATGAAATGCTCCACACATTGAAGTCCTACTGGATTCCTACTGGATTCCCACTGGAATATCAACTTCAATGTATTACCAAGTCAGAACTTCAAATTTCTATTCAAAATTCACATTTAAACAAATGTTGTATTGTGAAATGACAACTAAATACAGAAAGATATTTTACTAATGTAATGAGGGAGGGGGAGGGAGTCATGGAGTGATGGAGGGAGTGGTGGAGGGAGAGAGCTATGGAAGGAGGGGAAGTGAGTGAAGTGAAATGATGGAGGGGGGAGGGG